GGTTCACTTTCGACAGACATGGGAGCCCACGTGCGCTCGCGGACTGCAGCGGGAGGGAGGCTGACGATGGCGATGATGATGAGGATGATGGGCTGGCAATGACGTGCTACAGAGTACAGACACAAAACGGAACAAAGCCAGCACAGCACCCGGCTTGCCCCTGCGAATGCTACCGTCTCACCCTACGAGGAGTTCCGCCCGGCGTGCCGGTGCGAGGCACAAAACGGGACAGTCGCACACAGACGCACACACAGGCTCACACAAAGTCGCACACGCACGCCGAATGCCATGCCATGGATTATGCTTACATTTAAAGTTGACGTGTGTGTGAGACAAGAGCCAGCAATGCACCACCGCTGGGCACCCATCCATCCCTCCATCCACCCACGTAGTATCCCTCCCTCGCCGTGGGGCCTGCGCTAACCCTCTCAGTGCGACGATACAGTTCCTCCGTATCTCTCTTGCTGGGAACGGCCTTGTCTCACCGGTGGTACTGCACTGTACAGTAGCAAGAGCCGCCGGTTGCGCGCGTGCGCACCCCGTACTGCTCACCCAACATTGAACTCGCTCACCTAACTCACCAAACTTACTCACATGCTACATACAACCCAAAAAACCGCGGTGGTGTAACAGAGGGTAACATCGTCGGGATGGGTCGCACGGGCTCACTCCTTGGCGGGCGGCGGATGGATCTCCCTCGTGCAGCGCATTGCATCGCATTGCATTTGCACAGCCGCACGGCTCGCCGGCTGCCCAACGCCCCGGGAGGGCGGACTGACCAGCCAGGCCTCAGAGTTGCAACATGAAACGGACACACGCTCTCAGCCAGCCAGTCAGGCAGCCAGCCAGCCAGCCGCGGCAGCAACACCGGTTGCAGCCAAGCAGCGGCCAAGCAACAGCAGCAGAAGCGACAGCCGGGGCTCGCCGCCGAGGCACAAGACACCCGACACGGGCCCGGGGAGCGTCCGCCCGCCGCCCGCACTATGTGGCGGCGACGCCGGCTGTCGTTGTCGCTCGCGCGCCCGTCCACCACCTGCCCGGCGATGATCTAAGCTGCTGTTACTATATTGGAATCCGGGGAAGCGCCCCGGCCGACAGCATGGACTGCGTTGAGCGAGCGGCTGAGCGGTGAGGTTCTACAAACTTCTCCAGCTGGGCGCTGAGCTGGACGGCCGGCGAGGTAACGTCACGTTACAGCACAGCACAGCCATCGCCATCGAGGATACGGAGTGGTTTGTACGAGCCTCGCTGTTGGTCTGCGGATAAGGGCGAGGTGCGGCGCAGTTGCAGCAGCTTCCGGCAGCTCGTAGTCGAGGTGAAACGATTGACGACCGACCCAACAATGTGAACACGAGAAGCCGGCGAGCACCTTGATGGATCGGCTTTTTACTTTTGCTACTACCTACTCCGAGGCAACGGCCCAGAGGTTAAAAAAACAAGGTTAGAGTTGCAGATCGGTGAAGCCCGGCAATCCGTTTCGAATCATCTACGTTGTCTGTATGTCTGTGCCGCTGAGTTCCGCGTAAGGTGTTTCGGCTCCCTCACTAGGACCGTCTTTGTCCTGTCCCTGTCCCTGTCCCTGTTCCTGGCATGGCATGGCCGGCGGCCACCGACTCGCGGCGATCCAAGCCCTGCGGCCAAGTTTCTCCAGCATGCGCCGAGATTGATGGGAGGGGCGCCGCCTTTTGGCCTGGGGAAAAGATGGCGAACGCATGGCATGGCTGCGAGTTACGGTACCCATTTTGCTCTGTCTGGTCCATGTACCGTTCGGAGCTCGCCGTATGTGATCGTGTAACCGCCAAGCGCAGAGGGTACAAAATAATGACTCCTGGTTTTTAAGAAATGTACGGGAGGCGCACAATAAATGATGCATCATATCAATGCGCGACGCGCCCACTTAGCTGTGCGCCTGAACCATGTGCCGACGCCCATGCTCGTGCTTGTGCTCGTGCTTGTGCTTGTGCCTATGCTGGTGAGCATGGCTGCGAGCATCTTCCTTTCCATCCACGTCCATGTCCTCCCCATCCTCGTCATCATCGCCATCCTCTTCGTCCTGATCCTCCGCCCACTCGGGAAACCCATCCTCAAACAGCTCTTCCAGGCGCTCCCTTCTCGCCTCCTCATTCAGCCCCTTATCGCGCATCACCTCCTCCCAGCGCGCCATCTCCTCCCCGGTGAGCAAGCAGGCGTCCAGCATCGCCGCCAGCGCATCGCGGTCGAGCCCCTCGCCGATGAAGACCAGCTCCTGCCGGCGGTCCCCCCACTCGCCGCCCTTGCGCATGTCGTACTGCACCAGCGCGTCGACCTGCGCATCGCCCGTCGCGTACTCCTCGGCGGGCAGCGTGCAGAACCACGGCCGCCCGCCCGTGAGCGTCAGCATCGCGCCCGCCTGCGACCAGTCCCCCGCGCGGTGAGGCCGCGTCGCGAGCAGGAACTCGCCCTTGGAGCGGAAGAGGCGCCGCAGCGTGGGGTGCGCGCGCTTGTTGGCGAGGATGATGTCGTTGGCAGGAATATCGAGCGGATCCTCCTCGGCGGCTTCGATGGTGTCGTTGTCATCGAGCTGCATGGGGATGGCTTCGTCGGCGTTGCGTTGTCCTTGCGGCTTGGCTGCATATGTGGTTGGTGAGGGCGCGGTGCGGGCCGTGGAGGCTGATCTGGTGCTCAGGGGGGACGACCCCAGGAGGGCTGTGCTCCCCGAGGAGCGAGAGCTGCCTGAATCTTCTTCATCCACCTGGACCTCCATGTCAACGTCCGTGCCATCCCCATCTTGCATGTCATCATCATCATCCCCTCCATCATCATCCTCGTCATCGTCCTCCGGATGCTCCATCTGCAGGATAAACTTGTCGTACAGCAGCGCAAAGAGGCGACGCGGGTGAAACGGCCTGTACCGGCTGTAGATGAAGCTCTGCACGTTGTACTCCTCCGTCTCGGGGTTGGGGGTCAGGACGTTGCGCCCGTTGACCTGAGCGCGCGTGCGTCGTGCGAGTCAGCAGAGGCGCACGTTTTCAGGACACACATATGCGGGTGATGAGCGATATAGTTATGCAAGCCAGCACAGATGGCCCGCGGGCACACACGTACCTCGCGCACAGTCATGGCGTGTAGATCTTGCAGCCAGCCGTATCCGGACTGTGCCACATCGAGCTTAAACAAGCCGGTGTTGACGAGCTCCTTGACGTCGACTTTGCCGTACGACGCTTCAATGATCTTGGCGCGGTGGTTGAGTCTTTTGATAAGGCCGCGCGTCTCGTTTTTGGTCTCTTCGTTGACCTGTGCACGGGTCAGCTGGCTGGCATCTCGTGGGAAGTGGCGCGCCTGTGCTGCCCCCTGAGACGAACCATGTCGGTCTTGTTTAGGATGATGACATCTGCAAACTCAATCTGGTCGACCATGAGGTCTGATACAGTGCGCTCGTCTTCGGGTGTAACGTCGTCGCGCCGTGAAGACAAGAGGTCCGCCGTGTCGAAGTCGTGCATCATGGTGAAGGCGTCAATGACCGTCACTGTCGTGTCCAGCCGGGCAAACTTTTCCAGCCCGCCAGCTTTCTTCCTACATACCAAGGTTACTTGAATGAAGACCAAGGGGCCTCATCGGTAGGAGCACCTACAGCTGCTTGAGGACCTTGATCATGCTTTCGTCAAGCTGCTCAGCTCCCGGCGCCTCGGCCATGTCGCCCATGGTCTCGGCCAGTCGCGAGTCGAAAGTCTCGGCAACCTGTTCCGGCTCGCTGATGCCGCTGCTCTCGATGATGATGTAGTCAAATTCCTGCAATTGTGCGAGCCGCACTAACTCTTCGAGGAGGTCTCCCCGCAAAGTGCAGCAGATGCATCCATTCTGCAGCGCAATGATCTTCTCGTCCGTCTTGGTGAGCTGGTGGGTCTTCTTGATGAGCGCGGCGTCAATGTTGATACTGGCAGGTCAGCTTGTGTGCTCGGACCAAGTCAATTCACCCCAGTGCCCTCAAAGACTCACGCGCCAATATCGTTGACCACCACAGCAATGCGGAGACCATGCTCTGTTTTGAGGATATGCTGTAGAAGAGTGGTTTTGCCTGACCCCTAAAGTAGTACATGCATGGTCAGCGGTCTGCCAGGATGACGCTGGAGCGCTGAGCATCGTGGCCTCACCAGAAAGCCGGACAATAGGGTCACTGGGAGAGGCTTCTTCGGAACTTGCATCTTGCTCGCTCCCTTCTTGCCCTTGCTTGAAATAGTCCGCATTTTGCCTCGAGTGTTGGCCATTCCGCAACTTCTTCACCAGCTGTCCGATTTTGAGCGAGAAAACGACGGTTGGTGTGGTAGAATTTATTGTGCGCGAACGCAACCTCATTTATATACATGCTGACTTCCCAATACTCCCTCAAGGGCTTAAACCTACAGCTGTTCCTGTCTCTGCCCGTGTAAGTGCTGAGGCGAGGTACGTGATGCAGGTCATCAAGGTTCTGGCGAGTGGCCATCAAGGTATAATGATTTGCCTCCGATTACATCCCGGCGCTACTGATTGGCTCCCGGATAAGAATGGCAGCATAGACTGGGGTGCTTGGCGATAAACAGCATTTCCGTATATGGAAATGGGTTGATTGCTGCAGTTGGTTGCTGCGTTCGGGGGCATGTGAGTCCATGTCGCGACCAGACGCGGACAACAAGGTGCGCGAGGACGATGTACTTTGCGCAAGCATGTTGCCAGAATCGGTGTTAGCATGCGCACATTGAATATGAAACCAAACACAGGAATCCACAGGGAAAATAGAAGATTGTGACGAAATTCAAGGTTCGACGGCGACTAATGGCGAGTCAAGGTAGTACGTATATCAAGGCCACCCGCCGCTCTTACTACAAGACGCTGTGACGGAACGCCTACCATATAACCATCTGACATCAATGTCCCATGGCACGTCTTTGCAGCCTACTGTCCTTCCCAGCCTAACCACGAAATCCACCAAATTCCCCTCTCGTTATCCCAGATCTCACACACAACCGCCGCATCAGGTCCGTCCGTCCGTCGCATTGCGCAGCGAGTCACTGTTCAGAGCATTCCTTTGCGCGCCCAGCGCCGCTCCACCTAGTTGGTCCCCGGAGCCAGCTGCCGCAGAGCCTGGAGCATGACCCGCGGGCCGGTCGCCGTCCTCTTCTCAAGGGGGCCCGCCCCCAGCGGCACGGCAACCCCCCACAGAAGGTGACGAACGTAGGGCACGTGGCCAAGCAAGACTGCACAAAGGCAATCTCGCCGGACGTCGGTAGGTGTGAGGTTTTGTCCACGGCATTGAGGGCGATGTCGAGAGGCTGGCATGTGCCGAACGAGTCTTGAACGCATCGTTATCAGATCGGGGTCCTTGCGTCGGTCTAGACCTGCTTGCCGAGGGAGATCTCACCGTTGAGTGCCACTGGCCCAGGCTTTAGAGTTGAGACGAGCCGAGGGATCGACTTAACTCCTCCCTCGCACACCCAATGGAAGGGAAAGTCGGGCGCCTGGGCTTTCGATTGTGACGAGAGAAGATCGTCAGGAAACGACCGCACGAATTCCTTGCAAGCGCGTGAAACATGTCTCCCGCCGCGACGCCGAGCAGCTCGTTTTCTCTATCAGTTCCACATACACAGAAAGCGTTGGCTGCCCAATCTTGGGCAAGCGACGAGGTGACAGTGCCTGTGCTCACCCGCCCATGGTATGGCGGATGACGCCCACGTGGATGGGGCAGCCCGGCTTGGATAGATCCAAGGGCCGTGACACGGCATCTCTCCAGGCAGTCTTTCGGGCAAAAAGAGAAAGACTTTGTGATAGCTCTAAAAACGGGAGAACGTGCTGCGCGATGATGCTGCGACTCTTTGTATTTAGCACTTGATCAGTGGCATGTCCCTGTGCAGCTTCGGTCAATGCGGACGAATCGGCCGCGCGAAAGGCATAGATCCGAACATTGTCGGCATTATACTCCAGGCCGCACTTTGCTGAAACGCAATCACATCCCATCACTTTGCCAACACCGGTACGTGCTCAAACAATCACCATTTCGACGTCCTCGATATTCTTGATCTCGTCGTCCGGCCACATTGCATCTCTGGACTCAGATCGAGGCCCGAGTCTCCACTCAGGCCGAAGACCTCTCTTCCTGCCCTCAAGCGCGTCTGCGATGTACCCGCCAATTACTGGAAACATTTTAAACGCATGCTGACTGCCTCCGCTCGCAATAAGCAGCTTGGCATGCCGGGGGCTCTTGTCAATCAGGAAATGCCCATCCGGAGTGTCAGCATCCCAGCAGAGCCGTGCCCCCACGAGCGGCTTACCCGCCAATCCGGGCGTGACTGCCGAGATGAACCGCTGAAGGCCTTCGAGAGCTTCCTTTGGGACCTTCACCATCCCGCCGCCATTGTCGCCAGCAGAGGCGAAATTGGCTGTGCCATTGTCGGTATTCCACGTGTGATCCATGCGTTCGTCTGTGGCGGTCCGTCGTCCGTATCTGTGCGCGCCTCCGATCTTCATACTTCCTGGGTGGCTGATCAGTGCATATTACATGTCTGGCCATCTCACTCTTCAATGTTGACAAATCAACCCAAGATTCTGGGGACGGGAGTGATAATGCGTCTAGGACGTGGTCATTTGTGACATACTGGTTTCATGTTCGGGCTCGAACGCGTAGCCCAACTCGAGGTTGTCAATCACTGGAATTCCTTTCCACTGCGAGTATTCGTCGTCCGTGAGTTCGAGATGCCCAACGAGTGTGCACACAGGTCGGAGGACGGGAGACAGCAGGTCCGGGAGAAGACGCGGTGATGCCGCGCCCGCGCACAGAATGTACCGGTCCGCAGACAGCACATCCCCGGACTCGACTCTGACGCCGACGAGCTGCTCATTCTGGTCAATCTCAAGCCCGGACATGGTCGCCGCAGCGCCGGAGAGAAATTTCACGCCCATTGCCCGTGCCTCGGACGCCCACCGTTCCATGGCCGCTCTGGAATGTGCCCACCCTGCTTGGCTATTCCATTGTCCCTTCCAGGTGTCGATTGCGGGCGAGGCTGACAGAATCGGACAGTACTTGAGGACATCGTCGCGGCCGTTTATGAACTCAATTGTGTCAGCAAGGCCCAGGCGATTTAGGTTTTTGTACGAGAGCCGCAAGTTTTCTTCATACTCAACGTCACCGCTGGTTGTCGTCAATCGGCCCTTGTGATGTCAGCTTGAAGAAGGCTGCACAAGGCAGACAGGCCATAGGCACCGTTTCATGGTATACCGCTTCCCAGTACGCATCCTTCCAGGCTGCCATCGCCTCGACAGCCATCTCAGCGTAGAGAGGCTCTTCATACTCGGCGCGGATGATCTTGTTCAGGTCATTGCCTGCGGATTCTGGGCTCGGCACTGGGTGCTTGTCAATGCAGGTGATGTTTGTGTAGCCGCGCTTGGCCAGGTGAAATGCCGTGCTGATGCCAAGCACGCCGCTGAGCGCAGAGTCATTGTTCGTCGTTAGCATGGCCAATTGAAGCAGTTGATGTTGGGAGATACTCACGTGCCGATGATCAAGGTGGATGAGTCCAATGGTAGAGACATGATGCTGTGGGGGATCCAATACAGTTACACGCCAGGCTCTGGCATTACTGGGGAAGACAGATCTTTAAGCCCACAGCTACCGCATGGGAAGAGTTGCACTTCAATTCGCGATGACAACGGGCGCACGGTGGATCGGGCAGCAAGGGCGCACGCATTGCCTAATCTGGGCGATCGACCTCTGGCTCGCGAATGGGATTGGTCGCGCGCTGGAGCCATGGGCGTAATTGACATTGTCCGAATCTGAAGCTTCTAGAATGTCGCGAACTGCTTTCCTGTTCAAAAGGCTGCTCTAGGAGATCGCTGAAGCGCTCACTGCATCCAGCGGAGGGCTAGACCGAACTTCAATGTGAAGTTGGCAGTGCTTACAGGCGACGAGACATGCGTGGTGTGAAGCAGCGGTGATAAAGACGGATGACTCGACGTTGACCTAGTTGGTGCAAGTTATTGGCATTATTCTCAAATATTGCACGTTCAATTCAATTGGTATCGCAACCATGCTTAACGGGAAAACAAGTCCATAGCCTTACCGCGGAGTACACGGCAGGCGCATATTCCTGGATGGCACACGCGTTGCGCTCCACGCCAGTGAAGCCTTTAGTTCCGAAGCGGTTCGGATATAGGGTGTGTAAATCGCGAATGACGTGACGGCGCGACGGCCGAAAGACACCGAGTCCGTAGCAAATCGGCTTCGGTTAATATTAAATGAGTCATCAGAGGACGCGCGTAGTTTTCCGTCTTGAGAATGTTCACTTCGATAGATATAAATGCGTTTCGGTTGGGAGCTGTTCGCAAGAAGGTCGCCAACGCCTCAACCACAATACTTAACCAGCGTCCTGACGGCTGGATTACATCGGTTCCCCCACCGCCGTGCCGCCTTGCGAAACGAAGAACGCTGCTAGAGAACCAAGCTTGCGCTTCATCGTTCCCTACTTCATTTGCCAACATGAGCCTATTAAGCTTCCTGTCCCACGTCGCAGCGGCTTTCTGCTCGCCGCCCGTGCATCTCCTCTGCTTTTCGACCCTCGCTGGCACACAACTTTACCAGACCTTCCTCGTCACGAAAGTGACATTTCAGACGCTGCCCAAAACAGCGTTCGTCGGCCTTCAGAAGCGGCTGTTCCCCATCTACTTTGCCGTCCAAGCCGCTCTACTGCTGCTCACGGCGCTGACATTTCCGCCACGCGGGATCTTGTCGCTGGCAGAAAACAAGCACGATGTCATACCCCTGCTCGTCGCTGGGGGCACGGCGCTCGTCAACTTGACGATATTTGGACCGAAGACGCGCCGCGCGATGCTGGACCTGTTCAGCCCCAGTACGTTGATCTGCGACCGGATCCCCCAAACGGCGTGTCCGCTAACCTTTCGGTCCAGACAGTCGTGATGACACGGGAGAGAAGGCCGAAAAGGCACCGAGCGGCCTGCAATCACTCAAGCGGTCGTTTTCCAAATACCACGCCGCCGCGATACACCTGAACCTCATCTCCGTGGGCGCAACTCTGTGGTATGGCTGGCGATTGGCGATGAGACTGGACTTCAATTGAGGGTAGCCACAACCAGGTACCATTGAACATGTATGCATATCACACTCGCCGCTCTGCCTCAACTGAAGGGTAGTCCTCACCGTCTCGCGGCGGTGGGACCCGTCAGCGTTGCCTGCCGCTCAACGGCTCGTCACACAATAGAACTGGGACCTGCAGCCGCTTTCTGCACGTCAGCGCGGGCAGCAATGAGACGATGCAACCTCGAAAGGCACACATTCTCTCAGGAAAGCGTCAAAGCGCAGGTGATGAAGATGTCAAAGTTATTGCACTGAAACATGCCGATACAGAGAAAGGCATGCTATTTGACACCACTGTGATGCCTGCAGTGATGATGCGGTCGCTTGCTCTGCCGTTTGAGATGTTTTCCTCATTGGCCGATTTGTCATGATGGACCTGATCGTTGCAGGAGTGAGCGATGGGACGATTATGATCCGTAAGAAGACGACCTTGCTTGCGCATAAGCTCGAAGGGATCGCAAGATGTGGCAGGCTTCAAGCAAGTATATAACAGCTCGTCCAGCTCAATTGCCGTCTATCGAATCACCACCAGACTTCGACAACCACAGCCCTTTCCACTCTCTTTGTCACCTCAGAGTAATCAACATGACTCGCCTCGGTGTCTTTGCACTAGCTGTATGCTCAGTTTGGGGCGCTACGGCCCTGAGTATCAATGGCTCAGACCTGGACCTGGAACATGAAGTCGGCATTGACACATACCGACTGCCAAAGTTGACCACCACGATTCCCTACCTGGGCAAGCACAAGGCAACCCGGACCATCCATCCTTGCCGCACCGGCCCTGTCATCGTCGTCATCCAGACACCTCTTGAAGTGGCTCACTGCGGCCTGCAGACCACAACCGTTTCACAGCCAGCCTCTACAACAGAGACTGAGAGCGTTTCCTCGACGACGGAAACGGGAGCGCCTGTCACAACGGGAACTGAATCGTCTTCTACATCGACTACTGGACCGGAGACATCGACTCTGACGAACAGAGTCACGACGTCTCAGAGCACCGAGACGGAAACCACGGCTATGGAGACATTGACCGGGACCGGGACCACTGAGACGGAGACAAGTGCTGCTGAGACGCTGACAGAGAGCCAAATCACTGAGACGTTGACGGAGATTAGCCTAACTAAAACACCGACGGAGATCAGTACCACCGAGACGCTTACGGCGACCAGCACCATGGAGACGCTTACAGATGTCACGACCATCGAGTCGTCAACAGAGCCAAAGACAACCGAGATGAATACTAGCACTGTCGAGACGTTGACAGAGAGCAAGACCACCGAGACCTTAACGGAGATCAGCACCAGCGAAACGTTGACGGCAACCAGCACCGTCGAGACACTGACAGATACCAAGATCACCGAGACGCTGACAGAGTCGAAGACCACCGAGGCGGAGACCAAGACGACCGCGACTCCTACTTCCTCCAAATGCCCGGAGCCAACGCTGGGTGGACCTTGCCGTGTCCGATACGGCTGCCTGCCCGAGGGCCTTGACATCGCCTACTACTCCAATCCCTTTGGCGGCTACAGCCGACAGGGCGACCTCCCCTCATCCTACTACATCACGCAGAACCTCCGCAGCCTCGCCGCCTCCACCACCAACGAGACGTATTTCCCGCAAGACACGCCCCCCGACGAGGCCTCCTTCCCGCGCGTCTACCCCCGCGCCGACCTCCCCGGCGCCTGGTACGCCGCGGGCTGGACGCGCGCCACCAACGGCGGGCTCACCGTCGACGCCAACAACTTCACGCTCGTATATGCGGGCTTCTACCGCGCGCCCGAGTCGGGCATCTTCAAGCTGTGCACCACGGCGGACAACGAGAACGACGTCTTCTTCGGCCGCGGCGTGGCGTTTGACTGCGTGACTGGCAAGGCGGACCCCGAGGCGCGGCCCGTCATCGTCTCGACGGGCGGCAACTACGTCAACGGCATCAACTGCACGGACGTGAGCCTCGCGGAGGGCGAGTATTACCCGCTGCGGAGCGTCATGGGCGACTGGCAGGGCCCCTCGGCGTTTAACCTGACCATCAAGCGTCCGAGCGAGCCGTTTGAGGAGAGGAAGAATGTCTTTGACGGGCTGGTCTACCCGCACGCGTGTGGGGATTATTGAGAGTGGCGTCTGCTGGTCTGGTGCTTGGGCGTTCACGAGCTGACTGTGTGCGCCTTGCACCTCTCGTGTGCGCTTTTGAGGGATATTCTGGTTGCTGCAATGTATCTCGTCGTATTATAGTACATTGCTTTGTTGTTTGCTCTTGTTGGCTGAGCCTCGCCCGGGCGCTAGAGTATGTCTTGCAGGCACGCTGCAAGCCGTTCATCTAGCACAAGGAACCCGTCAAGCCACGGCGTCGGTTGGCTGACCAGGGATCCGGCTTTCTTGCGACTACATACATCGCCAATAGGTGTCTCATGTAATTGACTTTCAGAGAAGGGAATTAGTAGTCTTGACTCTTGAGCGTACCTTTGTACCGCGTGCGCGATGTAACATGATGGCCCCTCGGAAGCCTGTGCCGCAACGTCTCATCCACCCGGCAAGGCGGTTTAGAGCCCGGCCCTGCAGTAGCTTACCGGACTGCGACGTGCCGCCGCTCGGCACATCATCGCACGACGCCGAGGGCGGTCAAGAGACCCGGGACTTGAGCCTCATCTCGCTAGGCCGAGCAAGCTTCGGACGACCTCCCCGGAGGCGGCCCCTCCTTCAATGTTGAAAAAGCGCCCACCGGATGTTGCTTTTCATCTCAAAGTGTTCCAGAATGCCCTCGGCGGGGTACATGGGCGTCTGGCGCCACGTCCCGCTGGCGGCCGCACATGGCCGCTTTGGTCGTCTCAGCTCGAGCACGCCGCAGCCGCAGCATGTCATCGGGACGCCGCAGCGTGGCGAGAGTGGTGACACGAAGGACCCCCGAACAGTTCATGGCCGGGCCGTCGAGGTTGTCGTCCTGGCGTCACCACGTCAGCTCGTCCCCAGACCTAATAGCCCCTCTGCGGTCTGTCCGACAGATCAACGGTCAACGGCGAAGGCCCGGTCTCGGGCCGTCGCCAACGCGCATACTCCCCCGCATCATCCCACCAAGGGTGGCACGAGCCGAGCTCCTCGACGACGACGACGACGACAGCTTGACGACAGCGGCGGCCCTCAGCTGACACTCCTTGCTCGACCGTGCGCTCTTGCGAGAAACTCCGACCCGCGAAGCGAAGCGAGGCGAAGCGTAAGCCCTGCCATGCAGCCCCCAGCCTGCCATGCTCGGCTTGCGTCCCGGCGTGCATCGATTTCTCGTAATGCCCCAGACCATTGCTTTGCCCAGGGCTTTCTTTCTCCGCAGGCACACCAGGCACGGGACGCTCGCGGGGATGGCCCTGCATCGACGAGCACGCGAAATGCGCACGAGCATGCCATGAATGGTCGGCCTGGGGGAGCGGCTGAAGGGCAGGTCGACAGTGCTGACCCGACGCGGGCTCGTATTCAATCCCCCCTCAGCTCTAAGCATCTCACGCCGTCAACGTCATGTGTTCCATGTAATTGGGCGGAGCAGGCTCGGCGGCAGAGGGGAATGGGAAAAAAATGTCCCGGACATAATATTCCAGTCTTGGGGTTGTCATCCTGTAGGGCAACGATCGTCGGTACTGCCTCACCCGAAAGTGAGCAATGAGCATAGCGGCACCGCCGACAAAGTAAGCTGTAGCTCACCGAAGAGGCCCCGGTTTCCTGTCAAACTAAATCCTCCCTCCACTCTCATGAGTCTCATCCGGGAAAGCGCCCCCCGGGAGGGTTCAGCCGCTAAATCGCAAGCCAGAAGGCCCGCCCGTTCGATGGCGGCGGCATGCTCCTAGACGGCCCCCCCATTTCCAACAAACTTTCGGTGAAGGCGCATCTTGTCTCCGCAAAAGGGTGTGTGCCGTGCCCGAAGGGTCCTTGTGTGGCGGCGGCACAGGAATAGCATCAAATCGCCCACCACCCGCCCGGCAGTTTTGGAGGCGCCCAAGGTTGGCGGCCTGGCGCGTGGGCTGGCGCCCCGATACGAGCCCTTTCGTATCGCGAGAGTGGACGACGAGCCATAGGCAACTCGCGCAGATGAAGCGAGGCACCCTTTCTTCCACCACACTCGCGCTCATACACACATGGACACACGCAGGCATGCCCGATGATGCTCCAGTGCCGTCGCCCCCTCACACCCCCCCTTGGGTCGGCGGCCTCGAATCTTGGGACCGCTAAGCGGGGTTGGGCATGTGCCGGGCTGTCAAGTCGAGTGTGACAGACGCCTGCCGGGACGCCAGTCGGGGACATTATTACGTGTGCGGGCGAAGTGCAGCTTCGATGTTCCTTGACGGCGCAGCAGCTGTCCGTTGCTAGTCGAGGCGTAGCCACCCGGCTTCGACGGAGACGCAGCGAGAGCACGAGGCCGGCCAGCCCGCGACATACGAATTCCAGTCTACATGAGCTGGACCACCCAAGACTAGGGTTGCTCTATGAGTCCTGAGGCAAGATGTGCCGCTCCCCCAAAGCCCAAAGTATATAAAGCCGTGATCCCGTCGCCTCCAAGTGTCCGATTCTCCTCATCAGACATCCGATCAACACTCACCTCTCAAGTCTCCAACACAGCCAAACACCAAGCACCGCAGATTCACGCAGCACACCGCAAACATGAAGGTCCTCGCCATCGCCCTCGCCTCTCTGGCCACCGTCGCCGTCGCCACTCCCACGGGAAGCGGACAGCAGTGCAAGCCGGCCACCTACCGATGCGATCCCAACCCTCGTGTCCAGGCCTGGAACGTTTGCAACACCAGTGGCCAGTGGGTGGTAAGTGCCTAAGCCTCTACTCTCACCCAGAGATTTCTTCTCTGGGGTATGAGACGCAAAAGCCGCCGCATGTGCTCACATTGTTTTAGTTTGCCGGCACCTGCCCGCCCAAGACTGTGTGCAAGTTCCTCCCTGCAAACGGCAGCCCCTACTGCGTCCCTCCCGGCTTCACCATTCCGTAAATCACCACTGGCTGTCGTCCAGTACGGACGATCTAGTCGACAAGGAGGGTCTTGGTCGAGCATCATTCGAGTCTGCGTCCGGCTATTTGCGACGAGATTGGCATAAGCACATGCACCTTTTCACGACCATGAGAACAGATTGTTAGTGTGATTTAGAGACGTCTAGAAATACACCAGTCACTCCTTCATATCACGGGCACATCTGCGTGAACGTCGGTTAGCGTTTGAGAGTTGTGAAACGGGGTTCGATGGTTCGAGTGTCCTCTGGATTGCTGCAACAAGTTCAATGTGGTGAATGCCACCCCAGGACATCTGGCCTGGTGCCATGTCTCCATCCCGTCGCGTCTTCTCGCAGATCGGCCAAGATGTCGTCTGGGCATACACAATGCCGAGCTGGGCAGTCTGCCTGCCCTCACATCTCAAGCACAGTTAGTAATACTTCGAAAGGCCCAGTTCCGCCTCAAACAGTCGACTCCCAATACATCCATCTCACAGCTTGTTCAAGGCCGAACGTCGTTCTCGCAAGTTCGAACCCAGGTGGCGCGTCAACACGAACATGGTCTTCCAAACTGGGCCATTCTGTGCCCGATCCAATCGGTGTCCTATCCCAGACGACCATGCATTGGAGTCATTGACTCAAACGTCCTCGGAAGGCTCGTTGGCAGACTTTTGCGACTGCGGGCTACCGCTGCCAGCCTTGCCGGCTCGCTTGACCTTGCTCTTGCGGGGCGGCGTCTCACCGGAGACCGGGGCAAGAGGATCAAAGCCCGGAGTGTAATTCTCCTGCGTGAGACGACCGTCAAACATGCCGGGGAGGCAAGCCGCCAGACGAAACTCTTCGGTGCGAACACGCTTGTCCCTGCCGCTGTTCTCAGGGCTGGGCTCCTCGGAAGAGCGCTTGCGTTTGTGGCCGCGCCACTTGGGGCCGATGAAGGACTCGCTATCGACCGAGACGTGGTCGTCGTCGGAGCCGTGCATGGTGGCAGACGCATCGCTGTCTTCGTCATCGTCGGAAGGCAAGCCGCCACGGCGGTACTTCATGCGGACTTGAATGTCGTTCTCGGTATCGGAGCTGCCGTCATTGTTGTCCGCGCCACAGAGAGTGTCGACCTTGTTGTCTGCAGTGGGCGAGCTGCTGGCGCAGGTGCCGTTTTCGGCATCGACAAAAGTGTCATCGTCGTGATCGGTGCCGGCATCAGTGTCGACTTCTACGCCACCGCCCGGCGAGCGGCTGAGAGACCGTTTGCCATCCGCTTGGATGTCGGCTCCGGTGTTGTTGTCGGCATCGACGTTGCCTTTGGTGTTGTTGTCGGCATCAACGCTGCCGTTGGCATTATGATGGGTATCGCCGTCCGTGCCGACTTCGGCCTCGTTGGCGGGCCACTGTTCACGCGACTGGTTGATGTTGTCTCGGGTCATGCCCTCATCATCGTTGGCTTCGGAATTGAGGTGGACCTCAACGTCGGCCTCGTTCTCCTCGCTGTCGCCGTTGACGGTGTTGATGACGCCGTTGGTGTGGTCCGCGACGGTGGCCTGCTCGGTGTGCTCGACACCATGTTCACCGACGGGGGACTTCGGAGGAGAAGCAATCGCGGCGCGATTCTCGATGACAGTTTCCTTCTCAGAGGCATCGTTCTCGTCCGTGTCGTCTCCAGTCAGATCAATGATCTCTCTCACCTTCTTGCCGGTCAGGTCGATGACAGTCTTCATCGTGGCGATTGACTAGTGGGCAATGTGCGGATGAGTCGAGACGGTGGGCTGTTGATGATGTGCTGGCTGGGGGCGGGGGGATGTTCAAGGAGCGAAGGTGCAGAAAGCCGGGGCGAGAGAGGGAAAAACAAAACAAAGCGAGGCGGAAGTGGTCCTCGCCAGAGTAATTTGTGAGAACAATAGACTTGACAGTGAATCAAGCTGCCAGCTGCGGGCACCTGCGGGCAGCCGCAGGTGGACTGGCTTGCAGTGAATGAATGTTTCAGGGACTGAACAGCACATATGCCACCTTACCCGATTTGACAAGGCTGTGATCATGACGCCCCGCAGTTTCTCAAACGATGCAAACAAGAACATTCACGCACGCAAGCCGTGCACTGAGTGCGGCCAAGCACCAGGGCCGTCAATGCCATCTGGCCAACTCCAAGCCTGGAGATTGGCATTGGAACAAAGAGTAACGCACAATAGAATGCTCAAACCGGCAAACCGACTTGTAGAGTAATGGCACGAGCAGACTAAGCTAAAGGCCAAAATCACGAGACTAACTCAGGTGCTCTCGCCCGGAGGTTGGGTGACGAAAGCAACCTGAAGTTTGCCAAGTGAATAAACGAAGTCATTGAAGCCGATCGTCTCAGTGGAACATATTTCATTTCATTCAATATGGCGGTGGGCAGGAGAAGCATGTGGGACAAAGAGCAAACAGTACGTGTATCCATGGAGCCACGGCCAAGGCCATGGTCAACTTGCTTGCACCCTTACATGTAACGAAGAGATCATGTGTCTGACACAAAGAAAATCCACCGATTGTCGCTAGTCCTCCCATTATTCTGGAGGCTTCAGCCAGTGTACTGACAGCGAACGCCATTTGCGTTGGAGCCGCATTGAGTCTTTTGTCTCCCGTCCGCAACAATGTTGACAATACGCGCTCGACTCGGATCCGCCGCACCGCCCTGCCCGCGCGCATGCGTGTCCACAAAGTCAACAGTCCCAAAGTTAGCCAGCTGCACCTGGCCAAAGTCCTCCCAGATCCACTCCGCATCCGTCAGGCACAGGTTGTACCGCATGTTGCGAAACTCCTGGACCGTCTTTTCCCCCGTCGTGAGGTTCTCCAGCGTCGAGTTGCCCGAGTTGTACGACCACGCGTTGACCGTCATGCGCACCTTGTCGCCGGGCCTGGCCGAGAAGCGCTGCGAGTAGCGCTGCGGCTGGATGGGCCACCACTCGAACCAGTTGTCGATGGTGCCGTCGCCGTAAAACGTCAAGCCCGTTTGCAGGATGGCGTTTTGGCACGACAGCCCGTCGATGCCGACCCAGATGGCGACTGCGCTGCTGGGGTTTTGCCCGGAGATGTTGGGAACGGTAATGGTGCCGGTGACAAAGTTCCAGCCGCGGTCTTCGTCGACGGCGCCGGCCCATGGCTGTGTCACGGAGCGGCGAGAAGGCTGCGTCTCGTCGGGGGTGCCAGGCATTGCCAGCGCGCCACTGGCGGCGACAGCCAAGATTACGCTTGTCAGTTTCATGATGTAAATGAACAATTGAGCTTATTGCAACTCTGCCAAGTACAACTCTGTTGGTTGCGCCGTGGAGAGCTGTGGCCTTTTATACTGGTCTTGTCGCGGCCGCAAAGGGCAGATGTAGCGAGGCACCTGCCGCAGCATCGCATTCGATGTCGCCGTCATGCGCCCAGCCGGCATTGCCCATACTATACCATACTATACCACATACTGAAGGTTCCATAATGACCGGCCCCCGGAATCGGAAGTTTCCAGATCTCCCCAGATCTCTTGCGGAAGGAGATTGCCGCGTCGCACTAAACGCGATGCCGAGGGAATTGGTAAGTTTTAACGCCTTTATGGAAGGACGTCGTCAGGCGCGGACGGCCCAGACCAACAAGTGAAGGCAGCTCCGCGGCAAAGTCGGCAGCACTACCGACTGCTTGGCATTCCGCGGGGCGAATATCTTGCGCAGATGCCGCTTACGGCCAAGTGTCTGGGATGGTAGCCAAGATGGTGAGATGGACAATTGCCGTTGGACGAAAGGTATCATTCTCGTTCTGGTCACCCTCCTCCACGGAGACCGGGTCAATTTGATGGGAGCACAGCCCGTTTGCAAAATTGTAGTCAGAACGATACACGTGTTCTATTTTCCCACAGCAGTACTGTACAAGGCAAGGCCAAGGGCTTTCCATTAACCAGACAAAAGCCTTTTAGCCAACCAGACTCCAGAACGCCGACATGTTGGATTCACGGGCCATCGTGTCCGACCGGTGGTGAGCTCCGGTGGTAGTGGCCACGACCAAACACCCACGCCATCTCACAATACTCCTCAACGAAAACTTGTGTGATCTGCAACGCCTACCACTTATGCTTCGTAGTGACGACGGCAGCGGCCGGCATCTTTGGGTCCGCCATTTCGTCTCCGGTGTCCTCCCTTGAGTCTGAGGGACGGCCCTTGACGTTGGTAACGAGAGAAATCTCCTCCGTCGTCGCAGACGATATCGAGTTGGATGCGCCAGGTGCCGAAACTACTGTGGAGTCTGGATCTTGGCCTTCGTGGCGACTTCTGACACAGTGGCTGGAGTGGTTTGTGCTGGAAGTGGCCGCGTTGTCGCGCGACGTTACCCATTGAATGACGATGGCAGAGAAGAGAACTGAACCGGGGCATGAGCATGATACAACAAACTATACGAGCCGGTTACCCACTGTCGCTATTGCAGCACATCAGACACACCCATCCGGGCTCGCCATTCAGAGCCATCAGAACTGTCAAATTCCTGGACGATCCAATCAGCAGAGATGCGCATTGAGTCCAGATGAAGTAATTGCAACTTACACAATGCTGCTAACCAGAGTACTTGCGGCGCCGATAAAGGTCCTAAACGCTATCGTGCGGAGGCGCAGGTTTGCCGGCGTGCGCGGCATGTTCTTGAACGAGTACATTCCTACCCCAGTATCAGCCAAGTAATGCTCTTCGACGCGTCCCAAGGGCGAACTCACGCCTCATGGGCACCAGAAACATGAGCGTCAGGTACACATTGACCACCGTGTCGAAACTGATGAGAGGGATCATCGCGAGGCTCTTCATGCCGATGATGCAAGTGCCGTCCCGCATCTTGGCGATGCGACTATGCCCGTCAGAAGATGCCAGGGAGTAAATCAACATGCCACTAACTAGATAAAGTTGAGGATTATCACGACAAGGTATATCGACAACATGCCAAAGGCGTTGAAGAGGTACAGCTTGGACTGAAACCTCCTCTTTGGCGTTCCGCGGATGATGTGCTGGAGCACGAGTTCAGCAAGGCCCACGCGGTCTAGTGGTGGCCCACTTACGGCCTTTTCAACCAAGAAGATGTATATGAACTATTCGAAGTTGGCTTGCGTGAGTGTTCTGTTCGAAGGGGAGGTCCACAGGACAACTCACAATCTTAAGCATATGTGTTAGTACATATCCAGTCCCATGAGCACGAAGAGGAGGCGCACCTTTGTCGTGACGTAGCACACCAGACACAGAAGAATGGCACCCTCGCACGTTGCCTGGCTAGAGTTCACCCCAAACGCATGTTGAAGTGTAGCAGTAGCGAAAACGAAGGCGTAGGAGTCGATGTAAATCGCGAAAACCACTGCAACGGCCAGGGTAAGCATAGCGTCCTCAAACAAGGCAGGGCTGTGAACCACTTACACCAGACAACAAGCGGTAGGCGACGCCAGGTCCTGATGGCCAGGAATCTCTGCGCTGCGACATCTTTAGCTTGCCATTGCCCGTGAGAGATCGCCAGAACGACTGGACATACCAAGAAACGACGTGAGGACGGTTGCAGCAGCCAGGGAGAGTATGATGCTCATGACCTGACCCGCTTTCGGGATGGCGGACGATCCATCGTCTGCCGTTGCATTCGCCATGTTGCAGAAGTGTTGAAGAGGTGTGCTTGGCAAGACATGAGTGTCAGAGCACGGTCGTGCGTCTAGCCGGTGTCGAGTTATTATAGGATGCTCGCCCAAGAGTGCGCGTGGATCGAGGGGAAGCAAAGCCAAAACAAGTTCAGGGCCTGGAGCGACCGTACTTGGAAGAAGCAAAATGTGGCGTGAAAGACATAACCACCCGACGGCTCAGCGACGGGAAGCCCGGGGGTGCTTCATCGCGATTACAGCAAGAGGGTAATTTTGCTGCGGTCAATGCGTCGATGCGGTTGCTACTAAATACTTGGGTCTCAGACGTTCATTCATCGGCACCGATGTACATACGACGCAGTCGTTTGAGACATGCCTCTCTGTCGGATTGTCAGCCATGTGGGAGTGGTGGTGAAAACTGCGCTTGACCCCAACGGCAAAAGGAAGCAGGCGGTAGCGACGATAAGAGGCCACAACGGCTGGTGTCCAAAAGAAACGGCCATTTTCTTTTTCTCTCAATCACAACTTGTTCCTTGGCATCTCGTCACAACGCCACACGCAAGCGCACCCCTAAGCAACGACTACGGAGCTACCCGTCGTAAAGATGAAGCATCCGGCGCAGCACCTGCATTCGCAGCCAAGAGAGCGCTCGGTCTTGTGCCATTTGCTCGCCGCCAATAGCCAAGCAAGCCAGCATACCGCAATGTCATCCCAATGCAAGGGCAGAACTATCGCTGGTGGCAATGATGCCACGTCTGGTATTGTTTGTTTCGTAATGCTGGAGTGCAGCCTTGGGCCATGGAGCTCTAGAAGCGTATAGTCGTTTGCCTTCATCGCAGCTTGTTGAGGTGGCGGCGCGTCACGAAGTCCGTCGAACAATGTCCTCGAGCTCAGTCTTGGGCTGGACAAATGGCTTAACCTTGCCTCGAACCTGGCTCGCCTGCTCCCACGCGTACGCCATGCCGAAAAGCAACTCTTCACTCCACTTTGACCCCGCAAATGCCAGGCCAAATGGCGCATTTGGGCCCGTCTCATTGAGATAGCCAGATGAGCTTTGTCTGCTTGGTGTCGTGTCGGGCGCGAATCCCAACGGCACTGTGATGATAGGCGAACCGATCAGCACAGTGAGGAGTGTAAGCTCAGTGCTAGGGAAGATGACTGCATCAAGCGTCTTCTTCCTCAGCACGCCATCGAGACCATCTGGGCCGCCGAGTAGGTCGTCTATCACCTTCTGATGCTGTCTCGCCTTGGGTGCGGTATTGTCATAACCCCGTGCCAGTGCCTGTTCCCACCGTACAGTATTTCGCCGAGGATATTCCTCCTCGGGGCTGTTTTGAGTGAACTCAAGCACCGACTCCAGGGAGTTAACTTTGTTGGGATTAGACGTCAACTGCGACAGATACTGTGAGAGGTTCGTGACGAAGTCGGCGTCGAGGACGGCCAGAAACTCTTTGACGTGAGAATCCAGGAGCTTTTTCACTCCGGGAAGCTCAACGTCAACAATATCTGCCCCCAGATTCTTCATGACATCTAACGCCGCATCGAAGGAGCGCGCAACTGAGTCCTTTCCAGGAGAGCCCCTTCTTTGAGACAAAAGATGACGAGGAACCCCAAGGCGTCTGCCTTCGAGGCCAGAGATAGTGCAAGCTTTACTGTAGTCTCGGTTTTTCATCTCCTGGGGAATCTCCGACGTGTATCCATCCTTGTGGTCTACCCCTGCAATAGCAGAGAGGAGATACGCCGCATCTTTGACGCTGCGCGCTATTGGGCCGATCGTGTCCGCATGTTCTGCATACGGGATCACCAGGTATCGTGAGGTTAACCCTAAGGTGGGCTTGACGGCAACAACATTAGCCACATGAGCAGGAGCAGTGATCGATCCAACCGAGTCCGTGCCTAAAGCAGCCCATGCCAGACCGATGGAGGAGGCGACGGCGCTCCCTGACGATGAGCCTAGCGGGTCTTGGCCAGGATAGTATGCGCCTATTGTTTGGCCGCCATGCGCCGACCAGCCATTCGACGAATTGGTGCTCCGGAAATTCGCCCACTGTGATAGGTTTGTCTTTCCTAGAATAATGGCGCCTGCGTTGCGTAGTCTCGCGACGACGTGGCTGTCCTCGGGCACCTTGGCTCCAAGTAGTGCATATGAACCGGCCGTGTTATTCATCGCGTCAGCGGTAGCAATGTTGTTCTTAACGAGGACCGGAATGCCATAGAGCGGACCTAAGGTTCCATGGCCCTGCTTTCTCTCTGCATCACGTTGGGCGGCGATACTTCGAGCGTCTGGATTGATCTCGGTCACAGCCCGCACAAATGGATTCACCTGCTCAATGCGTTCAATGTAGGCGTCGACAAGATCAACACTGGAGAAGGCCCCTCCATCGAGTCCCTTCCGAAGCTCTTCGAGTGTCGCGTCGAGAAGTAAGGGGTAGACTTCGCCCCGAATGGTGCTTTGTATCCGGTGACCCGTATATCCCGTCGTCTGCTCTGAAGTCGCGGTGGAAAGGGTTGTGCATGTGGAGAGAGCGACAATAACCTGGTAACCGAGTCCCTTGCGGAGTAGCATGTTGTACGGATAGGCTCCGGATGAAGTTACCTTACTACACACGTCGTCGAATGGGAACGCCAACATTCCAGCACGTAGACCACCTTCCGGCACTCTTATACACGGGCAAGGTCCTCACAGAGCCGCCGGCCAAGAGCGCGGGCGGGATCTCCTGCACGACCAACCTTGTGCCATCGCATTAGGCACGCGAGCCAAGCCTCGGCAGATCAAAAGACCGTCTCACTCGATCCCACTCCATGCATTGTAAGTCAGGTATCAGCCCTCCAGACCATTCATACGTACATCAACATTGATTACTGAAGCACCTCTCTTGGTAATTCATGCCGCGTAGGTTGATGAGCCCACATGCACTCTTCATGCATTACATGATGGCCTACAATATACGCCGAGACATAGATTGCAGCGGGGTCTTCAAGGGTTGCTCAATGCAACCATGGGCCAACTGTCTGGCTCAATCTACACCGCCATTGCGTTCGACTCACTTGATGTCATATGTACGCGACAGATGCTTAGTTCAGATATTACGGGGTGTGTTGAATGGCACACACACAGCAAATAGACTGGATTGTCGTCAAGGTCACTTTCAACGCCAGTACCACCTCATTTATCCCAGAGTTGATGAGAGCATGTGATCTGGTGCTGGCACGGGGTGAAGGCTAATTCGTGCATAGTAATTACGCCATGCTACACACCAGATCTCAAGCTGGCTATGGTGGAGGCACACTGAGCTGAGTAGAGTTTTTTCCACCCATCCTCCCCTTTCTTTCAAATGGCAAGCATGGGTACTTATCCCTCATGGAAATTAGTCTTGCGTATTCACTGATGTTGAAGATTGGTTAGGGTCTCATTCTGCGGGTATTCGTCATGCCACCTCTTTCTCGGCAGTTCAAACGTCGACAGGATGCGCCCGTACGACATGCCACCAAGTTGCGCCACCGGTCGAAGCTTTTCCAAGTCGATGTGACTGGCCTCCTGGTTCGTCGCATCCTCGCGTACCCAGAATCGCGTCGCCTTGATGAGCGCAAGCCCTGCTACGCTCATGCCTTCCGAAGGGGCACCAAACTCCTTGATGTCGATGACCTTGCCCTCAATCGAGAGCACGCTTTCTTGAACACGCGAAGGCTTCACCGTCGACGTAGGTGCCTCGTGCAGACCCGAGATTTGCCATTCCGACAGGCCGTACGGAGCATCGATGGACGACGCATTAACTGCCTCAATCATGCTTTCCGATACTGTGTTGATGACACATTCTCCCGTCTCCTTGAGGTTGCGGAAGGTATCCTTTTCGCGACCCGGGCGGGAGGAAAAGCCAACGATGAACATCGGAGGGTCATGGTCAATTACTTGAAAGTAGCTGAATGGCGAGAGGTTTTTGGTCTTGCCATCTCCAGAAAGTGTGCTTATCAGGCCGATAGGTCGGGGCGCGATGCCCGAGATGAGCAACCGCTAGTTGTTCACCATGGGCCGGTCCTCCGCGTAGGGGTCAATTTCTATGTGTGGCGTTGACGCATCGTGGCCGTCGACGCCTTGGCCGTAAGTCCATTGAGGATTAGGGTGCTTGGTGACCTCAATTGGCCTGTCAGGTTCAAAGTCTGGTCTCTTGGCCTGTTTCTCCCGAAAGTTGGCCGCTCTGTCGACAATTTTGTAGTTTGCTTCCGCCTTCTGAGCCGCGGCGGCTGCAGCTGATGAACTCTTTCTCCATTGAGAAGCCAGCGCTAACGGCCTGCGATTTGATGGTTAGCGCTCCTGTGTGGCTAAACGCGACTTCATGAACTGGTCGTCCAGTCCAACGCACCTTTGATGGAGTCGGCGGGCAAGGGTGCTGGCAAACCACGACATGGTTGCTGAAGGGCGGGTTTGCCGGGGTCGCTCCAGCGACGCGCTTCACAGACCTGATGCTCTGGCGGCGTTGCCGAGCGGGCTTTGGGGGATTCCAAGTCAGCAGTAAGCACAATCGCAAACGGAGAATTGCGCCGAGAACCGCTTCACAGCATCAATGATGAGAGAGCATCAATGTTCGAATAGCCACTCGCCTACAGTGTACTTTGCGTAGAAACGGCTTTATTGCCGAGACCGGCGCAGCATCCATTAATAATCAGCCAAAATGCCATCCGCGCGGGCACTGAGACAAGGGGTCTTCGGATGTGGCTATTGACTTTAGTCCCGGACTAGCCCGCGACTCCCGCGCGGCCCAAGTCGGGTTACCATTTTCACTTCACTCCCACCACTCATCCCTTCCGCGAGTCCCACCACAGCGCCAAAATCGTGCTCAACGACCCCGTGCCCTCCCATGCCGCGACGGCAGGCCACCCCTGAGCCCAGAAAACCGCAGCTGATAGCATCCTCATGGGCACCGTCGCGATGAAGAAGGCGGTGTTGTCCTGGTGTGCCGCGAGGTTGTAGTAGATTCCCATGGCGATGGCGGCCAGGGCATTGCCTCTATCGGCAGCGACTACATCCGAATTCCCCGAGGGAAGAGCTGCCGTCGAAGCCATTAAGGAGTGAACTCCGGCCAAAAGAGAAGTGATGCCGAAGGCGCTGATAGTCAATCGTACAATCGACGGCATCTTGCAGCAGATGTTGATACCAGACAACGAGCTTGGCGCTGATCCGTTCGTCGCCACGTTGAGCCTTGGCCGTTTCCAAAACTTGAGCACGCTTCAGAGAAAGGGGAAGAATAACAGAAACAGTACAGGCTCAACATGTGTCAACACAAGTTGTCTTGTGTGATGATTTAGGCTATTCAAGATGACTCTGAGCTCGGCACGCGGCTGTTACTAGCCTACGATGCCGTGTTTGCCGCTCAGCTTACACTCATTTCACCTGACTCTTCAGGAGCGATTTCGGTGAGAAACATGAGCGGTGTCTCCCAGTGGTGGGCACGTCTACATGTATGGAGAGGCCCAGTTCCTTTAACTGTTCATTGCCTAAACCGCGCGACGCCTACAACATACTCGGCCGACGTGGAGAAGCCTTCAATCGTGAATTTTACAACCAGCAAGGCGCGACTCGAGCGAAGGCCCGGAGATCCCGCCAGGCCAGCGTAAGCATCGAAGCTCTCGATGGTGTCGCCAGTACAGGTAAATAGGTCCGCGCACCGGAATCGAGTTGCTCCTCTCTTGGGCGGACTACGCGATCCAGGGCATGTTGAGGACTACATAATATCATGAACTTGCATCAAAAAAAGACACTCGGGAGTGATTGCCCTGAAACCTTGGCCGTGAGACTCTGCGGCTAACACTTGGTCTCTACATGGGATAGCACACCGCTAGTAGGTACACGGACGTTGGCATCATTATGCGGACCAGGTGAGCACGAGCACCTGTTTCTGGCAACGAAGCTCTCGGGATTAGGTCTGCGGAAGTAGGACGTTTCAAAATCCCTAAATGGTTACCGTAATGACAACCCTACGATGCGCCGAAAGGCATTCTCACACTCTTTGACACCCTAGAGGATCTTCAGGGACAGTCCAAACAGCACACGACAAGTCCTCGATCAAGTGGTGGGACGTATCTGTGGAAATAAATTGAACCATCAGAGATATCACCGTCTCGGCCATTGTTGGGTCTCCGATACGGGCAAAGGAACCGGCGCGGTTGCTCGTCTCATGTGATATTGGTCGGGCACACATTTGGGAAGCAAACCTCCTGCACGAACGACAGGATGGCGATCCTGGCGACTACGACTTACAATCCTGCTGTGCGGAATGAGTGCGCCGCAATTGCCCTCCTCACTTCCGCTAGCCGAATGGCTATGTTCGATCACAACTCGCATGTTCAGGTCTGGTGGTTGGTGCTTTCTTGGTCGAAGCACAGCAGGATCACGCATAGTTCGAATAGTGAGCATATTTCGATAGTCGCCAGGAGCTATGGACTTGTCAATCACTCGGTCACTATCCGTGGTACACTTGCCCTGATCCCTGTGGTACCTTAGATTTACAGGGGCCTATACGCGTATTACTGGGTTGGCAGCGACCTTCGCAGGCTTTATTCTTTCTGTCTAGCTCAGGAGGAAGAAGCAGGGCCATTTGTACATGACTCTCGGCCATGGCCCGTTCTAGGCCAGCATAACGCTATGCCAGTCAGCAGGACCTGCAGCGACCTCGGCTCACGGCAGGGGACAAGGCACGGAAAATAAGTGGAGTAGGGTCGTGCCAGAGATCAGTTGTGGAATAGGATCTTCATGTCGCGGACCTTAATGGTCTGTGGTGCTATTCTTGCCGCCGGCTGCCTTCCTTCTCACTTCTGATCCGCTGTGCATGAGTACCGCCATGCGTGCTGGTTACCAGTCTCCGATCTCTGAACATGAGCAAACGAAGCAGCAACTGAGCTTCATACGTCCTCGAGTCGAGCACATGGGCACTCTTTCCGGATGGTATTCGAGACAAATCGTTTGACTCGGCGCCAAATATGATCATAGGTACAGGAATAGCCGCCGAGCCTCCACATATTCCTGCTTACCTGCAGCACTATCCCCATTAAATATCAGCCCCCAACACATACAAACATCTCATCATGATGGATCATCCAATGTCGGCACATTTAGCCCTCGCAGGTGCAGACGAGGAATAAGCTGCGCTGTTGGCGAACGGCCGGTCGGTTGTTACGGCCGATCGCCGAGAGTCAGCGGCCCCTCGGGCGAGACAACAAGCGGCACAATATCCTTGAAGTAGGCAAGTGCCAGTAACACGGAAGCAAGTTTGGCTCCACAGGATGAAGCCTCACTGTTCGCGTATCCTTGACCATGCTCTCTGCATCGTACGACCTTGTGCAAAGGATCCCTCGGGCTGTAAGTGAGCGCGAGCGGACTTGTAGCCAGTCCGAAGTGCGCGGGACAGCCGAATATAAAAAGGCAAGAATTCGCTCGTCCATGACTTCACGACCAGTCTCGACATCCGCATCCTTTACATGAATCTCCAAAAGACTTCACAATGCACTTCGCCACGTCAGCCACCCAAATCATTGTCGGGCTCGCCCTGACGGCCCTCCCCGTCGCACAGGGCGCCATCTCCATCGGCAACCAGATCCGCGAGGGCGGCACGCACTTCAACGTCGCCTGGATCGAGGGCCTGAGCCCCTGCACCACTGACGTCTCCATCGCGCCCGAGAGCGCGAGCGTCTGCAACCGCAACTTCCGCCTCGACGGCACCGACTACTACCTGGTCGGCTGCTCCGGCGGCAAGCCGTACGCGCAGAACCCCAAGCGACTCCGCCGCGTCAAGGACAACTCTCTGTACGGCACTTGCTCCGCCGTTTCCAAGAAGGAGATTGACTGCAAGGGAAACACCCACAACGTCGTGAAGCGCTACGTCTGCGGCTAAGCTGGCGGTGAACCAGCACGCTCTCTTCCACGATAGCCGCGAATGGTAGAGACTGTCACCATTTTGGGTGTCGGTCGATTCCACTGGAACCAGGAAGCGAAAGGGAGACAGTCATGAATGAAATCGACTCCTAGGAGGGGTTGATTCGAGGGGAGTGGGTGTGGGCGGTGTTTCCTTCTAGTACAAGGGGTCAAATACGGCAACAGGTATTTTCAATTATACAACGACGTGGTATTAGCCAAAATTAGTAAAACCTTCACTTGACTCATTAGTCGTGCTCATACTCCTGTTTCAAGTGGCGGACAGTCCCCCGCAAGGCAAACATACGGGGGGCTCATTTGTAGTCTCGTGCATACAGCAGGGCGTAATTTTTACTTGTGTGAATCGTCTCTTGTAACGAAGCCCCTTACAACAACGCGTCAATGCCGGCAGCAGTGACCACTCAACCACAGAAAGCCAGCTACGATGCGGCAAGGATCTGTATATGCCACGACACATGTGCTCTCGAGCAACCAGTATCGAACTAGTACCCCGCTGCCCGCACCCCAGCGCAGCAAACCTTGGGTAACCTGCATTCTGCTTTCTACCCGCAACCAACTTTGCCACGCGGAACCTCAAAATGCTACGCCTCGCCGCCCTTCATCTTTGTCTATGCTCTTTGGGCTGGGCAGCGAATCTAGCCATCCCAAGCAACCCATCTCCAACCGCGCCTGCGCAGGAGCCAAGCTCGCTGCGATATGAAATCTTCTGCCCGCCCGAGATTGTCGAAATCAGAGCCCTCGAGGTTCTGTGCGTGAGAAACAGTCGTTGCGATGGCCCGCAGTACGTCTCGCCACTACCGCGGCGTTGCCAAGAGTGCGGCTGTTACCCGCGGAAGGAAGTGTGGTAGGTAGACACCACTCTACATGTGAGCCAAGGGATTGATTGACAGGAATCTCGATAGGAAGCCAAATCCGCCTGCAAAGTCCATTCGCACCTAGCAAGTCATGTCGGGCATGCTGATGGAGCCTGGATGCCCTCACGGCAATGAACAATGAGCTGGAGGTCGTCTTAGATTACTGGTGCATAACGCAATTGTCCGACCAAGTCAGTAGTATAGTACTTGCATCCCAACTCTATAGCAATAAAGCACGCTTCCAAAGGTCTATAACTTATCTCATAAATATGATGCAAGCTGCTTTGGACATGAATTATGAGATGGCATTCACCAACCCCAGCCCACAGTGGCGCATAGTAGGCCCGTGGGCAAGCACACTGGTCCACGTGTAACTGCGCACGCTCCGTTGCTTGGCATACTGCACTTGTCAACCGACATGACGTCGACGACATATTACGCGGCCAAGGGTCATTCTGCGACGCCACGCGGCCGATGCCAGAGCGCGTAATCGTCGAGTTAATGGCACAGGCGCGCACGGATCAGCTGTGTTGCCTTGTCGATCATCTGCAACGCGCGAAACTGCAAGACTCAGTGCCCTGGCCAATCTGTGCGACTCGTCGAGTCTAGACAGTGGTCGCCTGGGCCAGTTTTCTAAACAACCGTGCGAAAAATCTGTGCCGGTCTCGATGAATCGTAGCGGCTCTTGTTTCGTGGCGACTCCTGTGTTGCGACACAAAGATAGCAGCTTGAGATAAAATTGTCAATATTACTATTCACTGGTGTATATAAAAAGCGTGTTGTCGACCAACATGAGTTTTCGACACTGTTTCTTACCAACACGCGACGACACACCCGTGACTTAGAACCATGAAGACCTGGCATTTCCTTTCCACTGTTGGCATCCTCGCCGCCACAGTCTCGGCAGGAGACGGGGGAAGGACGAGCGCCAGCCCACACCGAGACGGCATTCTCGGAGACGATATGGCCAACTTGGTAGTTGGCGTGAGTACTTGGCCCGCGTTTCATGATCGATCGAACCAGGCACTAACGCGGCGACACCAAAGAGATGCGACGTGAAGAGCCAAATATGCACGTTCGATCACCACAAGCCCGATTTGCCCGAGTGTGACGAGGAACAGCCCTTGCTCGGTGGTATTACGTATTACACCAGGTGCCAGGCACCTTGGAGAGTAAGTGGCCTCTCCAAACCTTCAATGGCGCCGATGTCCAATTTGGCCGAGAACTGACGCTCCGATCTCCGCAGTGCCAAATTGGGAGATGTACGTATAACGTGCGAGAAAGTCGGACGGTGTGTCAGTAGCCGTTGGTGCTTCGGGCATGGGCACCAAAAATGCCAGAGACAAGACATGGACATGAGCTGGCGCATCAGAGAAAGGGGTCTACAACGTACATGTTAAGATAAATACGCGTTGGCACTTTCGGCGTTTTTTTCTGCCTTGATTCCGCGCAGTGACCACGACTCCCTTTCGGCTGTAAACTTTGTAAGACACACTGCCGTCCAAAAGTTCGTTGTTACCAGACAAGGTACGACGAGTCCCTCGCAACTGTAGCTCAGTTATGCAAGAGACATACAAGCAATAGAAAGTCTGAGCACGATCACCTGTGGTCGTCATGGCCTCATTCCCAGGCTTTTGTCGCCCAGGGCGAGTCGCCGAGCCACGTTCATCAAGCATCAACCGGCTTTGGGTGCGCCACCCCCCGGCTCGGCCGCCCGTCACGCCGGAGGTGGAGCTCCCCCGCCGTGTATCGCCATTGGATCATCGGGGCCGATGGCGTCGCCGCTGGACGGAGGATCCTCCGGGCGAGGTGGTGGCTCATCAGGCGGGCGGGCAGTGGATTGGACTGGCATTGGCTGGGCGGTGGTGCGAAGACTGGGGTTCGTGGCGGAGAGACCTCCGGGGGCGGGCGTGGGAGGCTTGGAGGCTTGGTAGCTGTGCCGTCATCTTGGCCGAATGTCATGCCACTCACATCACAGCTGTGCTTGTTTATAAGAGCGGACAGAACGAAGCTGATGTGTAAATGCTTTGTCTTTGCATCTTCACATCATTGATCAGTACAAGGCCGCTTTGCGACATTTGCCCCATCACAGTACAGCTATACGCTCCCTGTTGAATCACACGCAGCTTGCGACGGGAAAGCAATCCGACGACTCGAGCTCTCGCCTTCAATCCGGGCGAAATCTCACCTTGGCGATCGGATCTTGGCAGCGGCTAGCCTGCGCCTACTTCTACGCAACAACGACACGATGCCTGCCCAAAAGGACCAGAGCAGCAACAGCAAGCAGCCCGCGCATATACCCAGGTCTATGCCGGAACTCGACGAAAACATCGACGACGTGAAGCTGACGGCGCCACTCTTTGGGCACGAGTGCTTCGAGGCGGTGCCGAGGGTCGACGCAAAAGTCCGACAGGAGCTGCCCAAGGGCGCGTCCACGACGCTCGACACCATCATCTCGGGCAAGGACTTTGCCTATTAGCCTGCCATGGGTGGTGTGGCGCGCCATGAGCTTGGCGCTACTGGTCCCGTGTCGCAGCACTCAGAAACCTGGTAGGGATGTCAATACAGCACGAACGACATCGGCATTACGTGAAGTGTCAGTCAATTGATGACGCAGCGACGGTCGTTTGGGCGTTCAAGAATTTGGCGACGGGAATGGGAAATTGGTAATTAAAGTCGTCTACGGTTCCGGGGACGGAGGTGGATTTCATTACAGACAGCGTTGAAGATGGAGATGGACGCCTAAGCTTGATGCTGTGATCGAGCAGGCCTTCGCCGTACTTTCTTACCTTTTGCACTATGACGCAGCTCAGCGCACTTTTTGGGATAATTTGGTAGCTAAATCATCACCCGAGAGTCAAGTGGACTAGCATTTCGCGCGTCGAATCTGCTGAATTCCACAGCGATCACAAGTGAGAGGGCCGACAGGCCATCACTCAGGCACCGTCGGCGTTGAGGATGCTTACCCGAACGGCTTGGCTTCCGCCAGGAACAGTCGCGCTATCAACCCCTGAAGCGTCAGCACGCAAATTGGGCCAGCAATCAGCCTCAAGCACAGCTTAAACGGACGTCGCCACAGGTGAACAACACCATCAATCCCATCGCACTCATCCTTCCGCCTACCAAGCCCTTGCTCTCAACTTACAGCATCTGGGCGAGGCCAGCACCGGCCCTCTACCTGCGCCATGCGCCTCATCAACAATGCGACGCTCGCGCTCGAGTCCTTCATGGGCAAGCCGCCGCCCTACGCCATCCTCTCGCACACTTGGGCCGACGGGGAAGTCACATATGAGGACTTTTCCGAAGCCGACCCTCAAGCGCGGACGCAGAAGAAGGGTTTCCGCAAGATCGCCATGACGTGCGAGCTCGCAGTGCGGGCGGGCCTCACGCACTCGTGGGTCGACACCTGCTGCATCGACAAGCGCAGCAGCGCCGAGCTCACCGAGGCCATCAACTCCATGTTCCGGTGGTACGCCGACGCCGCCGTGTGCTTCGCCTGGCTGGCCGATTTAGCTCCCGATGAGGCGGCAGAGGCATCGCTGTCCGGGCTCTCGCTATCGGCACATCGGTCACCGCGCCACCGGCCGCAACAGCAGGAGGTCGAGGCCGTGACGATACCTGGCCTGGAGCGATGCCGCTGGTTCACCCGCGGCTGGACCCTGCAGGAGCTCATCGCGCCGCGGACAGTGCAGTTCTACGACCGCGACTGGCACCGTCGCGGCACCAAGGCAGAACTGAGCGCACAGCTCGCCCGCGTTACCAACGTCAGCCGCGAGGTGCTCGCCAACCCGGCGCGCATGCACCGCCTGTCCGTAGCCTCGCGCATGGCCTGGGCATCCGGGCGCGAGACCACGCGCGTCGAGGACACGGCCTACTGCCTGCTGGGCATCTTTGACGTCAACATGCCGCTGCTCTACGGCGAGGGCGAGCGCGCGTTTCTCCGGCTGCAAGAGGCCATTGCGTCGCAGACGAATGACTTTTCGCTGTTTGCGTGGACGGCCCAGCCACCACCGGCCTCGGAAGCGGCAGAAAGGGGCAAGAAGCCGCAGAGCTACTGCGGGGTGTTCGCCTCGTCGCCGGCAGACTTCCGTGGGGCGGCGTCGATACGGCTGCTGCGAGACGCGGCGTTTGACCCAGAGTTCATCATCACAAACAAGGGGCTGCGCATGAACACAAACATCTTTCCTGGGGAGGGCGGTTACTTCCTTGGCCTCAACTGCACTCACCACGTCGATCCATCTTCGCAGAGTCAGAATTACGGCACGGTAGAGCCTGGCGAGGAGCTTGGCATCTGGATCCAGCAGCACGGCGGCGGCGTGTACAGCCGCGTCCGCTCACACGAATACGCCCGGCAACCACCCGGCGTCAAGGCCAAGCCATCACGCATCTTCCTCTCGCGATTCGTCTCCGCGGAGCTCTCCCTCGAGCTCGAGGGCAGCCAAGACTGCGCACTCGTCCTGCGCCGCGGCTTCAACGAGCATCTCGTGACGCACAGCCCCGAATTCCCCTTCGCCGCGAACCAAGTCCTTCCCGCGGAGCAATGGGACGCGCAGCGACGCATGTTCGTGACGCGCGGGGCCCAGGGCGGCGGCTTCGCGGCGTACGCGTACTTCATGGCGCGGTTCGACAGCGAGGTGTTCCGCGAGGAGGTGGTGTCGAGCGCCGAGAGCTTCGTCCTGGCGTTTGGGTGGCGCGCGGGCGAGGACGAGCCGTGGGTGTGCGTCGCGTCGATGCGCGAGCCCGAGGTGTACCAGGCCATGGGCGACGCGAGCAGGATGGCGGCGGCGATTGCGGACGCGGGCGGCAGGGGCGTCAGGGAGCTGGTGCTGCGGGACTACTACCAGTGGATCACAAAGGTCGTTCGCGTGTCGGTGGAGGCGGTGGCGACGGAGGGCATGGTGGTGTATAACATTGACATGGAGTTGGTTGACCCGCCGGAGCATGTGCTCAAGGGGCCGGAGGGGGCGCTGTCGCATCCGGAGAGTCCGCTGTACAAGAAGATGCAACCGAAGCCGAGCCGGCGGCGGCGGTAGAGACGGTGTTATGGTAGTAGACCTTGGCAATGGCCCGTGGCAAGCATCGTGGCATGAGAGCGTGGTGTTGTAATAAGCAGCCACGTCCGAGCTGTGCAACTCGCCCTCGCTGGTGCAACGATATGCATGCGAGGGCGCATCCACTTATTATGCCGCCGGGCTGCCGGGGCGCAAAAATAAAAGCAAAGAAAAAAAAGATCAAGCAGCTCTCTCCCACTCGGAAAGGAACGCAGTCCACCGACGACGGACGCAAAAAAAGAAAGACAGCTCTTCAACTCTCCCGCCGGGAATTGAACCCGGGTCTCAAGCGTGACAAGCTTGCATACTGACCACTATACTACGGAAGATGGGAATGACTTTTCGAAGTCATCGTAGCGAGTCGTGGTGGCTGCTGATGGGAAATTGGCGAGCTGAATCCACTTAAGAGGCCCGCGATCTCTGTCTGGTGGAGTTTTTTGGTCCCCGTTTGCCCTGTGCTGGCAGGGGTCCCGACAAGTCTGGACCGGCGGGGGGGCCCACACGCTGCGATTGTATCTTTGTACACGGATGCGTCGAGGATATGATACGAATGCCTCATTCTGAAAGTCAATGAAGCTTATTGTGCGCGTACTGCGCAGGATGAAAGAGCTGCCCCTCTCCATGTCCAGCTCGGCCGACACCGTTGGGATTGCCCGTTTGGGAAACCGGCTCGGACGGGCCGCGACCCACCCAACCGCCGGCGCGGCGCACGTGACCACAGAAATTCATGCTCCATCCTTCGAGGCTCTCGATTCTCGCCAATGCAATCCCGAGCTTCACGTCTCGACACGACCACACGTCCACCGCCTCTTCCCACGCTCCCTTCAGCCTCGTCCTCACAATGGCGGCGCTCCAACCATGCCGCGCGGGCCTCGCGCGCAGCCGCCTCGCCCTGCGCAGCCTGCACTCCTCCTCCCTCCGCGCTGGGTACGCCACCACGACCGACTCGACGACATCTTCCTCTTCAAGCTCCTCCTCCTCCGCGACATCAGCCCCCTCAAACGCCATCCCCGAGTCCTTTAGAGCACCATCAGACACAGCAGCCGCAGGGTCGGGGGCGCCGCGGTGGAGCCAGACGCCCGCGGGCATGAAGGCGCCCGTGCAGATGGACTTTGCGCGGTCGGCGCGCAACAAGGCGTGGACCGTCAACAGCAGCCCCGAGCGGCTCGACGAGATGTACGAGCGCCTGCTGGGCCCCGGCGGCAGCAAAATGCTCCCCGAGGAGCTCAAGTGGCTGGCTGTGACGCACAAGAGCTTTGATCAGGGGCGGCGAGGGTTCAACGACCGCCTGGCGCTGATGGGTATGTCTATGCTCTCCCACTCCCTCAGGGACAGCTTTCCCTCCCCCGCCCGCTCCATTGAACATTGACTGACCACCCCCCGCAGGCCGCCTCACCCTCATCATGGAAGCGACCAAGGACATCGTCAGCAGACCGCCCCAGGCCGGCACCGCTGCCCCCGCCGCCGCCGACCCGCACGGGCGGGAGCCGTTCGCGCACGAGGCGCTCGCGGGCGTGGACAACCTGTCGGCGACGACGCCGCGCGAGGCCGTGGGCAAGGAGCGGCTGCACGCGCTGGCTGCCAGCGTGGGGATGCTCGACGTGGTGCGGTGGAAGCCCCGGCTGCCGCGGCGGCTCGAGGCGTCGGGCGTCGAGACGGTGCTGGGCGGCGCGCTCATGGCCGTCGTCGGCGCCGTGACGCTGCAGCACGGCGCCAAGGTGGCGTCCAAGGTGGTGCGCGAGCGGATACTGGCGCGGCTGCCCAAGGAGGAGTAGTGGTGAATAGGGGAAAGGGGACAGACGAGCGAGTGTAATTTTACATGTATCATCAGGGGCAAGGGGAGGGGGAGGCATGTGGATGGATGGGACGGACATCCACGGACGGTGTACAAAAGCCGGAAGCCATGACTTCCTAGACAAGGCGCTGCGATATCCATGCAGACATTTATACATCCAAGCTCACCAGGGATCACGTATCAGGAAGCCGTGACGATGCCCAAAGTGCCATCCTGCCAGAATCTATACATCCAAGGTCACCACGACGATGCAAAGCAGTATTAAATCGTGACTAGAAAAAATGGTGCTCATAAGTTAGTAGATCCACGCAGACATTACATCCAAGCTCATCAGCGCATGCTCATCGCTCATCGTGCCGCCGCTCTGCGTATGTCAAATAATTCCATCCACCGTTATCACGATCCATCCCCCCAACTCCAATATCAAACCTCATCCGGTCCCTCCCCTCGTCAACCCAACAGCGGCTGCCTCTCCCCCCTCCCACGCCTCGTCTCTTCCCCATCCTCCTCCCCATCCTCCACCAGCTCATCCTCATCCTCATCATCACCGCCCAGGCCCAGCCGCCGCAGCGCCTCCCGCAGCAGCCTCTCCCTGACGACCCACCCCGCGCACACCCCCGCGCCCGGCCCAAACACCGCCCCGACGAGCAGCATCGTCGCCGGCGCGCGCCAGCCCACCTCGGCGAACACCCAGTACAGCACCGTCAGCGCCAGGTACTGCGCGTCCACCTCGAGGAACTTGACCGTCGAGCGCGTCATTTCGCGGCGGTCGTCGCGGCCCGCCGCCAGGTTCGCCGCCAGGAGGGCGTGCGCCGCGACGGACGCCAGCGCAGGGAGGCCGTACAGCGCGGCGAGGGGCTTGTTGGTCCGCTTCCTGCTCCTGCCCCTGCCATCGCCGCCAGTGTTTCCAGCCGTGTTGTTGCTGTCGATGTCGTCATGGCTGCGGCTGCGACGCTGCGAGCGGCTCACGTACTCGATGTGCACGCGCCCCGGTATCGAGCGGCGGAACCTGCCCACGGCCCAGCGCACGCCCTGCCGCAGCAGCGACACGTACACGGGGAAGGGCAGCCACGCGGCGATGGCGCCCGGCGAGCGCAGCGTAAGCATCGCCACCGAGGGAACATAGAAGCCGAGCGCAACAGCAAGCGGTATGGCGACGATCTCCGCGTCAGCGACACTCCGGTCCGTGTCCACCTTTTCCTCCTCCTCCTGCTGCTGCTGCTGCTGCCGCTCCGGCGTCACGCCCATCGGATCCTCACTCTCCCCATCCGCACGACTCCCCCCCGCGAACCACAACCTTGCGCGGTGCAAAAACGCCGGCACAATGACGACCTGCCAAACGAGCGCCCCGCCAATGAGGTTAAACAGCAGCCACCAGCCCGTCGGCCGCGCGATGACGCCCCTCCCGACGCGGGACGCGACGCGCTCGTTGCAGGCGCGCGCCGACTCGGCCGTCGCGACGCTCATGAGGGCGCCCACGCCGGCGAGCAGCTCCGCGACGGCGGCGCGGGAGCGCGCCGCGTCGAGCGCCTCGGCGAAGAAGCTGACGAGGAAGCAGGCGGGCGTGGCGAGCCAGGAAGGCACAAAGCGCGCGTCGGTGAGGAGCGGCAGGCGCTCGCGGGCGTGGCACTGCGACCAGAGGAGCGCGGCGTTGACGTCGGAGTGGGCGAAGAGGGTGGCGCAGGCGAGGAGCGCGAGGAGGAGCAGCGGGAGGAGCAGGTGCGGGAAGAGGGGGAGGGTTTGCACGGGGGGGCGGAGGAGCGTGGCGAGCGAGGGGAGCTTCATGGCGGCGGTGGCGGTGGTGATGATGCTGGTGATGCTGGTGATGGTGATGGTGATGGAAACGGGCCAGCAAGCTGAGGTGCTCGGCTCTATGTCCGAGGAGCAGCGGTGTGCCGGTGCGGCTGCGAGCCGTAGACGGGCTGTTGCGCGTGAGGTAGATGAGGTGAGGTTATCGTGAGGTCGACCCGCAGCGGTGAGACGTCGTCAGGGGCATCAACAACAGCACAAAGCGTCCCTCGTCACGCTTCAACGTCCAGAGATACCCAAACCCCTCAGGTAAAACTTCAGTCAATTCCCTCACAGCGGCTGCTGCTCACGTCGAAAGTTCGCAGCGGCGCAGCGCAGTGCAGTGCAGTTCACCGGCCAGAGGAGGAAGAAGTGGTGAGGAAGCAGGATGACCAGATGCATTTCTTTTCCATCCCAGGATTCTTCACTGCTTCAGGGGTCGCAGGGTCCTACTACTAATTACAGCCATCCACGCTGAGCGAGCCGTTCTGGAGCTAGTTAGTGGTGAAGCACCCCTCCAGCCGCTCTGCTCTGCCCCACCGGCTCACTTCCATGCTACACAGGCAGCCCAGCCCAGTCCAGTGAATCCAGCCCCTCCTCACCTGCGAGCCAAACCCCTGCACCGCCTGAGTGTGTGGTTACCTAGCGGGCCAGCGGCAAGGCGGTGGTGCTGTGTGTATTCGTGGTAATACTTACCCTCGTGTGAAAAGGTGTTCGACATGGTGGTGTTCGTAAATGTCCACGCGACCATCGCGCCCTCGTGAGCAGCACCACTCGGACACGCCCAGCTGGAACCCCCAGCTGGGCCTGCACCAACCGGCGCGCGCCCCTCGACAACCCACCACCTGCACCTCAACAAGCTCTCGCACTCCCACACGACCGACCACACGAGACATTCGTCACGCGACAGAAACTTAGTACTAAACCCGTCAACCCCTCACCGCGACACCGCCCAGTGTGCGAGTGAGTGACTGAGTGAGTGTGTGCCTGTCTGCCTGCCTGCCTGTCTGAAGTTCCTGCTGCCTGCCCACAAGATCCGCGCGTACTAGCGTCCAGCCCCAGATCGTGCCGTCATTCCTGAGAAGCGTTCGTTCGTGGTTTAACATGGCTGAATCCTGAAGAATGGAGATCAGCTGCCCGCATGAACGGCGCCGAGGTGGGGCCGTCTGGCCGGCCGACCGGCCGGGACGGACCGCCGCCGCCGGTGGACCGAGTTGACTGATGAACCGAAACCACCGGCGGTCGACTCACACGCTCGTAACATCCACGAGGCACCTCGCGAGTAAGCCGCTGAGATGCATGCACTGACGAAAGAACACGGTAAATGCTCACTAATGCTAACATGCTTTGCCAAGGCCCATCGTCATCTCATGCCGCTCCGTCCATGCGCTGCTCACATCGTTCATGCATGCGTATCCCTCTGGCTGTGCCACGCTCGCCTCCCATATATGCACGTAAATGCCACGCTCCCAGCTCCCGTAAATGCTTCCTCCCAAGTACACCACGCCAGCAACCATGCAGCAAGTAGATCCCTCCTCTAGATCACCTCATGTCCCGGCTTCTACCTTCTCTTCCTCGCAAACGTCCCGCTCCCCGAACTACCCCCCGTCCCGCCTCCGTCCAGCCTCCCTCCCGGCGGCCCCGTTCCGTCGTGTCGGCGGTTCACCTGCGGGATGTGGTAGCCCCTCTCTCGCTCGAGCCTGTGCCTCTCCCAAAAGTCGCTCGCCTCCTTCTGCAACGCCGCCCTCCTCCGGGCTCCAGCTCCGCCCCGTCTGCCCCGGCGCGCGTCCTTGCCCGCATCGCCACCGTCTCCGTCCTCGCCTTTGCGGCCCCTACCTGCCAACACCCTCTCGCGCACATCGTGTCCCCAGTCGAGCACCAGCGCCAGCACGGGCATGCACAAGACGATGTACACCCAACGGGCCCCCCGGCCATATGCTCTTCCGAGCCAGCGAAACACCGTCCGCGCGTTCGTGCTAAAGGCCACGACCAGGCTGCCGACCACGAGCACGAAGCTCGCCGGCAACGCAATCGCCCCGATGGTCTTAAGACTCAGGTTGTTCTCGCCGCCCCATTCCTGCGTGTTCATACCAAACAGCCCGGTGAAGAACGTCAACGGGAGGAAGATGACGGTAAAGGTCGTAAAGATCATCACGCTGCGGCTCTGCGCGCTCGCCAGGTCCGCGTGCAGCCGGCTGAGGCGCACCTCGTCCACCTGCGCTTGTCGTTGGACCATCTGCAGTAGCTTGTCGTAGTCGTCTCGCGTCGAGCGCACCCGCGCAATCATCTCGTCGGCCTGCTGTCCGTACTCGCGCAGCCGCTTGAGCGCCTCGGAAAGGAACACGCGCCCGTTGGCCGTATGCTCACGGAGCTCTGGCCGCGCATATGTGGCGTGCATAGTCGACACGACCTTGCTCTGTCGCTCAAACAGGTGCAGCAGCGTCAGCAGCTCGTCCTCAATGTCCCGCAGCTCCAGCAGCGCCGACGTGTTGTCTCGGTTCTCCTGCTCCGCGCGCTGGCCCTCTTCTTTATGCCGCGCCCGGATGGACCGTGCCTTGTTCTCCACGGGTTCGTAGTCGAATGCCTTGTCGCGGAAGCCCACCGTCCGGAACTCTTTCAGCGACTGGGTGAGTCTCTCGGTCTGCCTGGTCAGCATACGCCATGAAGTTTTCGGGATCAAGCCATACCAAGACACTAATGGCCTCCTCAAAAATGCGAAAGACTTCCAGGTCGGGGTGCGACGACCTGTCCAGCAGCACGCTCACGGCATGCAGCGCCGCCAGCGCCGCGAGGTCCAGCGCGTTCTCGCACTGCCGCGTCAGGTCCACATTGACTTCGTTGAAGATGCTGTCCCGGAGGTCCGCCTGCTGATAGAGGGGGCCCTCGATCGGGTCGCTCTCACGCTTGGGAAAAAAGGACACGACCGTGTCTGAGAGAAGTAAGCAGGGTCTCTTGTGATGGGGTTGGGAGACTCACGAGAATGGATGACCCAAAGCCACAGTTGGTCCACCATCAGGACATTGCCATTCAGTAGCGAGTCCTCCTCCGCGTCATTGTCGGCTTGCCCTCTCCCCGTCAACCTCTCCCTCCAACCTGACGCCGCGCTCGACTGTCCCGCGTCCTTTTCCGAGCTACCTCCGCTCCCCGTCGTTGACCACTGCGCGTATACGCCGGTCCTGCCGTCCTGGTCTGGTCCGCACGGCCGCTCCTTGGTCAGCTTGTAGAGCATCTGATCGTCGTCTCGCGACCGCGTGTCCCGCAGGCTCGGATACCCATACTGATCCAGTGTGCGGCGGCAGTTGATGGGTGGATCGTGCCCCAGATACTCCCACACAACCTGCAACTCGAGCGAGTCCGACTTGGCAACCAGCTCCGGCACCGGGCGCGACCGTCCGTGGCCAAGCCTCCGGAGTATCACCTCCCGTCGGCGAATGAGCCGCTTATACGAGTCGAAATGCAGGTACGGCAGGAACAGACAAGTGCAGAGCGAGTCTTGGGTCACGGCGGGCGACAGCGCCGGGCTGGCTAGAGACGGGCGAGGTGACACTTTGCGTAGTTAGTTCTCCAAGTCCACTTCCAGGGGCCCAGGCTCACATACATGTTCTCGGCGCCGTAAAGTAGCACCCGGGCTTCGCAAAGTATGCGTAATGCTGCGCATGTCTCCCGCGCGTATGCCGCGTCGCCCAAAAGTCGTGGCTGTACAGCGACGAGTAGTCCCTCTTGTACGACACTTCGAGCGTTTGCAGCACGTCCTTGACCCACGTCGGGTTGTTGAACGGCACATGCACCCAAACGAATCTCCGGGCCTTGACATCCGGCCGCACAAAGGCCACGGGCACTTCGTCGACCACCACCGTCTCCGTCACACGGCCCCTTGCCCCTTGGACTGCCTTGCGAATCGCTACCACAGCGTCCGGTAACCGCGGCGACGCCTCGAGGCCGTCTTCGTCTTCGCCATCGTCGCTATAAGCGCTGCCGCCCATGATGGCATCCACGGTGCTGCGGCTCCGCTGCGAAAACGGAGGAAAGTCTTTGTACTCTATGGGCGAGCGGTCGCTTCCCAGACTGAAGCTGCGGCTGACGGAGCGCCCTACGCGCGGACGCATCGGCGGCGAGAGCCTGTCCACGGCAAGATCCTGGTCAAAGTCCGCGCGTATGAGTGCCGAGGAGCGGCCCATGAGTGGCGTCGAGTGCCTCGTGGGGGGTGACATGGCCCTCGACGGCGGCGTGTTGACGGCACTGCTTCCTCCGCCAGTGCCCCTGGCCGCCGCCGCTGGGGCACTGGACCGAGATTCCCTCCTGCCTTGCTGTCGCGGGGCGGGAGGCAGCACGTCGATGGGGCGAATGATGGGTGAGCCTGGGGTTACCGTCTGTCGGGCCGCCGCCGTGCGGTCCTGGATCCCGAGCGCGTTCTTGATGGTCAGAGGCTCGGGGGCTGCAAAAGGCATCTCGGTCTGCTCCTGCTGACGCTCGATGAGAGACGTCCGTCCTCTCGAGCGCAGGAAACGACTCTCTTCAGGTGCGCCATCCACCTCGTTGAGCCGCTCGCTCAGACACGCCTCAGGGCCCTTGGCGAGGAATTCCTTGAGTGGCAATCTTGTCGACCACGCGCGCACGACGTTGACCGCGGCATCACCTCCAAGCTGTGGCGGCAGAGGCGGGTCGTCAAAGAAGCCGTGAACCTCGACGTTGACCTTTTGCTCGAGACCGAGGGTCCAACGCCCCGCGTCGGCATCCTTGGACACGGTGTCGGCGTGGTTGATGCACGCGGCGAGCTGGCGTAGGAAGAGCCGTAGAGTATGCACGTTGTGGCGGCCAAACGAGGCCATGTTGGCGTGGTCGCTCTGCAGGGGAAAGATGCTCTCCTGGCGCATGCCGAGGATGGCCGACTTGATGGAAGTGAGCGGCGCCGTGAAGTAGACGTCGCCATCCTTGTCCTTGCTAGCGTTGCTGTTGCCTCCCGACAGGCGCGAGTCGATTGTCTCATAAAAGGTCCAGACCTGGACGTCGCTGGAGACGGACTTGAAGTCCTCGTCGACGTGCAGCAACAGGCTGTTGCCCACGCGGAGGTCATCGGTGATGCTCGCAGGGAGCGGAGCAGATAGCTGCAGCAGGGCCTGGATGCTGGTAGCAAGACTCGGCATGGCAAAGTAGCTAGAACCTTGGTGGGGAGTGCCTGGGTCTGTTAGCACAAGGCGCTCCTGGGGTGGGAGGATTCGGAATATCGTGGCTCACCGAAAAAGGCCACACCGTAGCACTCCCGCACAATGCCCTCGTACCGCGCGTCCCTGCTGGCTTTGCACAGCGCCATCTTGACCACCAGCCCGCCCAAGCTGTGTCCGACAAACACCAGCGGCCGCTGTGCCTGTCCGCGCCCTTCTCCTTCGCGTTGGTCCTCGCGGGCCCTCAAGGCGGCTAGCTCCCGCAGCAGGCAGTCTGCCAACGACCCAAGCGTTGTGCCCTCGGCGTCCACGGAAGGGTGCTCATACAGGAGAATGCGTGCGCGGCTCGCCTCCCGCCGGATGCCCTGGCGCACCCACGACGGACCGCGGTCGTCCTGCGACTGTCCCGTTCCCGAGCCAGACCCCGTCCCAGACTCGGCCTTTGCCCCAGTGGTGGTGTCGCGCATCGACGGTGCGCCAAAGTAGCGTCCCAGCAGCCCGTCCCTGGTCCAGCTGCGCAGAGGGTGTCCTCCGGGACACGGCACGGTGACGACATCGACGGTCGTTTCATCAAAGGTGAGCTCGCCATCCGGGTCAATCGTGAAGCGCGGCTGTGGCGGCTCTGGGGGCTGCTGCTTCTCATCGTTGTCGCCGCCAGTTGGATCCTCAGGGGCATCACAATCAGCCTTGAGGTCCGTCTCCTCGGTTCCAGAACTGGGGTTTGAGGGCGGCGAGTTTGGTGGTTGTGGGGGTAAAGGCGAGGTACGGCTGCTCAGAGGCGGAGGACTTCGCGGGCTGCCGGGGTGGACGAGCAGCGAGTCCGCATCGTGCGGTGGTTCCGCCGGCAAGGCAGGAGGCGACGCGGCCGCCTCGTCGTCGCGGGCGGCCATCCTGTCCGTCTACGCGCTCCTTGGGCCCTCTATCTCGTACACCGCGTCTTCTTTGTGGCGATTCTACCAGCTGCGTCGCCGTTTGCTGTCCAGCTTACACGTTTGCCCTCTGGTGCAGGGTAGCGCAGTGGGCGACGTTTTGAGAGCAGTGCAAAGCAGCAGCAACAAGAGCGGGTGTAAATGCGACGATAGCTGTTGACAGTTCTTTGAGCCCGGGGAAAGGGCACACACAGATGAATAAATAAATAAAGAAGGATGCAAATCCACATTCACAAGCCCCCGGCAAAAGTGAAAAGCTCGGGAGGAAGCCGCAACGCGAGGCTCTCCTTCCGCGTTCAAGCCTCTGTCTGCTCCGTCATCGCGCCTGCCCTCGTGCAAGTCATCTGCTGCCTTCGCCGCCAGTCACCACCCCCGTGCCATGCCCTGCCAATGGCCGACCATCCAATTCCAACTCTCGCTCAGCCTGGCGGCTCGAGTTACTCCAACTCGAGTCACGGTTAGGGAGGGCCCGGCCTTTGCCTTGCCTTGCGCTGCAGTCGGCCGGCCCAGCGACCGAGGGAACCGCCACAAACGCCCCGTTGGTGGTTTGTCGCACTGGAACTTGGGGGTTAGCGGCCAAAAACTCCGACCACCTGCCCGCAGCCTGTGCACTCCAACCTCCAAACCGCTTCGCTCCGAGATCGTCGCCGGTCACCACGTCCCATTCTCCCCCTCTCTCTCATTCTCGCGCATCACGCCTCTCGGCGGCATCTGCCCTACCGTTACAGCGGCAGCGACCCTGCCCCGACGCGTGATTCCCTCGTGATCTCCGTAACATCTACTCACTGAGGTCTCCCCCACCGCCCGCATTCCTGCTCCCGCCATCTGCCACTTCCACGCCGCTTTGATCCCTCGCTACCCTGTTTTATCGCCGACTGCGACGTCGTCGCCGCCGGTAGCCCCCTCGGTTACAGTACTCTGCCCTACATTCTACGTAATACGAAAAACAGGGCTGAGTGAGAGCGTACGTACGTGTGGCATCGCGGTGGTCGCGCGGGTGCGTGCAGGCAGAAAGCTCATGTGAGACACGCGCGCGACGCCACGCGTGATCACGGCACATGGCACATGGCCGCCGCCGCCGGCCGGCCCTGTCGCTGCCCCGTCGTCGCACCCATCGGTTACGAAGTCGGTAAACGATAACTTGGTTACGTTTTCTTTTGTGTTGTGCCGTCCTGCCAGAGCGGCCTTTGTTCATTTTGCTCCGGATATCTTTTTCGTACACAGATGGCTTTTCACCTCCAAGCCCCCCCCCCCGGTCTGAAGCCCGTAGCTTGTAATAGCCTCCTCGCCCAAAAGCCAGGTTGGTCCCCCTTCCCAAAATATTAACGCCCATATCGCCATATCGGCATGTTTTCCCCCGTGATATACATCCCGTCCCTTTCCAATGAGAGGCTTCCCCCGGAATTAGCCCCCCTACCCGCGTAATAAAGTCGCTTTGTAGAAGTCTTTGCCCAACACCGCAAAGCCACCCACCCATCACCTCCACGCTCGCTCGCCCACCACCAAAAAGCTGCAAGTAACCCGAGGTCGGAACCAAAGCCCTCTCACCTCAGTCCTCGCCCTCAACCAGCTCATACGACTTATGCGTCGTGCAAAAGATCACCGCGTCGCCATACTGCCGATTCTCCACGGCGCACTCCCTGCCGGGCCGCACCACGAACAGTCCTCCGGGCCCGACGTGCGCCGTCGTCGTGCCGATCCGCACCTTAACTTTGCCCTGCGAGACCATGCAGGAGCGGAGCTGCGCCTTTTCGCTCGCCCAGCGCGCCTTGGTGCCGGGCTTGACGACTTGGATGTTGACGGCCACGTCTGTGGCGACGGTGACGGGCTGCGCGCTGGAGAGGAAGGGCATGGAGTAGATGATGTCTGCGGCGGTGCGTGGTAATGTTAGCAGCTTGTTCGGGATTGTCCTGCGAGATAGATGGATTGGGGCGCAGGGAAAAGGGGGAAACGGTGTGGAAAGGGGGGTCATGGCACGTACTCTCGTTGCTCTCCTCGTCCACCACCCTGCCTGGCGCAAACTCCCAGTCCTCCATGTCGAGCGACTGCTGCTCCGAGTCCCTCATCTCGGGAGACACATTCGTCCTGGCGACCTTGGCCCGCGGCAACTCCTCCAGCGCCGCCTCCGCCGTCGAGAGGCGATGTTTGCGCCCCTGTCCGTTTGTGTTTGTGTTTGTGCTCGTACTCACGACCACCGGCGGTGGCGGCTGCTGCTCAGCATCGGCCGAGTGCTCGACCGACGACCCCCGGTCCGCGTCCGGATTCCAATCGCAGGCGTTCCTCTGCCTGTGCAGGTTCGCGTAGTAGTGGCACCCGACGCACGTCTCCGTCTTGCTAAACGCCATCTTGGCCTCGAGCGGCATCCCGCCGGGGAGGCGGATGCACATGTCGGAGAGCCGCCGCGTGGACGTCTTCTTCTTCTTGCAGGCCTGCCGGCCGCCGACGTAGTTGCCCACCATGTAGGCCATGGCGGAGGCGTAGAAGGGCGCCGCGAGCATCGTGCCCCCGTGGTACTCGATCCACGAGGCGGGCAGCTTGCGCCGGAACACGCACCGGTTGAAGAACTTGATGTCCGCGCGGTTTGGGACGAGGCTGTCCTTGTGCAGCAGGCCGGCGAGGTAGCCGGCCGCCGTCTCCCAGGGCGGCGACGGGGGCCTCGTGATGCCCGACGCGCCGATGACGTACCGCGCACCCCCTCGTCGAGGTATCGTCGGCGGTGGCGGCGAGACGCCCAGCGCTGCCCATGTCGGCGTCGTCGCGGCAGGGGAAGACTCTGACCCGACGGAGTCCTGCGATCGCAGTGCTGGTGTCGACAACGCGGGGAGCGATGACGAGCCAGGCAGGGCAGGAATCGGGGCCCGGTCAATCTTCGCGACCTGTAGCTGCCACGGCGGCTGGGAGGGCTCGGCGGGAGGTGGCGCGTCCGGAGGCAGGGGGTTCTGGGACACGACGATGCCCGAGTAGAAGCCAGACTGGCTCTTGTCCCTCGAGGGCCCCAGCACCGTCAGAGTCCCGTCGCAGTTGTCGTTGAAGGTGACCTTCTTGTGCAGGTTGCCAAAGTGCGCGCCCAGGGCCGTCAAGTTCTTGAGCAGCCGCCGGCAGTCTCGGACCGGGCAGATGAAGCGCGGAGCTTGGGGATGGAGCTGGTAGTTGGTGGGAATAATGGCGCCTCGGGCTGCGTCCTTTCTGCCATCGGGGCCTGCTTCTCGTCAGGAGTGGCCACGGCTGGGTAAACATCCGCAGAACGTACCTTGGAAGATGTTGTAAGGGCGGCCGTCGCGCGCCTCCAGAATCTCAAGACCCGGAACGGGCCTCGGCCTCGGCGCTTTGTTAAAGTCAGCGGGCATCTCGTCGAGCTCCACAAGGTCGTCGTCGTCGTCCTGGTCGCTGCTCGTCTTACCCGCCTCCCACTCGGAGCCCTCGTCGTCGCCGCCGTTGGTCGCCAGCCAGGCCGCGTCTTCGCCCGCGCTCGGCGGCTGGGCCGTCTCCGCATCCTTTCGTATCCGATCCACGAGTTCAGCCGCCGAGGCAAAGCGCATGCCCTGGCTGCTCGACGGCGGGCGCGAGGCGGGCGTGGCGTCTTTGCTGCTGCCGGCGCTGCGCGGAGATGTGTCTCGTACCGACTGGAGCTGCATGGACACGGCGTCTTCCGTAAAGCGCAGTGCCTGAGCGCGGACGCTCGCGTCGTCTACCTGACTGCCCGACGGCATGGCGGGTTTGGGACTTGGGATTGCAGGGCTGAGAGAAGCCGGTGCCTGAGGTTTCGAGGTAGCCTGCCCAGCATCGGGAGGAGGCTTGACCCGGGACGCGCTCACTGGCGCGGTTGACGGCACGACGCCTCTCGTGTAGCTTGGAAGCGGCACGGGCGTCTGCGACGAAGGCATTGGCCTCGCAGGCCCATCGCTACTGTCGTGGACTGTATTCCGTCAGCCCCAGCTCGCCAGACTGAAGGCTCCCCAGCACACTTACCACTCTCATCCTCAGCATCCTCATCCGACTCATCGTCCGAGTCAGCCTCATCCTCGTCACTCGAGCTGCTCTCCGCATCTATGCCCGGGACCTTTTCCTGCGCCGGCGCCGGCGCAGCACCTACCTGGCCGCGCTTCCACTGATCGTTGAGCGCCATGATGCGGTGGTGCGCCGCCAGAGCAGGCGGCGGGTGCCGAAGCGATGGCGGCTGCGGAGGGAGCTTCTGCAAGGGGTCCGCCGAAGACGTCGACGGGGACGCGGAAGAGGACGACGTAGAAGGCGTTACTCCGGCTGCCGGCGCGCCGGGGATCTTTGGAGGGATCACGTCGCTGATGATTCTCGCTATGGGGGTTGCCTCGCCCGTGGCCGGCTGCTGCGCGACGGGGAGGCCTTGCGTCGAGGCCATTGCTGCTGCTGCTGCCGCCGCGCCGCCAACCACGCGAGAGGCCAAGCCGCTGTCGCTCGGGGTCCTCAAAGGACTTTACCCGTCAAGGCCGTTGACAGTGCCGCAGTATCCTGTATCCAGTAAAGCTTGAACGTAGACGTCTCGCGTAGAGCCCCGAATAATGAGTCTCAAACCCTAATGAGTCTCGAGTTGAGCTCCGGCGAGGTTCGTCTGATCTCACACGAAGCGAGTGAAACCACGCCCCGGCAGAACGGCGCTTATAGGCAGTTCGTATGAGAATCCGCGTCAAGGTCCAGTGCGAGAACACGCCACAGCGCCGTGTTATGCGTGAGGTGTCGAGGCCAGCGCGGCGCCGCAACGCAGCGCACCGGGTGAGGCGGTGGTTCCAAGGTGGATAGAGGCGAACAGTGAGACGCGCCGAAGCGCGCGTGCGTTTAGCGAGCGCCCCCGGACTGTTTGGGGGCGTTGCCGAAGAGGCGCATGCACAGGGCACAGGGGCGGGACCAACTTTTGCTTTTGGAGCGGTGCAGGCGGGCGGGCAGTTGGTGCTGGTGCTCGAGCCCCCCTGTGGCACAGTACAGCTCTGCCTGTAATGCAGGCAAACAACCTATGGAGGAGCATCGCATGGGCGCTGCACTGCCGCTCAGCAACGATGGGAGCACATGGAAATGCAAACGGAGAAGCTCCAGCTTGAACAGCCGGCTCGTGTCCCGCACGCATTGCACATTCTCCGAGACCACACAGTCAGCAATGGGCAGCCAGCCTAGACAGAACAGCACAAACACGACAGTATAACCTCACATGCTCAAAATGCCCATGCCATACAATACAGCCCATCTAGTTATCATATCATACAACAACAGCCAGCCCGCCGCTCAGCTAGCTTTCCCCTCCGGCTCCGGGCCACACCTCGCCTCACCGAGCTCACTTCTTCTTCCCGGCCTTCTTCGCAGCCTTCTTGGCCGCCTTCTTGCTCATCGCCTTGGGCGCCTTGCCCGCGTCGCCGGCGCCGCCCGCCTCGGCCCGCCGCGCCGCCGCCTTGCGCTGGCCCTCGAGCTCGCGCTCGCGCCTCCACCGCCTGTGCCGGAACCACTGCTTGCGCGTGCGGAACCGCGTCGTCCGCAGGCCCGTCGTCCGCACCAGCCGCCCGATCCGCCAGTTGTCCTCGCGGTAGCTGTAGTCGTCGCGCAGCCGCAGCAGCCGCTCGGGCTCGCCCTGCTGCGCCGCCGCCGCCGCGCCCTTGCCCTTGCCCTTGTTGGTGGTGGTGGTGTTGTTTTCGGTGGAGGCAGAGGCGCCCTCGCCCAGGCGCCGCACCTCAAACGGGATCCCCGACGCCGACAGCGCGGGCCGCTCCTCGGCGGCGCGGATCGCGTGCGCCGTCATGCCCAGCCTGCGCCGGCGCTCCGCGTGCGCCGGGTACGGCAGCACGTCGGCCTTGTCGAAGACGACGCCAATGTACTTGCGGTCCGGGTGCCGCGCCGGGTCGCGGTAGTACTTGACGTAGCCCGTCGCCATGGAGTGGATCGTGTGGTCGCGTCCCATGATGCAGTTCTCGCCGGGCCACCAGTGCGTGCCGCGCTGCTTGTAGATGATGTTGCCGGGGATGACGAACTGGTCTGCGTGGTGGTCAGCATCCTGCGTGTTCAGGGTGTTTGTTTGTGCTCATTTCCTCCGTGGACAGGGGAATCGAAAGTTGGCAATGGATTCCAAGGCCAATTGAGTCCGCCAGAGGGTGTAAGATGATGAGGAGGCAACGTACCGCCCGTCCGCTTCGCTCCCAGCTTCTTGGGTATCCCCCTCTTGCTCTTCTTCTTGTACGCGCCCTGCGCCTTGACCGAGGCGTTTCTCCGTCCCTGGGCCAGCACGCCGCCCATCAGCTGCGCGCCCGTCACCGTCACGGCCGCCGCGAGGCCCAGCCCCAGGCGCGAGGCCGACAACGACGCCGCGGATGCCGCAGCGGCCAGCACCGGCCGCTGCATCGTGAGGAACCGCATCGCGCCGGGTGCGTTTTTGTGGCTGCTGCTCGCTCGCTCGCTGGTGTCGTGTATTCGTGTTCTTGATGCGGTCGGGGGAGCTCCAACAATCCTGCGTCCGCTGCGTCGTCGGTCGGAATTGGTTCAAGTTTTGCGCTGAGTCAGCCGATTTTGATGCCGCTCAGCACCCCTGTTGGGCTGGTGTCTCAATTGGCATTATCGATAAGCAGCCCACCCGCCTGCCAACGGCCACTTATAGGTACGTGTACCAAGTAAAGATGCCAGCATGGACATCATCATCATCGAAGCGACATCCATCCTCGCCCGTCGGCCTTACTTTGTCGCAACAACCCGGCGACGCCCCTGATCAGAGCTGCAGCTGCCGCCACACACACACACACACACACACACCCCCACCCCCAGGCATCATGCGCCTCGTACTAGCATTCCTCTCGCTCCTCTCCTGTGCCGCCGCGCAGTTCGGCTTCTTCGACCAAATGTTCGGCGGCGGCGGCGGGCAGCACGACGACGGCCACCCGCACCAGCAGCACCAGCACCGCCAGGCCAACAACCCGAGCGACGCATCGCTGTACCGCGCGCACTACGACCAGTGTACGTTTGCCTCCCTCCCTCTCCCTACTCCGTCCTCATTCCCATCTTCATGTCTTTCTCCTTTGCGCTCCATTGTGACCTCTCTGTTCCCTCCCACCTCACCGAGTCTTTGCTATTCTACCCCTCCACACATTCCTCCCTCTTCCACGCTCCGCCTCCCCCTCCCCCCAGCCGCTCACCTTCACCCACCACAGCATATACCTACCTACCTTAGGGAACCCTATATCAGAAAGCTGACATATATATGTGTGTGTGTGTGCAAAAACAGCATCCTGCGACAACTACCTCTGCCCCGACACCCTCGCCTGCGTCCACTTCCCGCACCACTGTCCCTGCGCCTGGGACGCCCACGAGGACAAGTTCGAGCTCGCCGACGGCCGCCGCCTGTGCGTCTCCAAGGGCGGCTTCCGCCCCGGCGAGGCCGCCCGCAAGGTCGAGCTCGCGCGCAAGGGGCTGCTGTGAGGGTTGCAGGTACCCCCTGCTGCCCGCCGCCGCTGCTGATGTTGCTGCTGCCCGCCTCGGCCGTCACTGGGGTGTGTGCGTGTCGTGTCGTGACTGGTACCGGTGCCGTCGAAGAGGAGGAGGAGCATGACGGATGACATTGGCAGCTATTGAGGGTTTCTGCGCATTTACACGGCGGGGCATGACATTGCGACCGAATACATTTTGGCATCTGGCGTCGGCGTGGGTTTCATTCATTCGTTCATTGGGTTTCGGCAAACGTGGGATGCGTATATAAGGGGGGGTTCTCTATGTATACCGACTGCTAAACGGCGCAACAAGACGGCGCCGCACAAAATAAAGAGCAAGCATGGCATGGCAAGCCCACCCAATCAGTGACAGGCACCTTTGGCCTCTTGTCCTCGACCAAAACTCTTTCTCTGACGTTTAACCCTGTTCTCTCCTCCCATCCTCACTCCTCACTGCTCCCCCCTTCCCGTTTCACACTGCCCCGTCTCAAATCTCCCCAACTCATCAACACTCCCCCTTAGCTCGATAGTGATGGTTCAAATCGTGCGTGTTCTGTAGGGCTCGCAGACGCAGACGAAGACGCAGACGCAAAACGCCAGACCAAAGATGTCGTGCCACCCCACCCCGGTATCGAAGCCAACCAGCCGTATTCGTCAGTATCCGTAATCATGCACATCCATATGCATCGTCTCCAGCGGCACCGTCTCTCAATCTATCTCGAGAGGATGCCCCTCAGGAGACGGCCGTCTACGCAGACCCGTTGGGCAGGGGCGGCACCGGGGGGGCGCCCTCGTCGTCGTCGTCCCCGTCCTCGTCCATGGCCTCCGGGTGCGCCAGCAGTTCCGCCACGTTCTTCATCTCGTAGTGCTTCTTGCGGGCGGCCTCGAAGCGCCGGTGCTTCTCGCGCTCCTCGGGCGAAAGGCCCACCACCTCTTCTTCGGCGCTGGGGGCGACGCTTCGCGGCTCAACATGCACGCTCTTCTCGCTCGAGTTGCGCCGGTGCGGGTGGTGCGCGCCCGAGCCTTCTCCGCCTTGGCTACCCTCCTCGCCGAGCGCCGCCGCCGCCGGAGCTCGGCTTTCTGGGATCTCCTCTTCCGGTTCGCCCAGAGAAAGGCCCGGAATGTCGTCCTCAGCACGCGCACGTGGAGCTTTGCGGCCAGCACCACCAGCCGCCAGGTTAAGATCGCTAGGCCCCGCCGACCCCGCGGCAGCCGCCGCCGCTCCTTCCTCGTCGTCGTCGGACGGGTCCTCTGCAGGATCGTAATGTTTCGCATAGGGCGTCTTGGGCTCGGTAATCTTCATGGTCGAGGTGCGCTCCTGCTCCGTCAGGTAGAGGTTCGCCTCGTCCCACTTGAGGCGCTGAGACGACTCGGCCAGCCCGTCGGCGCTGTTGCTCGCGGCGGACTGGCGGCGCGAGCCGGGCGGCCGGCCGGCGGACGAGGAGGAGCGGCGGCCCGCGTTGATTTGCGTGTTGGCGAGGGTGATTTCCCGGCCGGACATGGACCGCTCCCGCGTCTGGGGCGGGGCCGCGGCGGGGGGAGGAGAGGTGTGGCTATGCGAGGGGTTCTTGAGGATGCCTAGACGGTTCACGGGTCAGCACTCGGGTGTCTGGTTCCCTCGCCGCGTCGACGAGGCCAGAACAGCTCGCTTACCTTTGGGGCGTTTCGCATCGTGGCCTTGGGGAGGCGAGTGCATCGGCGATCCGTCGACTGCAGACGCCATGATGAAGGGTCTTTCGGGGGTAGAAGAGCAATGTCGTAGAGGGTGTGGTATAGAATTGTCGAGCCCGAAGCAAGACAAAAAAGGGTCGCTGGCCCGCAGGGTGTCAGGCCGGTTGGGCTGCAGGGCTGAGGGCTGCCGGTGATGGCGAACGGACAGACGGACACAATCAGGCGCTCCTGCAGGAACGGGGGAGGGAGGCTGGCCGATGGCAGGGCAGCAGCCAGCACGCGCGACGGTCGCCGTGGGAATCGATCACAGGACCGACTCGGACAGGGCAGCGACGCAGGGTCTGAGTCGTCGGCGAGGAAGCAGGTACCCGTGATGCTGGGACGAACGCCGGTTTGGCCGGCTGGGCCAGCACGAGCGATGGGGCGGCGGCGGCGACTCGTCCGGTGGTCTAGTCTGTGCGCTGTGAAGCCGTATCCGTGTGTATGGATGCTAAGCAGGGCTGGGCTGTTGCTGATTCTGTTGCTGCTGCTGCTGTTGCAGTTCCAGTCGGGACGGGGGACGATTGCGAGAACAAACGAGGCGGGGAAACAAAGTCCAAGTGACAGTGTGGACCGACCCGTGGAAGCTGTGGATGAGTGGATGGATGGATCGGAATGGATGGGATGGGATGGGATGCTGCCCGCCGGGCGTCTGGGCTGGTGTGACGGATGACGCACAGGGGACTAATGACGGTGGCAGGCGGGGGAACAGCGCCCCCCAAAGCAGTCCCCTACAGCGCCCGTGGCCGCGGGCATGTGGGGTGATGGGAGGGCTGCCCGCTTGGTTATGGACATGCCCTGTGGGTGGCAGACGCTGTCTCTTATACACATCTAGATGTGTATAAGCGCTGTGACATGCTCACCGGGCGCCCGGCCGGCCAGGAAAGCTAATCGAAGTCGTGCTCATCAGCGGTGCTCATCACGATCCCTCCCTCGTGCTCAACGTCTCGCCCATCCGTCACGCCACGCCACGCCCGCCTCACGTGCCGTGCCGTACCGTACCGTGCCTACCTCATCCGCCATCCGCCATTCCGCCTCCGCCTCTGTCGTCCGCACCACCCGGGTGCCAGCCAGCCCAGCCATTCATTCCATTCACCGCTACCGAGAAGGCGAGGATTAATTAGATACCAGCAGTTAACCGATCCGAGAAAACCACATGACAATTCCCCTGCATCATCACTGCACCATATCGCTGCACACTTCCTTGGAGCAGCAACAGCTTGCCACGCATGCCAGGTGCATACGTACATAGCATGTGAGCCAACACAGCGTTACATTTACATCTACGTCGCACTGCCGCTCTCCAACACAAGCAACCTTACCAGCCCATCACCCGCAGCAGGAAACAAGCCCCCTCCCTGCCCCCCGGGCCATCGCCTCGTGGCTTCCACGGCACCCGTTCCTAGGGTTAGGTTCCTAGGTTGCGGCCATGTGGTGGCTGGGAACGCCGGGCCTCTAACAACACGCACTCGTACGTGGTGGTGCCAGAGCCCCATGCGAGACAGAACCCTGTTTCGTTGCGAGCCAACTCAACGTGACCCCATCTCGCCCCTCTTGCTGTCCGTCGTCTCATCCCGGTGGCATTCGGTGGCTGATGTATGCTTCGTACCTGCGCGAGACAACGTGCCTGGATTCACCCATCCTGGGCACCAGGTAGTTCGTACGCGACGTAACATCATCAACACCAATTACGAACATCGAGTAAAGGCTGCACGGTTTCGCCACAAGTGTTGCGTGCAGAACGCACCAGCCCGCCCACAAGAAAGACGCAGTCGAGTCCTATATTCTTTGTAAACATTGGTATTCTGGGTATCCAATCCGGCCCACCCTCCGACATTGCCTCTTGTGCACAGTATGACTTGCCGCCTTTCCAGGAGAAATAAAAGGAGAAATAAAAAAAAAAGAATGGCAGAATGGTTCGGTATCTCTCGTAAACGCCTTTGGCACCCGCCATGAGCCCTCGTCGTCCTCAACGGCCAACGTGTACCCCGTGCGCCTCGTATGTGCGCGCATGCACCCATCCATCACATGGAGAAACCATCTCTCGGTCGAGTGCGCATAAATCATCCCAATACGTAGGTCCGTCTTGCCTCTCTTCCTTTCCGCGCTAGGGTCCCATGGCCATCTGTTGCTGCATGGCGCTCACCGGCTGCTTCGCCGACGACGAAGGACGCTCCTCCACCGCCGGCAGAAGGGCAATGACTGCCTTGAGCAGGTGGTAGCCCGTGCGCCAGCAGACGCTCTTTTCCTGCTCCCCGCTCCAGATGTCGACGCAGCTGCGCAGCGTGTCCAGAATCAGTTGCCGCGGCGGCAGACGGCAGCCCGTCGCCGCCGCCCCGCTCAGCGGCGCGTCCTCGCGCAGCATGTGCACGCACGTCGTCAGCGTCGCCGAGAAGAAGTCGAGCACGAACGCCCGGCCCACCAGGTCCAGCCGCATGTTGGTGTCGCTGCACCACAGCTCGCGGTAGTGCACCAGCAGCGCCAGCGAGCACTCGAGCGACGACCAGTACGACTCGGGGAACAGCGTCGGCCCGTCCGGGTGCAGCGCGAACGGCCGGTGCAGCACCATGAGGCATCTCCGCAGGAAAATGTCCACCGTGATGCGCTGCAGCTGCGCCGTGCAGACCCGCTGGGCGTGTCCCATGAGCTCGCGTAGCTGCGCGTTGTACCGCAGCACGTCGGGGTACGAAATCTGGTCCTTCTTGGAGTTGATTTGTGCGAGCACCGACAACACCGTCGGAAGAGACTGGAAGAGTACCATCTGCAGGCTGTCCGGCGCGTCGGGCATCGACCGAAAGCCGCCGAGCTCATCCGGCCGTGTCAGGGGCGGCATGCCCGTGCACATGGACACTTTGATGTCGAGGTACAGGATCGTCAGCCACAGCTTCCGGCGCGAGTCCTTTTCAACCGGGTCCCGGAGGTCCTCGTCGTTGTCGTTCTTCTCCTGCGGGAGACCAAAGATAAAGGCCACCCTCACGAGGAGGCCGAGCAGCGTCCAGCAGGAATCGACAGACCAGCACGTGGCGTTGCACACGAGCTTGGCGACCGACATGAGCGACAGCGCCCGCAGCGTCATCAGCGTCGGTCGGAACATGAACGGCGTCTGCATCAGGCAGGCCTCGGCGGCCATCATCAGCTCTGTCGCCACGGGCGGCTCGTCGGCCGACGTGAAGCACCCCAGGCCCATCACCATGAGGAACTGTGAGAGCCAGCACAAGCTGACCGCGTTCGGGTCCTGCCAGTACCGGTCTATCTCCTCGCGGAACGTGCGCATGTCCAGGATCGGGTTGACGACGTCGAGAAGCTCCAGGTACCGCGTCAGATACTCGTCGCACTTGGCCTTCTCGCCGGCCAACAGCCGCGTCACCGCGTCGCGGGCGTAGTATTTCGTCGCGCCGGGTGTGCCAAAGGGAAAGTTGCCCGGCAGGCAAAAGTTGGCCAGACAGGCATTTGTACCGACGCCTTCGAGGGCTGCTGCCAAGGGTGACGTCTCGCCCGTGGCTGATGAGGCTAAAGAGCCGATCTGAAGAAGACTCAGCATTCGTAGTCACAGTGCCCGAAATCTGCTCAACATACCTTGGTCATGAGTTCGCGCCAGTGGCTGGATCCGCGCACCCGGTGTTGCACCTGCCAGGTTGCCATTTGGGGCTTCTTCTCGTCTTTGCTCGAAGGGACCGGTGCCGTGGGGCAGGGGAACTTGCCCCCGTTCGGACCCTTGTTGTAGCTGTAGTAGCATTCTCTCCCGTTGCCGCTGGCTTTGCATCTTCCGCACGGGAGCTCCTTATCGCATTTGACTTTGAGACGATGACAACGCAGGCAGCTCAGGCAGTTGCGCTTCCGCTTGCGCACGATGCGCTGGCCGTTGGTTGTCGCGCTGCCCGAGGTGGGAGCGTCATGCGGGGTCGGCGGCTCGTCCTGGTCTTGGATGTTTGAGGAGCCCGGCTCTGGGCTTTCGGTCGAGGTCGTGGGGGAGATGAGGCCGTTTGTCGGTGTCCCGGCGAGGTCGTCCTGGCCTGGCGACGCCGATGATGACGAGGCGACGGCAGCGCCGCTGACAGGCCCCGAGGCTGGCGGGGGTGCATTGCTCGGAGCGGGCATAGCTGCGTTGGCGGCGCGGGGACCGCCTACTGCAGACGACGACGCAAACTGCGGCGAAGCTTGCAGATTCGAGGCATGATGCTGCTGCTGCTGTTGCTGCAGAGGTGGCGGCGCATGCTGCGCTCCCGTCGGACCAAACGTGCCCGCTCGCTGCGGTGCGACTGTCGCAGCGGCCTGCGTGCCTGCGCTGGGTGCAGCGGTTCCCGTGACATCGAAGCTGCAGCGGACGCCGGCCTGGACGCAGCGGGTGCACGACGGCTTGAGGAGGTCGCATCGTCGCTTGAAGTGACGACACCGGTCACACGTCTTGACCTCGCGCATATGGGGCATGCCGGCGTGAGGGGGTTACAGAGTTGAAGCCGGACGTCGGATCGGTTCTCGGGGCGCCGAGGGCTCGCAAGAGTCCGCCGGCTCTTCGCGGCGTCGTGTGCGGAGAGGAGAGTGCCGGACGGAGCAAAATGGTGGAGGAATCGGAAGCCGATAGGGCTGACGGAGAAGGAGGGATTTCGCGAGCGTGGAGACTTGGTACTCGCGGTACTGGAGGCGGCCGCACTGCCGTTGGTCGAGGCAGGGTCGTTGTTCGTCGGGGGCTTCGCGGATTCGCTGTACCGGGGCGGCGGCGATGGGTTGGCCCAGAACGGCGGCGTGGGCTTCGAAAGGTCTGTCTGGCTCCAGTCGGCGTCTAAGCTGACATGCCAGGCGTCGGGGAGTTAAAGTGTTGGCTGCAAGAGCGAACGGCTTGGGAGTAGATGGTTGGTGGTTGCGAGGACGGACACAGTAGGGTTGCCAGTCTGTCGGGTCGGTCGCGACGGGGCGTTGGTTGTGCCGCTCGCTGGGCCAGGAACACGCAAAGGCTGCGCAAGCCACCTGCTGCGGCGGGCGGGCTCAGTCAGTCGGGTCGAGTCGAGGCCAGTCGTCGCGGCGTGCCCGCTTGTTCCTCCGGTCTCGCTTTTCCCCGCAAGCAAGGCGTCTCAGGTCGAGGCAACGAGCGAGGTCGAGTTCGAGACAGGGCCGGATCGCAACGGGCGCACGAGGGGTTTGCTGGCGGGAGAAAAAGTGCACGGAGTGGTGGCAGAGGTCGGCCATAAGCGAGACAAGAGGCGGCCCAGAGGCTGATAAATGGGGGGAGGCGATGGGACGGAGCGCAGACACGCACCGCACCGCACAGGCGACAGGACAGGGCTGCGAAGGATTGGCACGCCGGGTTCCTTCCTTCAGTCGGCCGAAGATGGCGCCAGCCGGGCAGAGCCAGCTCGAGCGACAAGCCTCCCGGTCGTGTTAGTGTCTGGCGCGGCACTGGCAGAGAAGACGGGGAAACGGGATTGGATCGTTTTGGGGGGGGCAGCGTGTGGGTGCGGCGCCCCGTTCGGTGGCCTCTGTTGAGGGGGAGAGAGGGAGCAGAAGAACGGCGGCAGCGGCAGCCCACAGCCAGCGGCGGCACCAGCCCAAAGGCGAGCGCCATCCAGCGACCAGGCAGCTTGTGATGGATGGTTGCTGGAGCCGGTAGGGCTACCTTCCTGAGGCCCATGCCTTGCGGTGGATTATGGTTCGCCGGCCCTACGGCGCTCAACTTTTAATGCTGCCCTTCAAGTATCCGCGTAACATGTCCATGTAGTCGTGCCCGTAATGCCACCCAAGCGAACACGACAGGGCGGCGAGAGCGCGACCGAGGCGAGGCGAGCGCAATGCCGTGCGTCGTCGTGGTCGAGGGGCAGCGATGTGAGCGAGGCTTGAACTGGCCGGGGGCCCCCCGTGGGCCCGATGCCTGCCTGACCAGGCCAGACCAGACCAGCACAGGGGTGTGGCCCCAAGGCAAGACAGGACCGGAGCAGCCAACGGGAGCGAGCTGGCGGGGGAGGGGAGGGGGGCGTGGACGCAGGGTGGTGCTAGCCGCAGCGAGTTTGCAGCGACGAGGCGCGCCACAGGGACGGGAGAGCTGCGGGAGACGTGGGAGGGGGGGCTGCCGTCGAGGCGAGCAGGACGGCATGGTCTGGCATGGCCTTGCTGACGGCGACGATGGCGACGTTCGATGAAGCGGGGCTGGCAGATGTCTCGGATGACCCGTCGAATCGCGTCGACACTACTTTGCAACGGGGACGAGAACGAGGGCGTGCAATCGGCCGAGGCAACGCACATCTACATCTAGTGCAGCCGCCGCAGATAGCTTAGCAAGACTAACGTTAGTAGTTGTAAATCACGGCATTGGTGACGACGGGTTGGATAGACGGCACGAACGGACGATGGCGGCCAGTGGGGGCGGACCCTCTTGGATTGGCATTGAGATTGGGATTTGGATTCAGAGAAGGGCTGGCTAGGTATGACTTGTTGCTGACCTGCCGTGCGTTTGGCCGGCTGAAGCCCGTCAGCACTCAATAACGAACGGCTCTCTCGGTATTGGCTGTACGAGGACTTGCCAGTCTACTCGTTCCCAAAGGGACCAGACCAGAGCGGCCCTTCATCTCTGTCTCCCTCTGCGTCTCCACGCGCGCACAGACATGGCGTGCGTGGTGGCGAGCGAGGGATCCGGCTTGCGGCAAGCTGTCAAAGTCAGTCGCAAATGCTAAAATGTATGCCGGGATGAGCGCAAGTGCGCGTCGGCTACGCCAACCGCGGCGTGTCGAGCGCCAGCGCCAGCGCCTGCGGCAGCGCCTATCTCAAGCAAGCGGGCGGGCGGCCCACGGTCGACGAACGAAACAACGGGCGGCGGCGGCGGCGCGACAGGGGCCTCATGGCGCGAGGAACAGCCGAAGGGCTCGAGGTCAGTCCAAGCCCCGGTGCGTGGGATGGTGGGGCTGGGCGGCGGCGCTGAGCGGGCTGCGGTTCTGCTGGAGCCAGGCGGGAATGCGGACGAAAGTTGACGGTGGGGGTTGATTGACCGGGGGGGCGAGGTTGAGGGGAACGTTAGAGGGATGGATGGGAGGCGGCAGGAGGGCGACCGGTCGCCATGGTTGCTGCTTGCTGCCAAACGTACCACACCGTGTGCCAGGCAAAATCCATGGGCGGCTGGGATGCATCATGGCCCCAAGGGCCTAAAGGGTTGCCTACGTTAGCGCCGCCGTCGATGCTTGGGTCAGGTGTGGGGAGAGGGCTTGGAGGAGGGTCGCCGCCCGTTGCGGTTGGCCCTGCGCCGAGCGTCGCATTGGGAGTGGGCATCCGTCCGCCGCCGCAGCACCAGCACCCGCACCAGCACCAGCGCGTGCATCGCATCGCTTCGCTGCACCCGAGGCGTGGGGAGCGGACTGGACGGACGGGCCACAGCAGCCCCGGGGCCCTGATGGGGGCTTGGGGGGGGATTGATGATGGAGTTGCTCTTGGCGTTGGATGGCGGCATCTCGCTGATGAGCCGTGCCAGGCCTCCGGGGCTTGGTCCGTCCACCCAGTCCCGTCGCCCGTGGACGGCAGATGGATGGCATGCCCAGGCAAGTCAGCCAGTGTTATTTTGTAGGTGGTTGGAAGCCCTCAGTTGCCCAGGACGCTGTGCCGGGGCGCGGGCGGCGCTGGCAAAGGCCGGCCCCTGCACACCCGGTCCAGGTCGTCCAAGGCCCTGACCAGGGTCCTGGCTGGGCGTTTGTTTGGCCATGCCCTACGAGGCAAGGCACGGCCGCTCGCGCTTGTGCTGCTTGTTGTGGAATACACTTCTCTTCCGGCCATTGCTCCGCAGCTCTGTCGGGCACTTCCTCTCAAGTGAGCCAGGCCACGGCACGTTCGGAGTTCCGTCGACTTGTCCGTGGGCTGAAAAGTCCGTGGGCAAAACGGAGCGGCGTGTTGGCGACGGTGGAGGCCGGGCATCGCGTTCCTCGAGTTGGAACCGCCCAGGCGTCGTGCGGGCCTTTGCAACCCGCCCAGAGGCTGGGCGACATGGGGACCATGGTTACCTCATCTTGTTAGGCGGCGGCGGGAGCCCGTAGATCTTCCCATACGAGGACGAATAGCGAGATGGCGAGCGGGTGCGTGTCGCCGGTATAAGTGAGGCGGTTTGGGACGGCAGGCCCTCAAGCCTGTACGCGGCGAATGCCAAGCAGTCGAGGCGGCGCTCGCTGCCCGCAGGAGCGCAAGGACGAATACGCGGACCGCAGCAAGGACCTGTGCTGCGCTCGGCAGTGACGAGAAATGTGAAGGCGGGGATGGAGTACCTACAGCACAACTCGGTGCAGCGTCGATGTCCCGCGCGTGGAGTGGAAGCGTGGAGGCGTGTGCATCCATCACCGTCCGGTCCAGCCCAGACCAGTGCCGGATGAGAATCTTGCCGGTACGTACTTAATGTACGTACGTCTAGTACTGTACTTGGTTCAGTGCCAGTGCAGTGCACAGAATCGGGCCCCAAAGAGGCAACAGCAATGTTGGTGCCAATCGGTAGCAGTTGCTTCGGCCTCGTTCCTTCCATCGTTCTGGACTCCCCAAGCTCGCGTCGCCCCTTCCCTCCCTGCGGCGTGGGGTCACCCCAGCATCCCAGCCCAGATTCCCAGGCCACCGCCTCAGGCTGCCAAAGAAGCAACACAACCTCCCGTCCCGACGATGCGCAACCCGGCTCCACGGTAGGGCTGGCCATGTCCAACACGCTCCTGTTTCTGTCTCTCACTCTACTCGTAGCTCTGTCGCGTCTGACCCGCGCACCGCTGACTGCTTCCGAGTACGGCATGTTTGGCACCCCGTGCCTACAGACACGGTACTGTTCCGTCCCTCACTGCCACCGCTGGTGAGATGACGCTTCGTTCCCAGACTCGATAGATGGCCCACGACGACAGACACGCACCGCATCGACCTCAACAAGTCGACGGCCCCGTGGCGGCAGCACACGCGACCTTGGCGCCCCTGCGACTCCGACAAGCTCACCAGGCATGTCATTAAACGCCTCAAAGGCCAAGCCTTGGTGGCTTGACGGGCGGCCAATGCCACCATCGCCAGCCCAATAGTCGATTCGACTCACTTTCTTCTTTTGGCTCCTCCTCCAGACACAATCAATCAGGCAGGGTCTTGCCTGCCGGCCGCCGTTGTGTGTAATGTTGCACAGGCCTCCCCCCTCTTCTCTCCGTCTGGGAACGAGGCGCCGTACTTCGTGCTTTGCATGTACAAGCACACCCGGGCCAGCCAAGTCCGCACTGCACCCTCATAACGGTTTTCTCCCGTTTTGGTGTGCTGTCTGTAAACGGCAGTCTCACGCTGCTGATGGTCGAGATCTGCCCCTAGACAGATGCTGAGGCACGACTGTCCGTCGAGTCCGGTCCCCCACTCGGACACTTTGCTCTCGGTCCAGCTCCCAGCCTCGATTATCAATCCGCCACCCGATTGCCAGCCCTCCCGCTCGCCGGCGTCTGCCTTTTCGGCACATCGTTCGGCGCCGTCGCGTCTTACGCGCTTACCCGCAACTGACTTGTTGTAACTTGTCCGGCACTGGCAGCTCAGACGCCTCCCCCGCGCCCGGCCACATCTTGTCTCGACCAGCTGGTCCGGCCGATCGAAGGATTCGACGCCGTTCCGTCTCGGTCCCAGACCAGCAGCTCTCGGCGCATGAGGCCAATTGACACCGTCCGACGTCGAAGCTGCCAGTGCCCCTGCCGTGGGAGTGTGGTATTGCCCACGCTCAATACTTTTGCGCCGGGGTTTGTGCAGACGGCACCGAGCCAAGCCGCCCTGTCAGCAATCACTCATCGCGCCTCTCCGTAACTCCGACGCCCATGGTCCATCATCTCGACGCTCGTCGTGATGCGTCGTCATGACGGCCAATTCGCGTCCTTGTACTACGTCTGTTTCTTCGTTTTGCTCATGTATTCACTTGCCATTACGGGCACAAGGATGCGCTGCCGAGATATACAGTATCTGTTGTCTTGACCGACGACGGCGCCCGCGCTTCGGCTCGTTGCACAAAACACAAACGTCAGTCGTGGCCAAGGATCTCCGTGCCACGAAACAATCCAAACCCTAAATCTTTGCAGGACTTTTGCGGTCCAGCAAATGCCTGGATCTCGCTACCGAGCTGAGAGACAATGGCAGCAATCAGCCCATCCGGCATTGAATCGCCCATCCGCGCACCACTCCGCGATGACAAACCCGGCACGCTCGCAATCAACCATCGTTTTGGGACAAACAGCGCGTTTTTTGGGAAGTCCCCATGGTTGGGGCGCTTGACGGTCGTCGGCTTGCTCGACTGCGGTGCCCTGGAGGTGTTTTTCTTCTCGATTGTCGTGAGTCGTCGCGTCTCTCACCTGCGCCATTCGCCGCTCATGGCGTCGTCGAGGCACTTATACGACAGGATACGAAAGGCTCGTCAAGGAACGGGCATGTCCTTTCGGGGCAGTCACCTACCCAACAAAGCCATCCTGGCGCACATCAGCGCTCCGAATCGGACATGCCTTCTCTGTGACCAAGTGGGCGAGGCGCGTGCGGACAGTGCTCGCCCGCACTGCTTACCTGTCGTACGATGACGACGTCCCGATCTGTTCTCCGCAAGCATCGCAAAGAGGAAGACGTGTTCGGCACCCCCTCTTTTACGTGTCCCTTGCGGCCCTTCTTGCCAGGCATCGCAATCCTTGAACTTGTCAGTCTGGATGCAGGGCACAGCCGGTGAGCCTGCAGTGTGGTCACCCCTAGCGCCGCATGTCCCTTGCGGGCAGACGCATGTGGCGACATGTACCTGCCTGTCTCGGTGCTCTGGCAAGGCAAGGCGTCTTATGTCGAGCCCTGGTGCCCCCGAGCCGGGCCGGCGTCCCGTGTCACGACGAGCTACGATATCGAAGGCGAATCCTTCTCGGCGAGCTCGGGTCTCTGGGCCATCTGTCCCGTCAGGCGTTGCCTCAGAGCTGTCAAGCCATGTGCCTGGTCGCATATCCCATGCCGATGGCCTCCTGACAACCCGCCTGCCGCATAGTATTTAGCTCCCGGCGCCCATCTGTTTCTCCGCGCCGAGCGTCTCCAGGGAATGGCGTCGCTCGCACTTTGACCCTGCGGCCCTGTCGCGCATCGCGTCGCCAAGCCAGCAAGCAAAAACCCATCGCGGCGGTCCCCGATCGTTCCGTCCCCGTCGCCACGCCCTCACAGCAGCTCAGCGCAGGGAATGCCGCCCCGGCTGCTCGGGTCCGGCCCCCGGCTCCCTTGCAAAATCATACACAAAGCACTAGTACGTGTCAAAGATGGATCTCAGACCTGCTATAGAGTCACTCGCCTGATCAATCCCCCGAGCCGTCACCTGCCTGTCTGCGCGGCGAGCCAGGCCTATTTTCGGAAATGTCTTGGAAGCCAGGTGGACTCTGCACCAAGTTAGCTAGCTGTGAGACTGTGACAAGATGCGCGCACCCCAAGGGAGAAGGAATAACACACTAGCCGCCACGTAGAACAGCTTCCACGTACGCTTAGTACCGTACGAAGAAAGGTCAGCATCGTGTCTGAAACGAGTTTCACGTGGTGGTGTCACTGCTGCCGCCCACGCCGCCGCCGCCGCCGTCGCTACTGCTGCTATTTTTGTACCACGCAGAAGTCATAACTACTCAAACAACTTTATTCGTACCTTGGTAGAATCTGCATCTTTCGGGGGGGCTTGAATCATTCCAGGCCCGTGGTCATGGGCTGCTGAAGCACAACCCCTATCTTGGAGTCGGTCCTCTTACTAGGTGCTGGGTGGGACCAGACAGGATGGTGGACCGACGACGACGACGACGACGACGACGACGGCCGACGACAACGAAGCCGTTTTCTGACTGAACCTTGGCCCTCAGCGAGAAGGGAAGCTGATTGCTTGCTCCATTGAGCTGTACTTCGTTCGTGCCAGAGTGCGTGCGCATGGCAGTTGCAGCTTGGCGGAGCCTAATTACTGAATGAACTAAAGAGGGATCGGGCAGTGTAGCAGTGTCTGTCGTCGTTTTCAAGTCCCGTTCAGGTCGTACAGGTATTATTAGTTGTTAAGAAGATACACAAGCGTCACAGGATATGAATGTCGGACACAAAAACGGTACAGCTACAACTTCTCATTCGAGGCCAGAGAGAATGGCCCGGGATACTGCTACCTCTACTGCTAAATCTGCTCAGCGTCAATCTGTGCCGCTTGCTACTGCTACTGCTACTGCTGCTGGTGATGCTGATGCTGCTATTGCAACTCAAGCACATGCAACTTTTACTGTGCCCGCCCGTCGGCTCACCTCGACGGGCGGGCTCGTCAACATCCTCCTCTATACGGGGCATCTTTCCGGCCGAGAGCCGCGGACGTCGCACCGTCGCCGTCCCGCGCGCGCTCCCGCATCCGGACCGCCCCGTCTCCCACTCATGTCATTGAGCTTCCTTGTCGTTGTCGGCAAGGGCCCTGCTCGCGCCGCTCTTCTCCGCCGCCGCCGTGTCGCTGTTGGAGCCGCTCTCTTCGTCGCCGCCGTTGGCCGGGCTGCTGTCGCCAGCGCCGCGTCCGAGATACTGTCCGAATACGCGGGTCTCGACGTCAGACTTGAAGTTGCCGCCCTTTTTGGCCTGGCGGCGGAAGTAGACGCGCTTGGCCAACTTCCACGACTCTATGCCCAGGAAGAAGAGCACGGCCTCGATGAAGACGATGCCCCATTCCCAGCTGATGCCTGCGTGCTTGAACACAACGGTGTTGAGGCCGGGAATGTAGATGATGGGGAACATGGTGACGAAGCCCGCGACGATGGCCCAGAAGAGAAACTTGTTGCGCCAGGCGTCGATGATCCACTGGGTAAAGTACTTCTTGCTCTTGGGCTGCATGCGGAAGAAGGACCGGCGCATGTTGACCATTTCCCAGGCGAGGAAGAGTGCGAACCAGGTGAGGCAGGCAAACGTCGTTGCGCGGGCCCGGAAGACGACTTTGCAGCCCTCAGAGTAATGGTTGTTGCAGTCGTGGCCAATGTCCGCGGCTCCATTGCCGAAGCCGTAGAGCACAAGGACAAACGACGCCAAGCAGAGGGCAGACATCCACAGGCCGTAAACAACCATGTCGAGCAGAAGCTCGGGCGTAAAGACACCTTGTTTCAGCTGGGGGACAGTCAGTCATCTGCTGATAATAGGCTGGGGTGAGGGGGTTGAACTCACGTTTTGAGGCGGTCGCTGCATAATGTCCGGGGCGGCAATCTCGAATCCCAAGCCCATGTCAGGCATACCCGACGTGATCATGATGATCCAGAGAATCTCCACGGGCGCAAGGGGAAACACCGAGATGCCCCGGCTGTCTTTGAATGCGAGGCCAATCAAAAGCGTGCAAGCCTGGGCAATGTTCTCGGCCAGAACATGCAGGATGAACTTTTGGATGTTGTCAAACATGCGGCGGCCTTCCTCGACGGCGTTGAGGATCGAAGCAAAGTTGTCGTCGGTCAGGACGATATCAGAAGCCTCTTTGGCGACGTCAGAGCCGGCCTGACCCATGGCGATGCCAACATCTGCCCGCTTCAAACTGGGCGAGTCGTTGACGCCGTCACCAGTCATGGCCACAAAGGCCTTGCGGCGGTGAAGAGCTTCGATCATGCGAACCTTGGTCTGAGGGGCGCAGCGAGCGACGACGAGCGGGAGAAGAGGGAGCTCATCGATTTCCTGGTCGGTTAGTTTGTCAAAGTCAGACGCAGCCATAACCATGGTCTTGGCAACATCGGAGGCAATCTGGTTCATCTTGGACGGCAGGATGCCAACCTCGAGAGCAATGGCACGAGCAGTCTCAGGATGGTCACCGGTCAACATGTGGACGCTGATGCCGGCCTCATGGCACATGCGGACAGAAGGGCCAGACTCGGGGCGAGGAGGGTCATAGAGACCGATCAGACCACGGAATGTGAGGTCTTTCTCAAAGTCTCCACGCTCGAGCTCTGCCTCGTTCTCCTGCACATGAGGGATATCGGTCTTGCTGGCGAGCGCCAACACACGCAGACCCAGACGAGCCATGGCTTCCATGTTCTTGAGGACATCGGCCTTGATGTCCTCGGAAAAGTCCTTGATTTCGTCGCCAACGGCATACTGCGGGCAGGATGTGAGAACTCGCTCCACAGCGCCCTTTGTAAAGAGCCACTGCTTCTGCGTCTCCTTGTTCTCGAAAATGACGGACATTTTCTTCACATCAGAGTCAAAGGGAAACTCGGCCTTTTGCTGCCACGTGGCCCCATCGCCAGTGGACAGGCGGAGACGGTTCCAGTTGAAACGGGACGCAAACACCTGAATGGCAATTTCGGTGGGATCGCCACGGCCTTTCCACTCTCCTTCGACTTGGTTCACAGAGGCAAGGTTGGCCAGTGAGGCAACGTTCAGATACTCGCGAAGGGTGGCGTCCTTGGCAACGAGCTGCTGGCCATCAATGGGCTCACCATCGGCATCGGCACCGCGGAAGTCAATATCTTTGGGCTGGGCGCTCGTGAGGCCGAGCTGGCCCACGGTAGGGTTGAAGGGCTCGCTCGTGGTACCGACTGAGTAGGTACCACGGCCGGGAACCCAAGCCTTCTTGACAATCATGTTACCCTGAGTCAGGGTCCCAGTCTTGTCCGAGCAGATATCTACGGGCAAGTTAAGCGATTGACGAGATGCAGGGGTGTGCGACGCTTACTAGAAACCGCACCTAGTGCCTCGAGGCTCTTGAGGTTGCGGACAATAACGTGCCGCTGGACCATGCGCTTAGTGCCAGCAGCCATCGTGATGGTCAAGACGACGATCAAGGAGGCCGGGATCATGGAGAGGCCAGTGGCGACGGCGTAGATGATGACCTCCTGTTTGGTGTCGAACTTGTTGGCGGCGAGGACGATGATGGCACAGACAATGGCCGTGCCGAGCAGGAGAATAGCCAGCTTGGATAGCTTCTTCTGGAGCGGAGTGCCGACATTGACGCCGAGGAAGCGACCGACGGCATCGGAACAAGTCAGAGTCCAGGCCTGGAGCCAGCGACCAAACGTGGTGGTGCCGTCCTCACGTCGCTTGGGCTGGCGACGGCGCGACGTCTTGCCACGTAGGGCGGCAGCAATCTGGCCAATCTCGGTGTAGAGGCCGGTTGCGAAGACGACGCCGCGAGCGCGTCCTTTAGTCACAGTCGAGGAGCTGTATGCAACATTGAGACGATCGCCAGGGCCAGTGTCCTCGGGAAAGGTAGTTGCCGTCTCCTTGCGGACAGGCAGGGACTCGCCGGTGAGGAGAGCCTCGTTGGTCTCAAAGTTGACGGCCTCGACCAGGCGGATGTCGGCCGGGATGGTATCACCGGTCTTGAGCTCCACCATGTCACCGGGCACGATCTCGGCGGTGACGACAGTCTCGTTGTTGCCGTTTCGAATAGCCTGAGCTGTGGGGGAGCTGAGGGAGCGCAGGGAGTCCATGGTCTTTGCCGCCTTGAACTCTTGGAAGAAGCCAACGACGATGTTGAGAACGATGACGGCAGTGATGACACCACCTTCAATCCATGACTGAATGCCAAACGAGGCAGCCATGGCAAGAATGAGGACCTGGGATTGGACTGTCAGTTACGATGGACCATCTCGGGCATCGAGGGCCCAGATGGCAGAGCGTAGGAGTTGGGAGGGATTGGGCTCGATTGCCATGTAATAAGGTAAACGCACCAGTGTGAGAGCATTGGCAATCTGCCCGATAAAGATCTTGACGGGTTGGACGCCCTTTTGCTCGCCAAATTCGTTACGGCCATACTCTTCCAATCGCCGTTTGGCCTCGTCGTCGGAGAGGCCGACCTCGACGTTGGCCTTGAGCTCGTCAACGACCCGGTCGATGGCGAGAGCGTGAGCCGGTGCCGTCATGGGCTTGTTGGCCTGCCCGGAGACGTGCTCCTGGGCATCATCTTTCTCCTTGCTGCTCATGACGAACAAACAAGACGGGAGTCAAAGAAGCGGTTGAGATGCTGCAGACAGCGGGGAGGAGGGGCGACCTCAACAGGAAGACGGCGGGCGGTGGACCTTGTTTATTGGCGACTCCAGCCGTGTCCAGCTGGGAGGACCGGTAGGACCGAGTATCAGCGCGGGCTGAAGCTGAAGTTGTCAGCTCAATGAGTTGCCGACCTGCCGACCAGGGATGGGGGGATCGGACGTCGGGAAGACTGATGAGGGGGAGAAGCCAGACGAGGTGACGGAGCAGGGCGATGGTTATCTTAAGTGCAGGAACGCGCCAAGAGAAGCAGAAAGAGACTTTGGTACGCAGGAAGTCGCCGCGGAGCCGACAACCTGGAGGCGGCGGCGCCCCCTGCAAGGGCTCAACTCACTAGCCATGCTAAAGCCGAATGACTTCACCGGGAACCCATTTTTTCTCTGCTGTCGAGTTCCATCGCGGAGTTCCTGGGACGATGGCGCAGACGCAGGCGCCTTGGCGGCTGGCCAGCCCGTGTCGGATTACTCGTCACGCACCGGGACACAGTGCACGAGACACCGTCCAGGGCAACACCAAGAACAGTCCATCGGCACGGAGGCGGTGATGCAGCAGCATTCGGTCTCGCCGAGCATTTCTCGTCGTGTCTGCTGAACGAGCGAGCTCTGTGTCGTGCCTTGCGTGCGTCGGGCGCCGAGGATGGCATTGTGCACTCTGGCAAGAGCATCATCTCTCTGCCTTTATCGTTCTACACGTCAACGTTGCGTGCCTGACGACGGCATTTCGCGGCGAGCGCGTTCGACAACATCCGGATGGCTTCCAGTGTTGTCGTTCATCAAGCAAGTTGTTGGCGTCCAAGTCTTGTTTTATATGTCCCACAGCTTCCCGCTCAGACACGTGTTTGTTGGGTATGGCGCCAGGACAAATGTCGTTGATGCAAGCGCATGTGCCTGTGCATGTCCCCGGGCAGGTCAGTTGCCTGCATGGCCGTTGTCAACTCTGCCGGGGACATGAGACACGGTATGTCGCCCGCATGATCGGAACGACGTCAGGTCACCCGGCAGTGCGTCGTCGACGCGGCTCTCGTCCTTCTTTTTTGGGCCATCGGCATGCCGGAGAGAAGGGTCGCACAGCGCCGTCGACGGGGCACAATTTGTTTCGTGTGTCAGACTGCCATGCGACAGCGTCGCTCTCGACGTCCAAGGACAGACACCAAACGCGTGCCATACAGACTGGCGGTCGTTGTCGACTCCAAAAGTACATGACGTTGCAGCGGTTGTTCCCGCCACGGTCCATGCCCAGCAAGATCCGCAGGTATGGAACACGGCCGATTGCCGAGTTGCACCCTGTGCTACGTTGGCAGCCGCTCCGGTCATCTGCACATGCGGAGTCCGCGGTCAGCGTCAAGGTCATGGACATAACTGACGACGACGGCAACCTCCGCTCTGCAGTTGACAGGGAAGACATACCAGAAAGCATCTAGGCGTTGCCATGCTATTGGCAAAGCAGCAAGTGCCACGGAAAGACCCCCGCGGGGCATCCGAATCCCGCGATAAACGAAGCAGCAACAATCCTCAAGCCAGCCTCTCTTGATGGTGTTCACTGTTGGATGGAAACCGCCAGGTGTTGTGGCTTGTCAACGCACACTGTGCAGGTTCGCCCCGGCCCCACCGTGGGGACTCGAGGCAGGTGCAGCCTTTGCGGTGTCGCCTTGGCGGGCCGGCTCTGCTCCAATGGCTGCCCCGTCCAGCCGCCGCCTCCCCGCTGCCAAGCGATAAGGTTTGGGCAGTGCACCGGCGCATCTCCATAACGACGGGGTACAGGCAAACAGGGCACCCGTACTCTGGGATTAGCGGTTAAGCACCGCCGGCAGCGACAGAAAATGTGCCGCCCGCCTGTGGCTTCGAACCTACATGGCCTGATTTCAAGGGCCCGTTCCAGAAGCCTTCCAGAACCAGATGTTCCTCAACTCAATGGCAGGCCCGCTGTCGCCAGCCAACACCGCCATGAGGAAATCCAACTGCCGCCATCCAAGGACACGGAGGCAGGACGAGATGACACGGGATGCATGCATTCATCTTCCGCCCTCTACCACAAAAGCCTAGCCGCTACTTCGTACCACTGCAGAGCGTGAGCCCTCGCCAAGAACCGGCGTGGGTCGTGACAAATGGTTATTGCGCCCATCTCCGTGCCTGGCGAGCCACGACAACCGAGAGCCGCGCAAGACGATCGTCCGCTAATGTTTGACGCTGGCTTGCACCCCCACAGAACGTCGGTTATCTGGGCTCGCGTCCCGTCTCACGAGTCACGGCTCTGGCGTTGCCGAGAGGCCCTGGGCCGGACCAGCCACTGCCGCCGAGCCATGCTTCTTTGATGCCAAGATCGCTTGTATGCACGTGCCCATCTACAGAGACGTAAGCGGCTCGGGACGCTTTGACTACGTGCTCAAGCCAAGGCAACGAGGCCAGGTGTGCGGTATGCCGTGGATGCACTACGCCGCATGCTCTAGTGGCGCTGGAGCCCACGAAGAGTTGACCACAGCTTCAGCAAGCCTGCCCAGTCCGGCTTGGACTCGTTGTCGAGACTGGAATGGCTCGACAGAGTGCATGTGTTGGCCTGATTGCCTTTCCAGAGTTGCCGTCCTAACGATAGGTGCTCAAACATCGTCCATCGTCCTGCCATCCTGACCAACATTTTCGCCCGGCTCTCTGTCCTGAACGGTGAGACGAAATCAGGCCATTTGGCAAGTAACCCCGTACTGACAGCCACCGAAGCCAAACACGACTTTGCAGTCGCGATAACATTGAGTGGAGCTGCTCGATCGTAGCGTGCCATCAACCACGGGACGGGGTCCGTCATTTAACTATTACAACGTGACGCCCAATATGACTTGGCCGCTGCTTCTGTCCACCCGACACTCCTAGGATCCCGCTCCTTGACTGACTTCGGGACAGCTACTCGTATTAACGTCAACTACGAGCGACGCAGGTAGAGAGGAGCCGGTTCTTCGCCAACTCTATACCATTGAGCCAGCGTGGGCCAAAGTGCCTTAGAGAGACGGCGGCGGCGGCGGCAACGACGGCTGCTCAACGGTCGAAGCGGCAGAAAGGGCAGCAATGGCATTCTTCCCTGGGTTGTTTCGTTGCTCTCATTCGGGCTTGAGCGCCATGGCCCGGAAATTGACTACCCTGACAAGGCGACGAGAAGCCCGGACAGGCTCTCATATGATTTCGTGTCCAACGCGATGTCTGCTTCCGTCGGACAGTAACGCCGCTGTCCCATGAGAACGGGCTTCCAGCCTGAATTAGAACGAAGCCATCTGAAACGAGTTTGCATGTACCTGGCGTTTCGGACCGGGTAAGAGAAGCCTATCTAGGGGGCTGAGCTACCAGTCCTTGCGGCCATCATCATTCTACTAGTTGTTTTGGCGAAGCCGGGCAGGACGGGCAACATCGACCGGCTACCGCTGACGCAAAGGCAATCAATGGAAACGCAAGGCCAGCAGAGCCAAGGATGGGGTCAATGCAGGCGGCCGAACTACAAAATGTTTTAGATGGCACAGGCATGAGCTTGAGAGCTGCGAGAGTCCAAGTAGCCTTCCGAGCCCGCTCACCACCAGTCCCAGAGAGTCGGTCAAGTCTCACATCGAAAGCCAATCTATCTCCGAAAATAACAAGACAGCCTCGGGACGCAGATCGAGCCATGACGCATCTTGAGAGGCTCGGCAGAGCTTGCAGGGCTCACGTCGCGTACAGGTCAGGGAGCGATGTATTAGGCAGAGGTGAAGCAATGCAGCTAGCGTCGACTAGAGGAGGCAGCGTGGTGCCATACTTGCTCGGCCGAGTCCGCTGCCTGCCATCGTGATCCGGGGAGGGTGGACTGCGTGCCCATCGTCAGTCGGCAGGAGATCGGACGCAGGGCGCATCAGAGTGCGACTCGACAGGTGATTGATTAGAAGAGTACTCGGAGAGCCGAACGCGAGGGTGATATTCAGGGTCCATTGATCGGAACCAACCAGGCATTGGGTCTTGGGCGGGATGATCCGCGCTGCCTGCGACCGTTCGATGTCGCTCGACAAGGTGACGGAGGTCCTTGTGTTGGTTGTGCTTGTGAGAAGTTACTTGAACAAGGTTGCACTTGATGTCATGGGCCGCCAGTGGGTCATGGAGGCCTGTGGCTGGCGGCAAGGACGGGGGGCCTTTAGTGGCTGTTTGGGCGTCTTTAGTTGATGCTCCAGCAGGGCGGAGGTGCCAGGAGGACACGCGCGGGAAGGAGCCGGCCAGAGGTGTGGCAGCCCGTTGTATGAGGAAATGTACCTTGTACCCCCCAGCCAGCCCTAAGCCAACCATCTCCATCTCCCCGATCGACGATGGAATGTCGCTGATGACTTCATACCCGCCGTCGTCGCGCGAATCGAACTCGCCGGCCGCCCATCGACGCGGCCGCCATTCGCCACGACAATTTTCTACCGCGCTGCGCTGCACTACCAACACGCGAGATGGACGGGAGCAGACGCAGGCACAGCGCTGAGCATTCCACGGCGACCCGGGGCAACCTCCCCGGGTGGCCCTAGCAGCGGCCAGCCAGTTGCCCAGAGGTGCCATCGAAGCCTTTTCCTTGGGAAGGGAACCTCCATCCCTTCGCGTGTGTGCTCCAACCTCCCGTCGCGTCGGCCACGCACATGACGCACCGGCAGCCGTCATCGGTTGACGACCCCGGATTGGAACCTCCGGCGCCCTGAGGATCTGCATACACCCTTCATCCCCGGCCGAGCCCCTGCTGCAGACGACTTGACCTACATGACAATGTCCCCTGAGTTTCTCATGTGCGATTCAGTGCACAATCTCAGACTTGCCTCCAGTTGATCTCTCGAAAACGAGGTCGGCAGCCGCATGTCGGCGAGGAGCGCGGTTCTTACTGCTCTGATATTGCGACGAAGCGTCTCGGGAGCCCAGCCGATACCGACGGCGACGACGACGACGGCAACGCGCCTGCCCAGCCCTCCTCGATTCCTCACGGCGGCCGCACTCGCCATGCCTCCGAAGCGAAAGAGAGCCGAAGACCATCCGGCGCGCGAAGATGCGCCGCGCCGCAGCAGCAGGCGGGTCAAGGAGCCGCCTACTGTCGTGAAAGCCTCGAGCGTCTCCAAAACTGGCCTTCTCGACGATAGCTCCCCCAAGGCGAGGCGCGCAGTCGAACGCGCCATGCTCGAGCTAAGCGAGATGGAGCACAAGCTACAGGATGATACTCGACGACAGCGCCTTGCCATTCAGAGCTCCAGCTTCCGCGTCGATGCCGAGGACGCCACCAGGGTCGCGTTCCAGACCTATTCCTCGGTGCCAGCCGAGGAGATGGTCCCCGACACCGCTCTGGGCAAGGCAAACGGCACCAATTCGGATGACGAAATTGGCAATGACCGTGACTCGGAGTACGTCATCAGCAACAAGGACGAGGGGGGCGATGTTGCTGCAGAACGAGGCGCGAAGAGGCCGCCCCCGGTCAACAGTGAGAAACTGCCTCTGCCGTGGTCGGGTCGCCTGGGTTACGTGAGAAGCCTCTACAGATCCACGGCGGTGTCTGCCAAAGGTACGCGGTGTTCAGCAGCTAACGTGCAAGCAGGCGTGCCTAAACACCTATTTGAGATCCGCGAACCCACCGGTATTCTCCTCTAGGACCTGCAGGATCAGCTCCATCCTCGAGCACCGGCACCCCCTCCAGGATCCTTCCCAGCCCGAGCACCCGACCAAGAATCGCCCCGACACGAGCAAGCCCGCAGACGTCACCCGCGGCCTCAAGTACGTTCAGGACCTAGGCCTCGCCAACGCCAGGGACATCGTCAAGATGCTGCGCTGGAACGACAAGTACGGCATCAAGTTCATGCGGCTTAGCAGCGAAATGTTCCCTTTTGCGAGCCACGATCAGTACGGCTACAAGCTGGCACCCTTTGCCTCCGAAGTGCTGGCCGAGGCTGGCAGGGTAGCTGCTGAATTGGGCCACCGCCTGACTACGCACCCAGGCCAGTTCACGCAGCTTGGGAGCCCGAGAAAGGAGGTTGTCAGGGCCGCCATCCGTGACCTGGACTACCACGACGAGATGTTGTCGCTGCTCAAGCTGCCGGACCAGCAGAACCGCGACGCGGTCATGATCCTTCACATGGGCGGCATGTTTGGCGACAAGGAAGCAACACTTAACCGGTTCAGAGAAAACTATGCCCTTTTGTCGGACAGCGTCAAGCGGCGCCTGGTCTTGGAAAATGACGACGTGTCCTGGAGTGTGCACGACCTGCTCCCGATCTGCGAGGAGCTCAACATTCCCCTCGTCTTGGACTACCACCACCACAACATCGTCTTCGATCCGTGCATGCGGGAGGGAACGCTGGACATTATGCAGCTGTACGACCGCATCCGCGCAACGTGGACGAGGAAGCGCATCAACCAGAAGATGCACTACAGCGAAGCGACGGCGGCGGCGGTGACGCCGCGCGAGCGGAGAAAGCACTCGGCACGAGTTAAGACGCTGCCGCCCTGCCCGCCGGACATGGACCTCATGATCGAGGCCAAGGACAAGGAGCAGGCCGTGTTCGAGCTGATGCGGACGTTCCGGCTACCCGGCTGGGACCGCTTTAACGCTTTGGTGCCGCACGAGCGGGATGACGAGCCGCGCAAGGAGGTGGTCCGCAAGGCCAAAGGGAAGAAGAAGGGCGCCAAGAGTGGCGAGGATGAAGATGAGGTGCTGGTGCCGGAGAAGATGGTGAGCCCGGAGAGGGTATCGATGGGCGGGCCAGAGGGCAGGGTGTACTGGCCCGAGGGAATGGAGGAGTGGCTGCGGCCAAAGAAAAGAGAGGTGAAGAAGAAAGTCGGCGTAAAGGACGAGTAATGTTCGGGTCGGTCACCGAGGCGGTGACTTGTAAGATAGACACACATGGTAAACACGAGGTGTTGGGGCGTTGGGTGACGCAGCCAAAGCGGCATCGGGACGGTTTGGATTAAAACGAATGGACAATGCTTGATACAACACTTATACTTATGCTCTTCCTGGTGTATATCGGGTTTCCGTAACATAGAATTAAAGCTATCAGAACCACAAAGTGTGCCATGCTAGACCGTACCAGACCATCCTGCTGACATGGCTCCATTCAGCGAGAGCACCGTGGCACTACCCTATACGAAAATTCGGACCTTGGCCCAGTACGATGCGACGCAAGTAACGTGCTCTTTAGCAGCTGAAATCACCTCACCGCTCCCATTAAACTCAAATGAGTCACCAGAAGCATCCTTCCCCGGCTCGTTGGCCCTGTTTACACCGAGGTCCGTAGCAATACTCTCACTTGCCTGAAACGGAGCTCGTGTTTGCTCCAACCCGTTGGAGGGTTGCACACACGAAAGGCGTGATTTCTCGCAGAATCTGCAAAGAACTGCCCAGTCGGCGTACAACAGAACAATTACCTCAGAAATGATTTTTGACGCGCTCGTGTGCACCGCTGCGCGTGCCGCAAACACTCCGCGCCGTGTTCGCGGCACTTGGCACGGCCTAAGTATCGTGGCGACAGGAGGACCGCACAGTGTGAGCGCGGTACGTCGTCTGCGACGACCCTCACGGCGGGCACTGTGCAATTTTTTGCACTTTCATCAACATGCGTTGAAAGCCTCACCGTCAGCCTCATTCTGCGACCTCGACGGCTCGAGTGCATTTCTCAAGGCTGACGAGGCAGATTTCTCAGCTGACGACCATTGCTCCGTGCTACCGGACGCGCTGTTCCGAAGTCACCTGGCACGCCGCGGCTGCCTCGGCCGCATATCATGGCGCAGGCATCCTTTGACCAGACGACCGACAGCTTCCTGCGCTGGTTCACGTCACTCCCAGGCGCGACGTTTTCAGAGGCCATCAAGATTGTTGACCTGAGGTCTCGCAATGCTGGTCGTGGTATAGGTACGTCGGCGTGATACGAATCGCTTGGCCGTAACTGATCGGACTAGTCGCTACCCAGGACATCCCGGCGGATGCCACGCTCTTCACGATCCCTCGGAAAGCTATCATCAATATCGAGACATCTAGGCTGCGCGAGCGGATCCCGTCACTGTTTGAGAGCAATGGCGACGAGGACGACCAGCAGCAGCTCGACTCTTGGACAGCGCTCATCCTGATACTCATCTACGAGCACTTCCAAGGCGAGAACTCACAATGGAAGCCCTACCTGGATGTCTTGCCCGAGGCCTTTGACACGCCAATGTTCTGGAACGATGCCGAGCTGGCCGAGCTGCAAGCCAGCGCGACGCGTTCCAAGATTGGCCGCGAGAGCGCCGAAGCCACGTTCCGTACGAAGTTGGTGCCGGCTGTGCGGACGAACCCTGGCGTGTTCCCCGGGAGCGAGGGGCTCAACGACGAGGGCCTGATTGCTCTGGCGCACAGGATGGGAAGCACAATCATGGCGTATGCGTTCGACCTCGAGAACGAACATGAAGAGGAGGAGAATGAAGACGGATGGGTCGAGGACCGAGAGGGCAAGGAGTTGATGGGCATGGTGCCCATGGCCGACATACTGAATGCCGATGCCGAGTTCAACGCAAGTGCACTGAGTGACAAGAACAATGGCAACTCGGGCTAACTTGATGCAGGCACACGTCAACCACGAAGATGAGAGCCTGACCGTGACCTCTCTCCGCCCAATCAGGGCCGGCGAAGAGATTCTTAACTACTACGGGCCGCTTCCAAACTCGGAGCTTCTTCGCCGATACGGATACGTGACCGAGAGGCACGTGCGCTACGATGTGGTCGAGATCCCCTGGGACACTGTTTTGAATGCTGCAGTGGTACAGCTTGGCCTGTCAAGGGACTTTGTTGACAAGGCTGTTAGTGGCACCCCCTCACACCGGAGACCAGTACTGACATGATGAAGCTCGAGCGGCTGGATGAAGAGGAGCTGGAAGATGTCTTCGTGCTGGAGCGTGAGTTTGTCGAACCAAACTCGGACGGCACTTTTGCTGGCCCGGCTACTCTCGAGGACATGCCCGCGGACCTCCAGGACCAGCTCAAGAGGCTTCTCAAGGCACTGCAAAAGCTCGATGAAGGCCTGGTTCCAGACAAGCGGAAACGTGCCGAAATGCAACAGGCCATCCTTGTCAAGTCAATCCTGGATATCGAGTCGAGGTACCCAACGACCATGGCCGAGGACAAGCTTTTCCTGCAGCAGGAAAGCATCACGCCACGTCAACGAATGGCAGCGCAAGTGAGGCTGGGAGAGAAGCAACTTTTGCAAGAAGCCAAGGGGCTCCTAGCCAGCGCTTCGGCTGAGACCGGACAGGACGGTTCCGGGCCGGCCAAGAAGGCCAGGCGGGCCGGCTGATCCGCGCAGCTGGACTGGTTACGCAAATCAATTCGCCGGGACACCAGGGACATCAGACGAATCGCTGAACTTTGCGGACGCCATCGCTGCCGACTTGCGGGCGGCTGTCAGGCTTGGGACGAAACCGGGCGCCTGGGGAGACAGCCACTAATAGACACTTCAAACCATACCCCAGACGATGCTGGCAATTTCACTTGTCCGTTTCGGTTGCAGGGCTCTCTGCCGACATATTTCCTGGCATATATGGGACGATGCTTATGGTGACACATGCAATGGGGGTCCATTGGCCGTTCCGCGCATCACTCGGGCGCCGTGATGGAGAAGCCAGGACTGGACAGCCTCATTTTGCTAACTGGTCGAGAAAGAAAGACGACATACGGACCCAATACAGGCTTTGACTGTCAAACAGAGCCCCCTGCTGCTGACACGAGGTGCGGCCTCGGACGCAGATTCCAACGTCGAGCTCCACGGTCACGTCCAGGAGACCTGAAGCCAATGAGGAACCATAGCGACGTGATTCGTCTCTGCTTTGTCAGACGGTGACCGAGCGGCTGGCAGAGCGGAAAAGCTGTGCGACTGGACATCAAGCCACGGTCCACCGAGCACAGCGGTAGCCGGTATTACATGGCTGCCGAGCCAACGATGTCAACCCGCCGGAGCATGGCCATGTACGCCATGACAAATGACATATAAGGTGATGCAGCGAGCTCGTGTCGGCGAGACCCTGATGGCCACGATCGAACTCGGCGGCGTCGCCTGCCCGGCATCGGTCTGGACTCACCCTGCGGACCCGACGATATGGATTGGTGTTGATGATGCCGCAGCGCATCGTGCTACCCATCCGCAGTCTCACGCTTGCGGGCGCAGCCTGCGGCCTGGAATTCGTCATGTCGAGTCCCGAGACGCATGGCGCCCCCAGGATGATGTCGGGCGTTCAAACAGAGAATGCAATGGACGCTGGCTTGGCAGGCACGGGAGCCTCATCAGGTGGTCGACAAGACGTCTCCTTTCCGGCCCCCGGAGCCAGACAACCGCTCCGACCGGGCATCAACTGCTTCAGCGTCGCGTTATCAGGTCTCAGTCCATGAAGGGGGCCTCGGGGTCTGCGGATTGGCCGGGCATTCTGAACAAGGTCTCGCGCCACGAATCGCGGCCGGCCGCCACCTCTTGTCGATGAGGCTCAACTACCCTTTTGAGAAATTGAAGGCTGACGACCGGAAGGTTGAGGAGAACATGCATACATTGGTTTCGGACGCAGCCGCGGCTAGCGTGAACATTCGACCATTCAGCCTGGACGCACGCCGCCATCGATTGGCCCGACGCCCGCAGGATACGGTAGACTTGTTTTGATGAGACACGGTCGGCGCCCCCGCTCGTCCAACTGGTTTGCTGGTCGACACCGATTCCGCGACGTGCGAGCAGCACCCGCACGGCAGGCTAGCGCAAAGCATACGTACATGCGTGCCCGTGCGAGCGGGCCGGACGGACGGCGGGACGGGAAGGCGATGAGATGAGCCAAGAGCCAGGAACAGAGGAGCTCGGCGGTGGAATCCACGTGGCGATCTTGCCCGCGAGAATGGCGAAGCGCCGACGGTTCAGAGGCCCCGCGCGTCTTCCGTGGGGGAGGGGGGGAGCCAGCGAGGCCCCCAAAGGGGCAATTCGACGTGCCGGTCGTGAGGGTGCAATGGCACCATCCCTGAGGGCCGGCCCTCGCACAAGGCTGGCGGGATTTCCTGCGGCCGGCGGCCCAGGAAGCCTGCTCACGAGACTTGCGCAGGCCTGCCTGCTCATGTAGGCCGACGTCAAGGCCTCCCGCCGCGACACAGGGACCCCAGTCAGCCGCAGCCCGGCGCCGACCCGAGGAGATGCAGAGTCAGCAGCGCCGTCTGGAGCCCTTGACGCGGAGGCTGCCCTGAGCAGTCCCGACCTCCTTCCAACGCTGGCGCACAACATGTCGGCCTAACCTCACCGATTTCCGTTGATACCTTGGCCTTGGGCATCGATACCTCTGCGATATCCTCGCCCACGCAAACGGCGGTCGGGGATCCTGGCGACCGCTCGGGACATAAGATGTGGCCCTGGGGATCTCCATCCTGAGGCTTCATTGTACCGGCACGCCAGACGACCGTCGCGCAATGGGAATGTCGCCGCCACACAGTCTACACCTTCGAGCCAGGCGCAAGCGTAGCGATACACAGCATCATGTCGTCCTCGAGGGACCACCATGTGAGTAACTTGCCCAGCAAGGCTATGCGCGGTCTGTTTCCCTGACAAGCTGCTAACACAGAGCTGACGTAGGGAAAGCGGAGCAGCAAGTACCCGGACAAGTCCTACTCAGACAAGCATCACTCTGACAAGCACCACTCTTCGGACGGACGTCACCAGTCTAGCAAGGCCAAGCCCAGTTCCAGCGGAAGCTATCCGTTGAGTTTCATCTTCGTCGTCAACAGGCTCGGATTTTATGACGCACCTCCCCTGGATCCGGAAACCGAGATCGACTACTGCAGGGACAAGTGGATGAACACATTGCCGCCGAGAGTCTGGTACGGATACACGAGGGAATACGAAAGCCGTGTGATGAAATATTACGACGGCTCCGTGACCGTGGCTTCTGAGTACTACTGGTCCCGTGGCAGCTTGGGCCAGCCAGGGTACATATGCAAGATGGAGGAGGATGGATCCATGAGCGTAGCTGAAGAGTTCAGCTCCCGTGGTGTCTTCTCTTGCAACCCGCATTTACCGCTTGTGATAATACCCGAGGACCCGACTACTTGCGCCCTAACGAACCAAAAGAAGGTCATGCATGCCCTGCATTTCGTCCACGCGCTCAACCCAGACGGCATCTCGTACGCCTCGACAGATGATCTTTCGCAAATTCCGATACAGTACAGTGCTTGTCAGAAACACCTTGATGGCGCGCGCTCAAGTTTGATACCGAGCCTCGTGCCACCATCGTATGAGCCCCCTACAACACCACCACGACGCTCAAGGGGGCTGTCCGGCGACCTTGGAATCCTGCTGGGGATGATGGCATTCAGCCGTAACACTGTTGAGGAGGTTTTCGTGGGCCGCAGTCCCTTGTGGCGAAACAGGGTGTGGCACGAGAGTGACCATCTTCCGAGGCTATGTACGCCGCTCGCCCAACCCCCTGAGAGTCGCGGACCGCTGACTGAGGTTGAAAAGACCCAACTGATACCCGCCAATGCCCCGTCGGCTTCCTGGTGGTCGTGTGCCTGGACCCCGACAACCCCGGCTCAACTCATGAGCGGCTGCAAAGCTTCCAGTGGGGAAATAGCGCGATCGTGAAGGAGCCGAGTTCGTCGAAGCGATGACGACTTCCCCCCCTGACAAAAGGATGGCGCGTTGTGTCTGCCCGCTCTCCCTGCGGTCCATCGGCTTCCTCCCAGCAGGCAAACCGCCCCTTGGTCATCATGGCAGGGCCCGACTTTGCTTCCGCTGATACGCAGGCGCTTTCCTCGCCGCATGGCAGATCGCCCGCGCAGGGCATTCAAATGACGTTTTTTGTACCCCTCTCTCCTTATATGTTTTGCTGGAGACCTGGCCTCGCTTGCGAGCTTGGCACGGCTTCAGCGACTTTCTTCTACTAGGAACAAATTGCTCGGTCACAGGCGGAAGGACCAGACGTGTGGCAGCACCCCGTGCTGTTCTTCCAAATCCTCCTCCTCCGCCGCGGCCTTCAACACACCACGTTACAGAACAAGCCCCCTCCCTTCTCCCCGGTAGACAGACAGACAGAGAGACGATGGCACGACAGGGACCAAAATTTGCGATGGGGTCTGTCTACCGGGCTTTGGGAGCGGGCTTGGGGTTTCTGCCGATACAGACTCACTGACATTTTACGTTTACGTTTTACGTTGACTACTCGAATTTGACAACACAACGACAACGACAACAGGGCGGTGACGGACGTACCGTACCGCTGGGGAACTGCACCCGGAGCTCCGTTTAGGGATGGAGCAGGCAGGGTTAGGCAGAGCAGGGCAGGGGAGGAACGGACACGGACGGACGGACGGATGGGCTTACGACGAGACGTTTCCCTATGACCTTTGAACTTGTTCTTCGTCTTATCTCTCTCTCCTTCTCTTTCTCTCTCTCTCCTTGATTCCTTCCTTCCTCTTGTTCGTCGTCTTGGTCAATCTCCTATGTGTGTGGACGGACGGACGCCCTGCCCCCCCCCTTTTCGCGGTGGGCAAATGTTCGTAGTCTCTCCTTTTTTTTCTTGCTTCGAAAATCTCGAATTGACAACAACAACTCGCTCTATGAAGACGCCCCCATCAGATGGTTGGACTGGCCCTCCATCCCTCTCCTTCCCCTTCTCCTTGCGCCAACGGCCTATGCTGCTTCCTGCCACGAGGTGGCTCGCCGTCCAACGTATAGTTACCCTATTCATTCTATGGACCCACTACTCCGCCAGTATTACGCCATCCGTGATGCTGCTGCCCCCAAGTCCGCCAGACATGGTCGCACGAGCGGGATAAAGCTGGTCTTCGTCGAAGAGAGGGGCGCTGTCCCGCAGCGGCATGAAGTCTTTCACTATCCCCTCCTTTCCCCTGCCTGTGCAAGGCTGTGCAAGAGGGGGGACGCTCCCGAGCCCGTGGACGGCCTCCTCTTGTTCATGCTGATGATACTCGGGGCATTTTAAAAGGCCGAGAGAGGAGTAACGCCCCCCTCAGACGGCGTCTGGTAGGCGCACGGCAATGTCGCCAGACTGTGTAATGTATCGGACCCATGGCAGGGACGGGTATTGCAGCTGGTGGAGGTGTCAGTCCGGTGAATCTTAGTCGGACGCGGAAGAAAGGCAACAGAGTGGCTAGACGTACCTTGGGCTCGGTAATCTTGAGATACCGCACCTGGATGCCGCTGGTGGTAAAGTAAGGGATCTCAAACTTGACCTGAATAGGGCGCTTCGCGCCTTTGCCCATGCCGCCGACGCCGCCCATGCTGCCGCCGAAGCCGCCCGTCATGCCGCCGCCGTGCTCGTCATCGCCGCGGACGCTGGGGAGCCCCAGCTCGGCGCGCATGAGAAACTCCTTTTGGCCGCCAAACTGCTTAATCTTCCAGACGATGGCGCTCTGCTCGGGGGCGTAGTGGACGGAGCCAATGTTGGTGCGGAAGCGCGGGGTGTCGGCGTCGTCGGGGACAGGGACGATGATCTCGACGTTGTTGGCGGTGCTGCGGCGCTTGAACTGGGCCCTGGCCTTGAGGGTGTACTCGATGCGGGAGCCCGAGTGGGACTCCACGACGCACTCGACCCAGATGAGGGGCTTGACCTGGGTGTTGAGGCGGTAGGACATGAGCTCGAACTCGCCGTCCGGGGGGATGAAGGAGATGGTGCGGTCGTTTTCGAAGCGCGAGAGGCGGACGCACTGGTGGAACTTGACGTCCTCCATCTCGATGGCCTTGCCGCGGGTGGTGCGGCCCGTCGTCTCGAACATGACCTTGTCGTTGAGGCCGAGGCGCAGCTCGGGCATGCCGCTGAGGTAGCACTTCATCTTGATGGCGCCGAGGATCTCGGAGCGGAGGACGTTGCCGTTTGCGCTGACGAGGAGATTGAGGCTCTCGACGACGTCGAGGAAGACCTCGTTCTTGCGGTAGCGGATGCCCTCGGAGCGCCACGAGACGGCGTTTGTGACGGCGATGGGGGGCCGGGCCTGGATCTCGAGCTTGTGCGACTCCTGCGTGATGTACTCCTGGAGGATCTTGGACTCGGTCGTCTGCGGGTAGCCAAAGTCCATCATCTCGTCGAGGAGCTCGTAGATGATGACGAAGTTGTCGCGGATCGACTCCTCCTCGAGCGCCTTGAAGTACTCGGTGAAAACCTGTACGATCTTGTGCAGGAAGAGGAGGATCTCGGCGGCGTTTGTGTTGCGCTTGGTCAGGGCGAGGAGGTAGAGGTTGTTGTGGCGGATGTAGAGGTACTGGCGGTGGTGTCAGCGAGGGGACCGGGGAAGGGGGGGACGAGTCTGCCGGAGTAGAGGGGTGTTCTCGGGGGGACGACGCACGTTGATGCCCTCGTGGGAGAAGCAGGGCGGGACGGCGGAGGATTCTTCTTCGGCTTCGGAGAGGAGGACGGGGAACTTTTCGACGGCCGACATGGGGATGTCACCCCTGTAGTTGCGGGCGAGGAGGGTCTGCAGTTGTCAGCTCTGTGCGCTGCGGCGTGCGACGCGCTCGAGGGGGGCCAAGGGCGAGCCTACCTTGCCCTTGAGGTCGAGGAAGAAGAGCGCAGACGCCATGGTGGATGGCGGCCGACGTTGCGTGTCGTGGTCGTGATCGTGGTGGTCGAGTCGTGGAGGAGGAGGAGGGAGGGGGAGCGGAGGGGCAGGCAGGCAGCAAGGAGGCGGGTGGGCGTCAATTGGCGCTGCGGCCGACAGCAGGAGAGGGAGAGGCGTGCGCGAGCGCGGAGGTGGTGATGTTCATGCGCGTTGCGGACGGCTGGAGCTCCGGGGGGACGGCGATGGACGCTCACAGACGGGTCATGGTGGTTCGGGTCGGAGTGACGATATGGAAATTTGGCTTCAAGAGCTCGTGCTGCCTCGTGGCGCTGGCGTGGGTGGTGGTCGTTATGGGCGGTGCTGCTGCTGTTGCTGCTGCTGCAGGTCAGGCTGGCTGGCCGTCAGTGGAAGCTCGCCAATGAGAGGTCACTGGAGCTGTTCCGTCCGCTGTCCGTTCACTGGCTGACCCGGTAAAACGCCGGCCCTGCCCCTGGCGGTGCTCAAACCCCCCACCGTCGCGCCGCACGTGACCCAGCCCAGCTCGTGGAGCCCGACCATGAAAATATTCCACCCGTGCGAGCCACGAGGTCCTCTTCTCCTTTCCTTTCCTTCACCAACGCGCCCTCTAGACAGTGCAGCCCATCCTCCAGCCCGCGTCCAACCGGCATTCTGTCGGTTCGGGCTGCGGCGCCGTGGACGGCAGCTGCGATTTCGCGGCGCGGAGAACGAAGGAAAAACATTGGTTCATTAAGAGCTGCCCGAGTACGATGAAAGTCACCCCTGTGGCTTGGGCGGCGTCAGAGGAGCCGGACATTCTTGCGATTCGATTCTTTTGCCCCTTGCACGGTACTGTATGCCGTGTCGCCACCAGGGAGCGCAACAGAGGGTTGGCTCGAGGCGGTCTGCGAAGACAGTGCTGCGAAGACGGTTGACGGGGCGCAGGCCGTGCTGCTGCATTGGGCCTCGTGACGGCACGCGTGCCGATGCCTCGGCTGGCGAAGAGTGATGATGGGTGGCTACGTCGTCGTCGTCCGGCGGGATGCTATCTCTCTGTCCGTCACGCTATCGCCCTATCGCGGTCCTGTTATCCGCATTGGAGCAAGACGAGTACGCCTCTGGGGTGATATCTCAGCTGAGGGGGACCCTGAGGCGTCGTCGGCGATATGCCACAGCAAGCCACTGCCCGCTGGCGCCCTTCCTGGTAGCGACCCTTTCGTGGCCGGGGCGTCATGTGACGACAGGTCTGCTTGGGTGGTTTGCCGACATCGTGAAGAGGGGCTCAACAGATTCAGTGGTTCGGGCAGGTGACTAGAGAGATACGCTGGAACCGCTTGGGCAGGAGGCCGGATCCATGGAGCGGCTGACGCAAGTCCGCACTGGAGCGTGCTTCGGCCGGTTGGTTGGGTCTGTGGATGTTTGGCGAGTAGGGGTCTCTGGGGAAGCCCTGCGCGGTGTGACGACCAACCGGGCGTGCTTTGTCCCCAGGATCAGGATCTGGCAGACAGAAGGGTGCCTGAGATGTGAATTCGCCACCGCGACAGGCATTGGGGCATGTGAAGCTGGAACCTGGAACCTTGGACGGCAAGATTGCGATCCGTTCGGTGCTTCAGCGGTGCCTCTCAGTGCGTGTTGTGCCGTACTAGGCATGTCCCATGGCCGCGGCGCCTCAGGGCAGTTCCATTGGTGGTACTGGTGTCGGGCACGCCGCCGCTGCCACTGTCACTGCCACTGCTGGTGCTGGGGCGGGCGGGCCGGGAAACAAAGGCGGGAGGGAGGTGCCAGCCCGTCCGGCCGGCCATGCTCGAATGGCCGTCTCAGTTGAGCAAGGCGTGGGAATGGAAGGCTGCTGGAAGCCGCTGACCACGGGCGGAGAATGGAAGATGCCTGTGGCTCTCTGGGTGGCTCCTCCACTGCACCCGGGCGGGTAGCCCGTCCGCATGTGATTTCCCCACCGAATGCAGGGATTAACAGCGGCGGCGGCTGCTGCAGCAGCAGCATTCACCCACTTACACGTGCTTTTCCGCTCTTCCCCAGGCTTTCTGCCCGCCGCCAGCCGCAGGGAGACCCCAGCTGGCCGCCGTGCAGTGCTGCCACCCGAGCAGCCGGGCCTGTGACGGCGTCAGTCGTCCCCTGCCCGCCCGTGCTCGTGAATTTGCATTTGCATTTTTCAAGCATTCATGCGGCCGCCCCCGAGCCGTGTCGCTGCGCCCGCCTGCCGTTGCGATCGGCAAGTGCTCTCTTTTCGTGCTATCGCAGTCTGCTGGCATGCTTGTGATGAACGGACTCGGAGGAACTGTGACTTGTAGTTGAATTCCAGCACATCGCCTTCCCAGACCAGATACGTAGATGTCTCTTCCATTGTGCCTCTCCTCCCCTTCCAGTTCTGGCCCGGCCAACTTGCCCCGGATCATGTCTGGTTTGGTGGACCGACCGACCCAAGCTCTGGCCTGGGCTGGCTGGTCAAGCCGCATGTGGCAATACCGCACCGCACCGCACCAGACCGCGGGTTTCCGACGGCCAGACGTACCCCTTCGCTGCCCGTTTGGCGCCGCTGCTGTTACGTATTCCGGAGGGTTGTTCGGCCCCGGAGGGCGAATCGCGGGGAACCTAACGCGCGCTGGACGGGGGGCAGGGGGCGCTGCCCGTCGAGTCAAGTGCCTGCAGCGGCAACAGGCAGGGACAGCGCTGGCTGGCTGGGTCGCTCGCTCGCTCAACCGGGCTGGGCTGAGCGGGCGAGCCTGGGACCATTCAGGGAGGGAGGAGGTTGCCCAGATGGACTGAGCGGGATGGAGGACGGAGGCTTGGGGGCGCCCCAACAAACTCGGCGACGAGGTACCTCGTGTCGTCGCCTACGTCAGCGTTGGGCGTCATGGCGCCTCGCTGCGCACCCCGTGCTGTAGGGCACTCATGCACTGTAGTGCACTGCCAATGCGCCAAACAGAGCGCCTGGCCTGCATGCAAGGAAGTTGCCGCATGTCACTCGCAGACAGACTTCTGGGATTGTTTGATCCCCCGTCTCTCCGGGCGCGGCGTGGGCGAGCGAGCAGATAACACCCACGGCGCAGGTTGGCCGGCGGCCGTCACAAGCCAAAAAAGAAACGCACCTCACCATCAGCGGAGGGATGGTGGCTTGCGAGGGGGGGCCCAGCACATGCCCGGGGTACCTCCATGCCCATGGCGCGCACTTACAGGGCAGCGACCCGCTAAAAAGACACCCAACCCAACAGCCCTTTGGAGCAAATCCGCAGCGCCTGAACGGCAGAAGCAAGCCCCGGCGCCACGGGATTGGTCGAGCGGCGCGCAATCACATGCTCGCCGCCGCCGGGCCCATCGTGAAACCGTCTCAGCGCTGGAACAGCAGCAGCAGCCCAGAGCAGCCCATGCCATGCCATCCTCCTCCTCCCACTTCTTTCGCCCGCCGCCGTACGCACGCACGCCCGCCTTCAACGCTTGCCGCTGCTGTTGCCGCCGCCGCCAGCCCCGAATTCCCCGCTCCTCGCAAAGCGAAAAGCGGCTTTAACGCCAACAGGGATACCATTGCGCCCGGCCCCAGGGACCAGCATCCGAGCCGCCATCGGCATCCGCTGCTGCTGCTGCGCGGACCATCTGCCAGCGCCTCCGCCAGACCACGCACCACTGCCACAAGTTACAACCACCACCACCACCACCACCACCACCACCACACAACCACGGCTCCCACGCCTCGCCTCCCTCGCGCCTCTCTGCCTTCTTCCTCCATTGCCAGAGTACCTCAACCCGTGCCAGTGCGTCTGCCTCTGCAGCTTCGGCATCCAACCCGCCCAACCAGTCCCTCGCAGTCGCCGTCGTCGCCGCCACCGCTATCGACTGGAGCCGTCTCCGTCCAGCCCGTCCGGCGGCGCCTCTGCACCGACAGCGACTTCGTCTCCACGACGAACCCTCCCCAGTACAAATACAACACCCCTACCCCCGCCGACCGCCCGCCTCGACCACGCTGCCTCGATGCAGTTCTCGCCTCCCCCCGACATCGACTCCCTTCCTACCCGCCTGCCTCCCCTGACGAGCCATGATCGCGACAAGATGCTCCCCTCCCTCAGCAGCGTGACCGGCGACGTGATGCTCGACCAGCACCTCCCGCCTCCGCCGCCGCCGGCTTCGGGCCCGCCGTCGCACTGGCCCTCGCTCAACGGCCCCATGGCCTACCGCCAGCCGCCGCCGCCGCCGCACCAGCCCGATAGCCCGGCCACCATGGACGTCGACGGCAGCAGCGTCGCCAGCACCGCGACGCCCCCAGCCGGCAGCGAGGGCACCAACGGGCTCAGCATCGACGACCCGGACGTGCGCCTCGCCGCCGAGGCTCTGGGCGACCTGCGAGCCGGTAAGACTCGTCCCGCCGTGTCACGATGGACCTAAAACGCTGACGTTACGCAGACTTTGTCTCCTCCCCTCCGGACAGCGGCTCGCTGCCGCCCATGAGCCCTCAGATGGTCGCCGCGCAGACCCCAGCGCCGCGAAAGTCCCGATCGCCGCATCAGTCGGAGCCGCTCCTCTCGCTGCTCACCACCTCTCACCCGCTCATCAGCAGCACCATTGGCGGCGCCAGCTCCGCCTACGGAGGGGCCAAGAACTTTTCGCCCCGCTTCAAGTCGGGCGCCGAGTACGTCGAGGGCTACCTGACGCCCATTGCCAACACGGTCAACTCGGTCGGCCGCGTCACGGGCGTCGAGGGCGGCGTCAGGTGGTTCCTGGGGTCGCGCCGACACGCCCCTCCGGCCGACGAAGACGACGGCGGCTCCAAGAAGAGGCGCAAGATGGGCGGCTCCAACGAGACGAGCCAGAGCGTCATGGACCAGGCGAGGGATCTCAAGAAGCTGTCCGAACTGGGCGATTCCCCCTCTTCAGAATTGAGGAGCCCGCGGCGGCTCTCGTCGGCCAGCACGGTTGACACGCTCCCGGCGTACGACGACATGCGCTCGCCCGCCTATACGGAGACGGCCGGGCCGCAGAACCCGCCACGGTCCAACCCGGCCAATGCGCCGTGGCAGTCTCGCCTCATCATGTCCACGTCGGGTCTCAGCGTCGCCATGAGCGCAGAGAGCCTCCGCAGCCTCAAGTACTGCCTGAAGTGGCTGCGCTGGAGCAACGACCACATGAGCCGTGTGATTGGGAACCTCAAATCGGCCCTTGAGGAGTATGAAAAGGTCGACGATGAGGTGGCAGAGGGCCAGGGCCAAGACGGCAACGACGAGCCCCTCGCCGCGGGCCAGAAGACGCCGCAGGAGTCGCGCATGGAACTGGCCGACAAGATCAACACCCTCAAGCGCGACGTCCTCACGACGCTGCAGGACTCCATCAACACCGTGTCCAAGTACACGGGTGGCGCCCTCCCCGAGAACGCGCGGACGCTCGTGCGCCGACACCTCACCAGCCTGCCGCAGCGGTTCCGCGTCGCCACCATGCCCAGCAGCGCCGAGGGCGGCGCCAAGGACAGCGACTCGGCGATCCGCGAAGGCGCGCAAAAGGTGCTCGTCCTGGCCAAGGAGGGCCTCGACATGGTGACGCAGATCACGGGCGTCGTCGACGGGACGATTGTGAGTGCCGAGGAGTGGTGCGAGCGCATGGGCAAGAAGCGGCGCCCGTCGACCGACGAGGACCGGCCGCTGCCGCCGACGCCAGAGACGAACGGCGACGTCAAGATGGGGTGAGCGAAGCGAAGCTGACCCGAGATGACGAAGTATAAAAAAAGGCGAAGAAAAGCAATAATTTGAGGAGAGGCGGCAACATCAACAGCAAAAGATGGAGCCGCAAAATATGCTGGGAGAGCAATACCGATCCCCAGCGCCGACCAGCCCTGCTGTATAAGCAGGGCTCCTCATTCCTTCAACCCCCCATTTTTTTCTTTCTATTTATTTCTTTGGCGCGGTCTTGACTTGGTTCCTTGCCGACAAACGAGCGAGCGAGCGAGCGCGGCCTGCAACCGTAGGGTCACGGAGGCTGCACATATGGGAACAGGAACAGGACTGGACACGGGACGGAACGGAAAGATACCTCACTTTGTGTTTATTACGGGGACATGTGGCCTGTGATCTGGGCCAGCCGGCCGAGCGAGCTGACTGACGGGCGAGTGCTTGTTGGTGAGTGCTTGGCTCGGTTGCCCGGCACTGCGGTCCACGACGGGGTCTGTCTGTATCGGGAGGCGTTTTTGGCGTACCATGTGCGGATCTCTGGGGAGTATAACTAGTTGGCAGTCCTTTGGGGCAGGGGGAACAGGGGTACGGGAAATGTATCACCGAATTGAACTTGTTCCATCCGAGGTGCGAGCGGGATGTGTGAGGGAAGGGCAGTGAGTGAGTGCGTGAGTGAGTGAGTGGACCGACTGACTGACTGACTGTCATGTCCTGTTCCGTTTGATCGTGCGTGGGAAGGCAAGGGAAGGGCAAGAGAGAGGAAGGGGGAGGGAAGAAGCACGCGCGCTTGCTTAAGGTATGTGCCTATGATGCATGATTCTTCTGCCTCCGAGTGAGCGAGCACTCCAAGATGGGGAAGTCCGTTGACCTGACCTGACCCGTCCGTACCTGACTGACTGGCTGAACTGGCTGCAGGTTTCCGGGTTTCCAGATTTCCCAACCCGCCCGGCCCGTGTCTTCGATCTAATCTTCTGCTCTTCAGCGGGGCCACGTTCGTGTGCGTGTGCGTGGTCCTGTTCACGTTCGCAGCGCAACACAGCGCAGCGCAGGCGGGTTAGGGGGGTTACGCCGTTAGGAGGGCTGGTTGCCTGGGCGGTTGGGCACGTTACTGGGGGGTTTGGTCCTCCCAAGGGTTTTGGGTGTTTGTCTGTCTGCCTGCTTGCGGGCCTGTTTGTTTACGGACCTACCGTCCGTTCGCATATCCATCTACCCTCCCGTCTATCCTCCCGTCCATCCTCCCGCCTACTCGCCCGCCTGCCTACCCGCCTGCTTGCTTGTCTACGCGTCTGCTCTGCTCCGCCCCTCTCTCCTCTCCTCTCTGGGGCGTAACGCGTCGCGGTGCATTGATCCTGGGGGGCTTGGCTGCTTTCGCTTCCGGGATTGGGTTTTCTGTGGAGAGGGAGGTAGGTGTGTTTGCCTGCCCCCCTGCCCAGGTAAGGGGAGTGTGTGTGCTTATGCTTGTGCTTGTGCCTGTGCTTGGGCGTGTGCTTGTTCAGTCTGGCTTTCTCGGGGTCTGTTGAGTTTTTTGCGTTTGGATTGGGTTCTGGGTTGGACAAGTGGAAGTGGAAGAGAAACGTGGGTGGGCGTTTTGAAAGGCCCGCGACTTCGACTCAACACTCAGCACGACTTGGCAGAATCACTCGCGAGCCACGAACCCGCCAACGCACTCACGCCTCATCGGCACAGCACAACGCCAACAACATCCGGCTTCGTCGCTACTTGTCCACTGACTACGCGGCCGTCAGCAACGACCAATACCCGCTGCAACAGCCATCGCCACCGTCACCACCACCACGCAAGGCCATCTTCGCGAGTCCCAAACCGCCAACGCACTCACACCTCATCGTCACCGCACAACAACATCAACATTCAGCTTCGTCGCTACTCATCCACCGACTACACGGCCGTCAGCAACAACCCGCGGTACTACCCGCTCCAACAATCACCATGCCCGCAGACGAACCACCATGGTTCGCCCCCCGCAACGCCATCGACAGGGACATCGCCGCGCGCCTCCTCGCCCTCTGGCGCCGCTCCCACCACCGCTGGAAGCGCGACGTGCGCGCCGAGTTCGAGGCCCTCGTCCCCATGGCGCGCGTCACGCGCGGCACCTGCAAGCCGTCGAGCCACCTCATCGTGCGCAAGTTCACGCCCCCGCGCTGCTTCTCGTACTCGTCGAGCGGCGGTGGTGCCGAGTCCGTTGCCACCGTCGCCACGAAGGCCAAGGGCGGCAAAGAAAAACAAGCTGGCGATGCGTCGGGCTCGACTGATGTGCCCTCATACGCCGTCTTCCTCGTCCTGGTGACCATGTTTGGCCTGCAGCCGCTCACGGGGTATGGCTGGTGGGACGCGTTCCGCAGGAAGCACCCTTCGGCTACGACTTACACTGCCCCGGGCGCGGTGCCGGCCAATGCGGCGCAACTGCTCTTCGCGGAGGAGGTGGCTGCCGCGGCCGCGGCGAATGGCGGAAGCGATGCGCGTGAGGTGACGCGGTACCAGCTTCGCGGGAGTGCACGACGTGCCCGCAAGCTCGACTACCGGAAGAAGAGCAACAGCAAGTCGCGCCAGAAAGAGAAGAAGCAGAAACAAAACGAGCACAAGGGCGGCGAGAAGAGAGGCGAGAAGAAGAAAGACGCCAAGACGGAAGACACGAAGGCGAAAGACGACAAGAAGCAGAAAGTCAAGGAGAAGAAGAACGACAAGGAGCGCAAGGATGAGAAGAAAGTCGACGAGAAGAATCTCAAGGAGGAAAAGGACCGCGAGCCCAACAACAAAAGCAGAAGAAGGAGCCGAAGGTCAAGGTTGAGCCGGACGACGACCAGGACAGAGACGTCATATACATCTCTTCGGCCGAGTCCAGCCCGGTGAAGCGAGAGCCGTCGCCGCGCGAGACGGTGGATCTCACAATGCCGGCGATCCAGACAAAGACGAAGCACAGCGACTCGAAGCGGGACAAGAAGAAGAAGAAGGAGAAGAAGGGCTCTGATGGAGTTGGTGCCAGCGAGACGAGCACATCCGCTCCGCCTCAGGCAGATGCTTCCAAGCACAGCAGCTCGAAACGGGACAAGAAGAAGGGACCCGACGAGGCGAATGCGAGTACTGGAACTGGAGGCGGTGGCGAGACGAGCGCGCCAGTCCAGCCTCAGACAGAAATGCCCAAGCACGGTGGTGGTTCCAAAGGAGACCAGCACGATGGCTCGAAGAGAGACAAGAAAAGGGGCCCCGACGCGATGGACGTGGATGCCAAGATTGAGGGAAGTGCCAAGATGAACGCACCGACTCTCCCTCCGACAAAGAAGCCCGCTCTCGCGGGACCGGCGACGGCCTCATCGACGACGGCAGAGACTCAGGGGCAGCATAACATCGGACGCCGCGCAGCTGACTCCCCACCGCGGGACGGCCCCCAGAGACCTCACATCCAGCCCTCCCGTGGATGCGAGGACCCGCGAGATTCGTGGCAGCCGCGCCAGCCTGAGTCTCGGCGATCCTCCACATCGTGGCAGACGTACTTTCCGGTCGTCAGACGTGAACCGCAGGACACGCCCTGCCCTCGCCAGCAACACGCGCTGCCACCGCGGCCGACGGCGCATCCTCAACACTCCGCGACACAGGCTCCTAGCAGGCCTGGTGCCTCTGCTGCGCCAGCCGTGCCCTCTCCAGCAGATAAGGTCTGGGACGACCTCTCGAAACTGAAGCCGAGCGCGACGGTGCCTTCAGCCGCCGCCCCGACGCCGCCGGCGAAGGATGAACAATCCGTGCAGGACCTGAAGGGACAGGTCGCACAGCTAAAGAAGACGAATAGGGACCTGTGGGGGAGGATTGGCAGTTTGGAGGAGGAGGCGCGGAAGCAGGCCGGGGAGGTGGAGGTGCTGACGGGGAGAGTCCAGATGCTGGCCGAGGTGGTGGCGCGGCAGGCGCGCGGATGAGGCGGCGAAGTCTTCACGTCGGCGTAGGGAGATGAGAGGGGCGAAGGGCATGAATTGGAGTAAGGGGGTTACAAGTATGGAGTGAACAACGCGCCGGACTGTCAGGGTTTGAAGCTGGGAGACGGCGTTCCAGGTCGACCGCATCTGACGCCTCACCAACATGTCCGACCGGCTACGACGATGCAGCCTCGGACAAATGAGCACCGGCTACAATTTATGTACAAGTAGCCGTGTAATATATATTCAAAACTCTTGGTATTTGCTGACACTGCGCTGGGAGTGTCCAAGGTGCGACCGTTGGGGCCTTCACTCGGCGGCTTACACCAGACGCGGCACAAGCCACGCGAGTCAGGAGGAGTTCAACAGCCGCAACAAACACTGCTTTGGGACTGTCAGTCAGTATTCGTCAAGTATGTATTATGCACAGACATTTCAAACGTCACCTGTTCCTTGCCCAAGCAGCAAGAATGCTGCGCCCAAGTCAGCGTCTCAGCCGGCACGCCATCTGAGACAGGCTCGTGGGCCACAAGCCCGAAAATGGAGGCGCCGACCGCCAGAGGGACTGCAAGCGGCGCGGCGGCGCTCCAATCAGGGACATGCGGCTCCCACCGTCCTCGTGCTCAGCTTTCCGTCTTGTGAGTCGTGCTCGTCGAGGACATTGATGACTTGATAAGGATCAGCGGAGAGTGGGTGGACGTCATGACAGTGTTCGCCGAGCAGGAGTGTCGACGACGGTCCAGGAGTGTGGTCTCTTTGTGGGATCTACACTTAAGTTTGTTGACATTCATTCAAGCACCATGCCAGCTGCTGGAGGACCCTCATGTCTCACCCTCATGGCCGCCCGTTGAATGGCTGCCGCAAGCAGCTTCCACGCGTAATGCGCCATGTTGTTGGCCGTCAGCTGCCAAGGAGCATATTCCAAGAGCGTCAGAGGATTTTAGGATGCCCGGCTATCGGATAAAGACGTGCTGCGCGCACAATTTGTGAAGCGCGGCCATTCACGAGGCGTCTGACAGTACACGGTTGTCACGACCTCTCGCGCACCCTTCGCCGTGCCCCTCATCGCCGCCCGCCATGAGAGCCACGATACTGTCAGCGCTGGCGCTCGCCGGCGCAGCGCTCGCCGTGCAAAGAAGAGACTCTGTCCTCGAGGCGAACCCGAACAAGCAGAGCAAGATGCCGGTGGTCATGGGGCTCAAGACGTCGAACTTCCAGCAGAAGCAGGACGCCGGCCTGTTCGACCCCGGGCGGTATAAGATCCAGGAGGCGACCAAGTGCCAGGGCGGCAAGGCGGGCGAGTACAGCTGCAAGAACGTGGACTTGCTGGGCCACCTGACGCACGAGACGATGGGCAGCCAGACGCGCGCGGGCAACGACATCTGGGGTGCGACAATACCCTCCCATCCATTCGTGGAGCAGTGGCTGACAAGACATGAACAGGCTGGACGCACACCGACGGGCGCGAGTTTGCCATTGTCGGCCAGACCGACGGCGTGGCCTTCATCGAGGTTCTCAAGAACGGCACCCTTCGATACCTCGGGCGGCTGCCCACGCAGACGGGCAACGCCATCTGGCGCGACATCAAGGTGCTCAACAACCACGCGTACATCGTGGCGGACGCGTACGGCCACGGCCTGCAGGTGTTTAACCTCACCAAGCTGCTGGCCGTGGGCAGCGAGCCCAAGACGTTCAGCAAGCTGCTGGACCTGGCGGCGTGGTACGTGGGCTTCGGCAGCGCGCACAACGTGGTGGTCAACGCGGAGAGCCAGACGGTGTTTGTCGTGGGCGCGGGCAAGGACGGGCTGGACGGGGCGTGCAAGGGGCTCGCGGGCGCCGCCTCCTCCAACGCCAACTCGTCGTCCAACGGCGGGCTCATCATGCTGGACGCACGCGACCCGGCCAAGCCGAAGCTCACCGGCTGCGCGGGCCAGGACGGCTACGTGCACGACGCCCTGGCAGTAACATACCAAGGCGCCGACACGCGGTACCACGGGCGCGAGATCGTCTTCGGCTGCAACGAAGACACGCTCACCATCTACGACGTGACGGACCGGGCCGCGCCCCTCATCCTCAGCAAGACCACCTACGACGGCTTCAACGGCACGGGCGCGTACACGCACCAAGCCTGGCCCGTCGACGGGCCCTCCCTCACGCACCTGCTCCTCGACGACGAGCTCGACGAGGAGCACCGCGCGCACCAGCCCGGCGGCAACGGCGACGCGCACACGACGACCTACGTCTTCGACGTGCGGGACCTCACGGCGCCGCGCTGGACGGGGCGCTACAAGGCGCCCGTCAAGAGCGTCGACCACAACCAGTACGTGCGCGACGGGCTGAGCTACATGGCCAACTACGGCAGCGGGCTGCGCGTCGTGGACGTGTCGGGCGTGGTGGCCGACCCGTCGGGCCGGAGCATGCGCGAGGTGGCGCACTTTGACTGCTTTCCCGACGATGACGCCGAGGGCGGCAAGCCCGAGTTTAACGGCGCGTGGACGGCGTATCCGTTTTTTGCGTCGGGCACGGTGCTGCTGAATTGCATTGAGAGGGGCGTGTTTGCGCTCAAGGTGAATAGGGGCGCGGAGTGAGATGGTGGTGTGGTCGATGGGATGGTGCGAGTGGCATGGGGGGGGGTTTGTGTTTATATCGCATTACTAGACTGCCTGGTATTTGGTGGAGGCATGGGGTTCATGTCTATAGGGAGCGAACTGGATATACATAAGTTGTAAGGATTGCGTTGTGCGGTAAGCGTGAAATATCATCAAGTGCCGTCGTCTGTTCACTACTTCAAACGTCTCGCCGGATTTCTCATCTTTAGCATGAAAATACGCCGGCTATGGCTCTTCTACATCGACTCGGCATTACCCTCTAGCTCTGTTCGTCCTGGATAAACCACTTCATTACATGTCGGCTCATTTCGTAAATGTTCATAGCAACGGCATCGCAGTCGCAGCCCCTGACTGGCGAACTGACATCAATGTGCAAACACGCAGCCTCACCTCGGCCGCGCCGCGACAAAGTACCCCAGCCCCAATCCGGGGCCCGACTCCTGCGGCAGCAAGCCCACGTCGCGCTTGAACCGCATCAGCCACTCGGGGTTATCCGCCGCCGTCTGGTTCCACGGGTCGTCGCTATGTGTCGAGCACTCGTCAGCAACGGCACGACAAAACACCTTCCCGCAAATATTCAAGCACAGGCATCATCAAGTAAAAGACTTTCCAAAAAAAAAAAATGAAACCGGGCCAAGGAGAGACAGAGTGAGAGGGAGAAGATAGGGTAGGGAGGGAGAACGAGAAGGGGAAGGGGGACAGCGGAACAAAAAGGCACACCAAGAGGACAAGGGAGACTCACTCGTCAAACTCGAGCCACCGCGCCTGGTACTGAATCTCCTCGTCGCTCGGCACGTGCCTATTCGGGTTCTTGTCCGACACGGCCGCGGCCACGAAGCGCGCCAGGTCGTGCGCCAGGCGGCGGTACGCGTTGGCGTCGTTGGGGAAGTAGGGCGGGCGCGTCGACGCCGTGACTGCGGCGGCCAGCTGCGAGTGGTGCCCGTGGGGTCCGCTTGCCGTGGTGCTGCCCGCGGGTGAGGATCGCGACGTCGTCGTCGTGGATGCTAGGGCCATACCGGCCGCTGTTGTGGTGGCGGTGGTGGTAGCAGTGGCAGCGCTGGTGGTGGCAAGGAGGGGATGGTGTCGGCCGCGGTGCGGGTTGTTCATGGTGTGGAGCTGGTAGAGGCGGGATTGCTCCTCCTCGTGCGGTGGTGTTGTGGTTGTGGTGTTACTGATGAAGGGCGGTTGGGTGACGGCGTCGTCGGCGGGGAGGTCGAGCGCCCAGAAGAGGTCCATGTCGTCGGTCGTCGGGAGAGGATTGAGGGGAGGGAACACGGCGGTGGGAGCGACGATGCCGTCGGTAGTCAACCCCTGATGACCCCCCGGCAAGAGGAGATCCATCCGCGCCCCCAGCGCCGCAACGTCAAGATCCGTCCCATCCAACTGGTGACGCTCATCTTCCCCATCGCCATCCTCCTCCTGGTGCTCATCCTCCCCCATCTGCCCCAACGCCCGGCCCTTCACCCCCTCTAGCCACTCCGTCGACGCATAAATCATCCTCAGCAGCCACCCGGCCACCACATCCGACGGCGCGCTCGACCGCTCCTCCGTCAGGCGCACGATGCGCGCCGCCTCGGCCTGCATCTCGCGGTCCGACAGTGGCGCGGGCCTCAGACGCGCCGCGCGCGCAACGGCGGCCCGCAGGCGGCGCTCGAGCTCGCACCCCTCAAAGATGTCGTCCTTGCCGTTGATGCGCAGCGTGGTGAGGCGGTTCTCGGCCTGGCCGCGCACCGTCTGCAGCATGGCGCCCTGGAGGATCTCGGGCGAGGCGGTGGCGAGGTCGCGCAGCCACGAGGGGCTTGGTTTTGTCGGTGCCGCCGCGGTTCCCGCTGATGCTGATGCTGATGGTCCAGCCGTTGATGATGTTGGTGCTGGGGCGGATGGTCTGGCTGCTGGTGGAGCGGCCGAGGACATGGAAGCGGAGGCGGAGGCGGAGGCCGCGCCGCCGGCGAGGTCGGCGCTGAGGATGACGCGGCAGGCCTCGCGCTGGATGTCGGCGTCGGGGGGCTGGTCGCCCGCGGCGTCGAGGTGGTTCATGATCCAGTACTGGAGCTCCATCTTGAGCAGGTCGTAGGCCGTCGAGGGCGTCCAGGGGGAGGCGCCGCCGGCCTTGTAGGGAAGGGGGGAGTTGCGCTCGTAGTCGAGGAGATCTATACCACATCATCTGTTAGCAACTTGAACACAAAGGCACTCCATACTAGCCAAGGGAGAAGAGAGGGGGAGAGGAGGGGAGGGGAGGAGAGGAGAGGAGGGGAGAAGAGGAGGGAAGGGGTTGCAACATACACGGCGGCATCGAGTTCTCAATCGTCTGCAGCACCGCCGGGTCAAACCCCCAGTCGCCGACCCAGTCGCGCATCGTGCTCCCCGCCTTGAAGTGCTCGCCCAGGTGCTCGACGCGCATGGCCCAGTCGTCGAGGCACCGCCCGCAGAAGCCGCACCGCGAGCGGATCGGCGGCGCCGCGGCCTTCCACTCGTCAAACGCCGCGCCGGGGACGCCCGCGCCCACGCGGTGCACCAGCCGCAGGTGCTGCATCAGGTGGTCGCGCCGGTAGAAGGTGCGCTCGTCCACGGCGCGGCGGTTGCAGAGCGAAAAGTTGTGCGACTCGACGTGCGCCGCGTCGGGGCCCTCTTCGCCGCAGAAGACGCACACGAGCGTTGTGTCGCCGCTGCCGTTGTTGTTGTTGTTGTTGCCGTGCCCTTGGCCGCCGCCGCCCTCACCACCACCATCATCATCCCCATGGTCCCCGTCGGAGCGACGATGATGGTGGTGGTGCTGTCGCACGGCCAGGGGGCCCGTGGGCGTGCACACCCACCGGTCCAGCGGCAGGTGCCACGTTTTCTCGTGCCGCTGCCAGTCGTACTTTGTGCGAAACTCCTCGACGCAAAACGTGCACTGGAAGACGCCGCGCGAGGGCCGCCCGAGCGTCGACTGCCGCGGCGGGAGGAGGGCCTGGTGCCTCCTTCTGCGGCGGCGCCGGCGGTGCTGGTGATGCCGCCGCTGTTGCTGCTGATTCTGGTTCTGGTAGTCCAGCGGCGAGGGGGGCACGCCAAAGCTCGAGGAGCGGGACGAGGCGACGGACCCTTCGCTGGGCGGGTTGCTGTTGTCGCCGTGGCGGCTCAGCGAGGAGCGGTTGCTGGCGGACGCGCTGGACCCGTCGTCGGAAAGGTAATACGCGGAGCGCGAGGCGGTGCTCGATGCGTAAAACGGCTCGTTGGCGGCGCGGTAGATGGCCGTCGCGGCGGCGGGCTCGTCCTCGGGCGGGGAGTTGGCCCAACGCTGCAGCGGATCCATCATGTCCTCGAATATGCCCGGCGTCGCGGCGCGGCGCGGCGGCACGATGACGTCGATGGGCGCCGCAGCAACAGCAACAGTAGCAGCGCCATCGACAGCTTCCCGCAACGGAGACGCCGGGGACGATGAGCCTGACTGCTGCCTGCTGATCTGCGCATGTACGAACCGCGCGCTGGACGCCGCCGCGGCAGCAGACGACGGTGGCGGGGGCGGGCTCCCGACCTTGATGCGCCGGCGGCGGGCGTTGGCGAACCAGTTGGCGACCTGGACGACGTCGAGGCCGGTCAGGGCGCAGAGGGCGTCCTTGTCATCGCGCGTCGGGTAGGGGTGGTGCTTGTTGGCGGCGAACCAGCGGCGCAGCGTGCGGACCGCGTCTTGCGTGAAGAGCGGCCGCGGACGGGGGGTGCCGGTGCTTGTCGTCGTGGTCGCCGGCGTTGCCGTTGCCGCGGCGGTGGTGATGATGGCGCGTTGTGCAAAGGCAGAGGCAGAGGCGTCGTCTGCTGCGGTGTCCATCGTTGCGTCGAGCCACGGCAGGGCCTCGGGGACGGACCCGGACCCGGAGCCGTGCACAGACAACGAGGCGTAACCCGGGTCCGCCGAGCCCGGCGCCGGCGTTTGTCCTGCCGGGCCCGGAGCAGCAGCGGCCGCCATTGCGGGAGGAGGCGGCCACTCGTCGTCCATGGCCAGTTACAGCCGCAGTCGCAGAGTAACACAGAATAACCCTGTCGTCGACTGTGAGATGCGCTGGCCGAGATGCGGTGAGCGCGGCGTGCGAAAAGGGCCGTGAAGAAGAGGCGTCGTTGTCGTCGACTCGGGCGCCGTCCCTGCAAGCCACGCTATGACCACAGTCATCAACGTTAACTCAGTTAGCCCACGCCCTTCAGCTGCGGAGGCGGCCGGCAGCTCCGGTTTTTAAGGAACTAAAGGGCAAAGCGCTCCCCGGGGACTTGTCAAGAGTGGGGCCGGCGTAGGGCGCGGCCGGTCCACCCGCCGGGTCCCAGCGCCGAAGTCGAGGCCGATGCGCCGAGTCATATTAGTATGTCGCTTTGGCTTTTATATAAAAAATATATAGCAGCCGCGCAGGCCTTCGTTCGTTGTCGGTCAACGTAGTCTCAACACGGCACGGTGTTCTTGGAACCTGCATCTGTGAACGCGCTTGACGGTTGACGTCTGTTCGGTGTTGGTCGAAACCGAAGCCGATATCGTCCCCCGTGCCTAGCTTCATCATGGCCACGGCCACGCTGACGGTGCCCGCGGCCGTCGCGGCCGTCACCACCTCGACGGCCATCGAGCTCGGCCCCCGCGGCGGTACCATCAACGACAACGACAACGGCGGCAACGCCCTCCAACAGCGCACCGCCCGCCCCCCTTCCTCCTCCTCCGACACCACCACGCCCGTCGACCCCATCCTCGAAGCCTCCCGCCTCGCCGACAGCACCGTCCCCGACGGCGGCTTCGCGGCGTGGTCCGTCATCGCGGCCTGCGCCGTCGTGTCCTTCTGGTTCACGGGCGTCAGCTACTCGTGGGGGGTCATGCAGTCCGCGCTCGTCGCCTCGGGGCTCGCCTCGGCCTCGACGCTCTCGTGGGTCGGCTCCGTGCCGCCGACGCTCATCGCCGCCTGCGCGGTGCCCAACGCGCGCCTCGTCCGCGCCGTGGGCCTGCGCGCCGTCGCCCTCGCGGGGATCCTCATCATCGTCGCCGCCGAGGTCGCCAGCGGGTTCTGCGCCGCCAGCGTCCCCGGCCTGTTCGTCGCCGCGGGCGGCATGCTCGGCCTCGGCATGAGCCTCTGCTTCACGACGTGCGCCGTCACGCCCGCGCAGTACTTCCACCGCAGGCGCGGGCTGGCCAACGGCGTCGTCTTCGCGGGCGGGGGGCTCGGCGGCGCGGCCGTCACGGTGCTGCAGGGCGTGCTGATCCAGCGCTTCGGCGTGGCGTGGACGTACCGCATCGTCGGGCTGGCCGCGCTCGTCACGGGCCTGCCCGCCGCGCTCGTCATCAAGGAGCGGCACGTCGCCACGGCGGGTGCCTCGCCTCCACCTGCGGCGGCCTCGGCGGGCAAGATCGAGTGGCGGCTGTTCCGCGACGCGCGCTTCCTGCTCATCTTCCTCGCCGGCGCCGTCGCCACCTTTCCGCTGCTGGTGCCGGCCTTCTTCCTGCCGCTGTACGCGCACTCGCTGGGGCTGTCGGCGTCGGCGGGCGCGGGCCTGCTCGCGGGCTTCAACTTCTCGTCGGCGCTGGGCCGCGTGCTGTGCGGCCTCATGTCGGACCGGCTGGGCCCGCTCAACACGCTGCTGGCGACGCTCGTGGCCAGCGGCGCGGGCATGCTCGTCCTGTGGCCGGCGTCGACGACGCTCGGCCCGCTGGCGCTGTTTGCGGTCCTCAACGGCGCGTCCAACGGGGGGTTCTTCGCCACGATGCCGACCGTCGTGGGGAATGTGTTTGGGTCGGCGCGCGTGGCCGTCGCGCTGGGCATGGTGGTGACGGGCTGGGGGCCGGGGTACCTGATGGTGAGTTGTGTCTCTCCATTGCTGCTGCTGCTGCTGCTGCTGCTGCTTCTTCTTCTTCTTGCTTCCCTCCAAGTGACATCTTGATGAGGTCAAAATGTGCTGGTGTGCTAGCGTGCTGACGATGCCAACAGGGCGCGCCCATCGCGGGCTACCTCCTCGACGCGTACGGCGGCCAGGACAACGGCCTGCAGGCGTACCGGCCCGCCATGTTCTACGCGGGGTCTCTTGCGCTCGGCGCGGCCGTGCTGGTGGTTGTGATGCGTCTCCGCATGAATCCGTCGCTCAAGGCCAGAGTGTGAGGGGATGGCGTTGTAAAATGTATGTTACAAAGTAGATGAAAATCGCTCAGGAGTTTGTGTCACAACGTCTCGTGCACGCACCGCGTGGCAAGCCGTACGGCGATAAGCTGACGGTGTGTCGGGAGTGGGCAGCATGTCGCAGTGTATTATTGCCGCATGCCATTCAGTTGCTCAGCACAGCACGCAGGTGCTCATCTCCTCTCGAACTCGCAAGAATACAACCAAAAATGCCACATCGTATAAGTCGCGCCTCTAATACAAGCATCAGCAACGATGGCAGTTCGGGTGCAAGACGGCCACCAAACCCCCCAAAAGACGCTCACTCAATTCAATCCGCACCCCAAAACCCAACCATAGGGGTAGCAGCAAAAAGAAGAAGCATGCACTGGAACCCAGCTGCGACCATCGACAATGACGTGATGGGAATGCAGACAGAAGAAGGGCAAAAAAACAAAGGCGTGCGGCCATCGGGAGTCGAACCCGAGTCGGCTGAATGGAAATCAGCCATGCTAACCGTTACACCATGGCCGCTTAGATAATTAGTGAGCCGCAAATGAGCTTTATACGCGTAGCCGACCCGTGGTGGGTGTGCTCTGTGCTGTGCCCCCCCTCTTTGCGTCTGCTCCGCTCCGCTCTGTGAGTGTCTCCGCAACGTGCCGAGCCCACCGATGGGACACAAGCTGCAGTGCCCGGCATCAGCACCAACGCCACTTTCTGCCGGAGCTCGTCTCTCCCGTGTCCGTGCTCATTTCCGTGGAGTTGGTCTTTATGCAAACGCCTATCGCCGATGCTTCACTCGAGTGCATTTCTTCGGGGACTTATTAATAATTGGCGGCGTGGTTGCTCTTGCCGAGTCGGATCTCGGTAGAGATGTCTGTCAATGGAAACTGGTTCAACCGAACTGTTGCAGTGCTCCAGGGTCGGGGGGCTTGTCAGTTACACCGGCGAGGTGTGTCTTGCAACGGGGTGAGGTGCATCAACGCTGTCGAATAGACTCGGCCCCAGTCACGACACGACCCAGATATCGGGCCGCCCCAGCACTCGCAAGACTCGCTTGTCCAGTCCTTTAACGTCCACTGTGAGCTCCACCATTGCACCACCAAGCGAAAACTACGGCCTCTGTCCGTCCGCCAAAGCTGACGATGACAAAGATCTGAGCCATCACCCTCAAGGCAAGCCTGGCAAGGTCCTCCCGGGTCGCAGATCTAACACGGCATGGGCACCGCTAGCCCCAGTCCCGAGCTAAACGCCGCTGCACCCTGATGTCAGTGCCGATGCGTAGCAGCACCAAGGCCAGCAGCCCCTCCATGCATCCCCCCCCTCCCCCCTCCCTTGCCCCACGCCACGGCGCATCATGCCTCGACGAGACACCCGTCCGGCCACATATTCAGCCTGCTTGGTAATGGCCGCTGAACGCTGCAGAACGGGGAGGAGAAGCTGGGGCCGCCGCAGCGATTAGTGCCTCGGCGCATTCATACCTTGCCACAGCTTGCCATCTTGTCTTTTTGCCTCTGTGAGGTGGGGGCGGCGAGGCGCCGAGCTAATGCACAGCTGCCCGCCAGCGTTGAAGAGTATAAGACGTAGCGAGCTGCCCCGTCTCGATGCAATGACGACGTAGGTGGACGTTTTTTGACCGACAGCATTGCCGCACCAGCTTCGTCGTCGCCGAACAACACAACACAACATTCGTATCATCAATCGCTCGAGCTTCATCCATCATGGGCAACCCAAAGATTCTCGTCGTCCTCACGAGCCACGACGAGCACACCAAGCTCCCTGGAAAGAAGACGGGCTGGTACCTGGTGAGTAGCTGCGCGTCGTTCCACCCCGCCATCACCGGCCCTCCTCGTGCTCCGTCCAGCGCGAGTCCCAACGTCGCGGTCGACAATTAAGGACCACAAACTCTGGGAGTTCCAGGACTGGCTCTTGGACGGGCAATGGCGGCTACGAGCCATGGCACGCTGCCAAATCGAAAAAGATCAATGCTGACAAGCGTTACCCCTCCTCCAGCCTGAGCTCTCGCACCCCCACGCCGTCCTCTACAAGGACTACGAAATCGTCACCGCCTCGCCCAAGGGCGGCAAGGCGCCCCTGGACCCCAACTCGGCCGAGGCCTTCGGCTCCGACCCCGAGTCCAAGAACTTCCTCGAGAACCACGCCCACGTCTTCGAGCAGACGCGCCCGCTGAAAGAATTCCTCGGGCGGTCGGGCGACTTCGCCGCCATCTTCTACCCGGGCGGCCACGGCCCCATGTACGACCTCTACTCCGACGCCGACTCCATCGCCCTCATCGAAGAGTTCAACCGCGCGGGCAAGCCCCTCGCCGCCGTGTGCCACGGGCCCATCGTCTTCGCGCAGGCCAAGGGCACCGACGGCCAGCCGCTCGTCAAGGGCAAGCGCGCCACGGGCTTCACCAACAAGGAAGAGGACATCGTGGAGCTGACGCAGCACATGCCCGTGCTGCTCGAGGACGAGTTTAAGAAGAAGGGCGCGCTGTGGGAGGCGGCCGAGCCGTGGGCCGAGAGGGTCGTCGTGGATGGGAACCTCATCACGGGGCAGAACCCGGCGTCGGCAAAGGGCGTCGGCGAGGAGCTGGCCAAGGCGATTCGTGCGCAGCAAAAGTGAGGATACGTAGGTCGCGGGCGGGGATGACAAAATTCTCAATGATATCAAAATGAAAAAAAGGAATGAATGAAGTCAATTGACCTGATGGCTGCGCTGCTGCTCCATGTCCAGCTTGCCAACGCAGAGACTGGCGTGGGTGACGGCCATGTTGGAGGAGAAGCTCAGAAGAGGCAGAGAGCTGCAATGGTGTCTGCACTCTGCACATGCACCACGACCGAGCCGCCAACGCTACTGGCACCTCCCCGCGCTAGCTCGTCGCTGAAAACCCGTCGCGCTTCAGAACCATTTTTTTTCTCCCTTCCCTAGAACCTTGCAATCCACCTCGAACGGCCTCCAGTCTGGCTTCTAAGCGCACGGCAACGTCCGCGCATCGACGGCCAAACGCCCAGTTACGCTGTTCGAAGGCATCCCATGCGCAAGACCGGGAGCCCGCCTTCCCATCCCTCCGCGGCCCCATCGCTTCTCAGCTCGACGTTTCGTCGCTTCCCATGCCCCAAAGCGCCAGCCCCATTCCCCAAGCAAGCGCGCGCTGGCGCCAGACCACACGGCCGGGGCAACGGCAGGACGGCTGGCTCGCCAGGACTAGATAGTGAGTTTTAAGCCCTTTAAAATTAAAGTGGGTCTACGTTCCTGTGGCGCAGTGGCTTTAGCGCGTGACTCTTATAAGCCATCCTTTTATGGATTTCTTATGGTTAGCAATGTCAAGGTCGAGGGTTCGAATCCCCCCAGGAACAGTCTTTTTGCTGTCCCTGCGGACCCTTTTTGGCCTTTTCACCGCGTTTGTGTGGGATGGGTTGAGGGACATGGATGTCATTCCCTTTTTGCTGCTGCCGTGTGGGTGAGGTGTTGGCGTTGTCGCCTGCGGGTTGGGAGCTGAGGGCCTGGTGGCTGCGCAGATGCTGGTGAGCATCGTGCATGCAGCGCATGGCCTACGTGGTTGGCAACATGCATTCAAAGGGGCTCCTCCCTCGTACTGTCGCTCCATCGCAGGACGGATCTGGTATCTGGTCATTCTGCGATGCATTCCCAGGTCCCGCACTTGGCCGTAGAGACCGACGACCTGCCTGGTGAAAGCAGCCACCCGGTGCATGGAATCCACGAGCACGCAATGAAACCCCCTTTTCTTCCCGAGAGTGGACCACCTTGAACGTCTCCTGATCGCATTCATCGACAGCAACTCGTGTTCTCGTGTGTGAGAGTATATCAGCTTCAAGCGTTTCTCTGTCATCTCGATCCGGACCATGAGGGGCTCAGCTTCCATGACGCTGGAGGCGGCCATGTGCCGCTGACGACGACAAGCTGGGGCGCGACGAAAGATGTCAACTCCAGCAGGACTCACACCGCTGAAAGCAAGCATGTCATGAGATCGATCTCCATTGCGTATTCAAAGGAAAAGGTCACGCTGCAGTTCCTTTTGTTGCTTTCGTTGCTCTCGTGGCTCTCGTTGCTCTCGTTGCTCTCGTTGCTCTCGTTGCTCTCGTTGCTCTCGTTGCTCTCGTTGCTCTCGTTGCTCTCGTTGCTCTCGTTGCTCTCGTTCCTCCCGTGGCTGTCGTTCCCGTCGTGGCTGTCGTTGCTATTGCAGCTGCCGTTACTGCTGCTGCGCTGGCCACTTCACCCTCTCACCCGGCAATGGAGCGACGACCTCAGAGCAAATGTGCCACAAGGAACACAGCTCTCCTTCGCCAGATTTCACTCGCTGGTTCACCTCCAGCATTCGCACCTCGCAAGGGCACCTCCACGCAGGCGAAACCTTCTCACTCGACCTTCTCGGCTCGGCGCTTCCAAGCCACGGCAGTGGCAAACTTTTGCTGCTGTGCGCTTGGCGGCATTCGATCAACGTTGTGAGTTCCCTGGAGCACTCCCTTCAAGCCGCAGCTTGCGCAGCACTAGACTCCGTGGCCGGCCTGTCATCTTCATTCACCCTTACGCTGAACGCGCAAGGGGCCACACTGCAAGCTTGCCCTGCTGCAGCGGTTCGGCAGCCCCCATGGCTGCGGTCGCGCACTCAACACTGGGTGCCTGAGGCCTTTAGGGCTCTCTGCCCGAACGGCCCTGCTGCCTTACGGTGCCTCGCAGTGGTTGCCTAGCAGTGAACAGCTGCCAGTGGCTGCGCGCAGCTGGCAGTCACGTGTTGCCCGGCGCACACGTTCACGCACAGGATTTGATCGCCTCTGTGCGTTTGCTGCCCACTGCCTGTTTCTTCCTTCTTCAGTCCTCTCCCCGGTTGTCGTGACCTTCCGCCTCCACCGCCGCAACGCTTCTCTTGCGCGGGTGCGACGAGGTGGGCAGCATTTTCGACTCTGCTCGTTTCCTTTGGGGAAGCTGTGTGCGCTCCGGCAGCTTCGCGAACTTTCGTCACACACCTCGCACTCTCCTCCACTTTGTTTCACAGGGCATCGGCTTCCGCTCGAGAGAGCAAGGCAAGTTCAGTTGCAGCTCTCTACAACACTTCACCGCTAACTGATCATAGGATGGAGGACGCTCGCGCCGCCGCACTTGTGGTCGGTAACCCAGAAGTGTTCTTGGGCAGCGACTTCATTCACGGGAGCAAGATCAAAGTGCAGCTTTTGTCAATGAAATGCCCAGAGGCTCAGCCTGTTGTCGGATTTCGACTCCTATTTCCCTTCGAGCCGTCATTGAGCAAGGGCCATTGCTACTCGGAGCTCGGAGAGGACTCGCGCCAGTACGCGATAATTGTGAAATTTCCACTGGGCCAATTTTCTTGGGGCAGTGGCCCCATCCCGGAGACGAGCCGTGAAAGCATCAGAAGCCGTCTTTGTGAGGGACAAGACATCTCGACGCTGAGAGGCGTCAATTTCACCATCAAGGAAGACTGTCACATCAGTGTTGATGGTTTCGGAAAACCTTTTGTGGGCAGTGATACCGAGATAAGCTCTTGGCTCAACCTCAACAGCCCCATCCACGGCTCAAAATCGCTTTCCACTCTCTTCTCTTTGAGACGGTTCCAGTTCATTGTCCCAGATGAGGACAGCATGCGGAAGTTTCTCATAGCCTTCGCTGCCGAGCCAGCCTCTTGGCCGGGTTACCCCTTTGGCAAGGAGTAAGCCAAATCCTCAACTCTCCCTCCATCGTTGATGTCCCCATCAGCTAACCATTTGCCCAACAGTCACAAATTTGATATGAAGAGATACCGGCGCGTCATTCCAGACAACAAGGGACCGAAGTACGAAGCTCACTGGCGATTTGACAATATCCAAGACCTTGTCACATGCTTTTCGCAGCCGCACGCCCAGGACGTCTTCTACTTCCATGAGGACATTGTCGGGATTGGAGACGTCGACGTCAAGGCCGCTCTGCTGGAGATTGATTCGAGCGAAACCGAAGTATGGGCCGTGCTTCGTACTCCAGACGATTTTGTGAGTACACATTATTGCCAAGAAGCAGTCGTAGCGTTGCTGATATCATGTAGCTGTTTAAATATGCGCCAACTTGGCGCCGGCTGATACAGAGCGCATACCCATTTGCTGTGGCTGTCGACCGAACACACGGTCGCGAGCAAACAATCTGGGATGCCAGATTCTCTGTCAAAGCCAACATTCTGGGCTTGGACGGTGCGAAAGCGACAGTCCTCCGCATGAAAATACGGTCACCTCGCAACCCTGGCGGAAGCCTAGCAAGATTCGATACCTGGGAGGATGCCAGAAAAAGCAGTTTACAGAATTAGGACACTGTGAACTTCTACTTCGACATTTCCTTGCTCAGATCCTATCAAGGAGCCGGATACAGCGGCGCCACGGCCGTGAGGAGTGTTCTGAAGTCGGATAGCATTCGTGTCAAGAGTGCTGCCGGCCTGCTCCCCGAATTGAGTGGCACCGGTCTTCCACAAGGAGTCAGCCGGAGCTCGATCGCACCATGGCCATGGGCCACCTACACCTGGAGCCAAATGCAGTCTTTCCAGCGGCTTTTGCTGTGCGGCCAGGGCTTCTGGAGTGCCCGGATTGTCCCAAATTCCGCGGAGAAGAGCAACGGAGCTCCTGTCGGTGGATCATCGCTCGGCTTTCCGCCAAGTGTCGACGTTTTCCAGTCTGTTCCGGCGGAAACACTGGCATTCATCCTGGGGAAGCATCGAGCGACGTCATCCCCCGAGTTCCGTGAATTTGTCCGCTGCGCGCAACTCGGCCTCATGGTATTTCCTGGCTTCGCCGGATCTGGAAAGACGACAGCAGCAAGCGTCATGGTCAACGCGATGCTCGCTAGCCCTGACATCAAGCGGATCTACGTCTCTGCCCCTACTAATGCTGCTGTAAGCCACATTTGTCAAAGAATTCACCAGATTCGGGTTGAACTTGTGGAAGAAGGAGGCCAAGTGGATGCCATCTCGCAGCTTCGTCAAGCGGTGATCCTCCGGGGCTTCCAGCTCCACATCGAAGAAGACCAGGTCATGCAGCGACTGCGGGCACCACAGGGTCAGCATCGCCCTGGGATGGCTGGGAGTTTCTGGCATCCCAGCTCGTGGACACTGGAGAATTCTCTGGCATTCTTCACACTCCAAGCCCTGGGTTTTGCGAGTGACGAGATACCAGACTTGGATGACAAGTCTAGCCCGCTCTTGCTCAAGCTTCGAGACTCCCTTGCCACGTGCAGTCGAGTTGCCGGTTTGCGCGGGTTGGCATGCCGCAGCATTTCTCACGAGGACTATCTGGACGAGCAACAGTGCGACAAAGATAGCTTCCAAGATCTGCTAAGGAAGGTTGCCTCCTGTGCATCCGTCATATGTACTACACCGGAGACTTCGGCGAATTCCTTCTTCGAGCCACTGAAAAGGACGAGCGATGTTGTCGTCCTCAACGCAGCGGGAGCTATGGGTCGGGCGGATGCGATCAATGTCTGGGGCAACGCGTGTCGCCCTTGCATTATTGTCGGTGACTGGAAGCAAATGGGACCGACCCTGCTGTCCTCGCGGGATACTTTCTTCCTTGAAGACGACTACTGTCAGCCTGGACAGAGCTGCTTGCCGCGTAACAGATTTTCCCCAGATGGGGAGGCTTCCATACTTGAACACGCCATGAGAATCGGTCAACCCGTTTGGCATCTTGACCACCAATACCGCATGGCGGTAGGCCAGTTCGAGATGGCCTTGGAGGTCGTATACTCGGAGTTCATCGGCACCTACTCCTGCGACGAGTCAACCGAATTAGTACACAGGCCCCTCGCCGTCGAAGTGGATGCATGGCTGTCATCTGAGCATGGAATTACTTCACCAAAGGGCAAGTCCTACCCAGCGTTCTTTTCGAAGCCTGGATCCTGCTGGTACCATCCCCCTTCAGGTTCCAGGTATAACGAGGAGCAGAACACTTTCGCGTTGAACCTGGTTCGCAGCCTTCACGAAGCCGGCATTCACAAAAGCAAGATGAAGGTTGTGACGACGTACAGCGATAACAAGAGATACCTGGAGGATCTGTTCCGCAAATCGTCGTTTCTTGACGTTGCTTGCCACACAATCGACTCGTTCAACGGGGGCATTGGCTGCATTGTCATCTTTGTACTCTGTGTCAACCGAGTTTCTGGACCCTGTTTCATGGACGATTCGCGTCGCCTAGCCGTCGCAATGACTCGGCACACCGACCATCTGATCGTAGTGGGGGACCTGAAGACACTTTACTCGGACGAGAAGGGGACCAACAGTAAAGGCTCCATGCTTGCGATGTTCCAATGGCTCTCAAGAAACGACCGCGTGGTAGTCGTTGATGACGATGCCGGTGGTGATGATGCACGAGAAATGAGGAGGAAGAGAAGAAAGTTCAGAAAGAGCCAGGGCTGGCGGCCAGACGACAGTTCGACAGATTCGGATGACGATTATCGGCCGAGGTGGTAGGACGATGGCTCGGGAAACTCTGGAGATGGCGGTAAGGAAAAGGAAGAGGAAGGGGCCAACAAGCCTGACGGCGAGTGATCACTTGATGGATGCGCGAACCGTGGATGTGGTTCACGGGGACAAGGAACTCATGGGTTAGCTTGAGGTCGCTTCGCGCTAGGTAGTAGTCAGATGGATGAGCAAGTCAGAGTGTTAATACGAGAAGACCCATTAAGATATCAGCGCTGTTCGATTTGGTCACCATGGCAAACAATGTCGAAGAAGTGGCCGCGCTAAACGCACCAGCAACGAGAGCAACGAGAGCAACGAGAGCAACGAGAGCAACGAGAGCAACGAGAGCAACGACAGCAACGACAGCAACGACAGCAACGACAGCAACGATAGCAACGACAGCAACGACAGCAACGACAGTAAGGTCAGCAGCAAATGCCGTCCGAATAGCTTCCTGTTCCAATAGTGCGTGAGACACTGGCAGTCGATGTGCTGCATGATCGATCTGAGAACTGGGACGTGATGAGGGAAATCAGTCCATGTCAAGCGCGTCAGTCACAAATACGTACTACCCAGCTTAAGTCTAACCTCCAGAATCCATTCTACAGCATGTCATGTGCCTGATGATACTCCTGGGGAAAAGGAAGGCAGCGTTTGGCTATATTGTGGCGACACCGGAGCAAATGTTAGTAAGGCCGGCATTCGTAGTCGTAAAGAATGCGCGAGTAAGAAGTCAGGGGAGGAACGGATTTGGTTCCTTCAGAAACTGCCGTGCATGAGAGGACACTATGTACGGGCGTTGGAGACACCAGTCTGGCATCGCTGTGGCGTCGGTTTAGCCAAGCGATAAGACACGACAAGCCGGTCTTGTCGCGCATCAAAGCCACTGCGCATCTGCGCATGTAGGATGCCTGCTTTCATGGACTTTTGGCTCCAAAACGGAAAAGGCCATGTCGCATCTTGGAGGGTTAATGCTGGGGTTCACGACGTCCATGTCCTCCGTCGTCAGTCCCCCGTGGCCCAGGTTGGTCCTGCACGAATTCCGGCACTTTCCGCCAACATGACCACACAGTGTCGACATTGCTCATGGAGGGAAAGACTTGCTTGCGCGACCAAGGCCTGCGGTTGCCTAGGGTGCCCGATGCACTTGCCAACCCGTGCGGCGGACAAGCCTTCCACCACAATGTTTAGCTTCAGTCCATGCTCAAAAGCCTTGCAGGGCGTCATGCTCACCTACATGCCTTGCGCCAGCCGTGAACTCTCCACAGGATGGGCGCAATTCTCGGGGCCGGTGGTCGCCAACCTCCTACATGCTTTACTTCGCAGCGCAGAGACAAATGGTTCAGGGGTTCTTTCCAGAAAGAACTTGTTGGCTCGCTACTCGTGGGAGCTTAGACCGCTCATAAAGTTTGGGCGGCTCCTTCCAGCAACATGGTTGATGTGCCAGACAAGGTTCCCTTTAGAGACAGGGACCAAGCCAGCAAATCTTGCTCCGCCACGTGCTACTAGGTAGACTGTAAACAACACATTGGCATACAAAAATTTCTACCGCGTGGCCTTCTCGATATACAGACATTGCGGAGAATCTTAAGCTCTTTCAACTCATGTGCAGGCCAGACCTGTTCGCTCCGCTCCTTCCACCACCAAGAATCCGATCTTGCCGACCATGACAAGCAAGCGAGACGACGCTTCATGCCATGCAATGGCACTGCGCAGCTCCAGAAATCCCAAGACAATCGTCTGGCACCTCGTGCCCACAGATATTCGCCTGTTGATCCTGGAAGCCATTGTGCAGCAAAAGAACCCCGGCTGGGCGTCTTTCGCATCCGTCAGCCGCGAGTGGCAGCGTGCCATCGCGACGAAAAACCTGTGCCATCTGAGGCTCACTGAGGTAGGCGTAGGGCAGATCCGGGACCGAATTGTTTTGCAGAGGGCGCTGGTCCGTCGCATCTCTCTCGACATCCAGCTGCCCAGATTTTCTTGCCAGGTATGCGAACAGGAGCCGCCGGCCTGGCAGCCCTCCCAGAACCCAATCGTTACGATGGCGATCGGGGGGCTGTTTTATGCGCTCAAAGACTGGAGCCCAACGGAAGGCGGCCTGACGATAGAGCTCAATGCGTTTTGTCCAAGCGACTGGGAGCATTGGTTCAAGGACAGCTTCTTTACTTCTCGCCACGACGCCCATCCGGGCGCACTGGATCCAGGGAAAGCGCCTCCTGACTGGCATGACGAAAAGCATGGCTGGGTCGACGGCAAACAAGTCATGGCGCCTCCGAGAGCGGCGCTTAGGCGTCTTTTTGAGGACATCAAACTGTCGGGTTTCACAAACGGACTTCCTCAGGTCGAGGCAGTCACGGGGCTCGTGATCCGGCGCCAGCTCCGTCGTCGGATCTTTCCCAGCCTAATATCTTTGCTGATGCTTAGCCTCACTCGGCTGGAAAATCTCGTGTACGAGCCATGGCGCCTATTGGAACGTGACTGGAGGGTTGTCTACGACAGGCGTAAGTCTAACCCAGGCATCACCCACGCACATTCTTGCGCCCGTTTCGGAGACTGACACGAACTGCGCCCCAGATTTCCAAACCATCATTCAGAACAACATCCCGAGCACAGTCAGGAGAGTGATTCTGTTTGAGGATTTCAACGACACCCTTGCGGAGGCGGCAGCGCGTGAAGCGACCTTGCCGTTCAACTTGCGCCTAAACGCCTCCCGCATCGTCGATGCCGGCTTAGGGATGAGATTTGCATCTAAGAGCTTCCGGTTTGAAGAGCTTTCCGTGTCTTTCATGGCCAACGCCGAGGACTTCTTTGTTGGATGCAAAGTATCGCCAGGGACGTGGACCCGCCTGCGGACTCTGGCACTGACGTCGCAGCGCCTAAAGCTTTCGGGAAGCGGCAGGAAGATTGACGATCTGCTGCTCGACGCCGGCGAGACGGCGCTGCGGATGCCCGAGCTACGCACCATGGTACTCTGGAATGGCGGAGAGGGCCATGCCTGTGCGTTCATATACCGCAAGAGCCGTGAAGGAGCGACTATCACCTGGCGCGGTACGTGGTACACTGGTCTCAGCCCCCACGTGGTCGACGTATGGCAGCGTGTGGCCTCGTCGCATGGCGCCAGGGCCTTTTTTGTCGCTAAAGAGGTGCTTCGAAAGTGCGAGATTGCGTCCCACGGCGACGCCATCCATCACCTGGACCTGCCGTGTCAAGTGGTGAGCCCCGAGTCGCTCTGGCAGATTCGGAGGGAGTTTGCCCTGCAAGCGACTCGCTGCGCGTGGGAAGACCCGGAAGAAGAGGAGGAATGAGATGTGTTGGATTGCCTGCGGCCTGAGCGAGATGCAGGATTATGATGTCGAAGCGTCGGTTCCATGGGACGAGTCCGCATGAGCGTGAGCGTTGGGCGTTAAAGGTCAAGGGCGTGACCCGCCTCGCTCGTCGGGATTGCCACACAACATTGAACGACGTCTGAGAAGCATTAGCAATGGCATTGTGAAAGGCGTTTAGCCGGGTGATTAATGTACAGCGAGGCGCTCAGCAATAGATACAGATAGATGCATCGGCATCCAAACATGATGAAGCGATCGCTGCCAGGCGATTGTCAACGTCAAAGTTTGACGGGAACTTGGTAACTCACAGTCTTCTCAAGCCCTCATTGAAACCGCATTGTCCAATAATACATTTCACTCATGGACCTTGTCTCATTACACCAGGCAGCAGCCCCAGCTCCGCCACCCGGAGAGGCACCCCCGGCTCCACCCACCGGCGCCGAGCCCCCCGTATCCGTCGTATCCACAGAGTCCGGCAACGCGACGGACCAGACGGCCCCGCCCCATTTCCTCATCCAGCCAAAACTCGGCAGCCTGCGGACATGCGCCGCAGCTCCTCGGACGTCTCGACGGGACGATCTGCAATTGCGACGAGCGCGCGCCAAGGGTAATTCCAAGGTTGTGCAACCCAAACCAACTGCCGGCGCGAGTATCCTTTGCTATAAAGCCTTGACACATCTGCCGGACTGCTGGGCTCTAGGTTTTCCTTCTCCTCGCTTCTCACATGTGCCAGCTCTTTGCTCGCGGATAGCCAAAGAGCATACAACATGAAGGTGCCATTGCAGATGGCCCTGCTGCCTTATGCAGCGACGAGTGCGGGCGGCGTCGCGCCAACAGCGACTCTCAATTCAGGTCCCGTCTTCGGCGCCCCGACGTCTCTGCCAGGAGCCCTTGGGCCCGTCAACAAGTTTCTCGGCATTCCTTATGCCGCTTCGCCACCTGAGCGTTTTCGCTTGCCACGCCCGCCCAAGAAGTGGACGACGCCGAGGAATGCGACTGCCTTTGGCGATTCTTGTATCCAATATGTACCGAAGACGGGTGAGTACACAGTCCCCGACTCTGGTGTCGAGACTTTGTGCCTTTTCAGCCCGAGGGCTGTTTGCATTTTCGGAACAGATAGCTGACGGTGCGCATACTAGACGTCGGCCCAGGAGAGGATATCCTCGAGAAGCTCTTCAACCAGCATCCACCTGAGAGCGAGGACTGCTTGTACATGAATGCCTTTGCACCGGCGTCGAAAGGACCGCCTTCGGGACGCCCAGTCGTCGTGTTCATCCCAGGCGGGGGTTGGACCATGGGAAACGGACTGATTGACCTCTCTGGCTTTGCCGGGTACGAAGACATTGTCGCTTTCACGTTTAATTACCGGACGAACAGTAAGTAGCTTGTCCAGTCTCTCCCTCGTAGCCGAGCCATTCCGTGTCGCTTTCATGGCCAAGGACTCCTGCTGAAAGTCTTCGACACGCAGTCTTCGGGTTCCCCAACGCGCCGGGCATCCCCCTGGGAGAGCGCAATCTCGGCCTGCACGACCAGAGACGCGCCCTCCAGTGGGTGCAGGCCAATGCGCGTGCCTTTGGCGGTGATCCGGACAAAGTGACCGTCTGGGGTGAGTCTGCGGGCTCCATGTCCGTCGACATTCACCTGCACGGACTGGCCGCGCGCCCGCCCTTTCGTGCCGCCATCATGTCGAGCGGGGAGTACTCCTTTGGTATGTTTTCCATGGCGACTAGCCCCACGGAAAGCCGCAGCTGGGGCGGCGTCGTTGAGAAGGTCGGCTGCGGTGGCAGTGGCAACAATACGGCGCGCACGCTGAAGTGTATGAGCGACGTCCCCACAGACAAGTTGCTCGAGGGCATGCACAAGGCCGGTGTGGGATACAACCCCATCGCAGATAACGTCACTGTATTGCCTGGACGAGCCGCGGCTTGGAGGCAGGGTCGTACGGCCAGGGTGCCCGTCCTGGCGACGTCCATGGCCGAAGAGGGCCGCGGGCTGGTCAACCACAACGTGACCATGGAACGCTTCCTGGAGGCATACCTCCCGCAGCCTCTCGTCACAAAGTCGCAGCAAGACTCCATCCTGGACTTTTACAGAACAAAACGGCCTGCCCTGAAGACGGACTTTGACGTCGCTGCCGCGATATACACCGACTTCCACTGGCAGTGCCCGCTCCGGCTCCTCGCGGCCGCGGCCGCCTCGGTGCCTGACGACGCGGCGAAGCAGCCGCTCTGGCGCGGGTACTTCAACGCCTCTATCGCGGAGCTGCTCCCTCAAGAATTCCACTGGCTGGGCAAGTTCCACGGCACGGACGTGCTGCTGGCGTTTCTGGCGCCGTCATTTGAAGGCGACAGTGGTGGTACGACCACGGGCATCGTGCTCACGCCGCAGGTTTATACCTTCGCGCGGTACTTCCGCGGCATGATTGGCGCGTTTGTGCGCAATCCAGCGGCGGGGCCTGGGTGGCCTGCGACCGGGGCGAGGGCGTACCTCCCGTTTGACGTGGCGAGCCTGGGAGACGTAGGGGACGTGAAGGCGGGAGGGGCAACGCCGGTGAACGGGACGGAGCTGGATGAGAGCTGTGGGCTGTACAAGGACATCTATCCGCTGCTGGAGAAGGTTATGGGGTGAGCCCGGTGTAATATCTAGGGATGCCATGTGTTTGATGCCATGTATTCCGAGCCGGCTACAGATGATCACTAGTGCCACAAACGCAACGGGCCCTTTTGTCGCTGGACGTCTTGTTGCAGGTCTCGGCGTCGGTTTCGAGTCCGCTATTGTCATTCTTTATATGTCCAAGATCGTAAGCTCATTGCCCATGATGGCCAACTGGAGATGGACGTACGCTTACATGTTGTCAAGTGCCCCTGAAAAGTCCGCGGTGCCCTGGTTGCTGGATATCAGTTTTGCATCGCCAAATACATGTAAAATCGCCCGAGGGCTGGCAGCAAATTTAACTTTTGGGGCGTTCGCGGTAGGAGACAACGTTAATGAGGAAGAGACGTTAACTTACGTATACATGGCATGTTGGCAGCCCTTGACCGCATATTCTGAAAGCTGTGCGTGGCCAGCAGAGACAGAAGGCAAGCAAGCGCCTGGTGTGTCTTCGAAACGAGGGGAGGTTCGCAGGGGAAAGCGGATGGCAGATGGCCAAGGGCGTACAAGCCTACTTGGCGCGTCTGACCAGACATGCTGCTGTAGCACAGACCATATAGAGCAAACGCATACCCGTACGACTCTGTGGCCGTGAGGCCTCCACCATGCACAGGTTCCGGGTGGACTTGCCTGGAATCTGTTTGCTATGCTAGATTCTGAGGTATCCACCCCAGATTACCCGCCCATGACAGCTTGGCCGTCGATTCCAAATCTCTTGTGGATGCCATCTCAATTGCGGCATGTATGCAGTTTTGCACGATTTCGGAGATGGCCGCTACAACGGCCGTCCCACTCGGATACCTCCGCCGGCCTAGCGCGTTCGGCATCGAGCGCAATGAACGCGGCTCTTCCACAGCCTCACTGAGTGGGCCAGACCGAGAATTGCAAGGTCTTACTTAGCGGAAAGTGAAAGGGAGCACGCCATCAATACGCTAGTGACGCGTAATTGAAGCCCGATGATGAAGTGCACCCTTAAACGTCGTCGTCATGTGGCGGAGCAAGCCTGGTGTTTGTCATGTTCTTCCGTAGTTCATCACTGCGGACTCCCCTGCCCGACGGCTGCAAAGCGAAAACGGAAATTATTATGGGGCCAACTAGCAGTTCCTGTAAGCTAAGCCATAACGTGGAGAGATATTTTGGGGTACGGAATAAGCTTAACTTTCTTATTTAACCAGTGTTCCTTACAGCTCAACTACAGCCCTCCCGTCCGAATGTGAAGTTACCAACGATCACCACAAGCAAAGCGCAGTACCATTCACCCCTCAAACAGCCTTCTAAAAATGGTTGCTATATTCTGGACCCTTGCAGGATGCATGTCTGCGGCCGTCCTCGCCTCGCGTGCGGATGTCCTCCAAGAACACAACATTCCGCTCAACCTCGCTCTCGACATTGCCCAAGATGCGGTCAAGGCCTGCGCAAAGGACCATTACAGCGTATCAGCAGCTGTAGTGGACAGGGAGGGTGTCCTTCGCGCCCTTCTTCGGGCGGACAACGCGGCGATTCACACGCCGGAGGCGGCTCGGCGGAAGGCATACACGGCCGCCTCCGCACGAACGGCCACCAGCGCAATGGTGAAGAACATTCAGAATCCTGGCGCGGCTCAGCTTGTCGGAATTGACGACTTCCTCATTCTCGCCGGTGGTTTGCCAATCAAGCTCGGCAATGAGACCATCGGTGCAATCGGTGTCGGTGGTGCTCCGGGCGGGGATCTGGATGAAGCCTGCGCTATGGTCGCCCTGGAGAAAGCGGGAAAGAAGCTGGCGTAACAAGACGAAGCGTGTAGTACCTCCTGAGGTTGTGGCTGTCTGGCTATTCCTTCCTCGTATCGGAGGAAACTTTGCAACTACAGGCGACAATTCTTTGCCTCGCCAAAGTATGAGAAATAAGTGAGGGGAGGCGTATTGTCCCTGTAATAAAATCTACAGGTTTGATCTCGATTAGTATGATAGGATTTCTTCAAGTCATGGTTTCTTCTCGGTCTCATTCTATAGCTCTCGACGCAGTTCTACTCAAGAGCAGAGACGTGGGATGAGTGGTTTGAAAGTAATACATGTATGTATACATATGTGTGTGTATGTCCGTGTATGAAACCCGGTGGATGCCACCATTTTATCCTTGTCGGAGCTGTCGTGACTGCACAGTCAAGTATCACTGCCACTAATCCATGACTGCAAAGTCGGTAGCAACATCGGGTTTTAGGCGCAGGATCTGGGACCCGCCTTGCACAACGAGCCCCGACGCCCCTCTCAGCAGTGATACACAAACTTTGAGTTTCGATCCGTCGAGCCCGTCATATCGAGCTCCAGTTGTTTGACAGACGGACAAACGCTCCGCTCAACTTCAATTGGGAATATTCCACGGAAATTTCGGCCCTATTCCCGAGCAATACCCTGGTTGACAGGTCCATTGTAACCCAATTGGCCAGAGCGACTGCCGGGAGTTGAGGCCCGAGAAACCCGGCAACGATGGAGTGGGAAACTGCGCAGACCGCGTCGGACGGAATATGGCAACTCTATTTTATCTTGGCAGTTCGTTGCAACCTAGACATGCCATTATGAGGTCAAGATCATTGGGCGCAACGCCTGACGCCTCGAGTATGCTTGGCGAGAGCAGCAACTGAAGGACTCCTAATTGATGATGTGCCAATTGATGTCGACATTCATCCGTAGTCAACTCTACTCAAACACTGGCGACTACTCGAGAATCGACGACTCTGGTCGGAGGTCTACATTGGCATTATCAAGATTATATTCAATGTTTGGGTCGGCCCTGCTGTCACTGCCCTGGCACTGGGATCAACTATGAGGTTCGTCTCCTCGAAATGACGTACCTTAACAAAGTTAGCATGCAAATTGTCGTGAATGCAGCTCATCGGGCGACTTACCCAACTTTGGATGTGACAGTATCGGACCCGTCAGGCTCGGGATATAATGCTCCTTCGACCAATCCATCAACCTGTCCCAATTCCGGCACTGATGCTCCGTCTGCATGCTCGGCCACGGCCATCTATAGTCCTCCTTCCACTGATACGTATGCAGAGACACGTCTCCGTGGCACATGACAACCTGGCGGAGCAGATCGATGCAGTGATCAAAGTGCTCCTGCTGGTCTGCGAGGGGGTTCGGGTCGTGGTAGTAGTCGGAGTAGTAGGACTTGCGAATCTTGTTCACGCAGTGCAGCGTGTGGAAGACGTCGAGGGTCGCGAGGTAGCCGCCCTGGTCGTCATTCAGGGGCACGGAGGTGGCGTTTGCTTTGTCGAGGTCTTCCTTCTGGACGCGGAGATTGTTGTCTTGATACACTCGTCAGCGCTCCGCGCAACCAGGCGTAGGTTTTCGCTTACATCTCAAAAGGTCCTCCCATGCCGCGTCCTGCTCTGGCCGTGGTGGGCCTCTATATTTGCCATTGTCTGCAAGGTTGTGGACAATCATTTGTTTCTCGTATTTTATGGCCGCTTTCGCGGGAGCTGCGAAACCGTGTTAGTATCACATTGCCGCCCATGGATAGCTCTATGTCCTCTTACAATAGACCGCAGCATTCTCACACTCGCATTTCTTCGCGTTTATCCTTACGCTCCATGCGTATAGTGTGACGGTGAGGACGCTGTAAAAGACAACGGCGGCAAGGTGGAGATACGTTTTTAGTCGCTTGTTTCGCTTTGATGTGGGAGATGGCAAAGAATGGAGGAGCTTCTCTTGCGATTGCTCGTCGCTCAAGAGACTCTCCGTGTCTAGTGAGTCTGAAGGATCGTGGTCCTTCGCCAGAGGTCGCTCCGAATACATTGTTGCCCGGCAAAAGCGCACAAGAACTGGCGACCTGTGGTGATCTCGAGGTTCAGTGAGTTGTAGGTCATGGAAGGAGTTTGACAGGCTGCGTACGAATAGGATAACCGGATGTAACAGTACCGACGCACTGTCCTTAGTGCTTACCTCGTACCGTTCTTGCCGTTGTCATACGTAGTGGTCGCACTCTTTAGCGCATGGTATTGGGATGGGGGCCAAGGGAGCTTGGGGTTGTAACTAAACCCCGCAATCTGATGCTAACTGAAGAGAGACGCGGGGTTCGAGTGGCAACTCGTGCGGCCTATAATTTTGACGATTCGAGCGGCACGGCACTTGACTACGTCTGCAGCAGAATGGGGCTTATTCCTTCTGCAAGGTTACATCCGGCGCTACTCAAAATGGGCGGCCCAATGATCTGCAAACACTATGCTCTGACGTGCTCTCTTAGAGTTGTGCGGTTCGTATTACTATCGAGCGCAGTTTCCGATGAGAGTCCATCACTTTGAGTATCAGGCTTTTGGTGAGACGAGCTTGTATTTTCTAGAATAGCACTCGAGTAGACTATGACTTCATTCACCACTTTGACCATAGCAGTGGTGATGGCCTAAGCTCGCACGTCATTTTCTGTCGCTGGCCGCGTTGTCATGTAGTTTAACGCGTCTTTAAGCCTCAGAACGCTTGCCCCAACCGGCCTGGTTGTTGTAAAGAATGTCGGGGCTCTGAGCCTCAGAGCGCTTTCCCCACCCAGCCTGGTTGTTGTAGAGGATATCGGGGCTCTGGGCCTCAGAACGCTTCTCCTCCGAGCGCTTTCCCCAGCCGGCCTGGTTGTTGTACAGGATATCCGGGCTCTGGGCCTCGGAACGCTTGCCCCAACCAGCCTGGTTGTTGTAAAGAATGTCAGGGCTCTGGGCCTCGGAGCGCTTCTCCTCGGAGCGCTTTCCCCAGCCAGCCTGGTTGTTGTAGAGGATGTCGGGGCTCTGAGCCTCAGAGCGCTTTCCCCATCCGGCCTGGTTGTTGTAGAGAATGTCAGGGCTCTGCGCCTCGGATCGCTTTCCCCAGCCGGCCTGGTTGTTGTAGAGGATATCAGGGCTCTGAGCCTCGGAGCGCTTGTCGGCGCTCTCCGGCTGAACGGGGGCAGCAATGGCAGCGCCGAAGAGCGCGAGGACGACGGGAAGAACAGCCTTCATCTTGAAAGTTGTTGTCAAAGTGGACAGATATTTTGAAACGAGTATTGCTGCTTGCTGTGCGGTGTGGCTTTTGCAAGGACAAGACAACTATGGATGCACTGGCTATCTATAGGAGCATGAGTATCTGACCACGAATTTCCCGAAGCAGAAAGCATCAACTCCGGAACGTTGCAATGCAGCGCCGGCGGGGACCCTGCATGTGCTTGACGTTTTGCGTGACCGACTTCATGTCTGGTCCATGTCGTCCATGTCAGAATACCCCTCCGTCCTCTACGCGGGGTACAACTCGAGCGGCTAACTAGCCGGGGAAAAGATGGACGCTGGTGATCCTTCGTGTAAGCCACTTTGCTCTTTACTGTCCAGTTGAAGGTCTGGCTGCTGAGTGGCGAGCTTGCTCTGGGTGTAGTACGAGCGATTTAAGTCACCGGATCTATCCCTCCGGTAGACCTTCTGTTTATTTAGGCGGTTTTCTCGCTATGGGACTAAAGAATACACCCGATAAGTACCGCTGATCGGGAAAAGTCCCCTTCACATCATCAAAGTGTATGCAGAACCAGGCTGGGCCAGGTAAGTCACGGTACTATGCAGTGTACTTGGTGGGGGGTAAGACGTTGTCAGCAGCCGCCTATGCCAGGAGATACAAAACGTGACAATTGCTTTTTTTTGCTGTCCTTTCTTCCGCACGTCCGGCTGAGCTAGTATAGAATGTGCGAGAGATTCGCCATCTTGTGCAATCCTTCTGCGTCGAGACGCCATCCTACATATGCAACTACGCATAGCGCTTACCGGACTCTACCTGCCGTGGCCAATAGCCGCGCATACAGACTAAGTGATACGAACATCTCTCACAGAAAGTGTGGTACAAGGCTTGCTTATAGGATCTCGCGCGAAAAAAATGCCACCTTCTTAAAGTAGAAAAGATGCAACGTTCCGAGTAGATCGCTTATGGGCGCCGGGCCGGAATGGGGCTCTCGTGGTGCCGCGCCGCTGACACAGTACATGGTGCACGGTACGGGAAGGCCCCACAGGCGCTGCTTCGAACTGACTTACACAGGACCGATGTTCTCGCTTGCGTGTAGTAGCTCAGCAAAACACTCAACGTCGCAAGCCATTCCAGTGCCTGCCTCGAGGTCGTCAGGATCCATCCGATCGCTGCCCATTGAGACATCTAGTATTGTTCACAGAGATGGCGCAAAGGGCGAGTGATCGAGCCTCGGATGAGGTGCCTTTCCTGGCCGACGAGGAAAAGGACGTCTTTGCAACTGCGAGGCGACCGTCGAGGCGAGAAACGAGATGGGCTCGCCTTTTGCCATACTCTGGCGCACTGAACTTGACGCTGCTGGTGGCACTGATCGCGACGTGGGCCTTGCAAAGACACGACCCGAACAAGGCGTATATTCCAAACGAGATATACTGTAAGTGGTTCTCTACCCTCTTCAATGAATCGCTTTCTAATGTGGCACAAGCACCTGCGCAATCCGCGGTGGAGTATGAAACAGTCGTCTTTACAGGTGGTCTGCGAGGCGACAAGTCAAAGTTCCAGGGCTCCTCGAGCGAAGTGGACGCTGTGTGGGATGAGATGTACAACGGTCCGTTCCCCCATCAAACAACCGAGCGTCGCAAACACGCAGGCTAACAAGTCATTTATAGATGTGTTGATATCCGCCATTTCCCCCGAATCAGCCGCCAAGCTCCCCAACGCAACAACGCCATTCACGTACGACACGGACCACTACATCATCGAGCTCGACGTCTTCCACCAGCTGCACTGCCTCAACATGCTGCGCAAGCTGGTGTACCCCGACGCTTACAAGATGGACCTGACGTCAGGCTCGGAGGAAGCCGAGGACAACATCTTTCACATGGAGCACTGCTACGAGCAGCTGCGGCAGTCGCTGCAGTGCTCGTCGGACATCAGCACGATCTACTGGGAGTGGAGCGAGAAGAAGCAAAGGATGTTTGGAAACGTGCACACGACGCACACGTGCAGGAACTTTGAGAAGATTAGGGATTGGGCGGTGGAGCACCATGCGACGACGGACTTGGACTTTTCCAAGCATGTAAAGGGAGCACCGTTGCGGCATGATTAGAGAAGGCAATGACATCAACCGTGCATTTCAACCTCTTGGCACTTATTCTTCACTGTCCGTGGCACATATGCTCGGCTACTCAGCTACATAATAGCTCAGCTAATGACAACTATTCACCCGCGAAAGAGCCCAATACGCGAATTTGCCAAGTTGGCAGGACTTGAGAGCTTCTATTTTGCGCACTTTGGATACTTTACAAAGATCTTCGTTCCCGAGTCCTTCATGCCCTCTGGGTGACCGCCAATCATCTTTACGCAGTGGCTCGTGTGGTGATAGTTTGCCGTGTACGAGTCCAGCTCCAGCGTCGGGTCCATCAGGATCCTGTGCAGCCTCTTCCAGACGTACATGCAGTGCGTGACATGCCAGTCAAACGTCGTCGTAAAGTGCCCGTAATCGCCCGCCCCCAGCTCCTCCACGGTGAGGTTCCTGCCCGCGGCAATCTCGTACGGCCAGTGCCGGCCGTGGTACATGTCCTTTGCGTCCTGCGCGTCGTCGTCCGTGAGGCACGACTCGGGCAGCCACGAGTGAAGCACGATGCTGTACTGGCAGCCGCGCGCCTTTGCGTCCTCGGGCGAGTTGCCGCAGTCGCCGTGGGACCAGGACAGGGGGAGGCCCGTCTTGGGGTCGGTGCCGTTGGCGGCGTGCGGGAGGTTGCGCGCGTGGGAGTGTTGTGTTGGCATCGTGAGGGCGGAGTAGAGGGCCATGACGGCGCCCATTGTGGCGAGGCCGAGGAGGAATGAGCTCAGCGTTGAGAGCCATCCTCGGTGTTGCCGCGCGGGTCTTCGGAAGCCCTCGCCATCCTCGCTGGCGTCGCTATCGACTTGTGCGTACTTGATCTTGTCGGTCATGATGAATGGCGTTTGGGGCTTGCCGCTGTGCTCGCTCCTTGTTGCCGGGTGATTAGAGACGATACATTAAAAGACACCTTGCTGACTGTTTTCTCGTCCAAGGAGGTAACAAGAGAAAGAGATAGCCTGAAGGCAGAGAGGATGTAACCATGAGAGAGTAACATGCAGTTGTGGCAGGACGGCATGCATGCATAGGCGCTTACAGGAGCCGCTGTGCCGTAGTCTGAGGTTCGTTACTCACACAGTGTAACCAAGCGCCCCGGCAGGCACCCCCACTAGAGATCTCCGTGCCTAGCGGCTGGAAGCATGACGCGAGGAGTAAAGGACCCTGGCCTGGGCAGGCTGGGTGCCCGCTGAGGTGCGGGGTATTACGGGAGACGGACGGGCAGTGAGGGGTCGCCGTCTCGGGCACTTTGGCTGATGAGTTCACTGCGGTCAGCCGTGAACTTCCAGGGGCTGTCCAGCACCATGTTGAAGCCCGATGCCCGTGAATGATGGCCTCACCGTCGAACCCGCCAAAAGGTGGCGGCAGTGGCCGCGGCACACCCTGTCGAATCTGGTGGCAGGCAATGAAAGGCGCTTTCCTGACTGGCATTGCAGCTACTCGGGCTTGCCTCGCAGCCCGTCATATCTTCAATTGCAACCATGGCGCAGTCCGTTGGTTGACGATGTTACAAGGAGACCTCGCTCCGACTGACTGGACCTGGCAAATGGCCAAGAAAAAGAAGAAGGAAAAAAGAAAGAAAGAAAGAAAGAAATTGGCAGCAGAATGATCAAAGATCTCAATACAGTGTCGGCGGCGATACGAACATGAGCCCTGGGCGCGGGATCATGGCATGGCCGGTGTGCTAACAAAGATGCGATGCCGTCTACGCCAATTGGTCCAACGCGTAGGACACAAAGTCGATAAAGCAGCACAATAACGGGTATGGCATTTTAGTACGGCGTCAATCCTGAACAAGAAATTTCCAGGCAAAAGGGCTGAGGCGACGTGGAAGGGTAAAGACTGGATGCACTCCAACGCAGAAAAGGAATCCCAAGCAGATTGGCCCTTCTAGAAGACTTCTAGCGGCTGCCACCCTCCCGCCGCCAGCATGTGAGCACACAGGCACGTCATTGACTTTTTCGTTCGACGGAGGGAAGCTCCGGGGCGGGCTCCACAGTCCACCACCAGAACCGGGTCCGAGGATCGGGGAAGCCAACCGGCGGCAGCGACCCGGAAACACTCCCCCGATGCGACATGGCAGCACCGCACCATCACGATCCCAATTGGAAACTGCCCTGCCGAGGACGCGATGCCACGCGTGTCGTCATAGATAAATGGGCAATCCGGCTTCCCTCTTTCTCCAGTGCGGCGAGCGGGAGGTGGATCGCATGCTTTGACATGAATCGGTGATCGACGTCATGAAGGTCTCAGTGCGACGACACCGCCGCCAACATGCTGCTTCACACGCCGTGCCGCGTCGTCGGTATGCCGGGCTATAAATGCAATGCGGCCCTTGCCCATCTACCCTGATGGCCACTGCATATCGATCTACTACACCCAATTGCAGAGGAGTGTCAATACCACTGCATCGAAGCCAACCCCCTGAGATACCCCTGAATACGCCCCCCCGTCCACACCCTCGCAGACGAAGCGACAAATTACCGGATCAAGACAAGCACAAGCACACATAGAGGCAAGGCTCTCAGGAGTAGAAAAAAACCCCCCCCCCGCCGCAACAATGGGCTACCCCGACACCTTCGAGGGCTTCTGCGTCGACGGCCCCAAGACGTGGAGCACGTTCCACCGCGCGGAGCTCACGCCCAAGCCCTTCGGCGAGCGCGACATCGACGTGCAGATCGAGGCGTGCGGCGTGTGCGGCTCCGACGTGCACACCATCACGGGCGGCTGGGGCGCGTACGAGGGCCCCCTCTGCGTCGGCCACGAGGTCGTCGGCAAGGCGGTGCGCGTCGGCAGGGGCGTCCAGAACGGCGTCAAGGAGGGCGACCGCGTCGGCGTCGGCGCGCAGGTCCACGCCTGTCTGCGCTGCAAGCTGTGCACCGCCCAGCCGCGCACCGAGGAGTGCTACTGCCCGCATGAGATGGTGGACACGTACAACGCGCAGTACCCGGATGGGTCGTGGGCGCATGGCGGCTTTGCGAGCCATATCCGCGCGCACGACTTCTTCACATTCAAGATCCCCGACGGGCTGGAGACGGCTGCCGTCGCGCCCCTGCTGTGCGCCGGCATCACCACGTACTCGCCGCTCGCACGCGCGGGCGTCAGCCCAGGCAAGCGCGTCGGCGTCGTCGGCATCGGCGGGCTCGGCCACCTCGGCCTGCAGTGGGCCAACGCCCTCGGCGCAGAGACATACGCGCTCACGCACTCACCGAGAAAGGCCGACGACGCGCGCAAGCTACGCGCCAAGGACGTCATCGTCACGGACGGCAAGGACGGCAGTTGGGCCGACGCCTGGAAGTACAGCTTCGACTTCATCCTCAACTGCGCCGACGCGACGGACAAGTTCGACCTGCCGACGTACTTCTCCCTGCTCAAGCCCGGCTGCGACTTCCACATGGTCGGCATCCCGGACAAGCCTCTCAAGGAGCTCAGCGCGGGGGCCTTTGCGGCCAACGGCGCGAAGCTGACGGGCAGCCACCTGGGCAATAACCAGGAGATGAAGGACATGCTGCAGCTGGCGGCTGATAAGGGCGTGCGCGCGTGGGTCGAGACGATTGACATTTCTGAGGATGGCTGCAAGCAGGCTGTTGAGCGTCTGAAGGAGAACAAGGTGCACTACCGCTTCACCTTGACGGGCTTTGACAAGGCGTTCAAGGCCTAGGTGGAGGCGAGATTTGTCGTAATGGAGGCGTTGGGGGCCTGTATATTAGATAGATGTTGATATGAGGAATGGTGGATGGGGAGTTGGGGTATTATAATACAAGTCAACAAATGTCCAATGCGCCGTCTATACCTTGGTGGGTGATGCAGCCCGTCGCGACCCAAGCGCCAAATCCGCTTGCGCGGCACCGCCATGTCGTCGCCAATTCCATGCAGTGATAATTCCACATTCTGTCCGTGTCGAGTAAACAAGTCTGCCCGCAAACATCCAACGCTCATGAATCCCCACTGTCCTTTCTCCAACCCCCGTCCACGAGCAGCTCCCCCATCGCGCCCTCAATGTACTTGGCCATGGTGTAGTGGCTGTCACCCGAGTATTCGGTCAGCACGGCATGGGGCACGCGCTCGGCCAGGTAGCGGATGGCGGCAATGGGCGCGTTGGCGTCCTCGGCGCCGTGCCAGATGCGCACCGGGTCGTACGCCACGTCCTCGAGCCGGAACCCCCAGTCCGGGTCCGACAGCAGCCGCAGCTCCTCAACGGCCGCCGTCGCGCCCTGGCAAAAGGGCTCGTCGAGCACGATGCGCAGCGTCTCCTCGCGCTGGGCGGCTATGGCGGCGACTCTGTCCGTCTCCTCCTCTGTGGCGATGCCTTTGCTCTCTGCCTTGCTGACGCCCTCGCTCTTCGTGTCGCTGGTGCCGGTGCCCGTCTTGTCGCTCTCCTCTGCTGCCGCCGCCGCCGCCGCGAACCACTTGTCGATGCGCCGCGCGACCACCTCCCTCGTCGCGATCCAGCGCAGCGCGCTAATCATGGCGCTGGTGCCCACCGCCATGGCACCTGGGGTACGCACCGCCATGGCCCTCGCCACGCGCCTCGTCCGCGACATGAGCTGCGCGCCGGCCTCCCACGGCGGGCCACTGGCAAAGAGACCCACGCCGGCGACCATGTTCCGCGGAAGGGCGTGCGCACAGGCGAGCGCGTACGGCCCGCCGCCCGAGGTGCCCAGCACGGCGAAGCGGTCAACGCCGACACCGCGCGCGAAGCTGCGCACGTCCTCGGCCCAGTCAATGATGCGGCGGCCCGGCTGTGGGCTCGACAGGCCGAAGCCCGGGCGGTCGAGGGCGATGAGGCGCACGCCCAGGAGGGAGAGCATGGAGGCGACGGGCTGGGCCTCGAGGCGCGACGAGGGGAAGCCGTGGAAGTAGAGAATCGGGGCGCCGGCCGGATCGCCATATTCTGCGAAGCCGAGGGCGCGACCGTCGGGCAGCGTGATGGTCTGGTGTAGCCGCGGCGAGGAGAAGGGAGAGGGTGCCGACGTGGACGTGGACGTGGAAGTAGTGGCAGAAGCGGAGGCGTGTGATGTCAAGGCGCGTCGACTCGGCCGGGCCGACAGCGCCTGCCGCCATGGTATTTGCCTCGCTGACATGATGCTGAAAGTGTGCACGCGTGTGAAGCAAAGCTGGGTCGAGAAAAACTGATCAGGGCGCGCGTGTTGAGTAAAAGGACGGAGAGCCAGCGCGTGTGCGCCGCGTGGTTATGAACGAGTCGAGGTGTAAGTTGGTGGTTTCTCGTGTCTCAGGCGCCGGTCCAGAGTGGAACACGCTCCAACGCCAGAATAGGAAAGTGCAGGTACAGAGACGAGGCGCCGCCGGGAGTTGGGCGCTCGGGCAGTGAAGGGCGGACGTCATCAGGGAGCGCCCGGACGCCGGTCCCCGCTGTAGCACAGCAGGTGACGGGTGTCTCAGCCGGCACTGCCCCGATTGTGGGCGCCGGGGCGGGACGGGTCCGTTGGCGCCATGAGGGAACGCTGGAGTGACCCGGACGGGATTGCCAGGGGCGCCGCGCCCTGTAATAAGCCGGCGGCTGCGGCTGTGGCTGTTGCCAGCGGCGCATGGCCCTGTATCGAGAAGGGGACGCTGTGGCACTGCAGGGCACTCGTCGGGCTTGTCAACTGCCGCAACCCCGACGTTGCCTCCCGTGCAGCCTCATTGATTAATTTGGTTTGCTCTTGTCGAGAGGCGTATGTTGTACGATGCATTTCTTCTGTTAGATGTATGGTTTGTAGCCCACAGTAGCCAACGGCAGCCACCGTTGGATTTCATTGAGGCTGTGGTACTTCGTCAGCAATCGCCCTTATGCGCGTTCCGAACACCGCCGCAGATCGCGAATAACGCACACGAGACGTCCTAGAATCTCCGGGTCTAATCAATATGGCTCTTGTAAGCTGTCTGTATTTTCTCGCGTACCACCATAACGGAGCACTAGTCACAACGCGTAAAGCCAAGTCAAAAGCACCTACCCTGTAGCGGCGCGCAGCTTGAGGCAGCTCGCCCCATAATTTACCTCAGCAGCGCAACCAAGCCGTTGACATGCAGCCCGCCAACCTCCCTCCAACCCACTTCGTCCCTCGTGCATCGCCAACCATCGGTTCACCACCACGACGACCACCACCAGCGCCGCCGCCGCCATCATGGCGTCCGAGCCCAAGCCCAAGCTCCTCTGGAACGCCGAGAACATCAAGGACATTGCCGAGTCGGTCGGCATCGCGTCCCTCAACGACGAGGCGCAAAAGGCCCTGCAGCAGGATGTCGAGTTCCGCGTCGGCCAGATCCTCGTCGAGGCCCTGCGCCTCATGCGCGCCGCCCGCCGCACCACCATGACCGTCCAGGACGTCTCCCTCGCCCTGCGCGTCCTCGACGTCGAGCCGCTCTTTGGCTACGACTCGACCCGGCCGCTGCGCTACGGCGAGGCCAGCCTCGGACCCGGCCAGCCGCTCTTCTACATCGAGGACGAGGAGGTGGACTTTGAGAAGCTCATCAACGCGCCCCTGCCCAAGGTCCCGCGCGACATGAACTTTACTGGTACGTGATCTTCTGTCGACGCGTATGGAGAGGCTCTCCGCCGCTAACACTCCCCAGCCCACTGGCTTGCCATCGAAGGCGTCCAGCCCTCCATCCCCCAGAACCCGACCACGGCCGACTCGCGCTCCCAGGAGCTCCTCCCCAAGGGCCCCGGCGCCAACCCCGCCCTCAACGCCCTCGCCGGAAACGACAACATCTCCATCAAGCCCTCGGTCAAGCACATCGTGAGCAAGGAGCTCATCCTGTACTTTGACAAGATCCAGGCCGCGGTCCTCGACGACAACCCCGATGAGGAGGTGGTGCGCCTGCGCCAGGCCGCCCTCGGCTCCGTCCGCGACGACCCGGGTCTGCACCAGCTTGTCCCCTACTTTATCAACTTTGTCATGGACCGCGTCACCCACCACCTCGACGACACCTTCACCCTCAAGCAGATGATGGAGCTCACCAACGCCCTCATCGAGAACCAGAGCCTCTTCCTGGACCCCTACGCCAGCTCCCTCTCCGCCCCGGCCCTGACCTGCCTCATGGCCCGCAAGCTCGGCTCCGACGACGGCGTCGACGCCCTCAAGGAGCAGTACGACCTGCGCCAGCTCTCCGCCTCCCTCGTCGGCCGCATCGCCCGCAAATACGCCGCCTCTAATACCCTGCTCCGCCCCAAGCTCACCCGCACCTGCCTCAAGTACTTGCTCGATCCCACGAAACCTCCAGCCGTCCTCTACGGCGCCATTCAGGGTCTGCTTGAGGCTGGCGGGCCGGAAGCCATTCGCGTCCTCGTTCTGCGCAACCTCAAGGCCTTTGACGCGGGTATCCTGCAGCCGCTCAAGGAAAAGTCAGAGGGCAGCATCGACTACGAGATGCTCGTGCATGGGCTCGTCCAGGCCGTGGCGTCCCTGGCCACCCGTACCGACAACGCTATCAACGGTGTTGGTGGCGCGCCCACGGACGCCGAGGTGGCCGATCTCAAGGAATTCATCGGTCCCATTGTCGGAGAGCGCGTCGCGGCGTCGCGCAACCGCAGCCTAGTCCGCACCGTCCTAGATGCGAGACAATTGGAGTAGACACAACCGGAACAACCACGGGGTCGGCGTATGGCGTTTTGGCGGATACCAGGATTGGATCGTTGCATGCTTCATTTCTCCCCCGCCAGTCTAGATAAAAGGGCCCTCTAGGTAGAAGGTCAACAAAAGGAATGCCTTTTTTGCGGCGGTATTCTACACCCGGTTACTGTGACAGACTCCGTGCCTCCACCCGATCCCAAGCCGAGATCAACAACTCCGTCCATCCGTAAAAAGCCCATCTCGCAGCGCCACCACCACACCACCATCTACAAGCCGAACGCGAGGTACAGGCCGCTCAGGACGCTCGAGACCCACAGCGCAATCTCGCCCTTCTTGATGCTCGTCTTGGCGAAGCCGATGCCCATGTCGTAGACGAGGTGCTTGATGCCGTTGATGAAGTGGAAGGCGAAGGGGAAGGCGAGGCCGAACTTGACGCCGCCCTTGACGAGCCAGGGCAGGCCGCCGAAGGCCGCCGCGAGGCTGGCGCTCTCGAGGTGCAGGCCGAGCAGCGGGGCGACGAGGTAGCCGGTGAAGTAGAGGTAGGCGGCGCCGGAGAGGGTGCAGCCCGTGATGCGCGTCCAGGCCGAGGCGCCGAACCACGTCTGCTCCATCTTGTAGATGCCCAGGTGGGGGGAGACGGGGCGGTGCAGGCGCTGGTTGACGAGGATCTGCTGGCCCTCGTCGGGGGAGAGCTTGGTCGTCGCGATCGGGCTGCGGGAGAGGACTGCGTTAGCTGGGCGGGCGAGACCGAGACGGGGACATGGCCGGTGGTAGCGGTGGTGAAAGTCGGGGCGGGTGTGCGTACCGAGACTGCGACGTCGACATGCTCGAGGCGAGGACCGCCTTGGGGATCGTCTGGTTGAAGAAGACGCTGGGCTTCGCGCCTGCATTGTTCACAGCAATCAGTCAGCGAGGCCATTCGCAACAACAAAGCTTCCCATCCGTTCCCTCCTCCTCGGCATGTGCTTTTCCGGAGCGGTACCCGGAGCTACGGCACGGCACGCACCTCTGCGCAGGGCGGCGACGCCGACCCGTTGGGCAATCATTGCGGCGGCGGCTGTCTCGAGATGCGGCTCGTCGTCGTCGTACGGGTGGTGTGGCTCGCGCGATGGAGAGGGGCGTTGTGGTGGTGGTTGAAGAAAGCAAGGACGACGGCGGCGCGCGACCGTTTCTATGATGGAATTGCCGCCTGCTGGGCTGGGGGTTTGGTTGGCACACGGGCGGGCGTCGGAAGACGATGGGCTGGCCGGGGGCTCGGTTCCTCGGTTCAGCTGGCCAATCAGCGGGCTGCAATTCCTCATCCTGGGGGCTCACGTGATGGCGCTCTCGCCTATATGCCCAGTCACGTGCGGTTCCTTCCTCGACCTGCCTGCCATCACACACACAGGTTAGAGTGATGGACTCGACTCGACTGAGCGGCGTCAACGGCGACCAAATTGCCACTGTATGCTTTGTGGTTTCGAACCGGTTGCGGTGGAAGATCGCGCTCAGCGTCTCGGGGGGCGGACTTCGAAGGGGTGGCATGCCAAGGTCGTGGCCTCGACCGATGGTGGATGCCGCGTTGGCTGATGTCCGCCGGGCGTCGGCCGGTTGGCCAACGACGTGAACGGGTGTTCCCCACGGCTTATCGCGGACGGAACGTGATGTAGACGATTGCATTGCAGTGCTGCAACATGAACTCGTCCTGTCCTGCTCGCGGCCTGGCGCTCTCAATGACCCCTTCTGCCGTTGGCCGCGAGGTGAATACAAACGGTAAGAACATGGCACAGGTGTGGCTACGAGACAGATGAACAGGCATTGGATGTCTACTTTGACCGCCCGTTCAAACGCTATTGAATATTACATGTATCGGCCCACCACCTCCAGACAACCGCACATAGGTTGCTCTTGAATAGATGTGTCTCTGCATGAACGCCATCCCGCGGACTTGCTAGATCTCTTTACCCTTCAACCTGGCCACTCCTAATGACACGTAGCATGTTTGTCACCACGACCGACGGTGCATGTCGAGTTATGTGAGGTGCACTGATTACACCACGAAGCATCAGCATGCCGTCCTTTATGGCGGCTCATCGAGCGTGGGTTGGTAGACGACTGGAGACGACGTACCTTGTGCTTCGAGTCACACGGCATCTCCTGCCCTCTGTACAGGAACATCGGCGGCGTGACCCAATCGTAGGTGCACGCTTGCTTATTGGCATTGCAATGCTAGGTGAAGAGCCTGGATGTCAGAGTCTGCGGTCGCTTCGTGGACATTTGATGCATGTCAATAATAGCGTGAGCCGGAAGCATCCTTACCCCTTTGCCATGCTGATGGCCCTTTTCCATGTTAAACCCTCGGCGCGTGTCAGAGTGCGTAGCCTGCTCGGACGAGGCGGTGACGGAAATCACCGCGCAGGCGGATAGAAACAAAGCAGACTTCATCTTTCCAAAACCTTGTAAAGCCTATTGGGAAGTTGGCCCAAAGTGCATGCTTCCCTTGTCGCAGGCTGCACTGCCGAGACGAGCTTCCAAACTTCGGAACGCCCAACCAGTTCTTGTTAACGTTCTAACGGGGAAAGTCCCAACGCGGAATGACAGGCCTATATATGAGACGAAAGGGGGCATGCGCGTATGGCGTTTTGCGGCGCGAGCGCCGGGGCGCCGATCCGATGCGGCAGTTTCACTGCGCAGATGGCCAAAGCACGACGCCTGACGCGTCACGGCTCGAGGCGGTCAGAGTTCGCTCTGGGGTGAGAGATACGACACTGGCTTACATTACAGCTTGGGGCGCTTCACATATGAGAGACGTATTGCAGAACACGTGCGTGCAAGGCATGACACAGCGCAGCTCCCTCGTTGATCCGGAGCAACAGAGAGGAGAACCCTTGGCGAAAACATTCATGATAGGGACTCTTGGGCCGGGCCGAGACCAAGGATATTCTTGAAGGCACGACTATGAGGGATTCGCGTGGTAAGGAGTAAATATGTAAAGCTATGTTCTAACCCTTGACAACGATCCATGCACTGTGTCTAGGCAGAGCTGATCCTCGATGACATCTGCTCGCCAACTCGCCGACTGGACGAATACCTCAAGTGCAGTCGGCAAAGCTGTCGTCTCTGAGTGTACACTTGTTCTGGTTCTTGGTGCACTATATACGCCCATTTGCTATTCATCAACGCACAGGGTTGACATGGTGAGAACGGCAGCGAACTTCATTATTGCGGCGCGGCAGACGACGATGGCATGGGGGTCAGTGTTGGCCGGGATACCGACAAGAGGATATCTTTGCTTTATACTTTCTTCCAAGGTATGCGCTATACTTTGCCATACCGGCCCCATGTCAGGTATACTTACGCGGCGAAGCATCATTAACCATGTGTGAAATGCGCCGGCGCCACTATAACGTCCGGCGACCGTTTCAGCAAGGAGCCCCATGGCCCGAAATGCGCGAGGCTCTGACTAGGACGTCGGGGCGACGCCGGGTGGGGAGAGTAAAGCCCTTTACGTGGTGAGGACTCATTCACTCGCAGTAGAAATCAACCAACGTGCATCTAAATGCTGGATCATGAGCGCAGCTGCTTGACGTGCAGTACTCTTCGTCCAGAGACACCCGCAACTGCCGGCGGCTTTGTGGCCTTTGATGAGTGGACTGAGGACATAGCCCTTCCCTACACGACAATTGCGCGCGTCATCCGCCCGGGTATGGTTGGCCCTCGCCATGATTCACGTTGCAACAATGGGGGCAGCTTGGCAGGGAGAGGTCCTGTCCTGTGAGCTTTGAAGCAACTGCTCATTGCAAAGTAAAATACAGACAGCAAACACGGGCGTTGGGTCTGCCCACACGCGCGTCCTGTTCGCCACGACCACGAAAAGGCTGAAGTGAGAAGTTTCTCAACGAAGACGAGACGGCGCACGGAGAAGGACCCGTGACTTGCTGGCAAGGCCGGCTTCTTGGCCCATGCACAGGTGTAGGTCTCGCGACGACTGTCAAGAGAGTCATGGGCCTGTGTGTCTGTCTGCTTGACGATCAAGTATACACGTACGCAGTGTGCTTTGCGGCCACAATGAAGCAATGAAGCCAGCAACGTGGCGCTTTCCGGGCTCTTGAGAGGACGCCATATCGCATGTAGATCAATGGTCTATAGCTTCGTATTCGGCGCGTCAATCAAGTAGTAGGGGTAAATAACCTCAGACCTTGGCCAAAGCACCGAGGATAGGTGGCAGCTGCACGCCCGAGGTGCAGATGTTTCAGAGTCCGCACGCCAACGGGCCGGGCACGCCTTTCGCCCAGGGAACAGCGCAACATCTCACAGACAGCAGGAGGTGGATTATGTGATGTTGAACCCAGCCTTGGAAGTTGGAAGGCCCCAGCCTTGACTCCTTGCCGTGAGAGGCTCAGAGCGCCAGGCTACGATTGAGGTTGGCCGGGATAATCTCCGGTCAGGCCCTACGGCACGTGACCTCCACCCAGCCGCCAGACCCCGGCCGCCGATAAATCCCAGAGCTCCACGACGCCATCCACCGAGCTCTTCTCCCTTCTTTTCCTCTCCAGATAGTCACGAGCCGCCCGCCGCGCGCTGCCTGCTACGCCTCCGCTGGGCAGCGGTCCGGCCGGCAACCTCGGGGCCCTTGGGCCCCTCGTGGGCGGCTCGGAGAGGAATTGATCCTTCGTTAATCTCGACACCTTTGTTGGTCCCGTCTTGGTGTCGTTTCATTCTGAGATCTACATTTTTTCATCGCCTTGGCTGCCGTTGCTGCGCTTCTGCGGGCCGCGCTGCCCCAGTTGTGATGTCGGTGATGTTTGCTATTGCTGCCGCTGCTGCAGGTACTGCAACAGCCCTGCGCTGCCGAGTACCTGTGTAGGAGAGGGAGTTGCGGCGTTACCCGAGTTGAATTGAATCCCGTTTCGTTTGATTGACGTTTATGCCAAGGCGCATGTCGAGCCAGCATGCCTCTAGTGAATGCGACGCTACCTGCGTGAATCCGGCTGCGATCCTCAATGCAACTCAAAGCAAACCGCCGAGCGCCAGTCCATATACAACACGCATCCGAGACCTCAGTCAATTACGATCCGTTCCCGTCCGCCCGCCCGTCCCTTGTCGTTTGGGTCATGTTCGCTCTACACCACAGCCAAACGCGTCCCGCTGCTTGTGCTCCTCTGTCCGCCCGTAGAAAGCATTTGCATTTACGCGTCAGAGGCTTTATAAGAGTCATTCGAGAGCGCACCTGCGTACAACTTCGTCTCGTCACGGTCGCCCGCTTGTTCCATTGCCAGCTGACTATCGCGGTCAACCCACCATGAACCCCGTCACCGAACCGACACCGGCAGGCCTCCCCGAAGCCAAACCCATCGCCAGTACCGCCGCCAACGTCTACAAAGACTGCGTTCCCCGACCCAAGCGCGCTTCCAGGCCAATCTCCGAATCTGACACTGGCAGCGGCAGCAGCGACGATGACGGCTTCCACACTTGCACGTCCGACTCTCAGCCGACGTCTCCTGTCCAGAATAACCTCCAGCGCACCGACATGGCCGCCCTCCAGGCTAACTCTGTCGTCCCCCGCCTCGAGCTCTGCGGTGACTTGCATCGCCGGCGGAACCGCGAGCATGGGCGTCAGCACGAGCGCAGCTGGGACAGGGGGCGGGCCGACCGCACTCGCAGGAACGCTATTGCCTCGCTTTTCCGGCGGGACACACGACACGCATCGTCGACCGCTACGGAAGGCGAGGGGTCCGAGACACGGGCGCAGCCAGACTTTCTGCGCAAGGCGCGCAAGGCCGAGCTGTTGAAGAAGGTTACGACGACGAGGCGCCGCGGGAGTGTGCACTACTGCTCGGGCTGCGGCAGCGTCTCGCCGTCGCCGGTCGGCTACGTAGCCATCAACATCGGCTTCGTCGCGGTGCTGCTGCTCGAAGTTGTGCTGCTGCAGGCGTGGGTTCACGGCGTGGGACGCGTGTACTGGTGCAGATAGGGCAAAAGAAGCGGTTTGGACTTCCACTGGTCGCGGCCGTTCGCAAAGAGGAGAGCTCTTTCGTTTTCTCTATGGCATGGCGACCACAAGCAAAGTAGAAGAAGCAGCAGCAACGGCAGAAAAGGCAGCAGCAGCAAGCAAGAAGAGACACCACAAGCATAAAACATTCGGAAGAAATCGTGTTCTTTGCAAACTAAGGTAAATTCCTAGTGGGCTACGCCGTTGGTACGCCTATCGTTGACGCAGGCGTCGCAAGACTGCGGCTCGTCTGTGATGTTGTCGATCGCCCGAATGCCCAACGGGCAATGGAGTCTAGGATGGTTCGGCCTCGCCGCCCTCAAAGCCAAATACGTCTGGCACCTGACAAGACCCTCCTGATTGATGTATTCCCTTGTGCCGCATCTCTGACACCTCGACACGTTCTGGACGTAGTGGCACATGGTGGCGTGTAGTGGGCAAATGACCGGGGCAGTCTCTGCTCGATGTAGAAGGTCCTGGACTACACTGTCGTGAAGGATGTCTTGCGCAAGTTCAAGCCTGCCTGGTGTCAAGTTAGGATGCTCGCTCAAGAGGATTAGTTTTCGAGACGGGGAAAAGAGGAGAAAGATGCAGCCGTCTAAAGTTCCGCCTATTTATTCCAAGCCGAACCTCAAGGTGATTCAGTGTCACCTTGGGCAGTAGATCTGATTCACGCTCCATGGCATCGCGACTTTCCTTCGAATATCACTATTCTTGTTCGGCTATGGCCACGCCAGTCACGGCCAAAGGATAGTTATGCAAGTTGCATGTACGCACGGCTGCAGGCGGTGTGTCCCTATAGATGTCACACATATTGAGGCACGTATCAATAGATCAGTCTGGTTTCGCTACCTGAGCTTATGAGCACGGCTGCATATCTACGGAAGTGGTGTTCAAGCGCCCCTTCGTTGACACTTCGTGCAGGTGTCTGTTTCGCTCGTGATCTTGTCCTCAATTCGGAGACCAATCGGACAATTGATCCTCGCGCCCGGAGGAGCTTGTGATAGAGCAAGATGATATGCTACACAGCGTTCTACAGGACCCGGCCCCACAAAGTGCTTCGCCTTGCACTTCCGACATCTCGACATGTTTTGCGCTACGACGCACATGCTGGAGCTTGAGGTCTAGATAGTGTTGCAACGGCGTAACGCGGAAAATGGATTTGAAGACTGGACGTTGAAAGGGACTGTTGAATTGTCTGCTAGACGTTTGTTGGAAGTCGATGGAGTGTGGTTGCTCTTGGCTCCTTTATATGCATACAGCACGGTCATGATGGGAACACAAACCACTTACTGCTGTAGTCATTAGAAGACACTGATTCACGCAAGCTCGAAGACTTATATTCGTCTGTCATCAAACTCGACGAATACGGTTCTCACACTCCTCTTGACAACATGACTGCGAGCGAGGCTACACCATGAGTTTAAGGCATGACATTGGCTTGAAGCGTTCCGTCTAATATCACATCAGACGTGCGCAAAGGCAACTTCCCCAACCGATTTACTATGATGGGCCCTCTGCTACCCCCAGGACCCAGCAAACAATGGCACTCAGCGCCTAAAGCTTCTACGCTGCGACTTCAACTGGCATCCGCTGCACACCACCGTGCCCGTGTGGCGGGGCCTCCGGGCCACCCCTCGAGGGCACAGCGGCTCCGGGCCCCGGCGCCCCTTGGTGTTCCACTGCATTATCGCATCCATATACTCGCTGCAGGACTCTGGCCCCGACATTGAGAGATAGATATGTTCCTGGCAGACTCTGCACGTTCCGTAGTTGTTCCATGTCGTACACATCCTGGTCGTGCGCGGGGTGTGTCGCTGTTAGACCCTGTCGATGTAAAAGACTTGAAAGAAGCAGTATATGAGCCTGGCCCGTTTTAAGTGAATTGGGACTTTTCTGACGTTTGATACTATCTGGACAGTTGGTTGGTACGAGGGAGAAAGGCAGAGTTGTAGTACGTGGGAGCTAAAGAGAACGCTTTTTTTATGTTTATACATCGAATTATGTTAATCACGGTCCATTCAGTAGCACTTTACTGAATTGCGTAAGCTCCCACGACCATTGCTGGAGTATCATCAAGGACTAGCTGTTTCCAGGCTTGGTTGCCACGTCTAGTGATGGAATACAACACCCTTCCTAGAGGCTGAGCCTTGGCTGGCTGCATTCTACCAGACGCCTTCGATATAGAGGCACCTTCGGCAAGAGTGACGCCGCGTATATTATTACTACCCACCACTCAGAACATGAGTTGATCTAATTAGCGAACGAAGGACTATTGAACGTATCCATGGGTCGACGATTACAGAAGCTACGCTCTTGCAACTTTTGGCCTCGTACCGGCACTATATTGAGCAACTACCTACAGCACCCTCAACGCTGGGAGTCACTGAGACTTCAAGATAATCCTTTCGCTCGGCACTCCGTGCATATAACTGTCCCGGTGATGCGAAGCTTCTGCGCCGGACGCTTTGCGCAGACGGGCTCCGGATCCCGGGATCCCCCATCCATCCACTCCTCGAGCGCAGCCAGATACTCTGGGCACTCTTCCGGCTCCGATTGGGAGATGTAGATGCGATCTCCACATCCCGTGCATGTTGAGTAATTGTTCCATATAATGCACATTTTGGCGATGCCAGTAGCGGCCAGCTATCCTGACCGTTATGGGGAATCACTGACTTCTCTATGCGGTTGATTTGCGTCAAGAGGACTGGGTATTTGCGGAAAGGAGTGGATCTATGCAGCTCTTTCGGTTCAGGGACTCGGAGAAGCTGCGCAAAGTGTAGCTGAAGAGAGCATCTTTATACTCGCAGCAGGAGTGAAGGAAAATCACGTCAAGTTCAGTCGTGCGACCCCGAATCACGCAGACTATAACGACGAGCAGTGAAGAAGCAATAATAGAGGGAACCGAAAGTATGATCAAGGCCACACTCGTTTGCTACATCTCGCGGCTCATGGGACGCAAATAGCTACAGTGACTATCGTCCATTGCTCCCAGCCCCACGCCTTCTGCAGTCGACGCAGACTGTCAGGGTACGTTTGACGCGACTTACGGTTCTCAAGCCGTGCTTGCAATTAGGCTCGTTCCCTGGGCGGCCCCATGCCTCCCACGACGCAATCAGAAGTTTGTAATCGTTGCACTCGATCGTGTCCGACGTGGAGACGTGGACGCGATTCCCGCACCCCGGGCATTCCCGGTACTGCTCTATTATCTTGCACATTTTTCCACGCGGGGGAGCAACTTTCGCTTGCAGAATTGGGATATAGGGGCTCTGATGGGCGTGTGATCTAAGCGGTAAAACCTGGCGCCGGGCTTGGAACTGATCTCTCGCGACAGGTAGGGGATATCTCGGCATTTGCCTTGGCCTCTGCATTCGAGTGTAAATCCGGGGAACAAAAAGGTAGGAGATCGTTTCCCGTGCTTTTTATAGGAAACAGAATAGCGTACTGCATCCTGACGGCGAGAAACTCTGCATCACGTCCATCACCCAGAAACTGGTCAATATGCGTTCATAGTCACTGTAAGCATCAATTGATCCCCTTTTGCCGTCGGTCACCCACCACTACCGACAAACACTTGCCTCCTGCATCACTACTATCTTTCTGGGCATTTTCCACAATTCTGCACTCGAGAAATGATACGCCTCTTGACGGCCATTCTCCGCGGGCACTTGGGCCGTTGCGAGCTCCAGGTGCTCTGGGCGTCCCATTCCGCCAAGAGTTTTTCGAGCTCGTCACAGGTATCCAGCTCCCACCTAGCGAAAATGAGTGATCCGCAGATCAGGCATTGTCGGTATTCGTAGTACTTTGTGCACATGGGTGCTTCTGACGAGCGTTGTTGGATGTGGTAGATTTTGGAACTGCGTTCGCACGAGGGTCTCTATATGCCGCTTCCGATCATGACATGCATTGGTTTGGGCAAATTTTTACGAGCCATGGAAGACATAAATTATCACCGACCTGTGTAATGGTACATGTATTGATGCAAGTCACTGTCCAGTGCATTCTTGCCCGCATATTCTGAGTCACGTACAGTCTTGTACAGAAGCGACGCAGTGTATGAGCCAAGATACAGCAAAGTACATGAGAAGTGTGTGATTAAGAATTGCTATTTGCTTCGCCTAAATACATCCTAACAAATCTATCCCTCCAGTTCCTGAGGCTCCTGCGTCACATCCCGCTTCGCCTTCGGACAGGAGACGCAAGTGGCCACCCAAGCGACGGCACGAGCGTGGTGAGTCGCGGGTTGTTTCACGTCCCGTGTGTCCGTGCCCTTCTGGGCTGCCAGCGCGTCCTGGAGCTCCAGAGAGGACATAGTCCGCGTCGAGCCGATGTATTCTGCCTGTCCGCAGCTTCGGCAGACTCGATAGTCATAACACACGGTGGACATTTTGTGGCCTCGCGAGAGCCAGATGTGCTGGTCGGTCTTAAGAGCGAGAATGTAGTTGTTTGATGCTCGTCTGTTCAGGGAGTGGACTTGTCTTTGTGGGAGATCAATGGAATCGATATAGACGTGGACTTTGAGCGCCTTCAACCGTTTATTTCTGGAGGAAAGCTCGCGAATGAAAGGAGAGAGTCCGATATTTATACCGGGGATGGAGCTGGCAGCGACTCACCATCGCCATAATGTGCTAGCACTGAACCACGCAGATAGCTGCTGAATCACCGTAACCATCCCCACGTAGGTAGAAGTGTTGAACAACGCAGTCTCCTCTCTCAAGGTCAAAAGCTACCTAGTACTACACTACAACATAACGCAACGCCAGCAACACGCCACCCGAGAATCGATGCACCTTTTGTTAATCACGCGCGGGCATTGAGGCCGCATAGAGTGGTACCTCCTTGAACTTTGTCTCCATCGATTCCACTGGAGCCGCATCTCCGCACAGGGTGACCCCGACCTTTGCCGGATGAGTACATGGTCGTTGCATCTCTGGCAGACCCGCCAGTCGTGGTATACTATGCACATCGATGGTAGATGGTTCAACGCGCATGAGGAAGAGGAGGAAGGAAAACTAGTCAGAAGCAACATCATAGGTTCCTCCAGTCAAGCCCGATATTTATAGCAGCAAGTACATGTAGCTAACTGCCAGTCACCATCGTTACCACGGGCAAGTATTGACCAAATCACTCAACCTGCTATAGTCAGTGTGCAGCAAGATATATCAGTACGACTGACTGTGCGACCAAGTCATACTACGTCGTAGTAGTTTACAAAGCTGAATCCATACCGGCCCAACTCATTACCCACGACCAAGTGTCTAGCAACCCCATAATCACAGCCTGCCTCAAGGCTCCGCGTCACCCAGCACCAGCACCGCCCGTTTGTGTACATCAACGCCCCTCCCGCGACGGCGGCGACACGCAATGAGCGCAACCCTCGGTCCGAAACGTCACGAGATCCTCAACACGCTGATTCGCGCACGTAGGTTCCCGGCCTCGACACCCCATCGTCTGCCAGCCCAGTATCGCGTATCGGTGCGGCTGCAGGGCGGCGCCGCAGTGGAGTTGAGGTACGTCCAGCTGCCGCAGTCCATGCAGAGCCTGTAGTTGTGATATAGTGTGCACATATCGAATCGTGAACGTGCCGGAGAGATGAATAGGGGGCGTGGTGCGGACGACGTGGTTGCTGCACTCTTTTTAAGGAGGGAGACAGAGAGGCACAGGAATACACCTTTTATACATGCATAGACAGCTCGCTGGAAAACACTACCTGTCACCTTAGGGGAACGATGACACATCAGTCCTACAAACACCACTCATCGCGTTTCATGGAGGCTTTCCACGGGGCGATCTTGTTCCCCAATTTGATGAAGAACGGCCAGCAAGGAGTTGCGGTTGTGCAAGTCTAGCTGAGGCTCCCTATGTAAGTGAGCAACCTCACCTTCCAAACATCGACCCTGTATACAATGACTCAACAATGTTCACTGTCCATTGCCGAACCTGAGGCCCCCAACATCAACTCGCACTGCTACATAATCCCCGCCTCGCTCTTCCACCGCTCAGCACCACACCACACCACACCTCCTAGCAATACTCTCCCTCAGCCTCCTCCTCCACCATCCCCCGGCGGCACCACGCACATCCAGCAAACATCCGTCCCACAAACGTCCCGATCCTCAAAGTGCTTGTTCGCGCAGACAGGAGGCTGGCCCCGGCGCCTCCTTGCTCGCCACTGCGCCACCGCCTGTCTGTACGGGTCGCAGGTCGACCCCGGGATGGAGCCGAGGTACGTGCGCCGCCTGCAGTTTCGGCAGAGCCGAAAGTTGCGAAAAATCAAACACATTTTTGTCGTCGTTTTAGGGCAATGGATGTGGGGAGGGAGGAGGGCGGGAACATAAAAGTCTGGCTGGCTGTTTTTGCACTGCGTCGTCTACGCGCATCTCTATGGTTTTTAGAGTCAGAGAGCATAGGTGCGAACGATATAGCAGCTAGGCAGCGAAATACATACGGAGAGAGCATTTTATACTATATAGGCTATCCTACTGTAAATCACTGCTACCTTATAAAGTAAAATACCATAGGGATCATTCCTACGTATACGCGGTAGCCGTTACGTAGGACCTAGTTAACTTCTCACTATAGTATTATAACACTCTTCTACGCGCTTACTGTAAATCACTGCCTCTCGTTTTCAGCAAAACCTCGACATATCGGTCGTATAAACACCACTCATGGCCATCTATCTCATGAAGACTTTCTTACGCGGCGAACTTGTCCGCAAATTCGATCCAAGAACCACAAAGACTTATTTGCGGCTGTGCAAGTCTCGCTGACGCTTCCTGACTTACTTCCCTGTAAGCGAGTAACCTAGGCCTTCTTAAACAGTGAATAATGTACGCTATTTATGCCACTGAGCTAATTGCTACTCATCGCCGTATCTTCAATGATGACCGAGTCATACAACAGGCTGTATCAATCAAGTACGTATTATGTAGTAACTTAGAACATGGCACCTCTTGCGACGGGACTGCGCGACCAGAGCCACACTAACTACGTGGTAACAACAAATTTCGCCATCTAGTACCGGACCTTGAGCCTCTAGGATAGACTTCCGTACCTACCGCTACACTACACACATCATAACCTCAGCACCACCACACCTCCTCCTACTCATGCTCCTCACCAGCCTCCTCGTCCTCCTCCACCTGCACCACCACCACCACCACCAGCCCCCGGCGGCGGCACGCACATGAAGCAAACCTGCGTCTGAAGCGTCACGCGCTTCTCCCAGCGCTGATCCTCGCAGACGGGCCTACTCTCTCCCAGATCTGCTTTCTTGCGCCACTTCGCCGTCGCCAGTTTCAGCGGCTCGCAGGCCTCCGCCGCGCTGCTGCTGTAGTACGTCCAGCTGAGGCAGCTGAGGCACTCCCTGTAGTTGTTGTACGATACGCACATTTTGTCGTCGTCGTCGTCGTTTTGATGGGCAAAAAAAGATGTGGGTGAGGAGAAACGGGCGGTTGGCGGGTGGGAATGTGGGAGGTGTGGGAAGTGTTCTGCTGGCTGGCTGGTTTTGCAATGCGTCGTCTCCGAGGATGTCTGCAATGTTCGAAGGTAAATGGGATAGGTCATGTGCGAATGAATGATGTGGCAGGTTCGTTCAGGCAGAGAGCACGAGGGAGAGACAACGAGCATCGTGCCTTTATACTCTACTCGCAGCTCGCTGCAAATCACCGTCTCGTTCAACATCAGCAGAAACAACGATACAACTCCCTACACACGACCTTCGTCACGGTCCTTCACACAGAACCTGAACCTCCAGGCCCGTGTCGTCACGTCGTCAGTCGGCAGACTGGGGCCAAAGTCAATAATTACCGTTGTGTAAGCGCAAACAAAGAACAGGCGTGGTTAGCGAACGCGTCAACAAAACCAACGTAGAGATGGAACATGCCAGACGACGACACCAGCGACAGCAACCACGTCAACGATGTCAATCAACCAAGCAACCAAGCAACCAAGCAGCCATAGTAGAGTTTTGGATTGTCCAGTCCATAGGTAGAGTACATAGTACAGGGAGATTTACCCTCAGGCAAAGAAGGTAGCAGTGTAGTAGTGTAGTGTAGTGTAGTGTACAATCCGATCCGTCCGTCAGTCACTCACCGCGAGTGGGGTTGGGGTGTTTGTTGGCTGTCCATCCGTCCGTCCGAAACTCCGCCTGCCCAGCCCAGGAGGGGGGAGACCGCCAAAATCCATGTCCTCCGTGTATCGATCGATAATCGTACGTAGTATATATCCCCCCAAAAAAAACACACACAAGTAAAAACGCCTGGCAAACCCGCAAACACGTCATAATCCTCCAGCGCGCGCGCACACACACGGGCAGCTTGTCGTGTGTGGTGCACGCGCGCAGCCTTTTTTTATGAATCCTCTCGCAACTCCGGCCACAAATGCATGCATGCTGCTGCTGCGTCAAAACTGGTTCGGGTTGCCCATGTTGTTGTTGACGGCGCTCATGCCCCCCATGGGGGCGTTGCCGAGGCCGAGACCGCCAAACATGGCCGCCGAGAGCTGGTCGCCGCCGCCGGGGATCATATCGCCAAAAACGCCCCAGTCGAGCGTCGACATGTCGAGGTAGCCACTCATGAAGGGGTCCATGTCGCTGGTGGGCTGGAAGCCCATCGCTTGATCCGCCGCCTTGGGCTGTTGAGCTTGCTGCATGTGCGCCTGCGAAGCCATCGGCGGCGTCGCAGACGACTGCGTCGACGAGCGAGGTTCGTGGGACGGCAACATGTCGCGGAGCTGCATGATGAAGTGCGGCGACTGGATGGCTCGCCCGGCCCGCGCATATGCCTGCTCGCGCATCTTCCACGCCTTGAGGACAAACTGCGCCTGGACCGAGTTTTGCTTTTGCGTCATGTCGGACAGCTCCTCGTGGTACTCGTAAACACGCTCCATGACGGCCCAGCCGCGGTCGGCGAGGCTTCCCGTCGGCCGCCGGCAGAGCTGTGCGATCATGAGAGCGAGGATGTCGAGCTGGAAGTGCAGCTTCACCCACCACAAGAAACCCGTGTCCTTGAGCACCTCCATGGCCTCCATCTTGTGCTCGTTGCCCATGATGAAGACCTTGAACAGGTTGTCCTTGGGACCAAAGATTTCGGTGCCATATTCGGGCTGCTCACGCATAGGTACCAACATCTCCGACAGCTTGTTCGTCATCATCGGTCGCAATGAGAGCGCCGCCCTATGGACAGGGCCAGCATTTCTGTCGACATATCTGGCCTCCAGTTCGGCCAGCCTCCTCTCGAGGTCTTCGGCCGAGGCACGGAACTTGGCAAATATGGTGTGGTGGACATCAGTAGAGTCGGATTCTCCGTCCAGGTCATGGCCCATGAGAGCCGCCTCAAAGGCACGTCCGTCGGAGCTGTTGTCCTTTTCCAGCTTAAACTTGAAGATTTCGTTCACCATGATGACAAACGCCATTTCGGTGGGCCCGTCGCGGGCACGCACAGGTTCCGTCAGTCCTGGGAAGATGTCCGAATCGCTCACGTTTTGCGGAAGTTGTGTGTTCCAGGTGTCTGGGGACATGGACTGTGTGAGCCCCGACATCATGGCGTACTTGGAGTCCTGGATGACGAGCTGCCACCAGATGCGCCGTCGCATTTCCGTCTCGAACGGGTCCAGCCCGAGGGTCTCGCCGTCGCGGTGATAACCCATCTTCTGGGCGATGCGTACGACAGTTCCGCTGAGAATCCACGCCGCATGGCGGTCGTACCGTCCTTGCAGCGATTGCTAAGAGCGTTAGCGGTGGCGTCAAAGGTCAGACTCACGGAATGCTCACCAGGAACAGCACGAGTGCCTGCAGGGCAGTCTGGTTGTAGTTTTTGAGGAAATTCAACCTCATGAGCGCCGACTTGAAGCCGGCAGTGTATTTTTGCATCGCCGCCTCTCGCGAGATGCCAAAGGTCGCTATGCATTCCGAGTCTGTGAGGGAGAAGGCGGCCATGGTGTATATGGAAAAGAGAAGGGCCTGGGCGTGAAAGGGAATGTTGGCCATGTTGGTCGCCCCTTCCATGGCGATGGGCTGCACCGTCGGTACGTGGATGACTTTTGTCAAGGGGTTGACCCGGTCCAGGAAAAGCTGCCAGAGCTTGACGCTGTGGACGGGGTCCGGGGTGAGCTCCTCGATGCTGGTGGACACGTCGCTCTGGAAAAAGAGGTCTGCGTTGTTGTCGGGAGTGAGCTCTTCGGAGCCGAGTATGCTGGAGTCTTCAGGGTCTTCCGTCTCGACAATGTCGCGCATGGCTTGGAGCTAGGATTCGTTAGTATGCGCCGTGGCTTGCAAGGGCGGGTGCAGCGAGATCTACCTCTTCCGATATGCTGGCCCAGATGTAGCTGTCCATGAAACGAGGCCCGTTGTCCTCGTTGACGAGCTGGCAGGCCGGAGCCCAGCTCTGCTGCGTGTCGGTGCTCATGGGCGTCGTGTCCGACGGCTCCGGCTTGACTTGGTTCGCGGCGGGCGACTCCTCCTTGGACGGCGGAGCAGCGCCGGCATATTGCTTGAGCAGCTCCTCGCACCGCGCGAGGCGCTCTTGGAGATCCTGGTTCGGGCGGCGGCGCTTGCGGGCCGGGGCGGGCGTGCTGGGTGTGCAGGTGACATTTGCCTGAGGCGAAGCTGTCAGTCAAGATGTGGCGCGATGGCGGGGGAGGGGCATCGCATCGCGGGGACGGTGCAGAAGAACCGAGCCCCCGGGGGTGCGACGACGAGGCAGCGACGAACCTTGACGCAGTTTGCGCAGGGAAAGTTCCGGTCGCACTTGATCTTGCGATGTTGGCACAGGACGCAGGCGAGCACGCGGGCGTGCCTGTGAGGGGCAGCCGACGCGGCGTGTGACGACATGTTTGGTGTGCGCGGACGCCCAGCGCCTCACATGGGAGCGTCGGGGTCGACGGCGGTTGGCACGGACGCGAGGCCAAGGTCCCGCAGAGGATTGGCGTCGCGTGAGGCAGAGAGACCGGCAGGTGCGCGCGGCAGGCGACAGCGGCGGCTTCGTTCAGGGTTGAGGAATGGTCGTGGCGGTCGGGGCGAGGCACCAAGGCAGCGGTTGGGTCCGTCGACGGGTGACACGGTTGGTTTAATGGGCAGTGCGCGATGCTGCCTGGCGTCGGCACGATCCGCTAGTCAGGGGCCAAGCGACGGAGGGATCGCGGTCGAGGAATGAAGAAACTCGTTGCCTGATGACGATGCTGGGCCGGGGGGGTGGCGGTGGTTTTCACGTGGAGGGGCGGGCGCGGGTCGGTCGATAGGCAGGCACTCGGGCTCGTACTTGTACGAGGCAGCCGGGGGAAGTGCACTGGGGGTGACCGAGAGAGAAACCTAGAGCTGGGAGCAGATGAGCGTCAGCACGGGCAGGCCAGGGCGCCAGGCTCGCACTCGCCAGAATGGCTCGCTGCAGACGGGACGCTAGGGCGGCGCGATTAGCGCACGGAGGGTCGCGCAGTAGGCGGACGCCCCACCCGCCAACAACCTGCCCGGAACCTGCACTGCAGGTAAGGTAGTGCACTGCGCTATCCTGGGCGCAGCGCCGTCCCGTCACAGCTCAGCGGCGCGCAGTGGAGAGAAACACACCGAACCCAGTGGACCGTGCGGCGGGTGGCCTGCAGGCAGGCAGCGCAGTTACACCAGGCGGCGCGCGACCAACGTAGCCTGGCGTGGGATGGATGTGGTGCGAAGTATAACTGGGGAATTGCACTTACGCGGCGAGAAGCTGTCGAAGTAAATTAAGATGGAGCGTCCGGGACAGGCAGACGGACAGGCAGTGCTCGAGGGGTTTGAGGCAGCAAAATTAATAAGACAGAAGGGTCGTCGACGAACGGTGGATGGACCTGATGGATGGGCGCCTGCGGACGGGTGCGGAGTTGCTTTATCAGCGGCGGAGCACAAAACGCAAATCGATGTGCGGGCGGCGGTCGGTCGATGGCCCCAAAGTCAGGCAAGTTCGTCCGCTCCTTTCGCTCGTTGGGCCGGCCGGCAGCCAGGCAGGCAATAACAACAACAGCAATACACCACGTCGTCGAGGTGGATGAGATTGGATGGGTGGATGGACAGACAGGCTTCTCAACAAAGGGGGCGGCGGTGCTGACAGGCGTCGATCGGTCGACGTTTCGTCTCGGCGACAGCCTCAAGCAGCAACTGTCGACCGTGTCCTCTTGCTTGGCTGGGCTGGGCTGGGCTGAGCTGGGGTTGTTGTGACTCCTACTTCGCAGCAAGGCGGCGGAAGCGATACCCGAGCTGATGGCGCGCATTCGCAAGCTGCTGCACTGCACACGCGTTGTCCGCGACAGGGGCGTCAATAAAAAGGGCCACGAGGACTACGTACGTACGTCGTCGGAGAGCCATCAGCCACCACGATGCTCAATTATCAGATGCTGGTGCCGCTGGCGGCGCAACCCTCACAACCCTGACAATTCCGCCGCCGATCCCCCCCTGCGCGCGTGCGGGAGAGTCACGATGACACGCCCGCAGAGGGCAGAGGCTGGCTCCGCTGACGTACGTTGCGTGCAGGCCGCCCTTCTTTTTTTCTTCGCTCCCCTGCCCGTGCTCGGCCGGATGGCAGCGTCTCCGACACCACCACCAGGGCGCCCAGATGTGCGAGCGGGCGGGCGGGCGGGCGGCGTTGGCGTGGGCATGGGCGGCGTCGGTGGCGGCGTTCTGGACGGCGGCGGACGGATGCGAAGGCCGCCGTGGCGTCGGGTTGTGCATGGGCAAATGCGGTCGGATCCATCTCGTTCTGCACAACGAGCCCAGCCTGGAGCCGTGTCCATCCGGTTCGTGCCCCCTCCACTCCTTGCCTCCCAGCTGGGGCGCCGGGGGACCGCCCAACCTGGAACGGTGTGATGACTCGACGGCGGGCTGGGCCCGGCCCCCCATCCATCCAACCTGGAACCCTGCTGGGAACAAAAGGGACCAGCCTGGAAGGGAGGGAGCCCCAAGTGCCGTCCGGCCGCCTTCCCGGCTGCAATTCGTGGGCTGGGCGCGAACAGCCGCGCGTGACCACCGATGACTCTTCCTGAGTCTTTTCTTTGGCGCTGAAGCAGGCTCGTTCAGAGTGCGAGCTTTTTTTTAACTGTATTAGGCGTCCCAATATTTTCCGTCTTACAGTCGCATTCGCGTCTCGATCGGGGACCACATGTTCCAGATGCCTGCCGGGGCGGCGCGGCCTTTCACGACAGCAGCCAGCTTTTTGACACATGGATCGACGGCGGTCGGTGGGTTCGGTGGGATGGACGACGGACGGCCTCGGTGATGGTGGGTGGGTTCCTGCCAGCTGTTGTGTTGTGTTGTGTTGTGTTGTGTTGTGTTGTGTTGTGTTGTGTTGTGTTGTGTTGTGTTGTGTTGTGTTGTGTTGTGTTGTGTGACAGGGGTGATGCCGTAGGGCGCGGACAGTACCTCCTGCAAGTCGCCTTTCCATTGCAACGACATCCGGACTCTTGGGCTGTCGGCCACCAGGACACCAAACCTCTGCCCAGTGGTCACCTTTGGCCTCTCCCAGGCGTCCAATTGCCCCGTGACGTTTGACAGCGCGTCTGTCCACTGTGAGAAGTTCAGTCCAGAACCTCAGTGCCCCTGGGGCCGCCTGGCTCCTTCCCCAGGACCGCACCTCCAGCCAATGGCGGCGCCGCGAATTCACATCACCCGCCCCACACTCGCCCGTCACGCTCCGGAATCGCTCCAAACATTTCGCAATTCGCAGTCAATGCCCCCGGCGTTCGGACCGCCCGCCCGCCTCAACACCACCACCCGAAAAACTTATGCCGCCGCATCACGAGACCGCCGTCTCCCTCCCGACCCGCGCCCGCTCCTCCGCCGTGCCCCCCTCCGTGCCACTTCCGCTTCCGACGCTCTCTGTGATCGGCCTTTGCGCTACCGGCGGCTGCTGCTGAGACCATCGCAGCCCGCACCGCCAGCATGCTGCCCACTGTACGTTGTGCCTCGGCAAACGACACCCCTCGAATTCGTTCTCGACCATGTGCATCATACTGACCTTCCGGCTTCTAGGCGAGGGCTGCGGCATTGTCCGCTGCCCGGACGACGAGATTACTCCCGAATCGACTCTTCCGGGCCCAATTGGTACCGCGTCGCGCCGTTGCGCCCATCACCACGTCCCGTGCGCTCCGCAACGCCGAGGCCTTCCACTCCCAGCTCGAGCAGGCGCGCGGCTCAGCTCCTCTCTCCGCCAACGTGTCCGACACCCCGCAAACCCTCACCGAGAAGATTGTACAGCAGTATTCGGTCGGCCTCGCCCCGGGCAAGAAGGTCCGTGCCGGGGACTATGTCACGCTGTCGCCACACCACTGCATGACCCACGACAATACGTTCCCGGTCAAGAAGAAGTTCCTTTCGTTGAACGCCGACAAGGTGTATGATAACCGCCAGGTGGTCTTCACCTTGGACCACGATGTTCAAAATAAGTCGGAAGCCAACCTGGCCAAGTACAAGAGCATCGAAGAGTTCGCCGAGAAGCAGGGGGTCGACTTCTACCCGGCAGGCCGGGGCATCGGCCATCAGATCATGGTCGAGGAAGGCTACGCCTGGCCCGGCACCGTCGTGTGAGTAGGACCTCGCTCTTCTATGCTGGGACAATTCTGACGTTCTCCATATTAGGGTCGCTTCGGACAGCCACTCAAACATGTACGGTGGCGTAGGATGTTTGGGCACACCAGTGGTCAGAACGGATGCTGCGTCAATATGGGCGACCTCCAAGACCTGGTGGCAGGTCCCGCCCATTGCCAGAGTGAACCTCGTCGGCGTCATGCCCCCTGGTGTCACTGGCAAGGACGTCATCGTTGCTCTGTGTGGCCTCTTCAACCAGGACGACGTCCTCAACCACGCCATTGAGTTCACCGGCTCCGAGGAGACGATGCGCTCCATCCCCGTCGATGACCGCCTGACAATCGCCAACATGACCACCGAGTTCGGTGCTCTGTCAGGGCTCTTCCCCATCGACTCCGTCCTGGTATCGTGGCTGCGGGCCAAGGCCACCACTTCAGCTATGCTCAACCCGGAACGCGGCGGGAAGGCCAAGTTCACGCACGAGCGTATCGACGACCTTCTCCAGAATCAACTGCGCGCCGACCCTGGCGCCACCTACGCCAAGACCATTTACATCAACCTCTCTACCCTCTCGCCCTTCGTCTCCGGCCCCAACTCGGTCAAGGTGGCCACGCCCCTGCGCGACCTTGAGGCGCAAACAATCCCCGTCAACAAGGCATACCTGGTGTCCTGCACCAACTCGCGCTCGTCAGATATCGCCGCCGCCGCCCGCGTCTTCCGCGAGGCTGCCAAGGGTGGCCCCACTCCCAAGATCGCCGAAGGCGTCGAGTTCTACATGGCCGCCGCGTCTCTGCCCGAGCAGCGCGCCGCCGAGGAGGCCGGCGACTGGCAGGTCATGCTCGAGGCCGGCGCGAAGCTGCTCCCTAGCGGCTGCGGGCCTTGTATAGGGCTCGGGGCCGGCCTCCTGGAGCCCGGCGAGGTCGGCATCAGTGCCAGTAACCGAAATTTTAAGGGCCGGATGGGCTCCACGGAGGCCAAGGCCTACCTCGCTAGCCCGGAGGTCGTCGCCGCCAGCGCCCTCAAGGGCCATATTGCGGGCCCTGGCTGGTACCAGAAGCCCGAGGGAGTTGAAAAGGTCATCATCGGCGAAGGCACCGGCGACGTTGAAGCAGACAAGGCGGTTAGCATCGAGGACGCGCTGGACAAGATCATCGCCGAGGCCGAGAGCCTCATCTCCGGGGCCGAAAAGGACTTCACCGGGTCCGAAACCGCCGCCCCCGTATCCGAATCCGCCTCCGCCCCCACCACCGACGCCTCGGACGAAACGCTGACCGACATCCTGCCCGGCTTCCCGGAGAAGATTGAGGGCGAGATCGTCTTCTGCGACGCCGACAATATCAACACCGATGGCATCTACCCGGGCAAGTACACATACCAGGACAATGTATCGACGGAGAAGATGGCCGAGGTGTGCATGGAAAACTACGACCTCGAGTTCCGCAACATTGCCCGCCCCGGCGACATCCTCGTCACGGGCTTCAACTTTGGCTGCGGCTCGTCGCGCGAGCAGGCCGCCACCGCCATCCTCGCCAAGAAGATCCCCCTCGTCGTCGCCGGCAGCTTCGGCAACATCTTTTCCCGCAACAGCATCAACAACGCCCTCATGGGCGTCGAGGTGCCCAAGCTGACGCAGCGCCTGCGCGAGGCCTTTAAGCCTGCCGCCGCCGCTACTACTGACGGTGCCGCCGCTACCGCCCCGCAGCAGCTGACGCGCCGCACCGGCTGGAAGCTCCTGTGGGACGTGCGCAGGAGCAAGGTCGTCGTCACGGAAAAGGACGGCCAGACCTGGAGCCAAAAGGTCGGCGAGCTGCCCCCCAACGTCCAGGAGATCATCGCCCGCGGCGGCCTGGAGAAGTGGGTCAGGGCCGAGATTGGAAAGTAGAAGGGACGGCGGCGAGAAGCACGGAGCGCGATAGAGATCTTATACCTGGATGTACACTTTTGAATGTTTGGTTTCTCTTTTCTTTTTGGTTTCATGAACGGCGGCGGCGGCTTCTTTGCCATTTCTATGGAAGAGCCTATAAAAAGCAAGTGTGGAGTCTAGATGAGGAGGAGGAGGAGGGGAAAGGGGGGGTATTGATGTGCCTGTCTACATAGATATCCTGAATGAAATGGCATCAAAACAAGGACCCAATGTCAGGGCTCGACGGCGGTGTTGCCCCTTGAGAGCTGTCCTGACCGGTCTCCTCCACCGGCACCAGCGCCAGCTTCGTTTTCTTCTTCATTGCTCGGCGGTGCGACGCACCCTTGACGTGCCGCTGCCACGCCTGCTCCGTGACGAGCACCGTCTGACACAGCTCGCAGGTCCGTCGCACGGGTGTCTCCGGCGGCGGGGGCTCGACCGCCACAGTGAGCACCTCGCGCGCACGCTCCGACAGGGTCGCCGGGTCGGGGCACGGCTCTCCGGCGAGGAACCGCGCGGTCACGTCCGCAGCGGGGGCGACGACATGCTCATGGAATTTCGCGGCGTCGGTGCTGTCCACGAGGTACAGGCTGCGCAGAGCGGCGGGGCCTTCCTCGCGCAGATGACGGATCTGCTTGAGCCGGATCCAGCGCGTCTGGTAGTTTGCATAGCGGCGCGTCGCCGTTTTCATGTCCTCGACGGCCCTGGCCTTGAGGGCCGCGAGATCGTCGGCGGGGACGTCTTCGCCACGGTCGAGGGCGGCGAGATACGGCTCAAACTGCTTGTAGCCGATGGACTGCCAGATGCCCTTTGTCATGTCGAGCTGCGCGCCCTTGGCCGCCATGTCGCGCTTAAAGTCGTACAGCTCGCGCACCTCAGCTAGTAGGCCCGCATCGAGCATCTTGTCCACGCGCCCATCCAGACGCTCCCGCAAGACCTCCTTGTCCGCGTCGACCCAAAAGAGTAGCTTCTCCCAGGGCGGGCCAGCCGCGCCAGCCTCCTGGGCCGCAGCCTTGCGCTCGCGCTGCTCGTCATAAAATTGCGACGCGGGCTTGCCTGTGTGCAAGAAAATCTCAAGCGAGCGCTGGATCTTGCGGCGGTCGTTGGGGTGCCACCGCTCCGCCATGACGGGGTCGCACTTGCGCAGCTCCTCGAGCAGCACCTCGGTTGGCTCCTCAAGGATAGGAAATGACGGCTTGTCCGGACCGTCAGCTTGTTGCTGCTGCACCTGGTCGAGAATGACGTCGGTGAAGAGCAGCGGGTCGACGTAGTACTGCGTGCCGCCCACGAGGATGGGCAGATTGCCGCGGCTGCGGATCTCGCTCATGACGCGCGTAGCCTCGCGCTTAAAGTCCTCGACGTCCCAGGGCGTCGCGTCGAGGCCAATGTGCCCGAGGAGGTGGTGCGGGACGCCGCGCTGCTCCTGGGGGGTGATCTTGTTGGTGATGATGGGGAGGCCGCGGTAGAGCTGCATGGCGTCGGCGTTGATGACCTCGCCGCTGAAGCGCGTGGCCAGCTCGACAGCTAACTGTTTGGGGGGCTCGTCAGCGATGGATCAATGGATGGAAAGGGGCACACGTGTGTTTTGTTTGAGATGCGGATGAGACTTACATCCGACTTGCCGGTGCCGGTCGACCCCAGGACGACCAGCAGTGGCTCGACGGGTCTGCGGGCGGCCATTGTTGCAACATTGCGGCGGAGAAGCGGTCCGAAGCGGCGAAGCATCCACGTGTGTGTAGCGGGGGGTTGTTCAACACATTGCCGGCCAGGGGTTGTGGGATCGGATGAAAGACGTTTGGCGGCAGCTGTCTTGAGTTCTAAGATCGAAGCTGCCTGCCTGCTTGCTGCACCTCAGAACCAGACTGCTGCAGCGGAGGCTTCCGTGCCCCACAGCGGGGCCCCTGCCCCAATCCAGAACAGCATGGAACCCCAAGCTCCAGCTCAGCTCCCCGTCCCATGCCTTCCCCCTGGTCACGTGCCGCCCCCCAATAATTTTGGACTGGACACATCTCACAATTCGGGGGCAAGGCGCCACCACTCCAGAAGCCAGATCGCCAACCTCCTCCTCCTGCTCCTCCTCTCCCTATTAAACCCTCCCCGTCGACCTCGTTCGCCGCCCCCCCTCCCCATTGCGCGAGCTCCTCACGGCTCCGTCCTTCTTCCCCCCTTTCCCCCTGGTGAATTGACTTCCATTCCTTCTTTAATCGCCGGGTTTTGTCCCTCCAGCCGCCAAGATGAGTTCCCGTAAGTTGCTGCTCCCGCTGCTGTGCTGATGGGTGGATGGGTGGCGCGACGATGCGTGCGCGCGAGCTTCCTTGCGCGCCCAACCACGCCCTTGGGCCTGTTTCGCGTCCAACGACCGCCACGCGCCGCGCCGCCATTGACCGCCGACGACACGATGCTAACGCGCGCGATGCCTCTCTAGTCCGATTCCTTGACCTGGTCAAGCCGTTCGTGCCGTTCCTCCCTGAGGTTCAGCAGCCGGAGACCAAGATCCCCTTCAACCAGAAGATGATGTGGACGGCCCTCACGCTCCTCATCTTCCTCGTCATGAGCCAGATGCCCCTCTACGGCATCGTCTCCTCCGACAACTCGGATCCGCTGTACTGGCTGCGCATGGTCATCGCCAGTAACCGTGGTACGCTCATGGAGCTGGGCATCACCCCCATCATCTCCTCGGGCATGGTCTTCCAGCTCCTCGCCGGTACCCACATGATCGACGTCAACCTCGACCTCAAGTCGGACCGCGAGCTCTACCAGACCGCCCAGAAGCTCTTCGCCTTCATCCTGTCCGCCGGCACCGCCACCGTCTACGTCTTCACCGGCCTCTACGGCCCGCCCTCCGACCTCGGCGCCGGCATCGTCTTCCTCCTGATCCTCCAGCTCGTCGTCGCCGGCATGATTGTCATCCTGCTCGACGAGCTTCTGCAGAAGGGCTACGGCCTCGGCAGCGGCATCTCGCTGTTCATCGCCACCAACATCTGCGAGTCCATCATGTGGAAGGCCTTCTCCCCGACCACCATCAACACCGGCCGCGGCCCCGAGTTCGAGGGTGCCGTCATCGCCCTCTTCCACCTGCTCATGACCTGGCCCAACAAGCAGCGCGCCCTCCAGGAGGCCTTCTACAGGCAGAACCTCCCCAACATCATGAACCTGCTGGCCACCATCCTGGTCTTCGTCGCCGTCATCTACCTCCAGGGCTTCCGCGTCGAGATCCCCGTCAAGTCGTCTCGCCAGCGTGGCGCCCGCGGCTCGTACCCCGTCCGCCTGTTCTACACGTCTAACATGCCCATCATGCTGCAGTCGGCGCTGTCCTCCAACGTCTTCCTCATCAGCCAGATGCTGTACTCGCGCTTCTCCGAGAACCTCCTCGTCCGCCTCTTCGGTGTCTGGGAGGCCAAGGATGGCTCCTCGCAGCTGCACGCCGCCTCCGGCCTCGTCTACTACATGTCCCCCCCGCTCAACTTCAAGGACGCGCTCCTCGACCCCATCCACACCGCCGCCTACATCGTCTACATGCTCGGCGCCTGCGCTCTCTTCTCCAAGACTTGGATCGAGGTCTCCGGCTCCAGCCCCCGCGACGTCGCCAAGCAGCTCAAGGACCAGGGTCTCGTCATGGCCGGCCACCGCGACCAGAGCATGTACAAGGAGCTCAAGCGCATCATCCCCACGGCTGCCGCCTTTGGCGGTGCCTGCATCGGCGCCCTCTCCGTCGCCAGCGACCTGATGGGCGCTCTCGGCTCCGGCACCGGTACCCTCCTTGCCGTCACGTGAGTGCATCACCCTCTTTTTTCAATGTATACAGGGACTAACAGCCGGCAGCATCATCTACGGCTACTTCGAAATCGCCGCCAAGGAGGGAGATCTGGCCGGCATGAAGGGCATGATCATGGGGTAATCGCGCCGCGTCCCGACAGACGGCAGCCCCATTTTCTATACAACCCGCGTTCCCGCCGCGATCACTCGACGCGCGCGGCGACACGGGACATATTTTTGTTGTTGTACCAACAGTGGCATATGGAGGGAGGAAAGCGCGAAAAGAACATATAAAGGAGGCACAACTACGGTCTTCGCCAAAATTTCACAGCGAAACGGGGGAGTCTAGGGGCGTCAATTCAAAGTCGATTGGACAATGTCGTGCGGGCAGGGAGGGACCATCATCGTCCCGGCCGCGAGGACTGCCCGCGGTGGCGACGGCGGCGACGGCGTCGATTGTATGAGAAATTGTACGTGAGGAAGCGACCCTGGCGCATTGCGTTGCCCCGGACGAGCCAGCTAGCGCAAATGAAATAATGACTTCAAGTCTGCCTGCCGCGCCTATCAAAAGACTGGACGACACAAGATTGTCGAGATGTACAATGTACTGCTAACTTCATCGTATAACAATACGGGTGGGTACTGCTCAATGTGTTCCGCCGCTAGTTAATTGATTGCGAGTTGGTTGGTTGCGTGACGGATTCGCGAGCGCATATCGTCGCTCTAGGGTAGTGCTTTTCGGGAGGCAACAAGACCGAGCGAAAGAACAGAAAGATCTCTCTCGTACTGAGTAGTCCGGTCTGGAGATTCTCCTGCAAATGCACACGTAAATGCTAATGTGGTCCAATTTACGATTCCATCAACGTTCTTTACGAACGAAACGTTACGCTCCATCATGGAATAGGTACGGATGAATACAACGCAGCGCATCAGTTCCACGGGCGGTACGGTAGAGTTTCGCGTGCCGAAAAGCTTGTGGGTTCTGCATCGCACGACACGGATGCAAGACAGCCAGCCAGTGGAGTTGGCCCCCAGTGCGCCCTCTGTGTCCGTCCCCGTTGGAGTCATCCGGGCAAAGCAAAAGTTTCACGCCGGGAAGCAAAACGAAACGGCGGATGGCAGGCAGGCACTCCTCCTCGCCTTTCTTGCAGGGCCGCAAGAGACATTGCATCGGACTTGGACCAGGACATGTGCATATTCACAACTTGGCTTGAAAGGGAAAGAAAACCAATGGCTGCGTGAATACTGTACCAGCGCCGTGCACGACGTGACATGCACACGGATTCCGAGGTGCGTTCAAGTGAGTGGACGAATCCGTGACGCGCTGGGCGGCACAGACCAACAGGCAGTTTGTCTTCGCGTACCATCGAGAAAGCGGCTCACGGGCCAGCGCCAACGGGATGGTCCTGGGAAGAATCGAGCAATTGGAGACCGGTTCTGGACGGAGGTCGGTCGAGATTGGACCAAGTCCCGGGTTTCGTCAATCTCATCAACCGTCTTGGACTCGGATCTTGCATTAGGCCGGATTATTTTTGTACTCCTGGCTGCACCGCCCTAGCGCCCGTTTTCTGCACAAGAGCAAGTACCACTGTTCATCTCTTGTCTCGGTGCCAGCTTGTGACTCACGATACTACAAGCAAGCTGTAAGCTGCTTGTGTTTGAGCTGAACAGCCTGCAGATTGTCGAGAATCGCTCGTTGGCAACTGTGCAGTGTCTCGCGTCACCCAAGGCCGAGCTATCGTGCGCCGCAATTCCAGTCGCGAGACATTCATTGTCTTGCAGCGGGCGCGCTTTCGATTTGAGTGGTTCTCATTCTTGTGGCTCAGACGTGATCGGAAACGCGTGAAAGCCGTGCTGAACTTGAAGTGATGTCCTCATCGATCCTGGGCCTTCGTCGTCTTGCAGCACATGCCCCAATTGTTGACAATGGCTGACGAACTGTTCTGTCGCCTGGCAGCAGACCCCTTTCGGGTACGAGGTCCGAGCTGCGGGGCGGCTTCAGGCAGAGGGGTGAACAGTGTGCCGACCCCACGAACGTTGGACGCACCTGACCAGGCAGGTCATGCAACCAAGTGGATGGCCAATGCACGTTATCCGGGGCCCCGACGAGGTGCGCTGCTGGCGTCTCGTTCGACCGGACTTTTTCGTTGTGTTGGTCCCGAGCTGTGACTGCAGCGAAACATGCGTGATGGTGCCTGTCCACTGTTGCCAGCAGAGCAGTCCGGGTTTGCCAGAGACATCCGTGCAACGCGGGATGATCAAGGGTCAAGCCATTCTGCAGCTGACCGCCTTCAAAATGTGCGGCTCACGTCGTGGCAGGGATGCGAGCTGCAATGTCACCCGGCGCGCCATGCCGCCGCATGCTTGTTGCAGAATTGATTGACAGTGTGCACTCGCGGTGGTGTTGAGGACCTCAATTGCACGGCGGTGAGTCACGAGAGCGCAGCGTGCATGGACCCTTGTGGGTGTCGACCTGATTCCTCAACGGGCAAAGTTGGTGGCGGCTGGTGGATGCGGGAGAGGTGCGCGATGGTTCAGGAGGGTCGGTCGATGATGCAAGCCGTGGCTCGGGAAGAGCCTTGACTGGCCTGGGGACAGTCACAAGACGGGAGCAACGACGCAGAGCTGGAGAGGGCGCGGTGGCAGCCGGCGACGTTTGCGGATCGCTTTGAGAACCCGATGCTGCTGTGCTCAGCGGCGATGCCGATTGACACTGGTTGACAGAGTCTATGACCTCAACACCTCGCACGGCACTTGGGTACCTGGCAGTGAGACTGGGATGAATCCAGGCGCCTGTGAGCAACAACATTAGTAATTCAGCGATACGGAGGCGGCACGGTTATCATGCAACATGGCATGCCGTGTTGCCAGCATGCTTGACGAACGACTGGAGGCGCGTCTGACTGCTGTCAGGGGCATCGTTGTGGGTTCTCTGGCTCGCGTCCTCGTACATGTAGTACTCGTACAATAAGCCCGGCGGCGGCATCGTGGGGTGGCGGACTGGCGGACCGACGGTTGGCTTTTCAATGGGGACAGCGGAGTTGGAGGGTGGGGAGAAGCTTCAGGCCAGGGAGCAAGACGGCGGCGGCGGCGCCCACCCTTCAGCCGAGGAGTGCGCAAGTGGCATACCAGGCTGGCCAGGCCTCGCAGAAGCTCGGCGGCTGTGGGCGCTAGGTGGTTTCTGGCTGGCCGTGGTTCTTTTGCAGGCGACGGACTGGGGCGGGCGAGGAGTCGACGGTGGCGGAGGAGGATTGAAGATGGGAGTGAAACAGGCAGAACTGTATTACGGGGGTATTATCGCCGCTCGAGGAACGAGGAACAGGCTGGTTGGGAGACATGAGAGCAGGAGGCGGTGTTTTTGTGCGCGAGTCGTGCTTCCCGGGCAACGCATTGAATGGTAAAGTGCGAATGTTGTTGGTTCCTTGCTCGTTTTGTGCTGTCGAGAGAGAGTATTGACAGACCGGGAAGGTGCGAGATGGTGACTGACTTGCCTGCCTCACGAGACCGGAGAAAGCGACTGGGACTGCGGGCAGGAACAAACGCGCGCCAGTGAGAACAGGCCCAGGTGCTGCCTTCCTCCATGATTGTCCTGCAGGTGAGGGACTTGAGGAACGAGCATCTCAAGCTACGGCGCTTGTCCATGCCACGCCTTGCTGTGCCCACACGGCCTCTGTCATCCATGCCTGTCCCGCCCCCACTGCAATCACAGGCATCGCATCCACTCCCGCCTCACAGTCTCTGCCACCGAGCCTTGAACCCGGCCTGTCGACGAAGCGTGCTGCGCAACGCGTGATGCTGCGTGATGCGTGGCGAGGCTTCGCACATTGTTGCACGAATGCGAGTGCCGCGCCGTGCCGTGCCGTGCCTCGACACGCCCGCAGCTCCGGCAACGGAGCCGACGTGCGCGATGCGAGATGCGAGATGTGACATCGACCTTGACACGCGCGCAGACGCTGACGATTCCGCGATATCAGGGCCTGCAAACCGTCCCCACCCGCCGACGTCGTCGGGCCCCCCCTCCTGGTTCCCCGACTGGCGGCACCCTGGTCATGGCGTCCGGGAGGAGCAGCCCAGGTGGGTGCAGATGGAGCAGGTTGGAGTCGAGGACCGTCTCCCTGGCCGCCCGCCCGCCGGCCGACCGACCCAAACACGGCCGGCCGGTCACCGAGTGACTGGAGCGACTGACGGAGATGGAGGCCAGATGCTTGACAGACAGGGACTGGCGCCGCCCTCCACGCGATCCATGGATGAGGTGCCCCATCCCGCCGTCGGTGGTGTGCGACGGGACGCCGGCCTCTCTGGTGGCGTGCTGTAAAGATTGGAGCTCCAGGGCCCGTCATCACCGCCGCAGAGGTACTTGTTCACGCCTTTTCCTCGTCCCGCACCGTCTCGAACCTTTTCTTCCTCCTTCCTCCTCCTCCCTCCTCCGCCGCCCCTCCGTCGTCACCCATTCTCTTTGGTTGCCCGGAGCGTTGTGTGATCTGTAGGCTTTCCTTCCCTTCCTTTGCAGCGCAGGACATTTTTTGTTTGTGTCTGCGCAGGGAAAGAAAGAGACTGCGAACCCGAGGCACTACGTTGCTCGTACTCGCACTCGAGTGGGTTAGTCGGCGCAGAAATTGTGTCTCGCTTTTTTTTGGGCTCTTGGTTCCTCGATTCGTTCCCCGCCACCACCGACCCCCCGGTGCTCGGAGCCCGTCCCTTCACCTCGCCGTGACGTGACGCTCGCTGCCCGCGCTCAATTCCAACCAGCGAACCCCACAGGCTCGGTCCAACGCGATCTGCGACAACAACAGACGCCGCCGTCCCGAGCACCGTCGCCGCGCATCGGGTGCCTCGCCGGACTCGGTCGACCGTCTTCTCCTACCTACAGCACGACCCGAGTCGCATTTTCCCACGACGCAACCTGTTGCAGCACGAGTCTCGCCATCCGCAGCTCGCTCGGCTGCGCTTCCTCGGTCACCGCTCGCTCCGCCCCGGCACGACGAGCGAACTGGTGGTGCCTCTCCGAGCTGTCGCTTCCTCCGCCGTGCATGAGAGAAGGACAAGGCGGTTCACGGCATCTCGACCCCAGCCCCCATCATGGGTGCTTTTGCGCAGTGCCCGTGGCCGATATGGCGGGTTGACGACCTGCTGCCGTGCTTCCAGACAGAGTTGGTGCTCCCACAAGCTCCCCTCCCCACACGCTGCCGCCGCGGCCGCCCGTGTGCTGCGTCAATGCTGTTGCACAGGCCTCGCTGACCCGGATCCAATAGCTACCTCAAGATCCTGCTACCGTTAATAGTGATTGGCATCTCCTTTGCTCGCATCGCCTGGGACAACGTCCCGCGCCTGGTCGCCAGCCACAGGGCCAAGGGCTACAAGCCTGTGCCCAATGGTCACACCGCAGCCGAAGACCACACCGGCCTCCCGCCGGACGCCGCCGAGAGCGACACGGAAGACGATGGCGACCTCGAGATCAACGGCGGCCGCCTGGCCCTCGCCAAGACGATGAGCAGAGGCTCCCTGGTCCAGGCCGATACCCCAACTGGCCAGCGCTTGTCGCAGGCTGTCGAAGAGCTCGCCATCGTCGCTCTCGTCATCGTCAATGTTATTGCTCTCATCTCTGGCGCGTACCGATACCAGCGCGGCACTCTTGCCGCCATTGTTGGTCTCGTTACCTGGGTCTATGTCCTCATTCTGGCCTCGCTCCGACTCTTCCTCGGCACCTCCAAGTGGCGCGTCCCCCACCTCTGGAACCACACGGCTGCCATCTACGGCCTCAGCTGGGTCTTCAACATCTTTATTTTCCGCTCGGCCATGATCCACCCGAGCAGCCGAATGGCTCAGATCCTCGTCATCATCGAGTTCGCCCTCATCACCCTACTCTTCGCCATGGCCGTGACGACTAGGAAGGGGAACAAGACGGTCCTGTTGGAGTGGGAGGATGGCATTGAGCCGTCGCGCGAGCCGCTCGCCAGTCTTTTCTCCTTGGCCACCTTTGCTTGGGTCGACGCCATTGTGTACCAGGGCTGGAAGAAGTCCCTGGAGCTGGAAGACGTCTGGAACCTCCTGCCCAAGGACAAGGCAGCCGCCGTCATCGCCGACTACAGACAGCTCAAGAAGACGGGTGCTCTCACGTGGCACCTGCTCAAGTTTTTCAAGGGCATGCTTTTCTACCAGTGCTTCCTCGCCTTCCTCTCCGGCCTCTTCACTTTCGCGCCCACGCTGTTGCTCAGGGCCATTCTCGAGTACGTCGAGGAGCCCGACATGGCGCCCATCAACGTCCTGTGGCTTTACGTCATTGGCATGCCCGTTCTCGACACCATTCGATCGTTTGCCGACGGCATGGCTCTTTGGACCGGTCGAAAGATCTGCATCCGCGTCCGAGCCATCATCATCGGCGACATTTACGCAAAGGCGCTGCGTCGCAAGGCCGCCTCTGGCAAAGAAAAGGTCCTGCTCGGCGACAAGCCTGCGCAAGCCAAGAAGAGCGACTCGGACGGCGACAGCACCACGGCGGCCAAGATCAAGAACGCCCTCGGTCTCGGCAGCAAGAAGAAGAAGAATACGGACAGCGACTCCGAGTCTGCCAACACCGTTCCCACCGAGGAGGAGATCGCCAAGCTTGGCGACGACGAACAGGCCAATCTGGGCACCATCATCAACCTCATGTCCGTGGACAGCTTCAAGGTGTCTGAGGTGACCGCGTATCTGCATTTCCTCTGCGCCGCGGCCCCTACGCAGCTCGTCATCTCCGTCGTGCTCCTGTGGCAGGTCATGGGACTGAGTGCCATTCCCGGCCTGGTCGTCATGGCCTTCCTGCTGCCCATCAACTACTTCCTCGCGAGAGGCTTCAACATCACATCCAAGAACATCATGAAGGCAACGGACAAGCGCATCAACGTCACCAACGAGGTGCTTCAGAACATCCGAATCATCAAGTACTTTGCCTGGGAGGAGCGATTCGGTCGCATCATCGACGAGAAGCGACGAGCCGAGCTCAACGCGCTCCGCTCCCGTTTCATCCTCTGGGCATGCGCCGTCGCCATCTGGAACTCGGTTCCTGTTCTCATCACCTTCTTCTCCTTCCTCGTCTACACGCTCATCGAGAAGAAGCCTCTGTATCCGTCCATCGCCTTCACCGCCATCTCGCTCTTCATGCTCCTGCGTGTCCCCCTCGACCAGCTCGGCGACATGTTCGCCCACGTGCAGGAGGCCAAGGTTTCGGTCGACCGTGTCGAGGAGTTCCTCAACGAAGAAGAGACTGAAAAGTACGACCAGCTGGGTCTCGACAACGTCGACGAGGATGGCGTCAAGCGAATTGGGCTCAGGGACGCGACACTCATCTGGGGCGGCAAGGACTCGGTCGGCGAGGACGGCTCTCGAGCCTTCCAGCTGCTCGACATGAACATCGACTTTAAGATTGGCAAGCTCAACATCATTGCAGGCCCCACAGGATCCGGCAAGACGTCCTTGCTGATGGGTCTGTTGGGTGAGATGACTCTGGTGGACGGCCGTGTCTTCTGTCCCGGTGGTCGCAGCCGCGAGGAAGTCCGCCCTGACCCGGAGACGGGTCTCGCCGACACCATCGCCTACGTCGCGCAGGCGGCCTGGTTGGTCAATGCCAACATCCGAGACAACATTCTCTTTGCGGCACCATATGACGAGCAGCGGTATAGGGACGTCATTGTCGCTTGTGCTTTGGAGCGCGACTTGGAGATTCTGGACCACGGCGACGAGACGCTGGTGGGCGAAAAGGGCATCACTCTTTCCGGCGGACAGAAGCAGCGCATCTCGCTCGCACGCGCGCTGTACTCCAACTCGGCACACGTGCTTATGGACGACTGCCTGAGCGCCGTCGACTCGCACACGGCCCAGTGGATCTTCACCAACTGCATCAAGGGCCCGCTCATGAGGGGCAGGACGTGTGTCCTCGTCACTCACAACGTCTCCCTGTGCGTGCCATCAGCGGACTTTGTCGTTCTCCTGGACAATGGCCGAGTCGCTGCACAGGGACCCGCCCAAGAACTGATCGACTCTGGCAAGTTTGGCGAGGACATTCAAAAGTCCAGGCCTCCATCGGCGTGCGGCTCCCGTGTTCCCAGCCGCGTGCCGTCAAGCGTCGGTGACGCGGAGACGATGGTTAACAGCAACGGCGATGCTCTCGACGGGCTGTCTAAGAAGATCAAGTCCAAGAAGCCTCAGATCGACGCCATGGACGAAGGCAAGGCCACCGGTGCCGTCAAGTGGCCCGTCATGAAGATCTATCTCAAGTCTATGGGACCATGGTGGTTCTGGGTCGTCACGGTCGTAGTGTTCAACCTGCAGCAGCTCGCGACCGTCGCCACCAACGTCTGGGTGCGAGAGTGGGCCAACAAGTATGTCGAGGAAGACACGCAAAACGTCGCCGTGAGCTCTGCCGCTCATGGATATGGCGTCCAGTCGTTTGCCAAGGGCACGTGGGCTACCGTTGCGCGACTGGGTGGCAACGGATCGGGAGAAGCCATGGCTGCTGTAACGAACGGCCAGGTGCCCATGTCCACGCCGGCGTATCCTGACGTCAACCTGGGTTACTACCTCGCCGGACTGGCCATCATCGGTACCGCTGGCGCTCTCGCGGCCTTTATCAGGGACATCTGGATATTTTTCGGATCGCTGTCGGCGTCGAAGCGCCTCCACGACCGGCTGATGTCTGCCGTGACGCGGGCCAAGTTCAAGTTCTTTGACGTGACGCCGCTCGGCCAGCTGATGAACCGCTTCAGCAAGGATCTCGAGGCTGTCGACCAGGAAATCTCGCCCGTGGCGATTGGCGTCATGTCGTGTGCGCTGTCGCTGGTTGTTACGGTCGTTTTGATCGCCATCATCACGCCAGGCTTCCTGATCGCGGCCGTCTTCATCGCTGGGCTGTTCTACCTTGTGGCCACGTTCTACCTGCGGGCGTCGCGCGACCTGAAGCGTCTCGAGTCGGTGCAGCGCAGCCCGCTGTTCCAGCAGTTTGGCGAGACGCTCAGCGGTATGACGACGATCCGCGCCTACGGCGACGAGCGACGCTTCATCCGGGACAACCTGCACAAGGTCAACACGCAGAGCCGGCCGTTCATCTACCTGTGGGCCTGTAACAGATGGCTCGCCCTCCGCGCGGACGCCCTGGGCAACACGGTGTCGTTTGCCGCGGGCGTCTTCATCATCCTGAGCCTGGGCAAGGTGGACGCCGGCGCGGCGGGTATCTCGCTCAGCTACGCCATGAACTTTACCGAGAACATTCTGTGGCTGGTGCGTCTGTATGGCATGAACGAGCAAAACATGAACGCCATGGAGCGAGTCAAGGAGTACCTCGACCTGGAGCAGGAGGCGCCGCCGGTGCTCGAGGACAGCCGGCCGCCGGCGTCGTGGCCGGACAAGGGCAACGTCGAGTTCGTCAAGTACACGACGCGGTACCGCAGCGACCTGGAGCCGGTGCTCAAGAACATCTCGCTCAAGATCAACGCGCGGGAGAAGGTGGGCATCGTGGGCCGGACGGGAGCGGGCAAGAGCTCGCTGGCACTGGCCATCTTCCGGGCGCTGGAGGCGGAGAAGGGCAAGATTGTGATTGACGGCATCGATATCGGGACGATTGGGCTGCGAGACCTGCGCGACAACATCACCATCGTGCCACAGGACCCGACGCTGTTCATGGGGACGATCCGGACCAACCTGGACCCGTTCGACCAGTACACGGACGAGCAGATGTTCGAGGCGCTGCGGCGGGTGCAGCTGATTGGGCCGGACGAGCCGTCGACGGTGCCGCCGACGCCGGTGGTGCAGGTGGCGGGAGGGTCGCTGGCGGGCCGGTCGCCGGCGCCGTCGGTGGTGACGAACAAGAACATCTTCCTGGACCTGGCGTCGCCGGTGGCAGAGTCGGGGTCGAACCTGTCGCAGGGGCAGCGGCAGCTGCTGTGCCTGGCGCGGGCGATGCTGAAGAAGCCGACGGTGCTGGTGATGGACGAGGCGACGGCGTCGATCGACTACAGCACGGACTCGAAGATCCAGGACACGATCCGGGAGATGACGGGGACGGTGATTACGATTGCGCACCGGCTGCAGACGATTGTGGACTACGACAAGGTGCTGGTGCTGGACAAGGGCGAGGTGGTGGAGTTTGGGCACCCGTGGGAGCTCATCAGCGACGTCGAGGGCTCGTTCCGCAGCATGTGCGAGATGAGCGGCGAGCTGGAGGTGCTGCTCAAGGCGGCCAAGAAGAAGTGGGACGAGGGGCGGCTGGTGGACGTCGAGGCTTGAGGCTTGAGTCTTGATGGTGGCCATGGCAGTCGGCTCTTCGGTGGTTGCATACATTGCATGGAGTATGATTACGCACGCATTGGATTATTAGAATGGCGCGAAAAAAGAAATAATGGACGAGCTTCTCCACGGAAGTGGTTTCTATTGAGCGTAGCATGTTGGTGCTGGTGCTGCTCGTACTGGTGATGCGTAGCTTCTTACAAGTAGTAACATCGCCAACGTGTCTGTCCATGGTGGAGGACGAGGCAAAAGCTGAGGCTGGCTGGCAACAGCCCGAGGTGAGGAGCAACACGGTCCAGACCGATGTTTTGGAGAAGTCAGTCAATCCATGCATGAAAGCTGCGCGGCGGCACGTACAGCCCTCTCGCAGCCTATCAAAGCCGCGTCGAGGGCGAAGGATGAGGCAGACGAGGCGCGCCAATGTCTCGCGCGAGTAAGCGAGGCGGGAAGCCACCCCCGCCCGCTACGCCCACCCACCCGCCAGTGCAGCCCGCTGGGGCTCTGTTCTGGGGCCCAAGTTTAGGTAGTTTCCCCGGGCTTGCGTGTCGCCTGCGCAAGCGCCCTGGGGCCGGGCTGAGGTGGCTTGACTTGCCTGCCTCGCATTGCTTTGCCACTGGCCGCGGCTAGGTGGCCACCATGGAACGAATCCATCCATTCATTCATTGACAAAACGACAACGACCTGGCTCGCCTGCCTGCCTGGGCAAATGCCTAATTCATCACTACCAACCTACTCCTCCTCTTCCTCCCTCCTCCTCCTTCTCTCTTCCATCTCCTAATCACCCCGTGTGAGGGACATCTTGATCTCCTAACCACCGTGCGGAAAGGGTCAACTAACCCTTACCTCTTCCTTCCCCTTCCTTGTTCCTCAACGGTGTGCGTCCGTCCGCACAGAGTCGGGTCCTTTGACAGACGCAGCTAGCTAGCTACCTTGGCTAGCGGGCACCGCCAAACACCTACAGTCACCTACCTACCTAGAAGCTACCCTCAGTACCTAGCCACCGACAATCACCATGGGCAAGCCGTCCGACGGTGGCAAGCACGGCGGCGCGTCGCCCTCGCCCGCGCCGTCGAGGCAGCACCCGCACCTGGGCGAATCCGCGAGCGCCATCTCGCTCAACACGACGGCGACACACGAGCGCTACTACGACGACCCACCGGAGCTCCACGACGACCACGAGTACGCGCACGCGTACGCCGACCACGATGACGACGACCTCCCGCCGCTGTATTCGGACCACGACGAGTTTGCTTCCTCGTCTGCCCTGCTCGGCGGTGACGGCGCGGCGGCGGGCGGCGGCGGCAGTATCGGCAGCAATGGCAGAGCTGGCAGCAGAGGTATCAGCAGCGTGACGCCCGTCAACCCGCTCGTGCCCCGCGGCGGCGAGCAGCTCGTCCAGCCCTTCTCCCACAGCCGCGACGGCACGACGGCGTACTACATCGACCCGCGGCTCGACGCCGACCCGGCGTTCCTGCTCGACCACATCACAAGACTGGCGGCCCTCCCGCCGCGGCCGTTTGTGCAGCTTCGCGGCACGCATAGGGAGCGGCGGCGCGGCGGCAGCAGCAACAGCAACGGCAGCGGCAACAACAGCAGCACCACGGAGACAGTCGTCGACTTCGACCTGCGCATCGAGCTCACGCACCTGCTCTACACGGACATCCACACGCAGTCGGCCTGGCGCTCCGTCGTCACGGCCAGCAACTTTGAAAAAGTCCGCCGCGGGACCGTCTTCGCGGAGCGCGCGCCCGGGTTCGGCGGCAGCAGCGGGCGGCACGCCCCCGAGGAGGGCACGCCCGACCTGGCGGAGTGGTGCCGGCGGTACTGCGCGGCGGGCCCGGACCCGGGCAGCGGCCTGCGCGTCTTCACGCTGGAGCGGCGCATCGCCGGCTGGGACTTCGACCTGCTGGGCAAGCGCCTCGAGGAGCTCGCCCGGGCGACCAACTACCGCGGCAGCGTGGCGGTGCGCTTCCCCGTGCGGGACGCGCGCGTCGAGGTGCACTGCGCGTGCAGGACGAGCCGCTGGCGGCTGACGCGCTGGGTCCGCGTGCTGTTCTACGCGACGTTGCTGTTTCTGCTTTCCTGGCCGTGGCTGAAGTTCCGGACGAGGCGGTGGGACACCCAGGCGGCGGAGTGGCGGGCGAGCGAGCCGACGAGCGTCCCCGGGAGGAAGAGGTACGCGGCGGGGATGAGCGAGGAGAGGTGGTATGCGCTGTGGGCGGGGGCGCTGCAGAGGGGGATGCTGGAGAGGAGGCAGGGGGAGCTGGACGTTGGGGATCTGGAGAGGGGGAATGGGAGGGGGCAGGGACGTGGTGAGGGTAGAGGGGAAGGGGAAGGGGATGAAGGGGGGTTCGCGGGCGTGGTGAGGGCCGGGGTGGAGGCCATGGGCGTGGTGAACCGGTCGTTTGGATGGGGAGGCGATACGTGCTGAGCTGGGGGGAGATGTCGCGATGTGCGTTTGGCGTCGAGGTGGAGACGAAGGCTGATGATGAATGACGACTGCTGCTGCTGCTGCTGCTGCTGCTGCCATTCCCCCCTCTTCCTGCACTGTGTGTGTTCTATTGCTCTCTCTGTACGGTCTGGAGTACGTTAGTATCCTCTGCCGGCGTTGCGTCCTTGGGACGGGGTTTGTTGTTCACTTGGCTTTGCTTCTTCACTCCCTCCCTGCATTGCACGACTACGCTGGACAAATACCTACGTTACAAAGCCACATCTTTTATTTCACCTACATCGTCTGCATCGTCTACCTAAATGTGCCTGCCTCGTGGACGCTATATCCGTGTATCCTGCCCACCGCGCAGCAGCAACAACGAGCGGGCCACACTCGTCATGCACGCGGGCCCAGTTTCCATCTTCGTACCTACCTGAGGCCCATCCGGGCTAACAACGCACGGGCAAAAAAAAAAAAAAAACCATGCGGCTGGGATGGGTGGGAACACTTGAACTTGAACTTGAACTTGAGCTTGAGCTTCAGCTTTGGGCTTTGGGGCTTTGGGCCGGGGAGACTGGGGCGTTTTTGCGTACAAGTCTCTCTGCCGCTCGCGAGGGGTGAGTAGACCGGCAGTGAGTGAGTCGGATTTGGAAGGAGGTGCATTCGAGGTAAAGCGATGGGGAGAGACGTAGTAGGTTGGTAAGGTAAGGCAGTAAGGAAGTAATCTGGTGTAAGTGGTGTAAATGTGCGAGCTGAAGCTGGCAGATGGATGGACCCGTGCCGTGCCGTGACGTCGGTCGGTTTTGCTGGACCTGGGCCTGGAGTCTAACCCTTGGCCAGCCATTGTGTCGGGTCTGCAACCCCACCACTGAAGCCAAGGTAATTAGGTACGTACCTGGGAATGAATGTCCGGCCCGCCGCCCCGCCGCCGCCGACCGACTGCCAACCACTTTGGTCAGCGTTTCCAATCATCATCAACCTCTCAACCTCACCTCACATCGCATCGCATCGCATCGCATCGCATCACACCCCGCTACGCCTCATCTCACAGGAACCATCTCCCGCGCTGCCAGCTCACGTACCTACCAGCGACAGCCCGCGACTCACCGCGCGCCTCAAAGCTGCAGCTACTCACCTCCCCTCGCCACACGCCAGACACACACACGTATCGTGCTGCGCAGCGTCGCCCACGTACAGGGGTCCCCGCCACGACCCCTCCAGTAAGCACATCGTCGTACCCGAGCGTCTCGACAGAGGAAAGCTGCGCCGACATCACCCACGGTCCGCACGCACGGCCATCTATTCCTCGCCTTCTCGGAGGGTTCAGGCGGCTGTGAGCGCAAAGTAGAGGAAGCGAGTGGTCGAAGCAGGCCCGGCCAGACGGAACCTGAGCGGGAGGCAGCATCGGCACGCCCACCATGGAGGTGCCCAACCCGCGCCGCGTCCTGGCTGTGAGCCTCGAGAGTCAGGCCGCGCACCTGAGCGCCTTCATGAAAGGTATGTAGGGCACGACACAGCCGCCGACTCCTGCCCATTCATTTCCTCACTACGACGCATGCACACAAGACCATGACACGGCGAGGACTAACCGGCCCTACGCAGAGCTTACCGGCCAAATACCATCGCCCGCGGGACCCGAGTCGTCTCTCGCCGGCACCACCCACGATCTATCACTCACGACACGCTACTACCGTGCCACCGTGCCGGTGTGGCTGGACCTTGTGGCTGCGGCCGCGCAAGATGAAGGGAAAGGGGCCGATGCGGCGGCTGCACAGGTCCTCGATCCAGCCGAATCCAGGACCACGGCGGCGGCCGACTGGGCGGCCAGCTTCCTTTCCGAGGAGGCGCGCGAGGTGCTCGCCGTGCTGGGCGCCGTGGTCATCGTGTTTGCGGTGCCGCCACTGCGGGCGCCGGCGGCCACAACAGCCGCATCACCAGAGACTGCAACGACAACCACAGAACCGACAAAGGCAGGGGCGACTTCGGGCAAGGAACGGGAAGAGAGAGGGCCATCACCAAATGAACTCGGCTCGGCCGGCCCGGACGCCGCGCAGCAGGTCAAGGAGCTCATCCACCACGTCGGCCGCGTGCTAGGCGATGGCCTTGGCGGGTGGGAATGGGACGGCGTGCGTATCGCCGTCGGCGTGGGCGGGCCGTCACCTGCGACTGGAGGTGGCATCGACGACGGTTACGGCGCGGCGGGCGAGTGGGACGAGGTGTGCGCCGACGCGGGCATGGAGTTTGTCCACGTCCCATCATGGGCGGCGGCGTCCGCACCGGGCGACCGGAACGAGTTTGGAGAAAAGTCGGGCATGGAGCGCGTGCGCGAGGCCCTCGAGGCCAACGACTGGGAGGGCGACGGCGACGGGACAGGCGGCATGGACGAATTCGGCGCGTTTGAGGGCAGTGGCGGCGGCGCCGGAGCCGACGACGACGAGGCCGACGAAGCCGCGCTGGACCCCGAGAACCTGGACTTTGGATTCGACCGAGCCGATTTTGAGGGGCTGAAGAGGGCCATCTGGAGCACCGGGGGAGAGCATGGCGAGGAGGAGGAGGAGGAGGAGGAGGAGGCGGTGGTAGCGGCGGCGGATGACACGAGTGCGCAAACGAAAGACGGCCGAGCGCAAGCAAGTCTGCCACTGCCAGGGCAGGATACGGAGGTGGACGCGGATGAGAGGGAGGCGCTTGACGATGACGATGTGGCCAGGATGGAGCGTATGATGCGCAAACTCCAGGCGGCGCGCGAGGCCGGCCAAGGCATGAATGAATCGCAGCGCAAAAAGATGGCGGCGCGCGCTGTCGCCGAGGTCATGCGTGACCTGTGACCTGAGCAGCTGGACAATATAATGTATCGGCTGTGAGGCTGCCGCAAACGCACCTCGCACTCTGCACAACGTGGATATACCATGGTCAGTGCGTATGCCATTCCACCGCGGGCGCTTGACTGGCTGCTTTGGGCCGAGGACCGAGCGGAGGGTTGAAGCCGGTGGTTTCATCTAGACTATGCGTCTCGGCAGGCGCAGGCTCGAGTGTCCGGGAGAGCGTCAGGGCGATCGTGCGGACAGGATCCCGTTGCTCACGGACGCCTGATTGTCCGAGTGCGCCAACTTGCCAAGGCAGTCTCCCGCGCCAATGGCCGCGATAGGTTGAGGACCGAGATATCAGGTCAATATATCTGCCATCTCCCAATGCGATACGCAGATGAAGAGGTCAGTCCGGGCGCGAAATCCAGTCCGCCAGCCTTGATGATGTATTGCGCAGCTTGACTAAACGTAGCCTTTGCGAATATCAAAGTCGTGCTCTTAGACGTTGCAGGCACTGCCAGGAGCCTTGGCAAGCCTGTAGAGCATTGTGCGGCTTGGACACATGTCGACAGGAAAATAGCCATTCATATGCTGCGGAAGTCGAACTTGGCGTCATAGCGTACAGTCCGTGCGTGAAAGCCGCAATGCATCCTTCATACTGGTGCGAGATATCGTTCCTCCGAAGTAGAAATCTTGGCCATGCGAGGGCCGGACCCATCGTGACTGGGTTGCGACGTCGGTGACGAGCCGGCGCCCGCATCTAATCCATTATGCGGAGTAGACGAACCGCGACGACGGACCAACCAGTGCAAGCGCATGAACATAGGACCTCAACACCAGAAGCCACCGTCGAATTCATTCTTGGATGTACTGCGCCCGATTCGACCAGCATGGTGGGCTCATGTCGGCGCCTCAAAATAGCTTGGCTGGCATTGCGGCGTTCTATGCTTCAGCACGCTGGCGATGCGTCGCAGCAACTCTGTGGGCATCAACTGGAGTTTCGATGTCTTTGCAACCAAGACCCCAGAGCCTTTTCGAGCGTTGCCGGCAGGGGTATGCGTTACGATGCTAGCCTGGGAACCCCAGCGTGCCTCGACTGGATCAAGCCTCGACGGTACCGGGAACCCGTACGGGGGGATGGGTGAGCGGGCCTTGGTGCCCGACGGCAAAGATGGCAATGTATCGGCGACAGGCACCGGATGACATGGACTGGATGGAGCCGCCGACCCTGACCGGCGGCACGGGCGTGAGACACCAGCCGAGTCAGGAGAGGAGGAGCACGACGAGTCCGGACAGCTTCGACGACTGAACGCGCCCTAGATGATTTGCCCTGTCCACAACACCTGTTCCCGCAGCCTTGGTCCGCGGGGGCGTGGCGGTCCCCGCCGTGCGCTCAGGAACGAGACTGAACTGGTGAGGGAAAAGGAGGAGCAGGATTGACTTGTCCGTCATCGGGCTCGCGCGGCCAAGAGCCGATCGCCCCCTAGCCCCGTTTGGGCTTGGAACCCTTGGGGCTCACTCACGCTGTTGCGGCTTTGACGGCGCGCGACTCGATGGGATGGGACCGTCGTGCGAACGCGCTGGCATGTGGCCGTCGGCGGGCGACTGTGGCGGGCCGTGGCAGGCTTTGCTGAGAGGCTGGAAGCACCGGACAGGGTCCTAGTCAGGGGTAAGGAGGTCTTGGATGGTGGGGTGGGAGGTGGCGGCGCCGGCCCTCGAGCAGAAAGGTACATGGTGCGAACGAGGTCTCAGCAACAGCGGCCCCAGTCGCACAGTGCCTCTGTCCGTCACCTGCAGGGAGGCCAAGAGCGGCAGAGACAATCGTGTGGCGCAGGTACGCAGAAGCAGCACGGCTCCAGACCGTGTCGAAACGCAGCGATGCTGGGGGCGGCGAGGCAGCTCTGATGCGGCGTTTCTGTGGACTTGTTGGCTTTAAGGTTGTCGTTGCGTCCCTTGACGAACCGTGAAACGAAGGCTTGACGAGCGATGGGATAAGAGGTCACTCGCTGGACTTGGAGCTGGATTTCCATATCCATCCAGACCCATGGCGTCACCGCCCGGACAGGGCCGTTGGCCGGCTGGTTTGTCCATGGGGCGCTGGGCCTCCACCAGCTCAGCTCTCCACGGAGCCAAGTCGCGGTGCCAGACAGATCGTCCCGCACGAGGGCACACGCTTGCTGATGAATCCACATCGCCTCTGTCGCAGAAGTCGCGGCAGTAGCAGCCGCAGTCACAGCGGCTGTGATACTGCATCCTGCGCCCATTGACGCATCCCTCGGGTCAGCAGGCATCCTGAAGTGGTTCTCGGCGTGGAGGACAACGTCGGCCAAGGTCAAGGGGTCGAGGCCGGCAGGCTGACCAGGACCAGGGTCACGCTGTCGGGGCCGACCCCACTGCATGACGATAGGGGCGCATTGGCGAACGAGGCTACTGCAGGAACATGGTCGGCGTGGGCTCTCGGGGGGGTCTCTGCTCAGGCTGGCGGCTGTCTGGCCTGGTCCCCGTCTGGCGTGGTGTGGCGTGAGCTGGTGGATGGAGCGTTTGTGGTGTGGCCAGGTGGTGCGGCGCGGTGCGGTGCGGTGCGGCTCAGAGCAGGGCGCGCGAGCGCCAGCAGCGGGAACGTGTGCTCGACTGTGGCAATCGTTCTCGTACAGTCCCCGCAGCATGCGGTGGTTGCCCCAACCCAAGGGGATGTGACATGGGATCAGTCAACAGCGTTTGCGACGACGCTGAAATGAATGAGGCCATCCGCAAAATGAGGCCGCGAACAGGATGATTGCAGGCTCAAGACGAGACGGCAGTCCCGAGGCGGGAGGGCAGGAGCAGGTCAGGTGCCGTGCCTGTACTTCGTACCCTTTCCCAGCCTGGCGTCGTGACCTCAGGCACATACCCGTGCCTTGCTACGTACCTCGCCTCGTTCGGTACGCGCTCGTATACCTATGTCGCCCTGGGCGTTGGATACGAACGAGGGCAAGGAAGGAGCCGCTGACTGCATGGCACCGTGCCGCAAGCAACGGTACTTGCAGATAATAAGAAAGGAGCGGTCTCTGCCCTTGAGCGAATCATCAGGTACCTTGCTCGACGCAGGCTGCGCGCCTTGCCCAGGGTACAGCCGGTTACCGCCACGATGCCGCAGTTGTACCTGTAACTCTCACGGCAATACCGGCGTGTACCTGCACCTGCGGATGATGCTTTTTGCCCTCCGGCAAGCCAAACCTTCAGGAGCCTCGCTCTCAGTGCCGCTCCAGCCTTGGGCCTGTCGCACAACATCGACCCCCGCTGTCGTCAGATGTTTCTGATCTGATGCCTGCCCCCTTTTCGCGCCCGCCGATCCCGCCCTCACCACTCCTGCCCACGGCCGAGTCCCCGACCAAGAATGAAGCAGACGCGTCGGTTGTAACGGCGGTCTTGTGGGCGACAGGCATCCCCCAGACGCCTCGACCTCCGGAGCTCTTGCTGCGTGGCACCCAGGCCATCCCCAGGAACGAGGCCCAGAGGCCCAGACGGGGCTCGGTGATCGACACAGGGTCGGCCACCCGCCCGCGCTCTGTCGCTATCGAGTGTCGAGTCTGGTCAGTTGCGGCATCGCCGTGCGAGGTGGCCTGAGAAGCCTCCCGGCTCTGGAGGCAAATCTCGTCCACGGCTCCCTTGCCCAGCTTCTGGACGGAGACCGTCTTGAAATACTCCGTATACTTCGTTCCAAGCCCGTACATACTTTGGAGGCGCCCCAAGCCGACGGGCGGTGACCACCCGTCCAGATGCCGGGAGCAAGTGGCAATGGCAGTCGGCCACCCCTGGTTCCCCATAACGAGGTCCTTGCGCGGGTTGGGGCCCTGCCTGCAAAATCGATCCGTCAGATGCCGAATGGATCCCAGAGGGCCAACTCGTCTGTGCGTATCATGCCCGAATGGAGAAGACCCCCGTCTTGCTCCCGGCAAACCCAGGCACCATCGGGCGCGTTGCAGACACTGACGCACGGCGAACCTCGCCGGATCCGGCGCGCCTTTCCGTCGCAGACGAGACGAGAGTCATGCACAAAACGTCGACGACAATGTTCGAAGCCGCCGTCTGTCCCGGAGGGACGGGGGCTCGGTGGCGGACAGGCGAGGCAGGCCCAGGAGAGGGGCATTTGGGGGTCAGACAGGGGGTCTCGAGCGGTCAAGGATATCGGTCCACCCGCAGTCCAGGATCCGCGATCAGGCTCCCCGTCTTAGGCTCACGGCACGCACCAAGCTCGGGCGGCTCGAGGCCGATCCAGCTGGGAGTCGTTGGACGGTCAAGACAATGGGCCCGTGGATGGGACGCACGTACGAGCATAGCATGGGCGATGCTGCGACACCGAGGAGTACGTACTCGGGCCCTGTACTCGGTACGCACAAAAGCGTGACCTGACGACCACAAGGCCATCCGCCGACGACAGCTCCGTCGGGACGTCCTGGGACGAAGCATCAAACGACCAGGACCGGCAGCAGTGGCTTCTGAGACGGACTGGGCGCTTGACTGCTTCCTTGCCTCCGCCGCGCCCATCGAGACGTCCGGAGGTCCAAGACCGACCCGACGACTACCGTGCGAGGCTAGAATGTAGGCCCATGTACGTTCCCACTTGGTCGCAAGATGTCTGACAACAGCCAACCGCGAAGGGCAGGCCGCTTTTGTTTTGCACACCCGGCCAGCCTCGTTGGCACTGTGCGACACTGGGCGTGAGCCGGCGGCGCGGGCGTCTCGTACCTTGCAGCACTGCGCATTGCGCATTGCGCTACCTGCGGAAGAGGGTGCACACCCGCCGTCACGAGAGCGTCGCTGGTTGGTTGGCCGTTGGCTCGCCCGCCTGCAGCAAAGCCCGCCGCCGCCAGAGGACGCGACGGTCGACTCTCACAAAAGCCTCGTTCGCCAGGGACGACGCGACAGCTCATCGCGATCGGAGCTGCGGCCATGAAGCAGGCCGCGACGGGTCGCGCGTGAGCCAAAAAGCTGTGTCGCCGCGTCCGTGAGCCTGCTTCCCTCTTCCCTGCACCAGGACGACGCGTGATGGGTGCTCGGCGGGCTCGAGTTGGAGGCAGAAAAAAAAACGAGTCGAGCGTTGTGTCGCGGCGTGAACACAACAGCTGTGTGGCTCGTCAGCAGCGCTTGTTCTCTCAGACCAGTCTCAAGCAGCCCGTGGCGTCTCACCCCCGGTTCCCCGTCTGCATCCGCGTCCGCCGAGCCAACGAACGCCAAACGGCACCGACGCTCGTTCCTCGTGTGCGTGCAGTCTTCCTGGTCGTACTTCGTCGGAGGCAGCAACAGTAGCTGGGGAAGATCCGCCATCATTCAGCGACATGCACGAACGAGTACGAAGAACCAAACACCGCCTCGTAAAGTTTCCCAGTCAGGGGTGTGTTGGTACCAGGCCCGTCCACCACCAGCCGATTCCATCGTCCACGGTCAAGGCCGTGTGCCTCCAACCCACGTCCCAACTTTCTCTGGGCGGGCCTCGACGGCCCAGAGGCAGAGCCACTGGACAGATGCTCACACTGCAGACCTGTCTGCCCGCGTGCAGACACGCAGCTTCAGAGCGGCGAACCGTGTCTGCTTTGGCGCGCTCACCCCTTGGCAAGTGCTAAAAATGCACACACACACAAACACAGTCTCCATCTAGTGAGCGTCTCTAGCCAGTCACGGACGGCTCTCACGCCCCAGGGTCGCTGGTGGTGGTGGCCTGGTGCTTGAGGCTTGTGGAGGAGGACAGAAGTGTGTGGTGGATGGTGGACGGAGGACAGCCAGACAGACACCCCTCGGGTTCCGTCTCAACTGGCGGCCGCGGCGCGGGTACCTGGCGGGTGACCGGCGCGTTGGTGCGGGCGACGCTATCCCAGCTGGTAGCCGCCCAGTACCCCACCCGTGTGGCCCCACCGGGCAGGCGCCGGGAGGGCGGGCCACTCAGCGGTGCAGCCGCCGGTGCGTCGCCGCCTGCCCACCAGTGGCGTGCGAGGGCGAGGCGTAGCGGGTGCATGGGTACCTGAGGCGTTCAGGTACCCGTCGCGCCGTCCAGCCCACACCTCAGGTACGGGCCAGCTTCCAGGTTCCCTGCTGTAACGTGAGGTGTCCCTGGCGCGGCGCCCCCCCCCAGCCCATGGGAGCCCAGTCCAGTCCACCCGACCGCGCCCACTGCCCGCCCCGTCCTTCCGCCGCCGACTGAGGCCCTGGTGCACCTCACCCAACCGCCCGGGCTCGCCTCAGCGCACCACCTGGGGCCTGGGCGGTGCGGTGCCCGCCTCGCACGCCCGCCCGCACAGCGCCTGGGCAGGGTGCCCCGTGCTGGTCCATGGCACTGGGCCCTCCAGTGCCCTGCCTGAGGTGCTCAACGGCCCAGGAGCGTTCGGCCCCCTCCCCCCCCTCCCGCAGTGCAGCCAGCCAGCCAGCCCGCCCACCGCGAGTTCGAGTCGGTGCGAGGGCCGCTGTCCCGTCCAGTCCCTTTTTTGCCCACGTCCTCCCGCCCGTGTCCTCCTCCTCTCCTCCGCCTCCTTCTTCTCTCCATCGCCATCCGCCATTCTTCACCACCAACCCTCCCTCTGGGCCCTTTTCTTTCCTTTCACGTCACTCTCTTGTTATTCCAAAGCCATTACGGTTCCCGTCACTCCTTCCGGGACCTATACATTCATTCGGCTCGACCCGCAGCCAGTAATTGACGCCCCCATTTCTCGAAATCGACCACACACGGCCGACCCGAACCGACCGGCGTCGCTGCGAATATCCCTCCTTGTCTGCCGCTTGGACCAGGAACGACACTCATTTCCCACCCTTGAGCTCAATCCAACTTTGCTACTTTCCCTATCCTTACCTTGCCTTTGGACAGTATTCGACGTGTTTGTATCCTGCGCCTCCGTTTACCGCGCCGGCCCACATCCACACTGCTCGGACGTTCGATCCAACCGCGAGACCCTCGACCGTTGCGCCCAGCCCCCGCAGGCGTTAGCCCATCGACCTCGCGAGGCACCCGCCCGGCTCTGCTGCGCTGGAATTTAAAGATCAGGGTCCGCGCCCGTGGGAGGACACTCGTCATCGAGCAGCCGGTCATCATCACCGAGCAATGGCAACCGAGATCGAGCAGCCCTTGGCTCTCGGCCAGGGGGCATCGATCCCCAGCGCCGGCACGACCCCGACCTCTGCCACGGCCACGACTCCCAACGCACACATGAAGCAGTCTCCCACCCAGTCCACTTCGAGCGCCAGCGGCCAGTCCTCCGCCTCGAAGCGACCGCCCCGAAAGAGCACCTTGACGCAGCAGCAGAAGAACCAGAAGCGTCAGAGGGCCACGCAAGACCAGCTCGGCGTCCTCGAGGTCGAGTTCAACAAGAACCCGACTCCGACCGCCAATGTCCGGGAGAGGATCGCGGAGCAGATCAACATGACCGAGAGGTCTGTCCAGATCTGGTTTCAGAACAGGTGAGCTGCCTTTTCGTCGCACCATCCCTTGCGTGACATCTCGGCATCGTGACTGACGTGGACCCTGCTGCTAGGCGTGCCAAGATCAAGCTCTTGGCGAAGAAGAGCCTTGAGACCGGCGAGGACATCGATTCCATCCCCGAGTCGATGCGAGCATATTTGGCTATGCAGGCCATGGAGTCCGGCAAGGGCCTTGGTGGGAGCTACCTCGGCCGCACCGGACTGCTGCCCTTTGGCCATGGCGGCATGCTCCTCGGCGGCGACCAGGGCGCGCAAGGCAAAGTTTGTGAGTGGCAGACACAATTATCCTTTTTGAGAGCGCGAAGCTGGTTCTAACAGACTTCCCCGTTAGTGATTCATCATTTGACCTGCCGGTCGCTCAGCATCGGAAAATGGACTCGAGTCGGTCAGAACACGATGGACCTCATCATCTTCTACTCGCCCGACAAGTGCACCATGACCTACTACATCAACAGCGACCAGGCCGGCTACAAGATCGAATACCCCTTCTCGTACATCAAAAACATCTGGCTCGAGAATAACGAGGGCGACCAAAACAAGCTCGGCGGCATCGTCATCGAGCTCAACCGCCCTCCGCATTTCTTCATGGACTCATCGTGCCAGAGCAACGGCTTCCTTCAGGTTGGCGACTTCACCGAAGACCTGCAAGCTTCGCAATGCATGATCCACCACCTCGGCGGCAACCCCAAGGTCCTGACGAACCAGCTGGCCAAGCTCGTCTCGCTCGAATCCTTCATGAACCGCCATAATCCGCTGTCCTACGGCGACCCCCATGCGATTTCGGTGTCTGCCCCGGTTTCACCCACCGCCCGTCCCTCGTCGCAGCCCAGCTTCCCGCAAGCTCACGGGGGCATGGCGCAGGACCACTGGGGTCTCAACCAGATGCACTCGGGCATGCGCATGCCTCACGGGCACAAGCGACAGCGCAGTCGCTCTGTGCCTGGACCGATTGACTTTGCCATGTTCCAGAGCCAGCCGATGCCGTCCTTCTACATTCAGCCCCCAGGTGAGATGGGCCCCCCTCAACACAACCCCAACATCTATGCGCCCGTTCCGCAGCAACCTAGCGGCATGGGGAGCAACCTCCGCATCGACACGCAGGCCGGCTTCGGACTCGATATGCGGCAGTACCCCATGTCCGCCACGACGGCCTCGCCGTCCGAGTTCCCCCCGAGTCCGGGTTACTTCCAGCCAGAACAGAACATGCCCAATTCTAACTTTGGCACGCCCTACGGCGGAGCGTTCCTGTCGCCGATGGTGAACGCGGACAACGGCGGAGCCGCGGCCGTCTCGCCACTCCCCTTTGGCGGCCCGTCGGAGCCGTCCATCGTGGAGCAGTCCCCGCCCATGTCGATGATGGGCCGACCTGGGTCCGCCGAGCTGTACACGGGTCACGAAGGCTCATGTGCGGTGTCCGATGACGGCCACAGCCTCAACGAAATGTACTCGAAGCACACCATCAACCTGCCGATGCACACGCCTTCTCCGGGCACCTTTGTCCAGCCGTCGCAGCACGGCGATCTGGACATGGACCAGCTCGTGCAGTTCGATGCCGTCGACCCCGCGAGCCTGTCGCCGGAGACGGTGCCCCCGACCACCTGAAGGCAACAAGGGGGCGTCGACGCCTCCGCACCTCGTTTCACTGGCGATCAAAAGCATTCACTCTTGGGGAACTGATGCACTTCGAAGGCGTTTTTGTTAGGCAGCAGCTGATACCACGGGCTTATCGGGTTTTGTCTTGTTGGATGCGAAGACCATGTCAGCACCGCTTCTCAACGTTGGGCGTGTACCGAGAGCAGCTCTGTCGGCCCGAACCCCCCTCCCCCTCCTCTGGCTTCGTGCGCGCAAGCCATTACGAATTTGGCATGACGATACTTCACATCGACGACATCGGTCATGCATGTCCGGCACAGCGATCGTGCTTGTTTGTTTACCAGTACTGCTTCGCGGCACACAGCCTGTCGCCCCGGGACATGGAACCGGGGCGGACCGCGAGCAAACATTGTTACCTGGTGGCCCATTGCAGATTTCTTTTCAGCTCTTGAATGTTTCTTCTCTGTCACTTCGTTCAGCTTCCTTTTTCTGCTGACCCGTCGTTACGGGCCGTTTCTGTCTCGCGCGGGGCCGCGCCTGGCCACCACGCGGCCCGCCGAGACCTAATTCTACTCATGCATATTTTCGAGTAATAGGGCAGTTTCCGATTTCTCCGTCGTCATTCTGAGTTTCCACCTTGTTTCTTTTTTAAAACTTGCGCGCGTTGATGGCTGTGGAGGGTTTCTTGAATGGGGAAGCGAGCCCTGGAGGCTTGGCCAGGTTCACTGGGAAGACGGTCGTTCATAGCGGGAGGAGCTTGGGGGAACTAGAGCAATTCATGCATGCTGTTTGCGGCTATGGGGAGTCTGAGGAGCCGCGAAGGCTCCCGGGAAGCGGCTTGGAGAAGGGGATCTGCTTGCGCGCCGACGGACGCCTCGACAATGGGGGTGTTTCGGCGCTGCTTTGCCGAGAGGATAGTACACGCCTGGCCGACTCGGACGGGATAGCTAGCTAGCAATGGATTCCAAGTCCCAAGGTTCCAAGCCGAGACGCCTGATCTCATGTGGATGGCAATATCGGACCCCGGAGTTTTGAAAGCCGGGGTCCCTGCCGGTTCGGCATATGTGAGCGACTGATGCTACAGGGGATGCAGCGGCGCACGGATGCGTTGGGCAAGGCTACTCACGCAAGGCAGTGCATACTTGCTAGGAAGCCTATATATGGTATAGTATCTGCCTGTTAGCTGCTCGGGGGCACGTAGGATATTAAAGTGTCGCTCCCTACTCCATAGGAACTGTAGTTGTACAACACTGTACACATACATAGCTATGCCGTGTCCTTGTTCGTCGTCGGAAGTGACTGGTCGAGCGGCCGGCCGGGCGCGGCGGGCATGGGCCACTCTGCGACGCGAGGACATGACGCCAGCGATCACGGCAGACGTGGTTTGGAGGTACGAGGGGAGCGTTCAGGACGGGAATCGATACCTGGGTGGTCAGTACCTCCCTAAGTAGGATGAAGGTTGCGCCAATGCCTGCGATGCTGCTGTACAGATGGGGATAGACTCGTATGGATAGCATACCACTACGTACGACTGGACACCCCGGATGGGCAATAGAGGGCGATGATATCGATGGAGGTCCGCATCTACGATGTACGAAATAGGCAAGCTTACATGCGAGGGAAAACCATAAGCTTAAACAGACAGCCGAGAGCGACGGTGCCGTCCGAGTGGAGGACGAAAGGCGGCATGGCGGGTGGGCTTGCGTGGAGGACGGACAGTCCAAGCCATGGAGACGCTTCGCCCGCCCCGTGGCCGCGGCTTGACACTGGATTGGGTTGGGTTTTCTGGCGGCGCCCGGAAGGAGGCCGAACAGTGCCTCGTTTGCCTCGGGCGCAGCAGCCCAGGCCGAGAGTCCGACTCTACCTAGCACCTATTCTGGCGTGTGCCGCATGCGCATGGTTCGGTCGAGGCTGTACAGCGCCGTGCCACATACAGCAATGGGGCAGTTCAGCACAGCAAAACGGTGGAGATACATTGCATTGCCGTCTCTGGGGCTTCTAGAAGGACGGCGACGAGGGTGCGGCTGGGAGGACAGGTAGGGGAGGGCGTGACGCGGCGGTGGCTGCTGAGTTTTTTGGTCCTGGCAGCCCAACAGCCTGGCGGCGGGCGTTGGCGTGGGCGTTGCGCACGCACGCACGGGGGAAGTTCGAAAGGGGGCGCATCCGAGGTGGTGTTCGGGCTTGTCAGGCTGGTGGCTCAGTGCAGGTGGTGGTGGGTGACAGACCGACTGAACTCCCGCTTCCTCTCTTGTTACAGTACGGCTGGGCGGCTGAAAAGGCATAATGGGGGACGGGAACGGGGACGGGGGACTGGGTGGTGGCGTCAGTTCTGCCGCGCGTCAGGGGAGGCACTCTGGTGGACGGGGAGGGTTTCTGGTGGCACTTCCTCCCCCGTGGGAAGGAACTTTAAAATAGGGGAGCGTTCTGGGCGACTGGCGACGATCTGGGGCGCCAAGGGGAGGGGGAACAGCTGGAAAGCCAATGTGAAGGCGCCCAGCACCGCCCACAGGCGCAGGCGTGGTGGGCTGGAGCACTGGCTGGCTAGGCTGGCTGGCAGGCGGGCTGCGCCACGTTGCGTCTGGGGTACAGCACAGCAGGTACCTCCACTACCAGGAAAGAGGGCCAAGTCGTAAGCGGCTGGGCCGTTTTCCTGCTTCCTGCCGCCCCCCCTCCCCTTGGCAGTCCGACACATACAGTACGACTCGCCGCCAGCCAGCCGCCAGCCGAGCAGGCGTGCGTCTTGCGTTGGCCCTTCTTCGTTGCGGCTTTGTTCATTTCCCTGTTTTGCCCTCCTGTCCGCGACTCTTGCTTCATTCTGTCATTCTTGAGCCGTAACGTGCGCGCCGCCGTGGGTACAGATCGGCGCTCCCGGTGCTGTCGATCGCTTCATCCTTTGAGCAGCGAAACGGGCATTGCGCCGCTGCTTTCGCTTAGCTGCGCCGGCTGGCATCACCGAGCCCCCCTGCGCTGTCATTCTCGCATTTGGAATCAGTACATTCATACGGGGCATACTTTCGAGAGCGGTTACAAGCAACAGTGACGAACCTAACGAACAAGGGCAAATACGAAGTACACGTGCGAGCGATCGGAGAGTCCGACCACCACCTGAGACGAGTACAGCACGGCGCGGCACTAGACGAGAGACGCGACGAACACATTATCATTGAGAGAGAGAGAGAGAGAGAGAGCACGCGCATGCGAGGAATGCAATTCCAACGCGGGGCGTGTTTCATCCCGGGCCTGGGGACATTCCGATGCTGAGACACGCTCGACGGCGGCGACCACCACCACCACCTCTAACCACATGGCGCCCGGCCGTGACGGTCGCGACCGCGACACCAGCGCCGACCGCAATGCCCCCCACGACGACGACGACATCACGGCCCTGAACGAGCGATATCCCTACGTCCGCCCGACGCCCCCCCGACGGGCCAGCTCGTCGCCCTCCGTCACCGCACTCGCCTCGGCCCGCAGGAGGTCGCTGGCTGGCGACCACGGCGGCTCCAGGAGGGGACATGACGGCCACGAGCTGCAGACGATACCCTCGACGGTGCCAATGGCCGACCCGAAGCAGCAGGGCGCCGCTGTCGTGTCCGAAGATGCGGCTGCAGGCACGGAAAAGAGCGCCGGCGGAGACGTGAAGCCGGTAGCGTCGCATGGGACGGCCGCGTCGCGACTCTGCTTTTGGCGACCTGGCGCGAACAAGAGGCGGCTCAAGAGGGTCACTCGAAAGGAGCGCGCAATGCAGCAGCTGGCCCTCCTCTACCAACGATTCATCGTCGAGGGCCTCTTGCGTCGCAAACCGCTCCCGCCGACGGCAGATGGCCGCCATATCCCCCTGTGCCCCTCGCGCGACGTGGGCCCCGGGGGCCTCATCGACGAGCGCAGCGGCAAGTCCTATATCAGCAACTTTATCCGGTCAAGCAGATACACTGTCTACGACTTTATCCCCAAGCAGCTCGTCTTCCAGTTCAGCAAGATTGGCAACTTTTACTTTCTCATCATGGCTATTCTGCAGATGATCCCGGGGCTGAGCACAGTCGGACGCTGGACCACCGCTGTGCCCCTGGGCATCTTCGTGGCCTTCAGCATGGGCAAGGAAGGCTACGACGACTACAGGCGGTACCAGCTCGACAAGGTTGAGAACCGAAGCAAGGTGTCGGTTCTGGAAGCCGGCGTCCGGAGCCGTGACGACTCAAAGCGGGCTGGCAAATCGCAAAAAGGTCCCGATGATATCGAGGAGACGGCCTTGCGGGATCTCGAGGGCGGCGGTAGGCCTAGCATGGGCACTGCCAATTGGGTCACGGTGCAATGGCAAAATGTGCGTGTCGGCGACGTGCTGCGGCTGCGACGAGACCAGGCTGCCCCCGCCGACATGGTTCTCCTGCATGCCACTGGACCCAACGGCGTGGCATATATCGAGACTATGGCTCTCGACGGTGAGACCAACCTCAAAAGCAAGCAGACCTGCCCTCTGCTGGTCGAGCGGTGTGCCACTTTAGAAGGCATTACGTCTGCACAGGCTACCATTGTCTCTGAGGACCCCAACCTTGACCTCTACAACTACGAAGGGAGGGTGGTGGTCGATGGTGAGACGCTGCCTCTGTCCCTCAACAACGTCATCTTCCGCGGGTCGACCCTCCGAAACACATCCGAAGCCATTGGCCTAGTCGTCAACTCGGGAGAGGAGTGCAAGATTCGCATGAACGCCAACAAGAACGTCCGCGCCAAGAAGCCCGCCATGCAGACCATCATTAACAAGATGGTACTGTTCCAGATCCTCGTCGTCCTGGCACTGGCCGGTGGGCTGACAGGCGGATACTACATCTGGGAGCCCAGTGTCCACGCTTCGTCATTCATCCCCAGCTCCCCTGTTTACAACGGCCACGTCTCGTTCAAAGAAATTCTTGTCGGCTTCATTCTCATGTTCAACACCTTGATTCCTGTCTCGTTGTACATCAGCATGGAAATCATCAAGATAGGACAGTTCCTTCTCATGCGGGATGTTGACATGTACGATCCCGTCACCGACACGCCTATGGTGGCCAACACAACCACCATTTTGGAGAACCTGGGGCAGGTCAGCTACGTTTTCTCGGACAAGACGGGAACCATGACGCAAAACCTGATGCGCTTCCGCAAGCTCAGCGTCGCCGGTGTCGCGTGCCTGCACGACATGGACGTCCAAAGGGACGAGGCCGCGAGGCATGGCAAAGGCAAAGGCAAGGATATGCCAGCTTCTTCGGCGCCTATGAAGGCGTTGAGGGAAGATGATGACGAAGAAGACGATGACATGAGCATCAAGGCGAAGCCGTACCCGGTTCGGCAGGGCTCGCTGAGCTCCATGCCGCTCTGGAAATCCTCGGTCCGCCCTGATGAGGCACCCGAGATGAAGACGGAGGAGCTGCTCGACTACATCCAGCGCAGGCCAAACACGACATTCTCACGCAAGGCCAAGCAGTTCCTGCTGTGCATCGCCCTTTGCCACACCTGCTTGCCTGAGATCAAGGACGACGGGGAGCTGGCCTTCCAGGCTGCCTCCCCCGACGAGCTTGCTCTGGTCGAGGCCGCGCGCGATCTGGGCTTTTTGCTGATCGATCGACCCGCCCAGTCAATCAAGCTCCAGATGCGGGACGTGGACGGATCGCTGCATGTCGAGACGTACCAGGTTCTGGACGTGGTGGAGTTTAGCAGCAAGCGGAAGCGAATGTCCATCGTCATCAGGATGCCGGACGGGCGCATTTGCGTGTTCTGCAAAGGTGCTGATAACGTCATAATGTCGCGCCTTAAGCTGAGCCACCTGGCGGAGCAAAAGGCTAAGGATATCAGTCGTAGAGCCAGCTTGCGGAAAACCTTTGAGCAGGACAAGGCGCTGCGGCGAATGAGCGAGCAGGGTGGCAGCGCCAAGGGGACGCCTCGGACGAGCTTCGCCATGAGGCGGGCCGACTCGAGCGACGTGAGGGAAGGGGGGCTGAGGCTGAGCCTCGGTAGACGTTCGACGGATCTTGCCCGGCTCGCGCAGACGGACGGGGTCGCATCATGGCTCAACCGGCGTCGAACGGAAGAGCTGCCCTCCCCTCGGGCGTCGACCGACCTGCGCACGCGGTCGTTTGACCACGGCTCTTGGGTCGACGAGTCCCTGGCCGGCAACGAAGCCGCCGTGTTTGAGCGGTGCTTCCAGCACGTCGACGACTTTGCGTCCGAGGGCCTGCGCACGCTTCTCTACGCGTACCGCTACGTCGACGAGGACTCGTACGCCAGCTGGAAGGAACTGTACCACGAGGCGCAGACGAGTCTCGTGGACCGCCAAAGGCTCATCGAAGAGGCCGGCGAGGTGATTGAGCAAAAGTTTGACCTCGCCGGGGCGACGGCCATTGAGGACAAGCTGCAGGAGGGAGTCCCGGAGACGATTGACAAGCTGCGCCGAGCCAATATCAAGATCTGGATGATTACGGGAGACAAGCGCGAGACGGCCATCAACATCGGCCATTCGGCAAGGCTGTGCAAGCCCTTTTCCGAGCTCTATATCCTCGATGTCACCGAGGGCGACCTGCAGGAGTCGATGACGGCCATCCTCAACGATGTGTGCCGAGGCATGGTACCGCACTCGGTGCTCGTCGTGGATGGCCAGACGCTCGCCGCAGTGGATGCCGATAACGAGTCGTTGCTTCTGTTCAATGACCTCGTGGTGCGCGTGGACTCGGTCATCTGCTGCCGAGCGTCACCGTCGCAAAAGGCCGATCTGATCAAGTCGATCCGCCGCCATGTCCCGGACAGTATGACGCTGGCGATTGGCGACGGTGCCAACGACATTGGCATGATCCAGGCGTCACACGTGGGCATCGGCATATCGGGGCGCGAGGGCCTGCAGGCGTCTCGCATCGCCGACTATTCAATCGCGCAGTTCCGCTTTCTGCAGAAGCTGCTCTTTGTCCACGGCCGCTGGAACTACCTGCGCACTGGCAAGTACGTCTTGGCCACGTTCTGGAAGGAAATTGTCTTCTTCTTCGTGCAGGCGCACTTTCAGCGGTACACGGGGTACACGGGCACGTCGCTGTTTGAGTCGTGGAGCTTGACCGTCTTTAATAGCGCCTTTACGTCGCTCCCCGTCATCCTGCTGGGCATCTTCGACCGCGACCTCGCGCCCGAGACGCTGCTGGCGGTGCCGGAGCTGTACACCTTTGGCCAGCGCAACCAGGGCTTCAACTTTGCGCAGTACTTTGGCTGGATGATTATGGCCACTGCGGAGAGCCTCATCATCTTCTTTACCATGTACGGGGTGTATGCCCAGTCTCTGTTCACCAACGACACCGGTCTGTTTGCCATGGGCATGATTTGCTTTACCGTGGCCGTCATCTTTATCAACATCAAGCTCTTGTAAGTTTCTGTCGCCTGCATGCACTCACTATTTGTGATTTCTGACTGTCCCAGGGTGCTCGAGGTGCACAGCAAGACGGCCATTATATTCGGTGGGCTCTTCATCTCCATCGGAGGTTGGTTCCTGTGGAACATTATCCTCTCAGCCGGGTATAAACGCCAGGTGGGCCCGTACATTGTCCGCGACTCTTTCTTGCGCAACTTTGGGCGGGAGCTGCAGTGGTGGGTGACGATGCTGCTGGGCCTGACGGTGCTGGTGGCGCTCGAGCTGGTGGTGCAGGGCGTGCGACGGGTTTACTGGCCCACGGACCAAGACCTGATGCAGCGCATCGAGCGGGACAAGGGCGTGAGGCGCGTCATGAAGATGTATGCCGGCGACGGCGCCGACGATGACCACGACGATGAAAGTGACGCCAGCGACGAAGAGTACGGCGCGCACGGGGACATTGAGATGCGCGAGGGCATGGGCAGGAAGGGCCGCGGGCTGCACGACGGCGTGGACGAGGCGAGGGCCAAGTCGGTGAGCCCGAACCCAGGCCAGCAACGGCGGGAAAGCTACGACCAGCAGCAGCACGCGGCGGCGCCTCGCAGGCACGTCAGGGTCAGCGTGGACGAATACCGGCCGCCGAAGTGGTCGCCCCCGGCGGAGGAGCGCGAGAATCCGTTTGACAGCACGCCGGGGCGGGCGCTGTGAGGCGCCGCTTGTCATCTCCTTCAGCGCTTCTCATGATGATATCCCTCTTTTTCTTGTCTTTTCTCCGACGTCTCGACACGAGAGACGATGTCCTTGGGCGGCACGGTACGGTACGACAGACGCGTTGCTGGGTTGGCATTGTCGTTTGTTTCCTTTTTGGCGCGGCGTTTGGGTCGGGTGGGTTTCCGTTTGTACCTGTCTGTCGATGGTTGGGGCGGGTGGTGGTTTGATGACTCTGCGTGTGATGTTGCTGCGGAACCTGCAAGATGTCGAGGCAAGGCGAGGCGTTTTGGCATTGGTGGTACGGGGCGGTATGAAGGAAGCAGACTTACTGCTACGGAGGGAGTAGTTGCAGTGTTAGAGCATTTATGCCTATGGTTACGCTTATGCTTTTGCTTATGCTTATGGATATGGATATTGATAGAAGAGTATCTGCAGCCGTTCCCTCGCATGCTTGTTCACACGTATGCATGTACCGTTTGCGGACTATTAGAGCGACCGCATGCAGACGAGAGTCACTCCGTAAATGGACTGGACCATTAGAGCGACGAGTGACGATCGATGAGCAACGAGCGACTACACCGCCTTTTACGGATAGATAGATTGACGGGGTGCTGCGGCATCGACACCAACATTGTTGTTGATCCTGGAGTGTTTGATGCAAGCCGGTGCAATGCTGGTGCAGTCCTCTCCATGTCCCTTCCCGCGGATGCAGCATGCTGCGGATACGTACATGCTAGCACTTTGTAGTATCATGGAACGGAAAGGAACGAAGTACGTGGGTGCGTGGGTACGAGGAGTGAGGTTGGTGCCGGAGGGCGCTGGGGGGACGCGGACATGCGCCCGTGCATGTGCGCTTCGATGCCGTGCGAGGTTACGTTGTGTTGTGGTGGTGTCAATTGTGATGCGCTGTGTTGCGTCGAGTGGTGTTGCCCCGTGGGGAAGAGAGTGCAAGTCCAGTTAAGTCAGTCGGTTCGGGACTTACACCGGCCGCATGGGAGACGAACACAAGTCCAATACGTGGAGTACGGACTGCGGAGTCCGGGGTATGAAGGACAGAGTACAAAGGGCGGAGGGAGACATGGCATTTAGCTCTCAAGACACCGGACATGGACGGATTCCGAGACCGCCATTGATGTTTTGTGCAACCAACAGCGCCGGCGCGCGGCAAGGTACCGGACCAGATTGACCGCCAATTGGTAGTCGTTTGATGGTGATGAGATGATGTTGTGGTACGGCAGGTGGTGTGGCGTTGTCGTGCACCCGGGCCTGCTGCTGGTGTCCGGTCTTTCGGACACTGATTGATGTCCAGTCTACGAAGTACTCGCAGGTCATACACTCTCCCGTACGGCCCTTGCATGTCGTTGTACAAACATGAAGTACAGGCAATATATGCAGTTGGCGCTGACGACAATGCCTCGAGCCCGGCATCCTGGTGCACGTATTGGGAGTTGAGCCGCTGCTGAGTGCTGGTTCGGCTTGCTTGGTGGCCTTTGTTTCCCGCTATGCACTTTCGTCAACTCGGCCGAATTCTTCCTTTTTGTTTTGAGGTTCAGTTGAGGTTTGCATATCGCCGCACAGATATCGTTCAACCGCCGCCACAGGCCCATTCACAGAGTACGTTGTTGGCATGCCAGCTACCAATGTTTTAATCCCCGACGGCGGTAAAGTTGCGATGTGCGGCTTTCACCTGGAGCGCTAGGCTCGGAAGAGGTGTTGGTGATGCGCATGCGCGCGCGCGCCTGCGTGCATGAAAAGCCCCTCTCTATCATTCATCAATCAATCAATCCCGACCAAAAGCCCTCGTCGATCTCCGTACCTTTTTGCACCGCACGACACAAAGTCCCGAGCTTGCGACCAAAGAACCCCGCCGCAAGAGAACCCGGCACTTCCTAAGAAGCGTTAGTTCCCCGCGAGGACCAAAGGACCAAAGGGTGCGGATACCACCTCGGCAACGACATCCGAGAACAAAATGAAGAGCTTCCTGATCCTGCCCGGCGACCTTCTTCTTCCAGCCATGTGTTAGTCCCGGGCTCCCGGGGGGTGACCAGCCCCCCCTCCGCTCTCAACGTCACCCGCGCGCGCCCTCCCTGGCCGCTGATATATCCTGTGCATCATAGCTGCGGCCGACAAAAGGGCGGCATGATTGAGGAAGGTAGATCATCCGTGTCATCAGTAGGGGATACGAGGGTTTCGTCCTCGTGAGAATGGGTCGAAATGGAACGGGCCTTAAGAGCGTGGCCGTTTGCACCTCGACCTTGTGTGACGCGCCGCACTCTGGGTTTCACAGAGCCTCGTCTCGTCGGGCTATTATCGTGCCTCATAAATAGAGTCTCGGGCTGCCGATCCGTTGGTTCATGTCGTTTGTCCACTGCCGACACAGCAATAAACAAGCATCGGCCCGTGCTTGCTAGCTCCCGAACCGCCTCCCCCTTTTCCCTCCGGCAGCTTGGAGTCTATCGCCGCATCTCAACAACTACCAACCATGATTATCACCATGCTTCCGCTGCTCGCGGCCCTGGCCGCCGCCTCGCCCCTCGCCCAGGAGATGGTCACGAAGCAGGCGTTGAGAAAGGCCCCCGGCGGCTGGGTGCTCAAGGGCTCCGCGCCGGCCGACCTCCAGATGAACATGCACATCTCCCTGAAGGAGCAGAACATGGACAAGCTGCAGCAGCGGCTCCTGCAGATCAGCGACCCTGGCCACTCTGACTACGGCAAGCACATGTCCAAGTCGGACATTGAGGCCCTGACGGCGCCCTCGAAGGCGAACATAGGCGTCGTCAAGGAGTGGCTCAAGGCGCACGGCGTGCAGGCTGGCGAGGTCTCGAGCGGCTCCATCGCCATCACGGTGACGACGACGCAGGCCGAAGAGCTGCTCGGGGCCAAGTACGGCGTGTACTACCACGCGCAAAAGGGCGTGTACACGGTGCGCACGACCAAGTACAGCCTGCCCAAGGACGTGCACGACGCCGTCGCCATGGTGCAGCCGACGACCATGTTCAGCGACATGAACATGTCGGACGGGCGCGTCAAGGCCACCGAGATATCGCATGCCAGCGGTGCGAGTGATGCCGCCGCCGTGAACTGCGACAAGGGGCTCACGCCGCCGTGCCTGAGGGACCTCTACAAGATCGACTACACGCCCCAGGACAACAAGACGACGATTGGCATCACGGGCTATCTCCACGAGGTGGCTGGAAAGGCGGACCTGCAGTCGTTTCTCCAGCAGTACACCAGCATCCCGTCGAACGCCACGTTTGGCGTGCATCTCGTCAACGGGGGCACCAACGACGGAAACGGCACCGGCGAGGCCAACCTCGACACGCAGTGAGTGCTTGATTCATCGTGCTTCAATGTCTGTAGACGGCTCTTCTGACGAAAAGCAGATACGCCATGGGCCTGACGTACCCGATCCACAACGACTTCTACTCGACGGCCGGCTCGCCGCCCTTCATCCCCGACGCGAGCACGCCCAACAACACCAACGAGCCGTACATCGAGTGGCTCAACTACATGAACGGGCTGGACGAGGTGCCGACCACGGTGACGTCGTCGTACGGCGACAACGAGCAGACGGTGCCGCGCGACTACGCCGAGAACGTGTGCAACCAGTTCATGAAGCTGGCGGCCCGCGGCGTGAGCGTCCTGGTGAGCTCGGGCGACGGCGGCGTGGCCGGCGGCCAGACGAGCAAGTGCGTGAGCAACGACGGCAAGTGCACGCGCAAGTTCCTCCCCACGTGTAAGTGTACTCGGCCCCAGTTTCTTTTGCTCTTTCACTGCGACCACCTTCGATATCATACCTGTAATTCTGTGCGAGCAAAAGCTGACCTTGGGTGTGACGATATCAAGTCCCCGCCAGCTGCCCCCTGGGCGTCACCGCCGTGGGCGGCACCACCAAGAGCAACCCGGAAGTCGCCGCGGGCCTCTCCTCGGGCGGCTTCTCCGAGTACTTCCCCGTGCCCGACTACCAGGCCGCGCAGACCAAGGCGTACATCACGGGGCTGGGCGACACGTACGCGGGGCTGTACAACGGCGGCGGGCGCGGCATCCCCGACGTGGCGGCGCAGGCGGAGCGCTTCATCGTCGTCATCGGCGGCAAGAGCTACCTGCTCGCCGGCACGAGCTGCTCGGCGCCGACGTTTGCGTCGGTCGTGGCGCTGCTCAACGACTACCGCGTCGCGAGCGGGAAGCCGCCCCTGGGGTTCCTCAACCCGTGGCTGTACGGCAAGGGCTTCGCGGGGCTGAATGACATTACGCAGGGGACGAACCCCGGGTGTGACACGGATGGCTTCTCGGCGGGCAAGGGGTGGGATCCGGTGACGGGGCTGGGCACACCCAACTTTTCGGAGCTGAAGAAGCTCGTCTAGTTGCTGCCGTGTAAGTGGGCTTGCGTGCCTTTGAGAATGAGGGGCGACGGTCGCACATAGTCTAGATACAAGCTGTCTATCTGTACAGCTTTACATAGGCAGACCTCTTACATATGGCGGATCAGCATGTACATGCAGCCACACCATGTCGACCAAGACGAACGAGTCTCTCACATCGTGGGAGCGAATCGCGCTGTGAGAGGGAACTGCGTAGATTCAGGAAATTCGCTTCAGTCAAAGTCTTGATAGAGGGGAGAAGACACACGCTCAGGCTATTACACACAGAAACCTCAATACCCCATTAACACTCATCGTCTCCCACATCCGGATTCACCTTGACCAGCACCTTTCCCCTCGCATGCCCCTCACCAAGGTGCGCATACGCCTCCTTCACATCCTCAAACGCCCACACCCCGTCCCTCACGACGCGCACCTCGCCACGACCCAGCATGCCCACGATGCGCTCCCTGTCCTCCAGGGTCGGCGTCATCATGCTCACGCCGCGCCAGGCCCGCCCCGCGCCGAGCAACCACCGGCTCGTGGGCCACCACTCGTTGAGCTTCATGGTCCACACGGCGCGCAGGAAGTGCGCCACCGAGAACCCGGGCGGCTTGATGCCCACGGACGAGTAGTTGCCGCCGGGGACGAGGTACGACGGCGAGACGAGGTACAGCGCCTGGAAGCCGAGCGTGTCGATGATGGTGTCGAAGGGCTGGGAGGAGAAGTGTGCGGTGAGGTGCGCGGCGAGGTTGTCGTGCTGCGTGTAGTCGACGATCTGCGTTCAAGATGTCAGCCGGTGAGTCTAAATACCTTGACTATGTGCCGTTCCCAGCAGACAAGTGTAAGTGATTGTCTACTTGCCTCGTCGGCGCCTAGGCTCCGCACCAGCTCCGCGTTCTTGCCGCTGCACACGCCCACTATGTATCCATCCTTGCCGACGACGCGCCTCACCATCTGCACAACCATGGTGCCGATGCCCCCGCTCGCCGCGACGACAAGCACGCGGTGGCCAGGCCCCGCCGCGCTCTCGTCGACCATCTTCGCGGCTGTCATGCCCGCCAGGAGACATCCCGCAGCGTCAGCGTACGAAACACCCGCAGGCTTGGGCACGGCGTAGCGCGCAGGAATAGCCACCAGCTCAGCGAGCGCGCCCGTGCCCGTCGCCAGGGCATGACTCGCGGGCAGCATGGCGACGGCCCTGTCGCCCTTTTTAAAGCGCGGCCGCGTCTTGTTCTGCGCGGTGCCGGCGCCCTCGTCGGGGTGCCAGACGTCGACGATCTCGCCCGAGAGGTCCATCTCGGCGGTGCAGGGGTCCTTGCGCAGGAAGGCCGGGACGAGCGTCATCTGCCAGATGGAGCCGACGTTGAGGCCCGCAAAAGCGACGCGGATGAGGATCCATTCTTCGGGCTCGGGGACGTCGCGCGGGAGCGGCAGCGCAGGGGGGAGGGTCGGCGCGGGGAGCGAGGTGAGGGATAGGACGGACGAGGCAGCGCCGCGGGCGGACCAGACCCAGGCGCGGGATTGTGATGATGATGATGGTGGTGATGCCATGGGTGGCGGAATGTGTCTACAGTTTGGCGACGTTCAATCTGACGTGCGAAGAGTGATTGGGTGTTTCCGCAAATGCCACTTGGTGATGAATGACTTGTGAGTGAGAGTCGAGAGTCTTGAGAGTCTGGTCTGATGTCTGGCTCCAGGATGAATCGAGGGAGGTAAAAAGACCAGCCGACGGCTCAAGCTGGGTTATCAATCTCTACACGTGTAAACAAGGATGAACTTTGGCAGGTATGTATGCATTATGCCATGCCAATGCAGACTATTTACCTCAGCCTCCCCTGCCCTACACACCCACACCTGAGCGTGACTCTTCTCACGACTGGACCGGGCGGGGAGGCATCAACTTTCTCTCCCTGAGGGCAGGGCGGCCCACCGCAGCTGAACACTCAAAAGAGTCAAAACGTGGGCGCCCACCAATCGTGGCTTGCCGACCGCGCGTCGAAGGAACCAGTAGGGTGCGGTCTGGTGATGGGTTCTGGAACGCCTCGTATTCTGCCCGGGTTGCTGTTGACATCGTGTCCTCTCGAACTTTGCAAGGAACCTCGTTCGGGGGAGAGCGGCCGTTGTGCCGGACAACTCCACGTCGACTATGCAAAGTTCATGGATCGATCCCAATGTCCGGAGTCCAACATTGTGCACATGATGAGACGACTTATCGGATGTCTATATACCAAAGCCGGCGGATGCGGCTCTGCCAGGCCACACACTGTTGGATGAACCCTCACATCAATTCACAGTCAAGCCATGCCCCTGATCGTGTCTCGATCTATCAAGATAAAGTTGGCCGCGCTTGATGCAGGCCTGCGGCCGACGATCCGGAGCGGGCCGGTCGGCGGCCCTCTCGGCCCAGCCTACCCTGTACCTAGGCGCGAATGGCGACGCGGATGAGGTTTTGACTTGGAGCAACAGTTGTACTTCGTAGAACTTCTCTAGCGCAAAGCTGATTTCCCGTTCCCACTTCTAGACGTGTATCTCAGATCCCGTGAATTTCAGGGTCGTTCCAGGATCTAACCGTCTCCTGCTCAATACCTCGGCCCACAAGATGACGGATGCAACTACATCACCAGACACACCGAAGTCTCCGGCACCTTGCTTGACCTGGCCTCACCTAATACAACCAACCTCAAGCCATCTCACAATAATACATCGGCCATTGCACGAACGGCATCCCACAAAGCTCACACACTCCAGTCCATCCCGGACTTTGGCGCGACTCATTCGACGCCGCGCCCCTGCAACGGACACTCGCAAGCGGCTCGGCGCCCCGGTTTTTAGACACATGTAGAACGTCGAGCGGCCGTGCTACGGGATATGCTTATGAGCTTGTCCCCGCAATGATGTCTGCCCTGGCGCGCCGGTCCCTCTGCGAATGTCGCCGTGCCTCGTGGCCCGCTCGACCACGAGGAACGTTGGCGAGAGACGGTTGCCATCAGGGGCCCTGTGGCGTGACTCGCCCGGCCGTCCCCACGAGTAGTGCAAGGAGCCCGCCTCGGTCTCCACGATACTCGCCGCTGCATACTACGAGCATGCGTTGCAGTGTGTAACGGTCGAAAGCACCTGGTACGGAGAGGTGGAAACGTGGAAACCTGCCCCCCCGGCTGCCCGCCACCATCTTGCGATCGGATCAGCTCCTTGTGGGAGCGCGATCAACCTGCCAAGACGCGAGGCATCAGCGGACAGGGAACGGAGTGCCGACTCTCTACCTCAAGGGGCGGCGAAGATCATCTGCCAAGACGCCGTTTTCTGCGCGACGGCGACCGCCAGCATGTCGACATCTGAGTTGCCGATGACGGGTACCCGTCCTGGCCCGTTTGAGTTTTCGTTGCCTCCGGACTTACATCCCGGGCCGTCACCTTGCATCCTTTGATGGTTCGAACTTCGGGCCCTACAAGTCGACGTGCGACTGTGCAGCGATATATCTGAACTCCTGGAGCTTTATATCTTGCCCCTGACGACATTGACATTGGTACGACAGACGACGACGGCGGCTCCTCGAACCCCCCCGATGGCCCGATCCCCCGCGACCGACTCGACATCACCATCACCATGATGACCTTCAAGAGCCTCCTCGCGCGGCTCGCCCCCCCGCCCAACAAGTCCGCCGACGGGCGCGACCAGTGGCCCTCGCGCGCGGCCTTCCTGCTCGCCTCGATGGGCGGCTGCGCCGGCATGGGCAACCTCCTGCGGTACCCGTCGCAGGTCTTCAACAACCACGGCCTGCAGTGGTTCCTCCCCTACCTGCTATGCGTCTTCCTCATCGCCATCCCCGTCCTCGCCCTCGAGATCGCCGTCGGCCAGGCCTACCGCGGCGGCTGCGTCGTCGCCTACTCGAGCGTCGGCCACCGCCTGCGCGGCGTCGGCCTCAGCATGCTGTACGTCGGCTTCGTCGTGAGCCCCTACTTCGTCGCCAACCTCGCCTGGATCATGGTGTATTTCCGCAACTCCTTCACCAGCCCGCTGCCTTGGGAGGGCCGCGGCGAGGAGTTCTTTGAGCGCGACGTCGTTGCCAACGTCGACCCCATTCCGGGTAACTTTACCGCTGATGGCTCCGCCGTGCTCGACTACACAGAGTATCCCGGCGTGGCACTCATCGGCGAGACGGTCGGCTGGGCGGCGTTTACCTGGCTGCTAGTCTGGCTGTCCATCTTCCGCGGCGTGGGCCTCACCGGCCGAGTCGTCTACTTCACCATGGGCCTCCCCATCGTCGTCACGCTCATCCTCATCGGGCGCGCGCTCTCGCTGGAGGATGCCGCACGTGGCGTGCGCCTCTTCTGGGCGACATGGAACGGCGAGCAGCTCGGCCGCGGGCAGATCTGGCAGACGGCATGCGGACAAGTTTTCTTCTCCACGGGCGTCGGCTTCGGCTACTTTACTACCTACGCCTCGTATAACCAAAAGTACTCCAACGCAGTCATGGATGCCATCCTCATCGTGTCCAGCAACGTGCTGTTTGAGAACATCGCCGCCTTTGCCGTGTATGGCGTCGTCGGCTTCCTTGGTCTGTTTCCCGAGGACGGGGTGCGGCTAGGCAGCTTCGAGGTCGGCTTCATCACGCTGCCGTCTGCCGTGGCGCAGATGCCGGGCGCCAACTTCTGGGCGGTGCTTCTCTTTTTCACGCTCATGGTGCTTGGCTATAGCTCTGCCTTTGCCATGGTCGACGCCCTCGTCACGCTCGTCATGGATGCGCGGCCACGCTGGAGCCGACCGCTCGTCGTCTCGGCCATCGTCATCGTCTTCTTTCTTCTTTCGCTGCCGTATTGCACACAGTTCGGCTACTATCTACTCACTGGAATCGATCGATGGACCAACGACGTGGCCCTCGTGTTCGTTGTCTGGGCCGAGTGCGTGTCGTCCACCACGGTGTACCGCTGGAAGGATGTCGTCGGCCAGGTCGGACTGCCTTCGTTTGCGATATACAATGCCGGCTACTTTGGTGGCATGATACTCGGCGTGACAATAGCGCAGGCCGTGTCCCCCGCCGCAGGAGCTGGAGTCGGGTTTGGCCTATTTATCGTGTGCACACTCGTTGCGGTCTTGACCGGCAAGGTCCCGGAAGCTGCAGCTCCTCGAGTATGGAACAAGAGCCTCTTCAGCAGGAGGCTCTGGTTTGTTGCTTTCTACTCCGTGAGTCCCTTCCTTTACCCCCGCGGCACCATCGATGCAGACGCTAACTTGGCCAAGGGCAACCAACTCCGTCGCGACCTCAACCAAGTCGTTGCCCGCGGCAAGAACTGGTCTCTCCCGTCCTTTTGGGGCCCGCTCATCCGCTACATATCCGCGCCGATCCTCGCCATCGTATACAGCTTCTCCTACCCGTCGTTCTACGAGCTGCGCGAGGACCCTCTCCACATTCTGGGCTTCGGCGTCGGCCACATCGCGCTGATCCTGGTAGCCGGGGGCTTCCTATTCCCGCGCTGGCTGGCACCTCTGGTGCCCGCCTCCCGTCGCGGAGAAGGCAAGCTCGACATTGGCGCCAACGTGATCCCCAAGAGCGACGATGGGGACACGATTGACAGTGTAGAGGTCGGCAATGGCGCTGGGGACATGACGGATCGCGCTCCCGAGTCGGAGGGTGTGCGCGGTGTTCCCGACGCAGACCCGGACGAGAAGAAACCTGTGCTGGATCGAGCGTAGAGGCACTCCATTGGCTTGTGAGAAATGAAGTATATGAAGAGGAGCGGCGAAACAAAATCGAGGCCGGCGCCGCCTACGGATGAAAGGCTTGGAGCTATCCCATACTCCGGGCACTGGGACGATGCATTCTCGTTGAAGTAGAACGAGTCTGAAGAAGCCCGAATCACGAGGTGACTGGAAAGCCAGCTTCAGAGACATGCTATTCTGCACATCAGACTGGCCACGACGATCATCAGGGCCATCATTGATCGACTGCAGCAGCCGACCAGGCGCTCTGTTGGGAATATGTAACAATCTCAACGGGCGGCGATGCGTCTACATAGGCTGGTCATGGGCAGATTGAAAGTTGCTCGTTCACTGGCAGGGCTGATCTGGGCTGCCATACGTCCATGCGCGTGATCGAGCTACACTGCGGCATTCAGGGGTAATTGAACAGCAGAGCCCTGACCTCAATACTCTTCCGCGGCCTCGAGGTTGGCGTTTGCGAAGGGTGACCAAAGGAGCAATGCGCACATCCTGAGAGTTGCCAGTTAGTCCCAAAACGCTTGAGCCTTTGTAGGCGGGAGACATTGTTACTCGCTTTTGGCCCTCACGTCTGGGTCCGAGTCGAAGATCTTGAACAGAACGACCTCATCGGGCGTTTGCCCACCAACGTAGTAGAACTTCTGACCCGGATTGAAGTGAGGGTACAGTGTTGCCCCTCTGTAATTACGCCGCACATGGTCGCATTCAACGATGTCCTGCTCCGCCAGGGTCGAAGCGTCGCAGAACGCCAGGGGGAAGTCCTCGACGGGATGATCAAGCGGGCGCCACACGCTTCACTCTCGCGTTAGTATGTGACCCTGTATACGAACAACAGGTAAGTACGGCAGCTAACTTGATGACTCGAACTCTCCCTCGGAGCAAAAAGTTGGAATCGTCGCCTGCTACATGTAGTGACTGGACGCGGCCGACGATCGCTCTCGGTGCATGATCTGAATCCTCAACGGTGAGTGTTTTGCGAGTAGATCTTTTAGACAGAGGATGCAGGCACATACCGATGTGGACGTGACCTACAGGCCGTAGGCATCCAGCTAGGTCGCTCATCTTCATCTTCGTTGCTTCTTCGGGCACAGCTGCGTCTCGCACCTGGGGACATGATCTCAGTAATGAGCAAGAACAGCCTTGTTTGTGATGTACATGATGCAGCGCGTTCTCGTACCCTCCAATCAAAGAAGACAACACGATCAAATCCACCGGCCACATTGTCTTTCAGGATCTTTTCGACTTCTGGGAGATACCTTCCCCGAATCACGTCTTGGTCGGTTGCCTCTGCAGCCTGGAGAGAAGTTGGAACTGATTTCACCTCAAAGCCGTTGCTGTCGAGGTCGAAATTGCCGAGTCGATGTCGGATATCTGTAAAAGTCTGCCCCCTGGTCTCAAACTCGACGTTTGTGGTCCGCTGGTCTTTCGAGTCGGGTGGGATCGGAATGAGGTACTGGAACGGCTTCTCATGGTCGTACAGAGGGAGCCTTCTGAGGTATTTCACTGGAGCGCAGATCGTTCCTGAAGCCATAGTGAGCAACGCAGTTGGTACGATCCGTTGAGACGCTGCTCTAGCTCACGGCCAGCTCGGGGCTCTCTCTGGTTTGCGCGGGCAGGCCACCAGCGCAGTCGTTCTGGGCGTTTGCAGGTAAGTCTATAAGAGCAGGTGTCCGAAATCACGACAGACACCCAAAACAGAATGGCATCTTACTTGTTATCTACGTTAATGGGCATGGAAAGACCAGTATTGACCGAAAGATAAGCAAACCAGCCCAAAGACTTGGGCATGCCTAATTGCAACGTGGAGATCGTCGCACCTGGTCCTGCGCGAGTCGCACAGCAGCATGCATCCGTCTGCAGAGGAACATAATGAACCATACATTTGCCAATGGCAAAGAAAAGGATGGAAATGTGAGAGATTACAGCCGGTGGACCTGCTCCTGAGCCGAGGGTATGCGAAGCAACGTGAATTGAAGCCCAAAACGAGGAGTGCCCGATCACACGCAAGCATGCTCTCTGCGTATTTCACACCTCCTACCGCCTCATCGTTGAAGTTGAAGTCAGGTAATCCTTCAAATACTTGTCGTTGGCATACAGAACCTGCTGCACTCAATTTTGTTTCATGTTCCCATCCTCATCAGCCGAAGAAGCAAGCGGTCGTTGACCACAGTCCGCCACAATGGTCACTGCCATCCAGAACTCCCTTGCTGACCTCCCGCTCGAGCCAAAGCGAGGCTCAGACGCTCAGCCAAACCTACCTGACTGGGTTGTGGTAGCTACTCAGGACGACGGGCGTGACCAACCTTGGAAGAGGCAGGTTGATATGCACAACAAGCTCCGCGGGGCGGTCGGAGGACTGGAGGAACTGGAGGTGTATGTGGCTCACTGCGACGATGGCTGCGGTGTTTTACACTAGGTGCATTCTATTGCAGTTGGCTCAGCCTCTTAAGCGGATCTCAAACGGATTGTGATGACTCTGGAGAACTATGGTGCTAAGCAGGATCTCAGGATGATGAACAAGTCAAGTAGCATAGCATTACGTAGGACCTGAAAGCAGTTCCGGTGTCATCTTTAATGATGAGCACAAACCTCGATGATAGCCGAACTGCGTAGAGACAACCTTGTGTCCAGCGTAATACTGATACAACTGGTGTCGCATGATTCATCTGTATCACATGTAGTTCAAGTCTGGTGTAATCTATCCTGGCTTTCATGTTGGTCGTCCACATCCTCGTGATACGCAGCAGCCCTTACAAGCCAACGACGTCGCAACACGGCAGCAGTGTCTCAGTCTGGTGCATCTGTGGTAATATCATTACTAAGATTATATTAAAGGTAGTGTCTAGTCTAGCCGAGCTTAAAGTATCCCGGTTGCAGCTTCTGCCACACCTTGGTAGGGTCGTACTTGGCGCTAATGGATCTCAACCTGGCGAGGTTGTCGCTCCCGTATGAGGGAAAGACATTCTGTTGCTGCGAGGCGTAGTTCTGGTACAGGAATGGATGGTCCAGGCCCCGAGCCTTCGCCGCGGCGACAGCTCGGTCAACCATGTTCTGTCCGGCAGCGAGGATGCGAGCATCATCGGCGGCGTTGGACCAGGAGATGGCAATGTTCACCACTGTGCTATGTGTCAGTAAAGAGAAGGCAGTCGTGATGCAGGACACGTACCGTTCAGAGGACCCTGGCCAGCGAGGCCAAGCGGGTTTCCGCCATTCTTCGAGAATTGAGACGTCATGCTCGTGGTGATGGGCTGATAGACGGCCGAAGGAACGAGTCCTGGGGCGTCCTTGACCTTGTTGACCTCATCCATGTAGGCGGCGACCATCTCGGCCATCAGGTCGGGGTCATTGCCGACAGTGTAGGTCCAGTACGACTGTCTAGTCCCATAGTCAGCATTCTGCTATCCACGTTATGTGCTAGTGGTAAACCATACCGGAAGCCGCCCGGGTTGGTGTTGTTGAACTCGATTGTCAGGCCAGGAAGATCAGTGATGCGCATCGTGTCGGCGATGGCGCCAGGGATCGACGTGAAGTTTTGGAAGATGGGCGGGTTGGCAACAGGCTTGCCGTATTGGAGATCCGTGGCAATGACAAAGACGCCCTGCGTTTGGGCATAAGCGTACGCGACGATTGTCTGCGCGTAGGGGTCAGACGGGCCGTTGATGCCGAGGTAGTAGAACGCATTGTCCACGGCGGCAGCCGTCTCCTTCGTGTAGAGGAACGTCTTAGCACCCGCCCAGAGGTCGCCCTGGGGATAGGTCGCAAGGTCGAAGCGCGTGACGATGCCAAAGTTGTTGCCGCCTCCACGAAGCGCCCAGTACAGGTCGGAGTACGAGGACTTGTAGCTGACGTCGCGAATGGATCCATCCGCCAGCACGACCTGCCCATTCTTGTTAGCGACTCGGGTGGTTATCGAAATGGATGCGAGAATGGATTCGGCCCACCTGGTAGTTGTTGACGTTGTCGCATGCCCATCCATACCGGGCGGAAAAGAAGGAGATACCTCCGCCCAGGGTCAAGCCCCCAACGCCAATGGCTGAGACTCTTCCTCCAATGACCGTCAGGCCCTTGGGCGTGAGGTAGGTGAACACATCATACCAGACATTGCCGGCGCCCACCGAAGTCTGCTTTTGGTCGGCCGAGAGGCTGATCTTGTTGAGATTGATCAGATCAATGGTCAGACCATCCTTGATGTTGGAGGCGCCGGAGAAGGCAGCATGGCCGCCGCTCTTGACCGCAAACTTGCACTGCGTGAGGCGCAAGGTCAGGACGGCGAGAGAGACCTCTTCTGCCGAGGCAGGAGAGAAGCGGCAAGACGGTCTGGTGAGCGCCTGCTGCTGCGACCAGTACCTCGACTCCTCGAACTCATAGTCTGGGGTGTCAGGATATGAGAGCCTCTTTGGCAGCGTGAACGCGAGGAAGCCACACTGTGATTACGGTCAGCACATGATGTGGTTGCGAGCAGGCGACGGGCACCAGGTGAGTTTCTTACAGCGACCGCGCAGCCGATCTGTGGCAGAGACCTCTCCGCGATCGTCTCGTTCTGGTCGAGATATGACGAGATCTGATCTTCGACCTCGCTTAGGGTAAAGGTTGCGCGAGCGAGGCCCAGCCTCAGCAGGACTGGCAGGGCGAGACTGAGGAGGCGCATCCTGATACTCGTGGGGGGCCAGATCAGGACAAGCTACAAAGGAAGATGCAACTCCTGGGACACCACCTGCAGGATCGAGGGAGGGGGCTTTCCTGTAGTTATTGGTGGGCACCGGGCCTTTTCTGAAGCTTTATCAAGCCCGCCTGCAGCGATGGACAGGGTGCGGGCGCGCGACTTCAATTCCCCCGGCAGCCGCTGTTTCCGGGCGCAATTTGCACCGGCTCGCTAAGAAGCAAGACACAATCGCGAGCGGGACGATTTTCCTGGCTAGGTTTGGGGTGAGGGGGCCACCGGGGTCGGGCCGGGGGCCCCAGCCGGGGTGGCGGGCTTGTCATCCATCGTGTCTCGCCGCTAGCTGGCTTGGGACAACCGGCCGTCGCTTCGAGCGACGGACTTGATGCTCCAGTCTTTCGAAAGTCGAAAGCCAAGCGTGCCGTTCAAAGGCCGAGAGCAAAAGGCTCGTCGAAGGGTCTCTGCTCCGCCTGCGTGGCGGCCACTAGCAAGAAGAAATGGATAACCGGCCTCAACGCCATCCATTTGACAGGCGGGACAGCCACCCTGCCCTGGCAGCATGCTGGCAGGGTGTTTTTGGGGGCGGCTGAAGAATTGCCGGCAGAAATAACTCAGCAAAAGAACATGGATCGCAGAGCCGCTCCTTGCGATCCTCGACTTTGCGAGTCCCGATGTTCCAAGTTGCATTCGAACAAGCCTCGGAACATGGACCACGAGTCGCCTTGTTACTTGCCCCGAGACAGCTAACATCCTGCCCTAGCAGTTAACGACATGGACCTCTCCAACTATGGGAGGCTTGTGTGAATAGGGAAGGATGCCCTGGCTGGCAGACGCCACGTCTCGTGCTTGTCGATCTAGCAACCAAGGTCAGGGGCTTCGTATTGCGCTCGCTTGGAAGAATGGCTCTGAAGAAGACATACTTAATTAGTGTCCGTCACGTGGATCCCGATCTACCCGACATTCATAATTGACTCGTGGTTTCCGAGATTTGGAGCCGTGCGCGCTCGATTAGACCCTCGACCCGTCCCGTTCGTTGGCGATCCTCGAGTCTGTGCAGTGTGCATGGATCCCACGCATCACCGACCATGGTGTCTCAGAATGTGTCCCGGACGGCGGATGAGGTAAGGCCCGGACGTCAACGAGCAGTGTAACGGACCTCTCGTGTGGTGTTGAAGCGGCTAACAACGCCAAGCATGGTCTTGTAGCATGTCTCTGTGTCGCAATCGTCTTCGTGGTCCTACGGACGGGCGCGCGATGGTACAAGATACGCACGATCCCCTTCGAGATGGAGGACATCTTCATGTACCTCGCGCTCGCATCTTTCGCCATCACCGCCGCGCTGTACCTTGCGACGATTCCGACATTCTTCAACGTCATGGCGATAACGGCGGGACAGATGCAGCCGTACGCCAGTCTGCCGAATGACTTGGTGGTGATGCTGAGAGAGTTTTTCGTCGTCCAGCTGTTCTTTTGGTTGACCCTGTGGGCAGTCAAATGGAGCTTACTGTTCATGTTCAAGAGGCTCACGGACGGGTTGCCGCTATACAACAGGATCTGGTGGGCAGTGCTCGTGTTCTCGATCCTGACGTTTATCGGGTGCTGCATCAGCAACTTCACCAGCTGCTCTTCCATGCATGCCTGGTTCACGGCCGGAGAATGCGCAACTCCCCGCGATGCACGAGCGAAGGAAATCAGTCTATGGTTCAGCCTCGGTGCAGACTTGGCAACCGACCTTTTGAGTAATATTCCCCTGATTCGCCCCTGCTGACAGCTACTGATCGGAGCAGTTATGGCCGTCCCCATCCGGGTGCTTTGGAACTTGAAGATATCCTTCGTCGAAAAGATCAGCATCGGCCTCGTCTTCATCGTCGGCATCATCACCATGGTTACTGCGATAATTCGCAGTGTCTCGTTGGAGTCGAGTACAAGTGCGGGCCAAGTCAGCACAACATGGCTCATGCTGGTACGTACTTTCACATGCTGCGTTGTGCAACAGATTGTCGCTTTCAAGCATCGGATCAGAATGGTGTACAAGACTGACTTTGACTTTGCAGTGGGCGGGCATCGAGGGAGCAGTCGGTATGTACGCCCACTGATGGCCAAGAACTATCAGAGTACTGACATTGCCATCCGTTTAGCGATTGTCGTCGGTTGTCTCCCCTCCTTCGCAGTCTTCATTCGCGGCCGTGTGGCAGCATCACGCGCGCAGTACGACGGCAGCTCGAACACGAACCCCTCGGCGTTCAACTCGCATCCCAAGTCGCGCGAACGCAATGGCAGTACGCGATCGCAGAACGACAGCCCCTTCTGGCAGTTGAAGGACTCGGGAAGTGACAAGAGCTTGGTGGAGGGCGGGGGAATTGTTGTTACAAAAACTTGGAGTCAAAAATGGCACAACCCGGCAAGAGAAACCCAATTGCGGCGGGATGGGGAGCGGGGACACGAACTAGATACCATCCACGCATAGGTTATATGCCTCCATAGAGATGTTTAAGGCATGTTTTAAACAACGTGTAACCTGTGTCAATTATATAACTCACATGTGAAGGTCTGGCCTATGTTGATTCTCCACATGGCGATACCAGGGCATCTTCTCGACGTAGTCAGTGGAGCCTGTGTGACTTGGAAATGATTTTTACAATGACTTTTTACACCGACTTAAATGTTCAATTCAAGGAAAGTTAACCCCCACCTTGGCTCACTACACCAACGAGGCATCGAATGTTGTTTTGTGCCTTCATCTGAACCTCTTGTTGTCAATGGCCTTCGGATGATCCTGCACCATTATTCTTGTCAGCCGAAATACGACTCTGTAGGTTTACTCGGCTGAGTGGAAGTGCCGGATGCTGACCCAAATGGTAGCGTCAGCAACCTTACGTTATGCATCGTTAAGACCATGCCGCCTACAACAAGTCTCTCGGAGACGTAAGATCAGGATGACGCTATGTTTTTAACATATAAGTTTAGTAGGGATAAGGGAATCATACGATTGTCTCCCGCTCGTGGCAGGCAACATCAATGCGATTTGGACTGATTCACAAGTATGGCTTTACGGCCATGTTATCAACTTGTCGCGTAAGAGCGAATGGGCCCCATAGTGGACTATATTAGCCCCGGAGGAGCGGAAAACGCTGGCTCGGGTCAGGTTCAACCATGGCGTGGTGAGGATTAAATCTGCCACCAGTTTGCAGTATAAAGTGGCCTCAGCAGACACTGCCTCTACTGCTTTACCAGCAACCTTTAACCGCTGCTCTATCACGATGCCGAGACTTAACATTCTGCAACTTGTCTCCCTTTCTCTTGCTGTTCTCGTGACATGTAGTTCTCCGAACGCCAAAGCAAGTCCCCGACCACCGAACCACAAATGGTGGAACCTCGGAGGCAGGTTCTCTGGTGAGCTCGTCTATCTAACAGTGTTGTCAATATTGCTCGTGGGCAATATTGAGAGCTAACGGTGGCGGAGGCCATCCTGCGGTCGTGTCATGGGCACCGACCAGGACGGACGTTTTTGTTCGCGGAACCAACAACAATGTATACCACAAGTGGCAAATTAACGGCAGGGGCACAACCTGGTATCCCAGCGCGTCAGGATCTGAGCATCTCGGCGGCACCATCTACGGTGATTTGGCGGCCGTGTCGTGGAGCGCCCACCGCATTGACCTCTTTGGACTGGGACTTGACAACGCATGTTGGCACCAGTGGTGGAATGGTAAGAAATGGGGAGGCTGGCAGTCGCTGGGGGGCCGTATCATTGGAGATATCTCTGCCGTCTCCTGGGCCACTAACAGGATAGACCTATTTGCCCGAGGGATGGATAACACCATCTACCACAATTCGTGGAAGGGAAAGGAGTGGTCTGGATGGTACAGTATTGGTGGTACCGCTGTGGGCAGCCCCAAGGTTGTTAGCTGGGGACAGCAGAGACTCGACGTCTTCATCCGCGGGCCTGACAACGCCGTATACCACAAGGGCTGGCATGGATCGCACTGGCGTCCCTCCCCTTTTGGATGGTATAATCTCGGCGGCGTCGCCCTGGACGACATACAGGCGGTTTCGTCTCGGCCCAGACGACTGGACATTTTCACCCGGAACGCGGAGAACGAGGTCTCCCACAGAGCTTGGGAAGGGTCCAGTTGGGGCGACTGGGAGAGTCTCGGGGGGGTCACTTTGTCGAGGCCAGACGCTGTGGCTTGGAACAGCAAGCACATAACTTTGGCGATACAGGGGGTCGACAACGCCGTTCACGTCAAGGAGTTTGATGGGGAAGAATGGACGAGGCACTGGCGGTCCATACGGGGGGTTGTGACGGATGCCCCGGTGATTCATCCACGCGGTGGCAACAACAGTGTCATCTTTGCGAGGGGGATGCATTCGGGGCTCGTCGCATACGAGTAGAACGTGATACAGAGAGAATTTCGAGACATGCCTTGCAGCCCATAGCGTTCTCGCTCCGTAATTATCGTATATCGTATAAGTATCGTGTAGTTGGCAGTGGTGTAGTGCAACTAGCTGGTCGAAGTCTATTGCCACCTCTCGTTCGGAAGAGAACCGATCCGATTGCGATCCGATTTCCCGTTCATGCAATTCTCCATATAAATGCCTGCCGGATGACTTGGCCAATTGTCATTGACCCGACCCCGAATGCATGCCCGTGTTGATGTAGCAGCAAGTATTGCACTAGACTGTTGGCCGACGACTAAAGAGATCGCTGCGCCATAGCTGAGGCGGTTGACTCAAGACCGTCTTCATTTCCTAATGGCATGCCCTTGAGCAGTATGGACCTTTCCGCTAGCTGAGTGGCACATGCTACGTACGTATTTCTTCCACAAAGAGACAAGTACCAGTGATACGAGGTGATCAACACTTGCGCAGCAGAGTTTGATTAGCTTATAGCCTAGGGAGTGATGTAAAGCTTGTCGAACATGAAGCTGGCAGGGAACCCCAAGCAGAAAAGAGCGACGTGAGGGCAACTAAAGCACAGAATCGGCCAAAAACATTCGCACGGACTTCTACTCCCCCATCCTCCACCCCGCCATCTTCTGACATCCTCCAGGTCTTGACTAAAGCCCCCAGGGCCCTAGTTCTCCGAGAAATGCAGTAGCGAATCTGAGTTCCGCGTCCGGTGTCTAGGCGTGCGCGGCAGGCACGGCAGTCACGCAAGTAGGCCGCAGCGTTTACTTGCGGGGGCAGTGGCGCCACTTGACGGCGAACTTGACCTTGAGCTTGCCGCTGATGTGGTCGACCTGTAGTATCATCGTTAGCGTTCCTGTCTTGGGGTGGATTACACGAGGGGGCTGTAGGTGTGAAGCACTGGAGGGGACTTACAGCAATGAGGGCAGGGAGGTGGGTCGGGCTGATGTTGCAGGCGGTGTTCATGTTGAGGATCGCAGTGCTGCCGCCGCAGGGAGACCACGACTCGATGCCGGGGTTGGAGTGGAGGTCGAAGTCGCCGCTGAACTTGCCGTTGAGGTTGATTGCGTAGGTGACCTGGTTGCCCGGGTTGCCCGTGAAGGAGAAGGTGTTGGAGCACTGGCCCCTGGCGCCCGTGGGGATCTCAGCGAAGCCGATCATGTCGGTGTCGAGAATGGAGAACCTAGCACACAATAGTCAGTTTACCTGCCCCAGGCTTTGGAGGTGGAAAAGAAAAGCTTTGGGAGTCACATACTGGAAGCCCTGGTCAAACTCCATGTTCAGCGTGAGCTTGCAGTTCTTGCGCCAGTCGATGGCCTTGGTGCCCGGGCCGGTCTGGACCTCGTAGGCAGAGAAGGTCGCCTCGAAGAGCGTGCCGGTGGCATCGACCTGGACGTCGGCCGTGCCGGCGGGGCAGCCGCTGCCGAGCAGGCTGATGCCGTGGATCTTGACCTTGCTGGGCTTGTTGACGGGAGCAGGCTCAGGGGCGGGAATGGCGGCGGCAAGGCCGATGAAGGGGGCGGCGAGAGTGAGGAAGCGCATATTGGCGGCTGTGAACGAGAGTGTTTTGTTGTGATGGAAGAAAGGTCGTGTGAAGACTTGAGAAGAAGAAGCGACTGTTCTGTGCCTGTGGTTCTCTGGCTTGGTTCTGTGGATGAGTGGGAATCTCCTGAAGAAACGGCCGGGGAGAGGAGCCAATTTATAGAAAGCTTCAACTGCCAACACGCAAAGGGAAGGATTGACTTTGTTGCAAAGTGTAGCCTAGCTAGGACTGCTGAGCCGTTGTAAACGACCACGTCAACGGCGGCAAGTCCTAATGCAGTTATTCGTGGCACGGCCTCCACGACGCGGGACCATCGACCTCTGAGATGCCCGCATCCATGAATAGCATCACGGTATGCCTCGCCTAGACACCGCTGGCTGCCCTCAGCTGATGCTCCCGTGCCTAGCCAACATCCACCATCTCAGTTCCTGTCGCGGGCTGTGCAGTCGGCTGGGTCAGGAGGCAGGCACCAGACTCGCCGATATCCAGGAGACAAGGTATATCCAGGACGAGGTTGACTTGGGCATCCAGTCTATTGGAGTCGGGCCTGCAGGCAGTGCGCCCAATCGAGTTCGTATTCTGCACTCGCACGGTTTGTTCCGCCTCGTGGGCGGGGGCAAAAGGCGTGCCTGCGCCCTCTTGCCGTTGACGGTTGCAACCCGCTCGTCGACTGGTCCCGGAGGCGAGGGGGGGTTATGGCTTGGGACCGGGCTGCAGAAAGCCTCAACCTGGCAACAAGCCACGATAGTGCGGCCTGTGCTGCCTATTCTGTACCCGTCTTTCATCCCGCTCGGCTACTCTTACTGGAATCCCGTGCAAATCAGGACTCTCCACGATGCCTTCAGCTCCTCTGCAGCTCCCATGCTGCTCGCCGCTTACATCCCCGGGCAGGACTGAATTATGAGCCCCCGTCCCGTCACCAACGCACAATATGCAACTGCCATCAGCCCGGCAACTGAATCAATACTATTGAATAATGAGTACATGTGCGGTAACAAGTGGACCTTTCCCGACACGGAGGCTACCCGGCTATCGGGGGGTCAGATCGGACCCTCTCCAAGTACCGAGCACGGCAGCCACGAGCTGAAAATTGGGGTCGGAGCAGCCACGGACTACGCTCGACGCACGTTGCAGTCCTATTAGACGCGGCAGCAGCAGGTTAAGCAACCATAGGGCTGAGACCTGTCGGTACGAGCCGCCACGGCGTCACCACAGCCGCACTTCCAGACCCAGCACAAGCACCCGCGAGTGATGGCGCCCAATGGTGACGATGCCCACGGCCCCCCCTATTAATAGGGGCGGTCAAGTGAGGCTTCGCGCTTGCGGTTGCTGTGATTCGCGGCTATTCGTGGGCCCCACCCTGTCGACTTGGACGAGAGGTGCAACTCGTGTTGTACAGTTGAAGCCGTCCGGCCTGGCTCGCTGCGGCTGATATTGTGTTGTCAACGCCCTCCCTGCCAAAAAGCAATGGCGGACACCGTGCTCCAGCGAGGTGCGGCTGGCGGTGGCGCTGCCCATAATGAGGCTTTTGACTTTCCGAGACATAACTGGCGCAAATTCTTCTGGAAAGTCGCGCGTTGCACTGCCATGGCACCAATGAAGCCATCGCCAAAGCATTGTTGGGCCGTTATGCTGGTGAGACCGGGCGGTCTAGCAAATCCATGCTGCCTGCACCCGAGCGAGGGCATATTCGTCGAGGGTCTAGGCATCGCGATCGGCCCAAAATCAAATACGAGAGGCCAAAGGCAGGTGCCACTAATGAAAATCATCTCCCAGGGCGAGCATGTCGCGGGTCACGCGGAGGGCAAGAGCAAATACGTGTTAATCATCATCGGCCAACAATACACCGTCTTACCATCAAACCATCCTCGTCTGAAGCTCCTTTGTCTCCTCCCGCAGGCTCTTAAGCTGCTTTTCAAACTCCTTGTTAACCCATTCCCAGTACAACGTCCACACGCCAGCGGCTCCGGCGCTGGAGGTGGCCGCCCCCGCATTCCCGGTCATGGCCTTCATCTTGTCGCCCAGCAGGAGTGTCACACGGAGTACACTCTTGTTGGCTTCTTCCTGCTTCTCAATGTCTTGCTTGACGGCGTTTTCCTTGAGCTTGACGGAAAGAACGCCACGGTACGCCTCGGCAATGGAGTCGAGCCTGCGTGCCGTTTCGTCGGGGTCGATGACGATGAGCTTGGTGACCATAAGGTTACACAGCTGGCGGATGTCATTGTCATCCTTCAATCCCGCGACCACTCGGTCGTAAAAGTCGATGTTATTCATGCGAGTGAACGCTGTCTCCATGAGAGCATAAAGGGTCTCGTATGCGCTCTGCGTCGCGTCAGTCTCAAGTTCCAAGAGGGTGCAGCTGGGATGGCATACCTTGCGGACTTCCAGTCCGTCGTCCACCAAGTGCTTGAACGGGCCCAGCAAGACTTCCTTGATGAGCTCTGGCTTGATGACTGATTCGCTGAGCACGAACGGCACCAGCTCGCCCAGATGGGGCAAGATCAGGTCAGGCTTATTGTGTGCGGCTGAGTTGAGGGTTGACATGGCAAGTCGGCGGATCTCCATATCGGAGTCTTGCAGCATTACGAGCAACATGTTGATGAGGGTTCGCTTGAGCATTGCATCGAAGGCCTCGTCGCTTTCCGGGAGCGTGTACCGGACGGCCTGCACAGCCATGCCTCGGATACCAGGCGACTTGGCTTTCAGCAGCGTCTGGTACTGTTAGCGATGCAAAGTCGAGATGTTGGGTCACAAACTTACCTCGAGCTTCGGCATGAACAGGCTAGGATCAAGGATCACAAGGCGGCCAGCGCATTCTGCGCACACGACTCGGTTGTCCGCATTTTCCGAGGCCGTCAGAAGCTGGTCCCAGATGGCGATCGCGTAGTCGCGTAGGTCGGTCGACTGCACAGGAATAGACTGCAAGACTTCCTTGATGGATTGAATAAGCAGGTACTGCGTATTCCCGCCCTGTTGCATGGTCTTGAGGATGACCGGGAGGAACTGGGAAACATTGCCGGAACCGGCTCGTCCAAGGGCGATGGCTGCAGCTAGAGATACCTTGTCTGGCTCCGCGTGGAACTGAGCAAGGAACAGATCTGGCTGCAACGGCGACTGCGCGCCGAGGCGGAAGCCCGCTTCTCCAAGAACGGCGAGCGCGAGGCTGACCCGAGCTTCATCGCCAGTCTGAGCACTAGTTTGCAGCTCGGAGACGAAGCTGTCCAGCGACACGCCCGTGGAGTTACCGCCCGTCACCAAAAGCGTACCTATCACTTTGCCGACGACGGATGGGTCACCGAGGACACTAACCTCGCTGAGAAGACCGCGCATCAGCTGCTGGGCGGTGCCGCTCTGCCCGACTCGATCCATTAGCTCAAGGAGCTGATCCAGTACGATGCTAGCGAAGTGGGACTTGAGCAGCTGGCAGAGGGCAGCCACCATGTCGTCTGTGACGACCAGGGCGGGGTCGGTCTGCGCCATGCTGGCCAGTACGAGCAGTGCCGGGCCAAGTAGGTGCGTGTCGCTGTTAGTAACAGCAGGCATCAGCGCAGCGACTATTCCTTGGATGGTCGAGGGTTCGAGCTGCCCCTGTGCGGCCTTGGACAGGACGAGGTGCTTGAGCGCCACCACACTTGACCCGCGTAGAGACCGATTGGCCTTGCGAAGCTGGGAAGATAGTTCCAAGGCAACGCTTTGTATCCAGTCTTTGTCGAGTTGACCGGGTGTGACAGCGAATGCAGCCACATTGTCCACCGCGCGCACGGCGGCGAGTCGAGTCGTCTCATTCTTCAGTCGATCCCGGAGCACTTCCAACGCCACCTTGCGTTTTTCGTCCGACAAGAGCCGAGATCCTTCTGAGGAGGATGTGCGTGACACAAGGACGCCGAGGGCGTGGATCGCCCGCTGGCGGACTTCCGCATCGGCGTCGTTGGCGGATCCGCGATCCAAGATTACCTCGAACAGCTTCTCAAGCTCCGCCTTGTACTTGACGCCGGCATTTCGCGAACGAGGAGGGGTGATGGTCTTAACAAGTTCCTCGGCGGTGCGAAGAGCGTCGCTGGATATTTTGTAGAACCGATCGTGAACTGCGGCTGTGACCGCTGCGACAATCTTGGACAGATAGGGCTGCAGAAGTGATGACGAGTGCGTCTTGCAGATGTCGCTGATCAGTCTCAGTGCCGCAATCCGCAAGGTGCTTGGCGTCGCAGACGAAGATCCACCAGCAGAGGCGAGCGACGATGACACGTTCACAGAGCTGGCCGACTTGGCTTCTTCGGTGATTGGGCCAATAATATCGGCAAAATAGTCGGAGAAACCGCCTCGTTGAGTTGACACCAAGTCGTCGAACATGTTGATGATGGCTTGACGCGTCGGCACCGTCTTGGCCTTGAGTTGCTTTGTCCCGGCCTTGACAATGCTGGGCATGAGGCCGGACAAGTCGGCGCGAGGACCAGTTGGGGGTACCTTTTCCAACACTGGTGATGTTAGCCCTGGCGCCGCCATGAATCTCGACGCGCTCGCGCTGCCGCCGCCGCTGCTCTGTCTCCGTCTCTTACGGTTAAGTGGGATGTGGCCCACGGGCTCGGGCTCCATTTCGTCCAGGGATAGGTCTGTCATGTGCAGGCCCTCGCCGGTCTTGCGGATGAGAAGCGAGAGGGCGGTAATGACTTCTAGGCGCACGTTTTCTTCCCTCTCGTCAATCCGCTTGACGAGGAGCGGGGCCGCCTGGCTGTAAAGCACGCCATTGTCCAGGAGATCTCCGCTTCCGCGGGTCGCAATCAGAGTGTACATGGCCTTGACGGCACATCGTCGGACTTTCCAGCTCGCATCGTCATCGTCGTCCTCGAATCCGTCGTCTTCTTCAAAGTCGTCGTCGTCGTCGGCATCTTCGTCCTCTTCGTCCACCTCCATGTCGTCATCGTCATCGACAGCGTAGTTGGGATCGTACTTGACATACCGAACGATGGAAGCGATCGTTTCGTCTGTAAATTGTCGCATTTCCTGCGGGCAGGATGCCAAAAAAGCCTCAAGCGCCACCAGAGCAGACTCGCGAATCTCGTTAAAGTCCTGTCCCAGATCTTCGCCGTCGCTCAACTTCTCCATGTGTTGCTCGAGCTCGTTCTCGGATAATGCCTGCAGAACAAAGGGAGCCGTCCTGGCAATGTGAGGGCCGAAGCGGGCAGGGATCGATCTGGCCATACTCCCGAGAATAGCGATGTATAGCTTTCGGGTCACAGCACTGGTGCTGGCTTGCGAAAGGCCTGAGGTGAGACGCTGAACGACGTCTTCGAGCTGATCGTCCGTGACGTATACTGCAAGCATGGATATGGCGACCACGGCTCGCTTTTTGACAACAGATGTGCCCTTGGTGCTCTCAAGAAGCTGCATCACCACCTGGACGGTGGCTTCCACCTCCACCGACTGCAGGAGAGGGCCAAAGCAGCGCACCAAATCTATCAGCACGTCGACGGCCTCCCCATTGATGCTGTCCTCATTTTGCAGGAGCCCTGTGGGAACGGGTGGCAAGTCCAGAGTCGTTTCTGGGACTTGAGTCTTAGGGCCAGGCCCGATGAGCCGCGGGATCAGGACGCGGTGGATGGCTTCGTATGCCTGTTTGATGTCGGGAGTAACGGGCAACCCCGGGACAGGGCGGGGGAGGGCCGTCACAACGGAACGGAGAGCCAAAGACGGAACCGTGTTGTCGACTGCATTCTTCAGCTTCAGGGAGGACAGCTTGTCGATCATCGGCGGAAGGATCGTTGCAGGCACCTTGCCCACAAGCGGACCGAGGCTGTGTGTTGGTCAGCACCTGGGATACCCATATGTAGCTAACTCGGCCTTGGGATGCTCACCACTTGATCGCCAGATTCTGGACCTCGCTATTCTGGTCATCGAGCGTCTTGATGACACTATCAACAGCCCGAGCCGCGATGTTGTAGTCGTGGTGCAGGAAGTCGGGCTTGGAGTTGTTTAGGAGCTGCAGCAAGTCGTTCAATGCCATGAACCGGAAGTCCGGGTCCGCGTCGCTCAGTTTGCGGATGTGAGCCATGACCGCCTGGGGTGACGGCGGGTTGGTCACTGCCGGAGACGCCATGGTGGGCGAACGACGAACGGCCTCGTCGTGGGTCGCGCTTGAACTGCGGCAGGTGAGGCCCTATTCCGAGAACGTCACGCCTTGGCTTCCGTGGAGTGCGCGGTCGCCGCGTTGACTCCAGAGGCTCGACTGCCTGCGGCGTGTTCCTACGGGGATGCTTCGGCGGCGGCAGAGGAGATGCAACAGTATGGGGGGTCCAAAAAGATGGTGATGATGACGAGGGAGGTTGGCTCGCGCCGGAGCTGGTGGGGTAGAGGTGGGAGCTCCAGGCAGGCGGCGGAGTGGAGGGGTTCTGGTGCAGGCAGCTCGGGTGGGGCACTGGGTCCCTCGCGGCCGTTGCTGCAGCGCCACTGAAGTGTCACGCCAGCCAAGCGCCGGAGTGCAAACGGGGCGAGGGCATTTTGAGGATGAAAGGAAAGGTACAGTGCCTTGACAGCGCATCTCCGGAGCAATGAACGAACGTTGCAATTGAATCTGCTAAACGGCGTGCATCGCAAGCCCTAATACCGTGCATAGCCAAACCTAATGCTGTCGCGTCCCGTCTACGCTGCCGGCTTGTCCAGCTCAGACGCCCGGTACTTCCAGTAGCCCTCCCGCACGGGATCCCACTTCTCCCAGAGCCTCTGCAGGCACAGCTTCGCCTTGTCCTTGTCCCCCTTCTCCTTGTACACGTCCGCCAAGAGGTCCAAGGCATGGGAGCTCTGAACCTGCTCATCTCCCTGGCCGAGTCCGGTGACGAACTGCTCCGCGAAGTCGCCCGCATCGACTACGGGGCGGCCACTCTTGGCCAGGACGCCGCGCAGGTAGTTCCAGCCTGATTGGTTCTGCGGAGCGAGGAGAATCTTTTCTTTCGCGTAGGCGACTTCTCTGTCGACGGTGGAATCGGGTACTTTCGGATCGTGAGCTGTTGGCGGTAGGTCCGGAGTAGAAACCTTGGGGTCCGAAAACACCAAGAAGAAGCGGTGTGCCCATGCAGAATTGTTGCGGACGTCGTCCTCGATCATGCTCTGCGTTGCGCCCAGCTCGCTCGGCGTCCAAAGACCCAGCTTCTCGACCAAGTATTGCCGATATGACCACACGTGGTAGTTCTTGGTGTCCTCGGCGAGAATCGTGGCGATGAAGTCGGTCTCTGACCTGCCCAGCTTCTTGACGGCATCCCCGTCCGAGGCGATCGTCGGGTAGTAATAATCCATGAGCAACTGCCGATGGTGCCAGATCTGGTAGTTCTTGAGATTGTTCAGGGCCACCTCGTTCAGCCACTGAATCTCCTCCGGCACCGACAGCTTGAGGGTGGACACAATTTTGAAGCGGTAGAGCCAGACTGTATAGTGCGCCGGGTTCATGGATATGACGCGCTCGGTCAGCCGGAGGCACCGAGGGGAGCATTCCTCGACGGCCATGACGGCGCGCAAGTATGAGACGGCTATCCAAAGTCAGAAACCTTCTCGTGCATGGCATCTGCCCACTTACCCTCCGCATAATCATCAGGATAAGCAATCTTGGCGAGCGCATCCTCTGGCTCGTTCTGAGGGATGGGAATCACGTCGTCCCACTCAGGGTCGTTGGCCAGCGGCCCAGTGATCTCGCCGTACAATTCGCGCTTGAGAGTCGCCATCTCGATTCGCCTCTTCTTTTCGTCTTCGATATCCGCAGCGTCCAACTCTGTTCCTTGGCGGTTTGCAAGGTCTCTCTTTGCGAGAAAGCCGCGGTGCAGAATGTCCAGAGCTGTCAGCCTAGCTTGCTTGAGACTACGCTGCTGGAATTCTTCGAGCTTGTACGACCCGAAATCTCGACCAGTTCGGTCTGTGCCCCAGCTGTATCTCTTCGCGAGGCGGCGTACGGGCAGAGCCTCCTTCGTGACCTGCTTCCAGAACTCGCGCTCGGTCTTGTTCGTCAGAGGCACTTTGTGCTGCGCGACAGGCTGCAGCAGTCGCGAGTGGACGTATGTCTTCTTCTCGGCGGGTGTCAGGCCTGGCAAGCCGACTTCCTCCAAGCGCTTTTCGACGGGGTTGGTCTGGTAGAAGCGCGCGCGGGATCGATCGTGGATGGTCTCGATGACGGGCTCGGGGGCTGCGGATTAAATAATGATAAGCGCAATGTCTACGGCCGACGCGACGAGACCAACCTTGAGGCTCGGGATTGTTGGCCTTAGCACCTCCTTTCTGCTTGGGCGGCATGGTTGGAAGTGATGGACGGTGGGGGTGGTGGCTGCTGAAGGGAGGGAAGATGGCATTGTTCTCCGCGACCCCGCCATTTTCGCGCCGAGCAACGTAGAAGTGGCACCCACCACGACGATTTATGTACCAGCCTCCATCAGCGCCGGCAAGATGGAGCCGAACGGTACCGCCTCCTCCTGAAGCTGCATTACGATATGGTACAGATTGTGGCTTGAAGGATTCGCACTTCTACATGGCCCTGCATTGCCTGTTTGTCGGGCTACGCCAACGCAAATCACGGCAGGGCTTGAGGGAGGCCGCAGGTATGACCGCTTCATGGGCACCGATCAGGCCCTGGCATTGTTGTGTATTCCAACAAATGGCAAGACAAACAATTTTATCTGTTGTCCAAATCATCCGTGCCAACCAAACTGCCAACAGATCCCCACAAAGACCCCCGTGCACCGTAACAGCAATCCCAAACTCCAGTTCTCCAAATGTTCCGGGAAGCAAGCAAGCGAGCCTCGCTCATAGAGCTCGAAAGTTTTGTGACATTATCAACCACTTTTGCAGGCCGCGCGGAGGGTTCCTCGTCATGGCGTCCCAGTTTGGAACGAGCACAAACGTCTCGTTGAACATCTTTTGCGGCGAATCTCGGGCTTTGCCGAACTGCACCCTGCCCATGGTGGTCACGACGATGCTCATTCGCCCTCCGGTCCGCTCCACCTTGGGATTGTCGTGGATATTTTCCGGTGCACCGTAGCCAGTGGAGGGGTTTATGACGTGCGCGTCCAGAGATTCTATCTCGTACCGCACGCCTTGGCCCTGGCCTTCCAACAGAGTCAAATACTCGGCTGGCGTTGGGACAACCTTGCCGTTGATTGAGATGTCAGCCGGGATAGTGTATTTTGACGAAGAGTTGATGTAGAACGAGTCCAGCTTGGCGAGGGTATTCAGTGCATGATAATAGCGATCTGTGAAGTTCTCCGCGGCTGAGCGACGGCCGTCAGTATTTGTTGTGAAGATGGATGGGACTTGGGTGGACACGAACCTTCACCGGAGGCCTTCACCTCGGTCTCAGCGTCGGGAAGCGGCATGGTAGATATAAGAGCACAGAGATTTTGAGCAAGGTATTAGGTAGCTTTAGCCAGTCGGATGGATGAGCGACGAGGTAGAGAGAGCATAAGGTGTAAGGAATGAGACGCTTCACCCTCAAATAAGAGGCCGCAAGACAGTGCTCATACCAAGTTGTCCCAGGACGCGAGCTAGGCAAAAAAAGGTTTGTCACAGTTATCGATAACACTGTATGCACACTGTGAGTTGACCAAGCGCCAAACGCCGAGCCGGACCCTGCAGCTCGCGATAGCTTCGACCATCGAACTCTCAGCGCGTCACAAAAATGGGGCCGTTCGGGGTGCGCGCCCTTTGCGGCATGCGACCACCCAGACCGCGTCTCGCTACGCGCCTCGGATGGGTTTGTCCGAGCTGCCAGCCTCGTCGAGGTCGCCAATGGCGCTGGAACAGTTCCGAGAGCTTGCCTGCGAAGAAGGGAAAGCCGTACTACATCACCACGCCCATCTTCTATGTCAATGCCGGTACGTGGCGCAATCTCGACACCAGGGTTGGACTCAACTGACGCTCTTCTCAGCACCTCACATAGGCCACTTGTACTGCATGGTCCTAACCGATGTGCTCAAGCGCTGGCAACAGATCAACGGAAGAGAAGCAATTCTATGCACCGGCACAGACGAGCATGGCATGAAGATCCAGCGGGCGGCAGCCAAGGAGGGCATGCAGCCAAAAGAGTTTTGCGACATCAATTCGAACAAGTTTCGAGAACTGGCAGCATCGGCCGACATATCCAACGACTTCTTCATCCGGACGACCGACAACGAGCACAAAGAGGCTGTCAGGCATTTCTGGCTGCAGCTAAAGCATGGCCTGCCGGAAAAGCTCGGACTCTACAAGGGAAGCCACGAGGGATGGTACTGCGTCAGCGACGAATGCTTCTATCCCGAGGACATGGTCCAACCGAGCATCGTTCCACAGACGGGCAAGAAGATCATGGTCAGCGTGGAGACGGACAACGAGGTGGAATGGGTCAAGGAAGAGACTTGGTTCTTCCCGTTGACCAAGTACAAGGAGCGCCTGCTCAAGTTTTACGACGAAAATCCCGGCTGGATCACCCCCGCGCACAGGATGAACGAGGTTCGCAATTGGGTGGAAAACCACCTGGAGGATCTGTCCATCACACGCCCAGTATCACGACTTAGCTGGGGGATACGCGACCCGGATGACAACAACCAGACCATATACGTCTGGGTCGATGCGCTGATCAACTACCTGACCAAGGCTGGCTATGGTGCCAAGTGGTATTCTTCCAATGACGACATGGGTCTTTGGCCAGCGGATCTGCAAGTCATCGGCAAGGACATCCTGCGTTTCCATGCCATCTACTGGCCAGCGCTCCTAATGGCCCTTGATCTACCGCTGCCAAAGGGACTGTTATGCCACAATCACTGGCTCATGTCGAATCGCAAAATGTCCAAGTCGTTAGGCAACGTTGTGAACCCATTCTTTGCCGTCCAGCGCTGGGATATTGATCCCTTGCGGTACTTTCTCATGCGCAACGGCAGCTTCAGCAAGGACATGAGCTACTCCAACGACCTCATCGGCTCCGTGTACGCCAAAGACCTGCAGGCCAACATTGGCAACCTGTTCTACCGCATAGCACGTCCAAAAGTCACGGCGAAATGGTCGACAAAAGAGGCCGTTGAAGCCTTTCGCGAGAGAGAGTTTGAGTCTTTACAAACTGATCGTCGCGATTCCACCGAAGAGCGGTTTTTCAGCCTAGACGCTCACCTGGACAAGGTGACGACGGCGTTTTGCAAGGAGATGGATGGCTGCGAGACTGGCGCAGCAATACGAGAAATCTTCAATCTCTTGCGCGAGGCAAGTCCCGTTTACCCTTTGCCCCATGCGAACCCAGACTAACATGCGCGCAGACGAATCGTTACGTCTCCGACACGGAGCCGTGGAACCTTGTCAAGAACCCTGAGCCAGAGTCTCGACTGCTCTTGAACTGGGTCATTTACAACAGCGCCGAGGCACTCCGGATCGCTGGCATCTTGCTTCAGCCCATCATGCCAACCAAGGCGACGGAGCTGCTCAACGAGCTTGGCGTGAGGCCCGACCGGCGCACAGTGCAATATGCATACAAGAACAAGGACGACGAATACGGCACGGAAGCGAAGCCCAGCAGCGACAAGGGTCGGACGAAGAAGTGGGACACCATCTTCCCGCCGACGCCCAACGCAAGCGACTCTGACGCGGAGGTGATGGAGCAGCTAAAGGCCATGCTTCAATCCAAGACAAAAAACAAGATGAATCAAATGGCCGAACTGCTGGCCATGGAGGCCCGAATGGGAGAGGACGCCGTGCGGAAGCTGCTCGCGGAGACGCAGGCAGCGGACCCGAAGCCAATTGACTCATAATTGACGCATAATTTCATAGAGACGTGTAGGATGTAGGATGATTGGTGTACCATATGTACGAAATAGAACTGTATCATACGTGAATCCTGAGAGCTGCATGCTGGAGCTTGTGGTTCGTGCTGCTGTCAGTGTCAAATGCTGGCGGAGTCGCTCGCGCCTACCCTGAAGTCGCCCGGGCAAATCAAACTTTGACCACTTCAACCCGCCAATCCACAACCGCCAGCGACACAACATGAGGATAAACAGTCAAACAGGTCAGCATCTCACTCATTTCAAAATACAACAAGTCAATGGCTAACGTTGCTAAAGCCGTCTCAACGAGCAAGGTGCTGCTCGTGCCCTACGAGAAGCACCATGTGCACAAATACCACACATGGATGCAAGACCCCGTGAGCTCTTCCTTTACCCACACCGCTAAACATATCCCCTATATCCATCCCCTAACACCCGCGGCAGAGCATACAAGAGGCGACTGCTTCTGAGCCACTGAGCCTAGATGAGGAGTACGAGAACCAGGTGTCGTGGCGGGAGGCGCATGACAAGCTCACGTTCATCGCGTGCGAGCCTCTAGGGCCTGAGGGACCGCGCCATGGCGCAGCGGTGAGAGACCATGGTGCGAGGGAGGAGAATATGAGGGGCGACATTAATTTCTTCCTGTACCCGGATGAGGAGGACGAGGATGAAGTGGACGCGCCGTCGGCGGTAGGTGGTGATGAGGCGGCGAGCGGAGAGCGGACGCGCTGGCTGGTCGGCGAGGTGGATGTCATGATCGCACATGAGGGCCATCGCGGACGGGGCTTCGGCGGCGGAGCGGTGCGCGCACTGCTCGTGTACCTGCGGCGCAACATGGAGGGCATCCTCGCAGAGTATCACCGCGCGGCCGGCGAGGACAGGCCAAGGTCCTCCTCCATCTCCACCGGTCAGACAGCACCTGCGCAGCTCGGGGGCAACAGCAGCGACAGCGGCGGCGGCGGCGATGGTGGGCACGAGGGTACCACCGCCCCAGTGCGGCTACGAGGCCTGATGGCCAAGATCAAGGAGGGCAACGCGGGCAGCCGGGCGCTGTTCGCGGGGCTGGGGTTCGTGCAGCGCGGCGAGGTGAATTACTTTGGGGAGGTGACGGTGGTGATGGGTTGGGAAGAGGCGGCGAGGAGGGCGGCGGAGTGGGAGGCCGGGGAGGCGTACAGCGAGGTTCATCTGCGGTAGCTCGGACCGCTATGCGATGCTGGTGCGTGCCCGGTGTTGTGCTGGGGCCAAGGTCGGGACAACGAGGGCGCTGCGCGGGCATTCTGGGATAGACGGGATGGTGATTGCCGGGCGAGACAGCAATGACTAGAGGTTGTCTGGGCGCGGCGGCGTGGTGGCTAGTCATGCAAAGAACGAATTCAACGATTCAACGATACTTGCTCCGGTCCCAAAGCCGCATACTGATGAACATTGCTCGGCCATAAATTCTCCCCGACCGACCTCCAGTGGCGCGACGTTCAGCTAAAGCCAGCGCTTGTTGTATTGTAGCTTCGTGCCCACGACAACGCACCACCCGTGTCTGTCGTGGAAAGATCAACCGTACCTACCCTGCAACGACAAAAATATAGAGCCCGCTTCAAGGCAACTCTGACAGTGTGTGAGAGCTGATGACCATGGAAAATATCTTGGATCAACGAGTCGTCCACGCCGTACTCCTCGCGTTTTGTTGTTTTGTCGTGACTGCCCGGGGGCGTGCATTTGCACATACATCAAATGCTCCTACTGGCGCTATTCCGCATGAGGCTCGCCGAGTAGATCAGTACGCAACTTGACAACCCGAGGATCTCGCTTTCGTCGCATAGTCTCACGAATTGAGAACTTGTTTTCTCTCTTGCATTTGCGCTTGCGGGAGGGATACCCTGAGCGATCTGTGCCGCCCAAGGGAGACGTGGGTCCTGGACTCCTGGTTCCCGGATGACTCATTGCCGATGGTTCGAGGGTGACATGGGAATCACGACTGAAGGCATCAATTATATACACCGTTTCGCGCGGACTCGCGCAGACGCGTAACGTTTGCTTCTTGACGGATTTCTTTCTCTACGTCGTTTCGACTCTGCTCAGACAAGTCGCAATGGCACCCTCCGCCGAAGCCATCATCAAGCAATACGAATGGAGCCCGGACGGCATCGAAAAGATATCCGCCCGCAAGGTGCCCAACCGCATCGAAATCGTCGAGCCAGACCCCTCCTGGCCGCAGCGCTACGAGCTCCTCAAGGCGCGCATCGAGGCGGCGCTCCCCGCGTCGACGCTCCTGCACATCGCGCACGCGGGGTCCACGTCGGTGCCAGGCCTGCCCGCCAAGGACGTCGTCGATATCGACGTCGAGGTGGTCGACCCAACGGACGAGGCCGCTTACGTGCCGGCGCTCGAGGCCATCGGGTGGCACTTCCGTACGCGCGAGCGTAACTGGCATCAGCACCGCTTCTTCAACAGCTATGACCCGCCAGCGAACCTGCACGTCTTTGGGCCTGATTGTCCGGAGGTGGCGCGCCATAGGGTGTTTCGCGACTGGCTGGTCAAGAACGCCGAGGATAGGGAGCTGTATGCGCGAACGAAGCGGCGGGCGGCTGAGGATGCGGTCGCGGCGGGTGAGAGGCTCATGACGTATAACATGCGCAAGGAGCCGGTGATTCGGGAGATTCTGCAGCGGGCGTTTCGCGACGCCGGGTATATCCAGTAGTCGGGGATAAACACAGTTGGATACAATTGGAATTTATGCGTACTTTCGTGCTGCAAGGCCCGTTGTCATGGAGCGCGCTCCAAGGCCTGGACGATTTTCCTCGCAGCTGCCAGCGGCTCTATGGTGGTGGTGTCGATCTCGAAGCCAAGCTCAGGAAACTTGTAGATGAAGAGCTTGTCAAGGAAGCGCGTCATGACGTCTACGTCGACGAGCTTCTTTCGGCCTCCGCGCGTGCGGTCCGGGTTGACGACGCGCTTGAGGTTCTCGTCGCGCGAGCAGGTGAGGTAGACGGGGAGAAACGGCCGTCCGGCCTTGCTCGCCGCGGCTTGGTGGCCCTGTGCCCACGCGACTCCGATGCCGTCGTCAGATAAGCAGTCTAAGGATACTACTCAGTTCAAGGAGTTCATAAAGTCACGGAAATTGTGTAGTACCAGTGAATATGATGGTCTGGCGCAGCTGCTCGGCGCGATCGCCGCAGGCGCTCTCCGCGTCCGTCTGCGGGTGCACCCACTTGTCGAAGGCCTCGAGCCGCACTCGCTCCCGCTGAGCGGTGTAGTCGGGGTGGTCGCGCGGCAGGTCCACGACGTCGATCAGCTGGTGGTTGTCGATGAGGACCGAGCCTGCGATGAGGCGCTGGAGCTCCCTGGCGACGGTGAGCTTGCCAACGCCAGGGAAGCCATTGATCCAGACATGAGGGGCTGCTTTGGTCATGACGACAATGCGCTCGACTTGAAGACGGAAGAGCTCGCGGAGACATCCTGGCCCGAGAATGACGGCGTATTTATTTGGCATGAAATCGCATCTCAGTGACTCATGATGCCGGATTACCGGGTACACCACCTCGCCAGAATGACTTGCCCAATTGGGATTCGAGAGTCCAGGACCCGTCTGGCCGTACCAATGCGGATTACATTGCGAGAAGTCCTTGTCGCTGTTTGCAGTTCTTAGTCGACACGAGCGAGGAACGAAGTTGAAGAAACCATTGTTCCTCAGTTGTTGACGGCTGACCACAGGTTGTTTCGTCCCGGCGATGTTACAGTGCAGTGGGTGGGTTTCGCTGGGTGAGTTGGTGCTGTCACTGCTGTGCTGCGTTGGGTCTACTACCACGTTGGGGGAAAAGTGGACCCGGGAGCCGGCCCGAGAAATTTCCACTTCCGCTGGGAAGTTCAACCCGGGCCAAGCATCACCAACGACCTCGCCTTGCTCCTTACCCGTCATCAACCGTCAATTGCAGCAGCGGACGTCGAACCCACCGCGGGACAGCCATTATGCAGTCCCTCACCCGCCTGGCGCGGCCACTGCTCAGCAAGCCACTCTCCTCCGCCAGGTACGCAGACTGTCACGGAATCTACCAGCGCTCGCCGTCGCATCATCATCACTAACCCGATTCCGCCGCAGGACATTCACCACCCTCTCGCCGCTCCGCCCTTCCCTCACGCCTCTTCGTCGGCCGAGCGCCTTCACGAGCTTCACACCCGCGCCCACACCCGCGACTTCGACCGGCGCCGCCATCGCCGACGTGGTTCCCACCGGCGCCGTCTCGTCCCACCCGTCGCTGGCCGGCGCGCTGCAGATGCGCTTCGGCCCGCGCAACACGATGAACGGACACACGCGCCTGGTGCAGAAGAGGCGGCACGGCTTTCTGTACCGCATGAAGACCAAGACGGGGCGGAGGATCCTGCTGCGGAGGCGCCTCAAGGGGCGGAGGAACGTCGCGTGGTGATACTGGGCGAATGGGCAGCGGAAGACGAGAAGAGGGCAGCCCCAGGAGGACACGATACGATACGATGCGAATGCATAGCCTCTAGATGCGGACTGCGGCATGGAAACCTCTACCGGCCTTGTATATTATGTAGCAACAAGAGATCAAACCGACTCAATGCATCACACGAGACTCGGGGCGGGAGCGACGTGCCCTGTCGTGCTACTGACGGGAGAGCCAGGAGATGGCGCACGGAGAGTCAAGCTTTGACCCGCCAAATCTGAAAGCCGCGTACCCCCCTGCGGTGATCGCCCGAACGCGGATCATCCCACAATCGACCTGTTTCTCATCCGAGCTTCGATCGACCCTATCGTCGGCCAGACCCGTGGAAGTTGCGCGGGTCTCGGCGCGGGTCTCAACTCCAATTCAGTCAGACAGTCGGACTTGAAGCAGAACCGGGATGGAAAGCCTTATGAAGTACAGTAACAGTTCATGGCTTATTTGCCTTATCTGACTCAAGGTGCGCTGCTCTACAGACCGCGCACAGCAGGGCATCCGTCGTGGATGTCAATTTGGCCCATCCTCAATTGCCCACGTTGGATCAATCTCAATCTCCTCGATGCCGACAGACCCCTTAAACTCCCTGGCGGCAAGCTCCTTGTCGAGAGCCTCAAACGCCTTGTCTAGGAACCTTCTCTCTCCAGGGATGTTGACGCTCATCGACATTCCTGCGTTGACCATTTGCTCAAAACAGGCCCTGGCGGGCTTCGCGACCTGCTCACCGCCCCCACGGTAGAGTTCTCCCAACCGCTGTCTCCAAAACAGCCACCTCGCCATGCTAAAGCCTTCGTCCTTGATGCCGGCCGCAACCGCCAAAGGTCCAGGAGAAGCAAGGGCCGCATCCTCCTTGGAGAGGGCAGGGCGGTGGTTGTCCAAGGAGAGCTTCGCCAGCTTGCATTTGCCGTACTTGAGCCACTCGAGGCAGGCGGGAAGCAGATCGGCAGCGGTAAGATCCGGCCGTTGCGAAACCTGATCTTCGGCGCTGGTGGCGGCCCGTGGCCTGTCCGTTTCCAGGGCCTGCTTGAAAAGCCAGAGGGCAGCCTGGGCGATCTCGGCAGCGCGAACCCCGGCGCCGCAGAGCTTACCGGACAGAACGGCGAGGCTCTGGCGCTCGGAGACGGTCAGAGTCCCGGACTCGTTTGTCCAGAATGCATTCAGCTCTTCCGCGAGAAAAGGAAGATCAGCCCACGGCCGCTGGCCGTTGGACAAAACGGCTGCCTCCTCGGCGCCGGCATCCTTGTTCCTTCTCATAATATTCCCGAGCTCGCGAAGCTCTAGAATGAGCGTCACGAGCCTGTCGTGCTCAGCGTCGACTGACGGTATAATTTTGGCGGCATGGATCAACTCATCCCAGACATCATGAACATCCGTTTCGACGCGTGAGAGGTCGTGGTCAGAGAGATAGTCCATACCAATGCGATGTAGATCATTGCGAAGGCCATCGCAGATCTCTGCCGCAGTCATATCGGCATGATTGAAGGCCTTGCGCTTCTCCTCGCGAGTTTGGAGTCGCGCGGTGCAAGAGCCGGAGGCACACTTATCGGTGTCCATGACGAAAGCAGAGGTCTTAGCGTGGCAATAGAAATGAGTATTGATGGCGAGACAATACAGTATGTTGACTGGAAGGTGAAGCTTAGCTACGGGGGAGCTCTTATACGCTGCTCCATCGCTTCCTAGATCACTAGACATGGTCAGGCAGCAGCAGGCAACAGCACTCTGACTGCACGTGTCTTACCTAAACTACCTATGTTAGAAAGGCTCCGAGGCTGCTGGCTGACAGGTCAAAGATGTTGGCCTGTCGTCTCAGGTGACGTGGCGATCAGCACCGCCCGACAGAGGTATGAACTTGCCGCATGTCGCTATGCGTAATGAGCCCCGGCAATACATTGAAAGGCCCAAGCACACCATTGAAGTTAAGCACGATACAGAGTGATGAGCGTCTGTGTACTGTACTGTACTGTAGCACATTCGAATGGTATAGTAAAAATTAAATGGCTCACCGTTGCGCTGTAGTACAGTATACGGGTTGCTAGGTCCCATTCGGTGGGCTATGTTCCATGCACATGGTCCAAGCTTTGCACGGCCACCAACCTGACCATCGAGTCTCGGCATACGGCATAGGCCGTATTGCACTGACTATGCTGCAACGATCGTCCAATACAGGCTCGCACGCTCCTGCGATCGTCGAGCAAACGACCGAATGATATGGTGATCCTCGAAGTTGAAGCAGCCATGTTACGGCCGGATATGATCCGTCGGGCTCACAGCCACGGAACGTGGTCATTCATGTCTCCTTTCCCGCGGTAGACCGCCTTTTACAAGACGCGTCTGATCTGCAGACTTGCTGTTATCATCATTGTACAATCAATACTGTAGAAGAGAGCAAGATCGGACAGTGGAAAGATTATAAAAGCTAGCCGCTGCCTCTCAACTGCTGTCTCTTGCTCCTTACTCAACCAGCTCAACAACATCTGCTTATAACTTATCGTCAATCAACCTCTCATACCATCTTCAAAATGAAGTTCCTCACCAACATCCTCATCCTCGGCGCCCTTGCCGCCCCCATCCTTGCCTCGGCCTTGCCCCAGCCCCAGGACGGCGACTTCGATTCTCTTCTATCCCCTAACCCTGAGTACGATGATGGTGTCGAGGTCTTCGGCAAGAAGGTGAGGAAGCTTCCTGACGGCTTTTGCATACCGGCTCGATATCTGTTCTATATCTCGCCCAGTGCTAACGAAATTGCGTCTGCAGAAGTGCAAGGGAGAGTGCAACGTGAATGGCTGCCACTGCACCCACCCCGTTCGCGTTTGCGGTTGCCCCAAGTCAGAGATCGGCCATGAATGCTGGTGCAGCTAAAGCACCAGACAGTTCATGAAGCTTGTAGTGCATTTCGTACTATGCCGTTGGGGCCCACCTTTGTCCAGACAACCTCATTCATGGCGGAAAACCACCGGTTCAGCCCCAACTCACCGGTACATCATACAACGGCTCCTTTGGTTCAGTATCGGTCGTTACAGAGAGGCATTATCGAATTCACTATTGCGGACATAACCTACATCTCCCTTTTCGTCACAAGCAATTAGACTATGCATAGCTAGACACTGCACTATTGGCCATTTATACAATACTTTTGCTCTATATTCTCTAATCATTTGGGCGCGCTCGCGTATCGTCATGTGTTGTGCTGTAAGCTGCCGCTTCCATTATAGCGGTTGTGCTGTTCCACCTGCCTGAAGTCCGTATCGTTGTCATCCAAGATTGCAGCGACCTCAACTCTGCCAGGAAGCTCCTCTTCCTTACCTGGCAGCTCTTTGACGATGCCCTGAGAGAATTATGTGAGTCGTAATTAACGAAGAACCTGTGGTCGTCAAGGGCAGACGCTCAGCCGTGGCGCCGCATTTCACCACCTATGGATGTCGAGTCGCCAGCCCCTGCGGGTGTCGATCCCAGCGAATGTCAACCCCTGCACGAATTTGCATCCCGCGCCAAAATCATCTCAATCGACGATTCCCGCCCCTCACCCCGCTAGAAGAGGCTGTGGCCGAGGACGATGCCGCCCCTGACTAGCTCATTCTAGTTATCTAGTTGTCATCCAGAGCACCAGTTCCAAAGAATGACAGGATTTCCGCACGAACCCCAAGCTGATCGGGACGCCGGGGCCGTGGCCCCCATCCCTGCGCTTAAGCTTCGTGTACAGTGATTGGACTGTTTCACGGCAGGAGGTCAGATTGCTAACCTAGGCCTCACGCCGCGATGGACGGTCACGCACATTACGGCTTACAGCCCCCAAACCTCTACCCATCGGTTGACCAAGGTCTAGGCGCGCTCACGTCAGTGTCTCATTGTATATCCCCATGTCAACAGCCGGACTGCGAGCCCTAGCTTTGCCGTGTTCTATTTCCTCTGGACTACATTCGTTTCGCAGTGGATGCACCGTGCCATCATCATGGCGTCGCCTCTCAGTACCGTCTCTGCGTCTTCACCACGGCAAGCCCACACAGAGTATGCCGATGGACTCGAGGCGTACATTCCTGGGACGCAGGACTATTACGACCAGGAATGGTCTACGACTGGACGTGAAAGCGGCTTCGATCACTTTGCGCCGCGCGGAAGCGCTCAAGCATACGGCCAAGGACCGGAATCGTCTATTCCAGCGACATATGGAGCTTTCATCCCGACTCGTTCCGCGACTGAATACGGGAGCGGGCTCAAGTCTTTCACCCCATCGTCGGATCTGAAGGAAGTGCATAACCCAGCTGGCGGCAAGGAGGTATACCATCCCGGCGGAGAAATGGAGGCATATACTCCTCGAGGAGGGGCTTCCCTTCAAGAAGCGAGAATTTTCGGCCTGCGAAGACGGACATTTTGGATTGTGCTCGCCATTGTCCTCATAGTTGTCATTGCGACAGCTGTTGGAGGCGGTGTGGGAGGGACGCTCGCGAATCGTCACAACGACGACAGTGACGCGAGCTCGAATGGAGGGTCGAGCGGATCATTGGTTGACGCAATGTCTATATTGCCGAGCACATCACTTGCAGCCGTCAATTTCACAGACCAGTACGGGTACGACAATCTGCTCGTCTTCTATCAACTGCGCTCTCTAGCCCTGGCCCAATCAGCGTTCAACTCGTCAACGGGGAGGTGGTCGACGTCGCTGGTCAACAACAATACGGACGCGATCAAGAACGGAACGGCCCTGTCGGCAAGCATCTTCTGGCGCAGCAAAGAGGTACGCTCCCTGACTTCTCCTGGATCCCTTCGCATAGAGTACTAGAAACACTGCCTAACAATAATGCAGAGTCGCGACACGCGAGTCTACTACACGAGCCCCGATGACAAGATCTATGGCCTGGTTGTCGGTGGACAAGGCCTTGCCACGGCCGAAGCAAGCTGGTCGGCCGTAGCTGGCGTATCGGGGAACTTTGTTGCCGCCCCGAACTCACGACTCGTCTCAAGTGGGAAAGAGAATGCCGACTCGTATGAGGGCGATTTCCTCATGTACCAGGACATGTCGGGAGTGATACGAGTCCAGCGGCGTGAGAACAAGAATGATGGCAACAACGGCGGCAAAGCCGGGCAGTGGTCATCGTCCAACGTGCCGTTCGGGCTGGGCCGAGCGACCAACGGTTCAGGGATGGCGCTGATACCCATTTACAACACAGGGCTCCGAGCGCTTAACCTATTTTACAGCAACGAGACTAGCGGCAAGACGCTCGCACACGCCAAACTCATGCACAACACAGCCTGGACTGGCGAAAGCCTCCCAACAGGACTGGACGAAGGCGCGACATTGACCGCGTTCTCCTGGGGCTACAACAGCACCGAGGTGCAGGACAAGAAACCGAGAGGCAGAAGCAGGAGAAACCTAGTGGGTGCGAAGAGCAACGCGACAGTGCATGTGCTCACATTGAAGACCGGGCGCAATGTACAGCTTACGGCTTTTAGCGGGGGCCAGTGGTCGTTTAAAGGGGATGTGCCAGGTATCAGGAAGCGTGGGCAGACACCAGGAGTGATTGCTGCAAGTCAGGCGGGGAGAATCTACGGTGTCGTGAGCAGCGGCAGTGGTGATGGCGTAGAGATTGTGGAGTGGAAGTGGAAGAGCGGCGAGGAGTACGAGGAGGTGGGAGTTGTTGACACCAGACAGCTATAGCATGAGCAGAGAGCGACAAGATTGCCTCTATGTTTTATGAAACGACACCTGGATTCACCTAACACTTCTGCCGTACCGTGACCCGCAGCTAGTGGCTCGGTAACCGTGACTGATGTGCCGCCAGCAGTCAGTGCGAGTCCCCTCGTGGGCTGTGGCGGCGGCGCGGGCTCACCCGCCACATCTAGTTACCCCATACGGACGCCGAAGGCTGAATATCAACAGTGTGAGGGATACGCCTGACCCCAGTGGGCATCCTGGAGCGAGCTTCCGAAAAGGTCAAGACGACGTGATGGCGGTGGCTCGGGGAATGGCGGGCCGCGCCGGATGGCCGGGCCGTGAGGCGACCTAAATGATGTTCGATTGGTACGGATAAGTTGACGTTGCCGGCTTGGGTGCACCTGAGTTTGTCATCAACGTCATCAACGGAGATAGATATCCCGATTGACATTATTCCGAGACTCATCAATGCCGAGACTCATCAATGTGGACCACGTTCCCGACGGTGCCAAATCCGAGATGACGCTTATGGGTATGCCAGTTGAGCCAGAAGCACCATTACCACCGTTCACCAGGAAATGCCCGCAATGGCTCAGCTACAGATGACGTGCCACTGTGGCAACGTCAAGCACGACCTCACCGGCGCCGCAGACGCGGGCGACATTGCGCTGTGCCACTGCTACGGCTGTCGGCACTCGACCGGACAGCTCTACGCTTCGTACTACAAACTCGAGCAGAAGAGCGCGCTGCCGCTGCTCTCCAGCTCAGCGCTCTCGAGGTACAATTCCGCCGAACCACAGCAGGGAACTACACACCCTGCGGCGGTTTCGCTTTACTTTTGCTCGACCTGCGGATGCCACGTCTTTCGGACCATCGCTGGTCCCGAAGAGACGAGCATTGAGGTCGCCACGGGGACGCTTACTGATGGCAACGAGCTGTTCGCAGCCAAGTTTGCGTCTCACGTCGGTGTCGATGAGACTCGGGACGGTGGCCTGGCAAAATGGCTCGCTGAGCTGCCCATCAACAAGGACGCCGAGACCCAGGCGAAGCACTATTCGGCAGAGCCTGCGCCAAAGGCTCCCGAAAGGCAAGACACGCTGGAAGCGTCGTGCCTTTGCGGCGGCGTCGCCCTGCGCATCACACGCCCCAATGCCGAGAGCCTCAAGCCCCATTCCGGTTTCGCCGACATGATCATCCCATTTCACACGGGCGATCCGGCTATCAAGAATCCAGAGGACGTCAAGTGGTGGCTGCGCGAGAACGGCACCAAGTACATGGCCGGGCTGTGCGCCTGCCAAACCTGTCGACTCGTGTCGGGCTTCGAGCTGCAGTCCTGGGCGTTTGTCCCGCGGACTAACATTGAGTATCGCGCTGGTACGGATGGAAACAGCGCCGTTTGGAAGGTCCTCGATTTCGAAGGGCTGCGAGCGACGGGAACGCTGCGCGGGTACGAGTCCTCACCGGGGGTGATGCGCGAGTTTTGTGGCGGCTGCGGCGCGACGGTATTTTGGCACGACCGCTGGCGGCCGGAGCTGATTGATGTAAGCGTGGGACTGTTGCAGGACAGCGAGGGCGGCGTCAGGGCGGAGGGATGGCTCAGTTGGTGGATGGGCAGGGTGAGCTTCGCGGAGGATGTTGTCCTGGGCCGCGACGGTGTGCCGCTGGACAGGGCTAGATGGCTGGTTGAGAGCGTCGAGAAGAACATGAGGGCGGAGGGAGGCGGGCGAGAGCAACGGTGATGGCATCTACGGAGTACCTGCCATCTGCGCCGCGTGGGTAGCGAGTTGGACTCCAGACTCATCCAAGATATCGTGCCTTTGTCGGCACCTCCCAGTAGCTGAATCGACGGGCGCTGGGGTTTGCTCTAGGCGCAGGCGTCGAGAAGCGCATAAATCGCTAAGCAACCTGCCATGGCGCGCTTGACCGCTGGTAGCAGTACCGGGTCCTGCATGACGATGTCCGCCGGCGCTGTGAATGTTGTGCATGCTTTGCTGTTGAGTGAATTTGGAACCTGAAGCTCTGCAAGACTGTCCTGAAACAGGGCTCTGGCATCATCGTCATCAAGGAGAACCTCAGCACCACCGACGTCGACGTCTTTGACGATGAGGACAGCAGTCTGGTGTCACCAGGTGAGTGGCATTCCCTCGTATTCATGCCACCTCTAACTTGAGAACGGACGAGACGCGACGTTTCGGCGCATCTTTGAGGAGGCCGGCATCTCCCTTGTCAGGACGGACCTGCAGCGTGGGTTCCCAGAGGTGCCGCCAGTTACACTGCTTCCGGTCAGGATGTACGCACTCAAGCCCTGAGATGAGGGCCAGCTGCAGCATCGTATTATTCGGTCTGCCTGCATGCGAGGCAGCCGTCGGCCTTGATGCGAGCATACCGACTGCGCGTGGATGTTGTCGTCTTCTGAGTATGCGAAGAGGCGGGAGTTGACGGGATCATGGTGAGAACTTCCGCCTGGCACGGTTGCATCGTGCTCTCAGAGCTCATGGCGCAATCGCTCCCACTGTCTCGATTCTATTTGGTCTTTTGATGCGACTGGCGCCCCAATTGTCTCGCTGGTTTCCTAGGGGCCTATGCCGAACCGTTGAACTGGGGCCTGGCGGCAACAATCATGGTCGCCTCCAGACACCTGGGTATGGCTCTGTGCAGGAGCAGTTACGACCATCAAACGAGGGCTATTAATGCGAGCAAAAGTTTTGCCTTATGCTCATTCTGACACTCGGCTAGACTCGGGCTCTGTCGGATGCGTGCCGTTTTTGACAAACTCGGACACGGCTGGTAGACCGACACGCCGAGACTGACCGGCGCTGCCCACCGACGATGCGACGACAACTCGCTGGTCTAATGCAGGTCCCCAAGTCTAGATTGGCGATATATGAGCCGTCCGTCCTACCTCGTATGATTAATATCTTGGCTTTATTACTATGCCACGTATTTCTCTGGGCCAATTCTCTCGTCTGCATGGCTGACATGTGAAGGATGGGACGAACCGGTGCGGATCATGACAAACCGGGAACGCTGTATGACGAACGAACCTATCCATGCTATGCATCCCAAGGAATGTACTCCCTTGCTGCGGTTCGTCGCTGTCGCACGCATCCGTGCCGCCTCCAGTTTGAGCACGACATGAATGAGAGTCCCAACCTCAACCCTTTTGACTTTTTGCATTCAAAGAGTCGAGACCTTTAAGTCCGACAACTAGCACGAAATGCCCTCATGCCAGGAATCGCTCATGATTGATCGCGTCATGAGAGGGGTAGTTGAATGAAACCTGCAAGCTTGACAGAGCCATGCTCCCATGTCGGCACTGCAAACCCGCCGTTACACGACTTGGCAGCCGAGACGGCAGAGCCTGCATGTAGGTTCAAAAGTCCGAGGTGGTATCCACCGACGTGAGCGGCAGGGAGTGAGATGCAACCTTATTTGTGCTTCTCGCGGCGTCGCGGCGTTGCCGTGCGAGGACAACACGGCAACGCCTTGGGACGAGCCCACGGTCTTGCGTATGAATTTGCAAACATAAAAGACGGAGATTCGTCTCACCAAGCAGCGATTTCACCAACCATTCTACTCATCAGGCATCAAAACAAAGTAGCAACATAGCAACAAAATAACCTATCTCAAAATGAAGTTCACCCTCCTCGCAAGCAGCATCCTCGCGGCGGCATGTGCCCTCGCCAGCCCCATCATCGAGGCCCGCGACAAACACGTTCGTTCTCTGACTACCCTCCGTACTGGCGATGCAGCTGACACGCTCCGGCGATATAGCTGATCAGCTACTCCTTCAAGGACGGCCAAGCCTTCCTTGACATTGACCAGGAGGTCCGCCGGTACGTGCTCGCTCGAGAGATACGGCGCCAACGCATTAAAGTTGACATGACCTAGGATCATCAAACAGGCCACGGGCACGGAGTACTGGGTCTGCAACCGTGCTTTCCCTCCTACCTGCTATCCTCCGTGAGTTTGAGTACCCTCAAAGTTTAAATCTTGCGTTGCCTGCATGGCTGTTGCTGACTGTGCGATGCTCATAGCCCGTTGGAGACGGATGATATTGAGAAGCTGGAGGCTCTGGAGGGGGTTGTCGTCCAGATCATTGTCCGTGAGTAATGGGCTTGAAATCGCCTGGCCTGTGCGACCTTGAGTCCCGGAGTCAACTGGGGATTGACCCTCGCGTGTGGTGGTGGTGCCGCCTCACTACGGACCCAGGTTGCAAGGGAAAAGGGACAAAGAGAATCATGTCACGGGAACGGTCACTGTATGATTCGTCATATCGTTCAAGGGTCATCAATTATAACCACGCTCTTTTGCCTACCTCAACTCCACACACCTCTCCTCTCACCCAGGCTTTTCGCTCAGCAGCAAACCCCAACAACACAAGCAGCCATGGCTACGAGTAAACCTACATTGATGTTTCCGCCTCTCAAACTTTCTCAAGCCCAGGTGATCAACCTCTGAGTAAAAAAGTCAAACTTGTTGGTTGAGACGTTCTCGAACAGGGACGTCTTGAGAAACTTCTTTCCCGGCGCGCCTACGGCAACCGAGTAAATCGGGCTGTTGTTCAAATGATTAGTCAGCAAACGTCGCGCATCTGATGGGTAGGTGATTGGTTTCCCATCTTATTGCATCAGAGCGATCATACCTTCCGCAGTTACCACAAAAGCTTCGCTGATGAGCAATGAGAGTTAGTGGGTGGACCGAGCCGATGCAGGCTGTAGCACATCGGAATGCTCACCATGCAAACATTGCCCGACGCCGTGTCGTGGTCCGCATACGTCTTGAGTGTGCCCTGCGCGTCGTTGACGGTGATCTCCTCATCGGCGAGGACGTAGTTGATTGAGGCCGCTGGATCTATTAGCCAAAGAGGCGCATGAGGTTGTGTCTGACTCGCGGGGACATACGTCCTCCTGCCCGTCGGCAGTTAAAGCTGAGCGCCTGTCTTAGCATTGTCAGGCCCTCACATGAAATGAACCACAGCAACTCACCAATGGCACATGACCGTTTGCGTAGGCTCTTTGGCGAGGGTGACTGTGATGGAGCCGCAGTTGCAGCGCCCGCTTGTGTCGACTGTCGTTGCCATTGTTGCAGACTTGTTGGGCGAGCCAATTGTTACGTTCCCTCTCTTTGTTTCTTGTATTCGGTCTCGCTGTGATTGACAGCGCGTGTTCGAAGGTTTCGGAAACCGGCTTGTAGGCTTTTATACCAAGGGCGGCGGGGTGTTGCGAAAGTATGCCTGCTTGGTAGCTGACTGAGACCGACAGGCCCGGTTTAGCTCTGCTTTATCAGCGGCCCGTTGCCCTCTCGCGCTCGCCGAGTCCTTCCGTTTCCGCCGCCGTCAGTGGGGCCGGGACTGGGAGAATCAGAGTCGGGCGGTGCTGGCACTGCTGGGGATGGGCCGAATACCCCGCAGGCTAGGGCTGCCGACGCGGCCTGCTTAAATACGTACGTAGCTGGGTGTGTGCCTTGGACGACGACAGAGCGATACCCGGGGGCCCGGCTATTCAGAGTTTCTTGTAGATAGATGGAGATGAGCCGCGGTGGCGCACTTGCGGGGTCCCGCTCCCCCGAATCGGGTATGACTAGGCATTCCACAAGGATGCCGTGCACCATATGTCGTCACACGTGGATTCAGGATATTGATCTCGCTCGGGACCGAGACGTCTCCGCTGAGATCGGTTGAACAGGGGCTGGCCCGATCTTGCCTTCGATCGTCAGGGACACGGCATAGCGGCTGGAGAGGCAGCATCGCCCAGTGTCACTCATGAGAATTCGGAATGCATCAAGTTGAGATGCGTGGCTTTTTGTACGGCTTGGTTTACGTGTCGGCTCAAAAAGAACGCTTCCCCAGTAGACAAGATAACACTATCAAGGCCACGGATCGCGCTCCACCAGCTGAAGTTGCAGCGCCGAAGCTTGTTCCAACGACTCCTCGCCTTGAGTGTTTTCCTCTGAGAGTGCAACGCTCACTCTCGAATTGACGGTCTGCCCGCATCAAATAACCCCACACGAACGCCGTTGGCGACATGTCCGCGGTGGCGCATTCTCGACACGTGCCGAAATAAATACCACCGCCGGCGGTACATATGCGCGCTCGTCCGCAGCGACCCTTACAGGTTTACGCGGACGATCGGCTTGATCATGGCAGGCTCTGTTCGGATGACTGCCCCATCCTTGCACACACGGGGCCACCAGTGTTGCCAAGATCGAAAACAAAAGGGCATCAATGCTTCAAACCTTTTTCTAGCCTTCGACCCCATCCGCAATGGCTAGAACCATGTCAGGCAGAGAGATTCCGTGCAATAGCTCTTCGGAAACAGCAAGGTCACACGTCTCTGCTGTGGGTGCATCTGCCTTGCTGGGCTTGAGAGGAAGGATATCACGGGAGATGTCGTACAACCCCGCTTGAACTCAACATAGTAGAATGACAGGAATTAAATAGTCAAGTGCAAGATTTGATAGATTGCATGTCTAGAACATCGACTGGTAGCTCCATGTGTTACTCCGACCCGAATCACTGTAGCTTCACACTTGAGCCACTCATGTCCTTCAATGCAAATTCGCGGTCGGAATACGATCGCAACGCTGGGCATCACACACGAACCAAACGCATTGAATTGCAATGCGTAAACCCTATACCCCGAAGGCATGACAAATAGCAAACAGGTGATTGTGTTACCACGCCACTCCCGCCGCACGTTGACCCGGCCTTACGTACACCGCGTGATTTGTGTCGCACGCTCATAACTGCACTGAGCGTTCTCAACAGAGCACTATAGTGTGAGCAAAAATGTCAGTATATTCCAATCTCTGAAGTCGTTTGGCAAATCCACCATCAGAGCTTGAATGAGACCACTTACCGGCCTGTCACAAGGCGTGAAGAAAGCCCGGCCTGCCACGTGGAAGCGAAGCTGGCACTGCCACCCTGTATTGCCCTGGATGCACATCTGTAAAGGGACACATGTCAGTGTCATTCGCCACTAAATGCTGAGGCTTTGACAAGATCATCTTACCCCGTATTCGATGGGAGGCCTCTTCACAGGCTCGGGCATTTTCAGCTGCCCTGGCTTCATAATATCGTCGCAAGGGTATGGAGGGTCATTTGGGGCGGCCTGAACGGCGACGGCCAAAATAGATAGAACGAGAGCGATGTTGGATTTCATGGCTAATGTTGTAGGGTGGTACGTGATTGTTGTGCTTTATTCTCCGGTCGTCTATGCGATCGAGGATTGAGGGAGCAAGCAGGGCCTTTTATCCCGGTGTTCTGTCTCGGACTGATCATTCAAGCCGAACAGCGGCGCTTGTCTTATGGATCATGTCGTGGTATCCCAAAGGGTTAATGGCTGCTTACGCGTACGCATTCCCGCTGCTTGTCTGAGGATCGACGCACGGGTGGTATTCCCGTCATCGTGGTCGCCAGAATTAGTTGCCCGCCCAGTGCGCACGGAGACGGTGGTGCTCAAACACGTTGCGGACAGGACTGTAGTCAAAAGACTGTAGCCTCAACATCAGCACGGTGATGCTCCTTCAACGCGCTATGGGCAGAAGTCGGAGCAAGCAGCCACTTTCTACACAGGCAGTTGAGCTCTGGCCATGCACCAGGCATTCGTCACCCGTTACGCCGCGGCAACCAGCACGTCAATTTTGGAGCATTCACTGAGGAATAACTTGTCTCGGAAACTGCGTGCACGGTGGCTCTGTTTCACGTTTAAGACGATACCCAAACTCGAATGTCGTCAGTGGCTGGTATTGGACCGTGCGGTCATGCTTTGCGCTTAACGGCCATGTATCGAGATGACGGGTCCTCGAGTATTGAACTCATGGACTCCGAAACTCCTTCATTGTAAGGGATGCGGATCTGGGATGACGAATTCCTGCGATTGTGGCCTTGGCCACGTGCTGTCTTTTTTTTACTTCACTGCATTTCTTTCGCAAGATATGTTTCATTTCTGCTCCGTAGTGGTAGTTGCGGGCAAGACGATCAACAACCTGGACACACTACCGCTTCTGTTGGGATAACAAGTAGTGAGGAGTGGGAAAGATTATACTGTAGGTTTCGAGGAAATCAGGCCGGAGGATGAGACGAGGATGCAAGCAAACGTAGGGTGACACGACGAATGGAGAATGCTCGACTCGAATTCACCTCTAATTGATTGGCTGCACTAAAGTACATGCTTCGTTGGCTAGTCCAGCTCAGCGGAACCAAGACAGCTCATGGAAATGAACCGAATCGTTTTCGTCCCTGCCCATCGCTTAAAGGCAGTAGTCGGGATTCTCGGTGTCCGTGCCGCCGCAACCCCGAGAGCAGAACTCACGGTAGGCAATGTCCCCCTTGTCGAGGCAGTCAAACTTGGAGTTCTGAATGTGCGACTCGTCCGTCGGCTGGTTGGCAGCCTTGAGTGTCTCGATGATGTGGTTACGGTAGTTGCCTGGGCTGTTAGTACATTTTGCCATTGAACCTTTCGGGGCAGTGTGCTTACCCTTTCGAAGCAGGGACGATCCGCAGTAGACGCCTCCGCGGTTGCAGCTGTCGGCCACGACGGCGGTGGCGGAGGCAAGGATGGCAATGGTGACAAACTTCATGCTGACGGTAGTGAGTATTCAAGTTGAACTGTTTAAGCGTGTGAAATGTGAATGCGGTGCTGCCGATGATGAGTACGATGATCTTGCGAGAACAAGTGATCCTTATATACTTTTCCTCACATGACAACTAGGGAGGCTGAGCTTTCGGACTGTCGGCGCCCGATGCTTAAGCGACACCATGAAGATCAGCACATACACGACGCAGGTGATATTTCCAGACGTCAGATCATATCACCAGTGCGCTTAGACACGACGGGATCATGGCCAATCAAGCAACGCAGGGCTTTCTTCAGAGCCACCCGAATCCTACAGCGTATATGCGTGGCCTAGCCGTTCTTGGAGTTCTTCTCTCCTCGGTACCGTCATTCTCTCGCGGCGCGGGATTCTCAGACAATGCTTCCTTCGCGATGTTACTTCGGTGCTCACGTTGTCTCCACTCATTTCGAGTCCTTAAAAAGTTTAGAGTCGCTTACCGCAGGTGCGCAAGTTATGTCTGCCGCGGGATGGACCTAGCCCGGACATGCCAGGGGGTCGAGGTGCCGCTGACCTAATTCAAGACTCAAGCACCGAGAGTCAACGGTCAAAAGACGATGAGCACTGATGCAGCTCTTCAAAAGTGTCGGCCCACTCGTCCCACTGAGCCGCGACATGAGCGGGGCTTCATGTTCGTTGACGAAGGTCGACGCCGGGCCGTCGCTGGCGTGTCGTTGACGATCTCCGTATTTCGGCTGCCGTAAGTTTCCGGCAGGCATTGCATGTGGCTGCAGTGCGGGTTGCAGTGACGAAGAGGCAGCATTAATATCAGGGGGTACGGAATGTGGGTGTCGCATCGAGTCTACCGGGGTATGTACAATTTCTGGTCTCTCTACCTCATAGCTGCTACTAGAAAGGTGCGATATCTCGGTGTGCCCACATCACCCGAATCGTGACCGAGGGTAGTTCTCACACTGACATGGAAGCCCGCCACATCTTGTAGACGTGGAATAGCAACTGTAATGCCTGTACATCAGCTCCAACATCTGAACAGCCGGGAACCAGGCACCCGAAACCGGCAGTTGACTGGAGGACGCGACTTGTCCCTCACTGTGTATTTGACGTTGATGGAGCCGCCGATATCGGTGCGCGTCGCGCCCATGAATGAGGCCACGACGTAGGGCAAGAAGAGGATGGGCATGGTGACTAGCTAGCTGGTGCATATTTCCAATGTGAGCTCGCCAGGTGAACCGGGAAAAGATGCCAGGCCGCGGTGAGCAAGTCAACTCTCAATCCGTCGTTGCCCGAATGTTTCGGGGCGGCGGAAGTCAGGGGACAAGGGCAATTGAGCACTTACCTTGACCGGCACTTCACGGCCCTGGGACGGACCGTCTCACCTGGCGGCCTCGTCGTCACGATGATGCCGTCCTTGAAGCCAAACTCGCCCGCCTTACATGATACCGCCCGCCATCGCCATTTTGCTGTCTGTCAGCCATACAGACACACTAGCCCTTGACCATGGATTGCTGTGAAAGGCGGCGGTCCTGGGGCCGGACGCTTCTGCCGTGCCGTGTGGGCAGCACGGCGGACTGGACCGCGGGATTCAAAGGCGGGCGAGGCTGTCGTGAAATGAACTATGCGACGGCATTGATGGAGTGAATGTTTGGTGGTCGATATGTTTGACAGTCGGCGAGAGACCTACCGGGCGGCGATAGGGCCGTGGACGCATTCTGAGGACGAGGTGAAGGTGGTGGTGACTTGTGAGAGGGCCTATGACTTGTGGCAGCCCAATTGCCCATGCGCGTATCGATGCTGTGCTGCAGCTCATAGCGGCTGCTGAGAGAGTCGTTTGTTGTCTCAGTTGTCGAGTCCCTCTGTTGGCATCCAGAAGAGTGCATGTCCGAGAAAAGGCACGATCGACAGCCGCTGGCGTGTTGCGGACCAACTGCCACGCTCAACCCCGCTGTCTCAAAGAACGACAGCCGTAGCGAGTGAGACTTGTGGTTTCCGGGACGTTGGGTTGGACGTTGTTCAAGCTCATGATCCGCATGGCGCTGCACGTATAAAGTAGGCCCTCCCTGCTTGCGCCTACATGTAACCGCAGCCGATGGGAGATGCGCTGTGCTCACAATTTTCTTTTCCCTCCGGCGAATAGGTTGCCGCTTACGACCGCCACACTGCATCCTGTTTCGGCCGTTCGCTTCCGCTGTGGCAATCGTCGTTTGTGCCAGCCATGCGGTTGGCCAAGGGGACGGATGACTCCCTCGAGTCCCCGTTCATGAATCCATGACAGAGCTGGCTCAGCTGGACTCGTTGGGAGGCCATCCCGCCCACCGGGGACAATATGACAGGCAAAACGCGGTTCATGGTGCAAGAGGTCTCGCGGGGGTGTCGATCACCTGCCAGACACCGCCTAGCCGGCCCCTCGCAAAACGCTCCGGGGCAGGCTTTCTGGGGTTAGGCATGGTTGCTTTTTGGGGATCGTGGCGCTGGCAGCTGGGTTCCGAAGAAGCGCAACAGGGCAGCTGCGGGCAGGCAGCAGTGTTTTCGGAACCGGCACTGGTTTGCAGGGTTTCCCTTATTCTCGATTCCGAAGGGCGGAGGGGAGCCGTTTCCGCGAGGGCATGGTGCTCGGCCCGCAGCCACCCGCCGCCGCCGCCGCCATCGTCGGCAAGCCAGGTCAGATATTGTCCTCCCGCCTCCGTCGTCCTTGCATGCGGCTGCTGTCGTAGTCTTATCTAGTCTAAAATTGTAGGCTGGACGCGCACCGCTACCCGCCGTAGTAGCGCCACGAAAAGGGCAAGAGACGATGTGGTGACACTGCACGCACACTTGCGGCGGCTGGCGGGTGCAGCACGGTCGCATTGGTAACGGCGCACGGGAAAAGATGGATGGATGGCGGTGGTGGTGGTGCAATAGCGTATATGATCGTCGCCATGGCCCGTGGACGCACATGCATAGAAAAGAGAAGGTCTCGCTGTCTGCGCTCTGCACGCACTCGATGACTTGCAGCACGGACGTACGCACACACTGACTTTCATCCACGCCGTGTTCAAGTCAATGTCGCACAGGACGTGAGACGACAGACCCCATAATGGCGACGACACTACCAGAGGGTCTGCATGAGGCAGACCACGGGCGGCACGAGCAGCAGCAGGAGCAACAGCAAGCTCGGAACCTTGACCAGCGCGGCGACGGAACAGCAGAGAGCATCGACTCCAAGCTGGGCCCGCACACCGCCGCTTCGCATGTCGAGGCCCAGGCAGGACAGGAGGCGACGGATGAGTGAGGATGCCCTTCTGTTTCTTCCTAAAAAGGCTACGAGAAAGATTTGTTCCAAGGGGATCGATGTTGATGAATGCTGCAGATATGGACATCCGCTCGCCGAGATCGATCCGGTGCATGAGGCGCGCATCCGCCTGAAGATGGACTTTGCCGTCGTGCCCCTCGTCAGCCTGATATACCGTACGATGGCCCTCACCACACTCCCAGCGGGTGTCTGGTCTCAAACTGTCAAAGACGGCCAGCTGACATGCGAGAACAGTCCTCTCCTTCATCGACCGCTCCAACATCGGTAAGTGAAGCCCCCCACGTCGTCTCGTTCACCCAACAACATGGCATCCGTCGACGTCGGTAAAGCGTCGTCGTCCACGCGCTCCCGAGTCCCTCCCGACCAGACGTGCCCTCGACTTACACGCACGCACAGGCAACGCCAAGCTCGCCGGCCTCGAGCACGATCTCGGCATGCACGGCTACGACTACAACACGGCCCTCTCCGTCTTCTACATCACCTACATCGTCTTCGAGATCCCCTGCAACGCCGCCTGCAAGTGGCTCGGCCCGGGCTGGTTCCTGCCCGCCGTGACGCTCGCCTTTGGCGTCACCTCCATCGCCACAGCCTTTGTGCAGAGCTTCCGCGCGCTCTGTGGCGTGCGCTGCCTGCTGGGCGTCTTCGAGGCGGGTATGATGCCCGGCATCGCGTACTACCTCTCCCGCTGGTATCGCCGCTCGGAGCTCACGTTTCGCATCTCGCTGTTCATCCTGTCGGCGGCGCTGGCGGGCGCGTTTGGGGGCCTGCTGGCGTCGGCGATTTTGGAGCTGGATTCGTTTGGCGCGCTGCGTTCGTGGCGCATGATTTTTGCGATTGAAGGTGCGTGGTCATCGACTGGTCGCGTGTCTCTGAGTCTGGAGTCCAGACTCTGGACTCCTGAGCCTCCACTGCCCCTTTCCGCAGCCCCTTTTGCCAGCTCCCATGCACGTTCGCAGAGGAAAGGAACTGACGAGAGGCTGGTGTAGGCATCGCGACGTGCGCCCTCGCCCTCGCGTCCTTTGTCCTCCTCACGGACCGCCCCGAAACCGCCATCTGGCTCACCCCCGCCGACAAAGCCCTCGCCATCGCCCGTCTCAAAGCCGAACGCATCGGCACCACCGAACTCGTCGACGGCTTCAGCACCGCCAAGCTCCGCGCCGGCATCCTCAACCCCGTCGTGCTCCCCACCTCGGCCATCTTCCTCCTCAACAGCATCACCGTCCACGGCGCCTCCTTCTTCCTCCCCTCCATCGTCAGCACCCTCTACCCGGACCGCTCCGTCACCCAGCAGCAGCTGCTCACCGTGCCGCCCTACGTCGTCGGCGCGACGGGCTGCGTGCTCCTCAGCTACGCCAGCTGGCGGCTCGAGCGGCGCGGCGTCTTCATGGTGGCCTGCGCGCCGCTCGCGGTGCTGGGCTACGCGCTGTTCCTCGCGCCGGGGACGGGCGCCACGACGCGCTACGGCGCCATCTTCCTGCCGTTCTTCGGCATGTTTGCGTATGGCGCGCTGACGAACGCGCATGTGGCGGCGAATGTTGTGTCGGACACGGCGCGCGCGTCGGCGATTGCGACCAACGTCATGTTTGGCAACATAGGCGGCCTGGCGTCGACCTGGGCGTACATACAAAAGGACGCGCCGCGCTACAACATCGGCAACGGGCTGAACCTCGCGGCGCAGGCGTCCATGTTTCTTATTGCGCTGGGGTTGTACTTTTGGATCAGGCGGGATAACAGGAGGCGTGCTGCGAGGGATGTTCACGGCGCGCTGGAGGGCAAGACGGTGCAGGAGATTCAAGACATGGACTGGCACCACCCGGGGTTTCGGTGGCACAATTGAATGCGGAATAGAAAAGACTATATTTGGGGGTCGCAGTTGAATGGGTTACAGTAGACAGTTGGGTGTGTCTGCCTTGGCGCATAGTGCATGTTCAGCCTCAATCTGCGTGACTCACATGAGCGTCACCGTCTCACCGTCGTATCACCTATCGTCGGATTCTAATGATCAAAGCCTCCCACTGGGCGCGGCCGCTCTTTCTGAACCTCCAACTCACCTGCCAGCATTGATCGTCAACGTCTCCGGGCTTCATCCAGGACACTCTCAACATGGATTCCTCATCCACACGACTCAAGATCGCTGTCGTGGGCTGCGTACGCTGTGGCGCAAACATGTCCAGGCTTCTTATCTGACGTTGAGCAGGGCCACGGCAAGCAGGATTTAATATACGCCACTGCGGAATCGCAATGCCGCCAAAGGGGATGGTCCATTTCAGACCTCGATCTTTTGCTAGTCTGCGGTGATTTCCAGGTTCTTCCTCCCTGTTGCCGCCCGCTCTGCTGCCTTCCTTACTCACACCGCGCAGGCCGTGCGCAACGCGCAAGATCTCAATTGCATGTCGGTCCCGCGCAAGTATCGGGAGCTCGGCGATTTCCACAAATACTACTCCGGCGCCGCTGTCGCGCCCGTCCTCACGCTCGTCATCGGCGGCAACCACGAGGCGTCCAACTACCTGTTCGAGCTCTATCACGGCGGATGGCTCGCGCCCAAGATATACTACCTCGGCGCTGCGGGCGTCGTCCGTTATGGCCCTCTGCGCGTGGCCGGCCTGTCCGGGATATACCAGCAAAAGGACTACCGTGGCCCTCACCACGAGCGGCTGCCGTACGAGCGCGACGACATCAAGAGTGTGTACCACGTCAGAGAGTACGACGTGGACAAGCTCCTCAGGCTTGAAAGCGGCGTCGACATAGCCATGAGCCATGACTGGCCGGCTTGGGTTGAGCTATTTGGCGATTACCAGAGCTTGTTTGCGCGCAACCCGCACTTCGTATTGAGTGCCAGCAAAGACGGTTTGGGTAGCTTCCCGGCCACGGAACTCCTGAACCACCTCCGTCCTGCCCACTGGTTCTCGGCTCACATGCACTATCGCTTTGCCGCGACGATACAGCATACGGCGGAGCGCATCGAGGACACCGTGCGGGCCCTGCCCATAATGGCTTCCACCCGTGGAAAGCTACCGGTATTCAAGTCGCAGCGAAAGTATTTTGTCTCTGGAGTTAAGCCTGCTGGGGCACGGCAGACCACGGACTTTCTCGCGCTCGACAAGTACAAGGAAGGCCGTTCTACAACCAACTTCCTGGACCTGGTTGAGATTGAGGTCCCCATGCGAGCAGAAGATGCTCCGTATATGAAGAAGCGGGCAGGAAGTGACAAGTTCGACTTGTGCTATGACGAAGAATGGCTCGCCATCACCAGGGCATACAACGACTCTCTCCGTGTTCAGGATCCAGAGACGCTCGTCGTTCCGCCGGATAAGGGCAAAAGCAAAAGGCCGTCCGCAGGTAGTATTAGGAGACATAGAGACTGGGTTCGGCTCAACATTGTAGACAAGGGGCTGCTGGAAGTGCCGCGGCGATTTTCCGTGCACGCGCCGGTCCACAACGCGGCGATGGGGGAGACGATGGAGATGCCGCGCGAGTATCCGAATTCGCAAACTGTGCGGTTCGCTCAGCTCCTGCAGGTGGAAAACAGGTTTGTCCCGAGTAGAAAGACGTCCGATGACGGGGACTCAATCTTCGAGAGAGATGGGGAATAAGATCGTGATCTCGTTAGATGGCAGCCAGTATTTCTCCCGGGGCGTATCCCCATTCCGCTTCCAGATCCCTGAGTCGCCACAACGCTCCCCAGCCCGTTGTACGGTCAATAATCTTGAACAGTCTGGCCACCTCGAGGTGCTCGCTCGGGTGGCTCAGTAGCCTTCCCGCCAGGTATAGCGGCTGGATGGCGTTGATGAGGTTTCCGCGGTGCGGGTTCGTCCATGAAATACCGCACACGCGGCGCGCATGCCACAGCGCCGAGCTCTGTGGAGAGGGCAGCGACGCCTCGGCGGGGCGCATCTCAAGCATAATGATGCAGGCCGCGTGATAGAGCTGGTTGGCCGAGATGGCGGCCCAGTGCGTGAAGAGGATCGTGGGAAACACCTGCAGGTCATCGCCGGGGTCGCCGACTGCCAAAGGCAGCATGGCCTCGGGACGCACCTTGAGCCAGAACTGCAGGTCGTCCCAAAGTCGGGTCCATTGGTCAACAAACGGGCGCGTGTCGCGGTCGTCGGGTTCCTGGAGCTCAAGATGGCGCGTGCGGCGGCACATCAGGTCACAAGCCTTGGCACAAAGGTACACGGCCCAGTTGGCGTGCATCCCCGGCGTGTCACGTCCGCTCTGGTAGAATATGCCCTTGGAGAAGTCGTCGGCGGCGTCGTTGGACGTGACGCCCTCGGGTAGAGGCGGAATCCACTTGTCGAGAGGCAAGACTGTGCTCGAGGCCCCTCCCGAGATGATGGCACCGCAGAGTTCCATGCGGGCGTAGCACCAGAACACTGCTTGCAAGAGACCTCCGGAGAAGCCAGTCACGGCAAAGAACTCGAACAGCGAGGCGCAGCCCTCGATGTGGCGTCGCCAGTTCTTGGGGCTGCCAGACATGAGCTCGAGCACGGCGAGGATGCAGGCGGTGACGAGCATGTTCGGGTCCTTGGCCTGCAGACCCGGCGCGAGCAAGCGGATAGACTCCTGGTAGAGCTCCAAACTGTCGTACCCAGCGTCGGGGCTGGCCTTGCGGAGATCCATCTGGCGGGCCGAGAACGCCAGCATGGCGTGGAACAAGGGCGGCGATGTCTGAGCGAGTAGTGGCACGTGGATACCAAAGTGGCGCTCGTCGTCGAACTTGTCGAGGTATGGAGAGCACTCGACGATCCAGTTCTTGAAGTAACTGATGAGGCGCGCCTTGGGAATAGAGACGCGCGAGAAGTCGAACGCCTGACGGGGCCGGCGGTCCTCGAGCCCGTCGGCGCTGGCCTCCGGCAGCTCGGGAGTTGCGCTCTTGCTGGGGTCATGGCTCGATACACCCGCGAAGAGGACGCATCGCAGCTCCTCCTGCAGCTCGATGAAGCGCGGGTTGGAAGAATACTCGTCAAAGACGGAGAGCGAGCCCGGGGAGAGAAAGGGCGGCTCGTCGAGGGGGTGATCATCCATTGTCACTGGTAGCGCCATGGCCCCGCGATGCCGCCGGGAGCCTGTGCAGGGAGTGCCAGCGCATTGACTGGCTGGTGACGGCTGGAGCGGGTGATGCGGGCGATGCGAGCAGACGAAAGGGATGGGAGGAGGACGGGAGGCAGATGGAATGACAGGAGTCAAGGTCGGAGATTGAACGAGACAATGGGAGACAACGACAACTGGGGGTGTCCACTGTCCAGTCCCGGAAGACACCGGGGCGGCCCCACACCCCACTGATGCGCTCGCCTCGTGGCGGTAGAACATCGCCTGGAACGCGCCCCCACAGGCGCCGTAGCCGTCTGACCCTAGCGCCCGTTTCAGTGTGTCATATGGCGGGCGGCCCCCCGGAGCGAAGCCCGCACAACGTGTGATTCCACCGCGGCGTCCGCGGGGGCGCCAGGCGATGCCAATTGATCGGTTTCCAGTGTGGAATCGCCTGTTCGATCTCGACGGGCTTACAGAATTGGGCTCAAGTCGAAGGCAAATACGCAAAGGCTATAGCAGCCGCATCCCGTGCCCCTCGGCTGCTGTGCGGAATCTTCAATTGGAAACATATCCGCCGAATACGACTAAATCAAGGTCATGAGTTCTTCCGTCGGCTCACTCTGACAGCTCGGCAGCTACTTCCCCGCCGGTGTCAGGTGCTTTAAAGAAAAAAAAACCTGTTGTCCATAGCGTCGCAAACGGCCAAGGTCAACACGCGAGTCAAGGAGTCAGGACCACAATGCGCGGGTTAGGAGAGAGCTTCAGGCCACCAGTCCCAAACAGGCAGCCTATCCCTCGCCCACTGGAACCGAGCGGCAAACCTTGCAGCCAATTCCCGCCTGATCTTGGCCCCCACATTCTTCAACGCCGTCCCAATCTGGGGGATATAGCCTACGGCTCATCCGCTTCTGGCCATCTTTCCGACACGTGCCGCTCCCCAGACCCGGCTCTCGTGCGCGAACCCCCCCAGGGCGAAACCCATGGGGCGAGGGCGAAAAAACATGGGGTGATGGGGAATCCGGAGAGTCTCACGCGGGCCATTGCGTATATATAAGCCGATGAGCGTCCCGAATGGGCATCATGTTCCGCCTCGGTCTCAGTCGGAGCTGCAGCTCAAGCCTCAGTTTGCAATTGTGTCTCATGCTGGTCTGACAACGGACAGAGTCGCCCATGATGTCGTCGAATACGGATCACACACCGTCAGATGTCGAGGGGGCCACCGCCGGTGTGCCCATGGAGTCGGCCCAGAGGCTTCTCTCGGAGAAGAAGACGATCTGGCAGTCGATTCGCGCCAACCCCAAGGTCATCTTCATTGCCTTTTTCGCATCGTATGTTCATGTCCCGTATCCCGCGGTACTGATTGCTCTTGAGCGTGAGCTGACCAGACGAAATCAGACTCGGTGGTTTTGAGTATGGCTACCAGCAGGGTGTCCTGGGCCAGTCCCTGGTCATGACGCGCTTCATCAACAACTTCCCCTCCGTGGTGCAATCCTCGTCTGCCACGGGTTGGCTCACCTCCATTCTCCAGCTGGGTGGCCTCTTCGGCTCTCTTTCCGCCGGCGTGCTCAGCGAAATCATCTCCCGCAAGTACACCATGTTCGTTGCCTGCTGCTGGGTCGTCCTGGGCAGCTACCTGTACGTCGGCGCCAGCGAGGGCATGTCGTCACTTCTCTACGCTGGCCGCTTCTTCACCGGTCTCGGCGTCGGCCTCTTCAGCGGCGTGGGCCCGCTCTACAACGCCGAGCTGTCCTCTCCCGAGATGCGCGGCCTGCTCGTGTCCTTCTACCAGTTCGCCACCATCCTCGGCATCATGCTGTCCTTTTGGGTCGGCTACGGCAGCAACTACATCGGCGGGACGGGCGACGGCCAGTCGGACCTGGCGTGGCGGCTGCCGTCCATCATCCAGGGCATCCCCGCCGTGGCGCTGGCCGTCGGCATCTGGTTCATGCCCTTCTCGCCGCGCTGGCTCGTCAAGGTTGGCCGCGACGAAGAGGCCCGCGCCACGCTGGCGTGGATGCGCAAGCTGCCGCAGGACGACGACCGCATCCAAGTGGAGTACCTCGAGATCAAGGCCGAGGCCGAGTTCGAGAAGAAAGCGTTTGCGCGCGAGTTCCCGCGCATGGCCGAGGAGGGCAGCAAGAGCGCGTTGCGCGAACAGATTGCGCAGTTTGTCAACTGCTTCCGCACCAAGGACAATGTGAAGCGCATCGCGGTCGCGTGGCTGGTCATGTTCTGGCAGCAGGTGCGTAAAGAGACGTCGATACTGGTCGAAGGGAAGGGACGTTACTAACAGCAAGCAGTGGAGCGGTATCGACGCCATCATCTACTACGCCACCAACATCTTCCAGAGTCTCGGCTTGACGGGCGGCACGATTGCGCTGCTGGCGACGGGCGTTACTGGCGTCGTCTTCTTGTGCAGCACGATCCCTGCCATGGTAAGCGCACTTGAGGCCCCCCAAAGATAACGCGATGGCTAACTGGAGCAGTTAATCATTGACCGCGTTGGCCGCAAGCCCATGCTACTCGTCGGCTCCGTCGTCATGGGCATCAGCATGGTCATTGTCGGCATCATTGTCGCCAAGTTCCGCCACGACTGGCCGTCGCATGTCGCTGCCGGTTGGGTCGCCGTCGGTAAGAACATTTCCACAGTCCGCGCGCATGGAAGTGGTCGTCCCGCTAACAACACGAACAGCTCTCATCTGGGTGTACATTGCCGGCTTCGGCGCCACATGGGGTCCTGTTTCTTGGACGCTCATCTCGGAAATCTTCCCGCTCTCGATCCGCGCCAAGGGCGCCGCCATCGGTGCATCCAGCAACTGGCTCAACAACTTTGCCATTGCGTTTTTCGTCCCGCCGATGCTCGAGGCGTGGGCGTGGGGCACCTACATCTTCTTCGCCGTGTTCCTGACGGCCGGCATCTTTTGGGTGTGGTTCTTCCTGCCCGAGACCAAGAACGCGACGCTCGAGGAGATGGACCGCGTGTTCGGCAGCCACACAGGCGAGCGCGACGCGCAGCTGCTGTACGAGTCGCAGCAGGAGGTGGGCCTGATTGCGCTGCTGGAACGGCGCGAGGTGGGCCACGAAAAGGCCGGCGTCGAAAAGCACATTGAGAACATGTAGGAGGAGGGGCGGAGAGGACTGCAGGGTAACTTGGTTTTATAATATCCCATCGTGTAAGTGCAGGGTGGTGTGGTGCGGTGTTGCGCCTGGGCAGGGCGCAACGGTTTGAAAAGGCCAGCCACAGCTGAAAGTAAACGAGCAATGAATCATGTAATAGCAAAGCAGTAGTTGTGGCCACCCATGACTCGACTATATACTTACCACCGCACGTCAAAACGTGGGCCGGCGGGCATGTCCGACCCCGGACCATTGCATGCGGGCGCCGACGGCGGGGTCCGACAGGGGCACAAGCCACCTCCAGCATTTGGCCCCACGCGACGCCAACGCTCGGCTCGGCCAACTTGAACCTCTTCCCCATCCGATTTCCGATTCGATGCATCGTCATCGAGCACGTCGCACCACCACAGCCCATCGCCAAACACCGCTCGTGCCTGCCACCAGACGCTCCGTCGCCGCGAGCAGACGCGCCCCCATTGACTCAATCGCTCGCGCGCGCAATGTGAGAAACACCGTGGCGAATGCCTGTCATACGAGCAACGCCCGAGCACAAGAGACGGGTCCGCACCGGGTGTCTGAGCTGCCGCAGACGACGCCGAAAGTGTACGCCATGCGCCCGCCGCTTTATTGCCGCCTTTGGCTGGACTTGTGATGATGGCTGACTGTCTCCAGGCGATGAAAAGAAGCCGCAGTGCACGAGCTGCGAGACCAGGGGCTTCACCTGCAAGTATCCCGACCTGACCTTTGTCCAAGCCTCGCGCAGCGCGCCTCCGCCCGAGACTGGGCCCAGGCGGGCCTCTACGTCCTATTCTACTATTACTGTGAGCTGATGAAACCCGATTCTGGCCTGATGGCGCCTTGCGCTGACACGACACCGCGCAGTTTGTGAATCAGGGCCCGCCAACGCCCGCCTCCAAGGCGAGCGACAAGGACGACACTCCGCAGGAAGCATCACTCGCTGCCAGCCATGCGCGAGCAACGCGTGAGGAGAGCTCCGTCTCTCAAAGCCCCAGGGCCAGCGCCAAGCCAGCTCCGCCCACGGCGGCCGCCAAACGCTCGCCCAGGAAAGACTGTCCCCTCTCCACCTGTGACAGCTACTTTACCACCAAGGACGTCTCGCCGCGCCGAAAGGAAGCGGCGGTGCTGCGTCACTTTCGCTACAAGATGGTGCCGTGGATAGAGGCGGGCGATCCCGCGGCTCAATTCGGCGTCGACATTATGCAGCTGTCACAAGAGCGGCCGCCGATTCACACGGCCATTGTTGCGATATCGTCGCTGCAGCTGGACCTTATTGCGGGCCTGGCCGGGCACGACACGGTAAGCCTGGCGTACAGGCAGAGGCCCAGCGACGACTTGTTTGAGCAGGATCGGAGGGCCAAGAGGGTTGGCGAGGCGCTGCTGGCCCTCGAGGGCTTCCTGAGCTCGAGTCCCAGCCGGTGGCGGAACCTCCCGCTGCTGTATATGAAAGAGGTCAGCAGCAACGTGTCGGTGTCGACGGTCGAGGAGCCTTTGCAGACACTATGCCGCCTGCATGCGAGGATAGGTACGGCTCTCGCTCCCCATCGGCGTGTCGACGTACTGACAGAATGCCCAAGACCTTGCTTCCTCGATACTCACCGGACAGCCACCCATCACATCTATAACTTTTCACACCCCTGGCAATAGAACATCATCAACGGCAGACACATCGCCTACGGGCATATACAACTGGTCCCTGCAGCATCTCACCTCCTGCCTACATCTCATCCACAACAGCACCCAGCTGCCATCCATACCCTCTCCTCAGAGCCCACCGGCAGGCTCCTTGTCGGCACACGCTGGCTTCTCCGCGCGGTGGTTTTCTCTCTGGACAAGCTGCCAGACATGGTTTGCCAACAGACCGCTCACGATGAGACCAATCCTCGACATCCGCAGCGTCGAAGCCGGCCAGATCGAGCCCAACGACGGCTCATCATTCCCCATTCAAGTATACACTAATGCGCTGGCCATCCATGCCAACGTCGCCTATCACATCACATCACTGCTGCTGTTGGCTCACAAGCCTCGGCTGCTCAAGCTGCCCGGGGAACCGCAGCGGCAACGGCCAGCAGCGGCATCTTCTTCGTCGCAGGGCTGGCACGCCCAGACGATTGCCGGCATCGCGGCGCGCAACGAATTCGCGGAGCAGTGGGACCCCGTGACGGTCGGGGCGCTGCTCTACGTGGCGAGGGAGATGACGCACCCGGCGCAGCAGGAGGCGCTGGAGTCGTGCTTTGCGAGGGTCACCGCGGCCACGGGCATTGGGCTGGAGAAGGAGTTGCACGAGCTGCGCGAGGGGTGGAAAGTTGCGCGGTCTTATGAGAGGGATGGATGAAGCGACAATATCTTGACATGAACGACGAAGAACACATACCCCCAAATTCACGACGAAACTGGGACCAGGCTACAGGGTGTCACGACTGTGAATGACGACACCGCGAGATCAAGCGAGTGACAGCCGCCGAAATTCTGGAGCGATGACTTTGTCCTTTGCGGAACAAACTGCGTGCGCCCTGCGCCCGATGCATTCAATGAACGTGGCGAATAAACGCCCACAGGGCGCGTTGACGATGTCGTCAAGTGAAGTTTGTCAGCCTGTAGCTCATCGTCACGCACATGGCATCACCACATTTACTACCATGACCCGTTCAGGCAAGTGTCTCGCCCGACGAACGGACGAGAGCCCGGGTTTAACAGCCCTATCGTCGACAACAGCCACATCGTCGCACGATTGATAACCTCAAAGCGCACGCAGCAAATCCAGGCAGGAGATTAGATTCGCCTGAACGGGGAAGCGCGCATCGGGTCAGCCCTTGGGCCGACATGCTTGCTAATGTAAGCGCGGTGCGTTGGGGTACGTAAGCCGCCGTGCTTGCGACGTTGCGGCTGAGAGCGACGACAGGGGGTAGCTGTTAGAGCCAGACGCTTAAACGCCAGGAAATAAGGGCGCGGGCAGCGAAATTGTGAAGATGGCGTTCGGGGCGCATTACAAATCGGGATAGGCGAGGGTGCGGTCCCGCGGTTTGGCATTGTAAGCCCGCAAGCCTCATGACGCGATGTACGCATTGTTGCCAAGCTGTGCCAGGGAGGGATTGAGTCGAGGTCCGTGGATAGAGTTGTATATATGGTCGCGATGTTTCCCGTGGTGTTGCGTCTCGTCAGCACTCACACCCTTACAATTCGTTGACGAGACGCAGCATCAATTACACGACACAACTCTCCCGCACAACGCTACATTAAACAGCATAACAACAACCCGTCAATATTACCATTTCTCACACAGCTCATCATCGTATCCTCACAGCAAAAATGAAGGCCCTCGTCCTCAAGACAGCCGCCCGCACCGCCTCCGTCAAGGAGTTGCCCCGGCCCGTGCCCGGTCCCGGCGAGGTGCTCATCCGGGTGCACGCCGTGGCCCTCAACCCCGTCGACCAGATTCACTTTGCGGGCCCCATCGCCGCGCAGGACGAGCGCGTCATGGGCACCGACTTTGCGGGCGTCGTGGTCGGCCGCGGCGAGGGCCTGGGCGGCGCGTCGGGCGATGCGCGGACGGTGGATGGGGCGCGCGTGGCGGGCTTTGTGCAAGGAGGTGCGTTTTCCCACATAGATATGAAACTCACATGGAGTTGTTTGATGGGGGGGTTGTGACGAGGAATGGGGAGAGAAGAGAAGATGCTGACTGAATGGTGGTGTTATAGCTTCGTCTGCGAATGATCGGCCTGGTGCTTTTGCAGAGTACGTCGCCGCGTCGTATGACCTCCTCTGGACCATCCCCGAGGGGCTCTCCTTCGAGGACGCCTCCACCATCAGCATGTGCGGCCTCACCGCCGCACAAGCCCTCTTCCCGCGCTTCGGCCTACCCAGCACCTTCTCCTCCCCCTCCTCCTCCCCCAACGCCCCCGCAGACAGCAGCAGCGAGCCCCTCAACATCTTCGTCTACGGCTCCTCCACCTCCCTCGGCATGTTCGGCGCGCAGCTCGCGCACGTCGCCGCCAAGGCATCAGGCCGGCCGCTGCGCCTCATCGGCGCGGCGAGCGCGTCGCGGCACGAGGCGCTGCGGGCGGCGCCGTACGGCTACGACGTGTTGGTGGATTACCGCGACGAGAAGTGGGTGGACAAGGTGAGGGAGGCGACGGCGGGAGGGAGGGGCGTTGACTTTGCGCTTGATACCATCTCGGAGAGGGATACGGTGCCCAGGGTGCATGCCACGCTGGCGGAGGGGGGCAAGTACCATGTCTTTCGCGCGCCGGAGGGCGGCAAGTATGATACCAAGGGGTTGAAGATACAGCCCGTGTATGGCGCGGTGTGGGAGGGCTTGGGCGTGGAGATTGACTACGGCGACGGTAAGTTCATTTTCACATCCCTCACCTCTCTCCTCCTACCTGAGGTCAAGCCCACAGCTACAACGTCCGGTACCTAACAACTCGTGTTCTCCTTTAGGCCTCGTCTTCCCCGCCAGCCCTGAGGCGAGAAAGTTTGCCGTCGACTTCTTCCAGTTCCTCAGTTCCGGAGCGGAGCCGGGCGCGGATGTGAAGCTGCACCCGAACCCCGTGCGCAAGATGCCCGGCGGGCTGGAGCGCATCGTGCCGGACGGCTTTGCGCTGCTGTCGGGCTTGGTGTCGGAGCGGCAGGGGCTGGAGCAGCGGCGGGAGGAGGAGCACATGCGGCCGATTAGCGGCGAGAAGCTCGTCTATACCATTGTTTGAGCTGCGGCGCTGGAGACACGGGAAGGAATCCGACGTATAAATAAATTACATGAATAATAGAAAAGAGCTGGTGTCCAGGAAGCTCTTCTCATGGGAAATGGCCTGCAACTATAGACGATCAAGATACGGCTCGCTCGACGTCGATGCCACTCGCCCGGCAGTCAGCCTGCACCTTCACCACCTCAGACCTCCTCGTGTTTCCATCATCCCCTCCCCCCGACGCCTCAACCTGGACCGCCTCCGCACTGCTCTTTAAAACCGCCCTCGTCTCAAACCCCGTCCTCGCAACCCTCGCCACGGGAAACTCCACAAAGCCAGCAGCCTCGTCGCCGTTCGCCACCGCGTACGCATATACGTCCCAGCGCGCAACCTCCGTCGCCCCATTCCAGCTCATGAAGACGTAAACGTTGCCGTCCTGGCGGCACGCCACGGCCGTCGGGCTCTCAGCGGGGAAGCCGCGCCAGCGCGTCTTGTACCCGCGGTAGCTGAACCCGATGCCCGGGGCGCCGTATTGCAGCTCGTAGACGGAGTTGCCGTCTCGGTCGAATTCCTGCATGCGTGATTCTGAGCCGTAGCTGAGGAAGGCGTGCGAGTGGGGACTCCACGTCATGGAACCAGAGTTCCATGCATACGCTGGGCGTTCCGCATTCTCGAGGGTTTGCCGCGTAGCGGCCCTCATGTTCTTGAGGTCGAGGTCGAGAACGAGTCCGTTGGTGGGCTTATCCTGAACGCCTCGTTTCGAGTTCTGGTTGTTGTGCATATGCAGGATGACGCCGCCAGTCGTGTCGTCCGTCTTGAGCCGCATATCGTGCTGCCACGAGAACGCGCCGCGAGGGTCCAGCGAGAAGTTGCCACCTCCTGAGCCTTCAATGTGCCAGGCTATCCGGCCAGTGGAATTTCGGACGTACACACCTGCCCAGCAGTTGCGAAGCGACAGCATGAGGCCGGCCTCGAAGCTGTCCACGCTGTTGATATGAAACGCGTCCCACGCCTGGGCTGCACTGGTGCCGTCGCCGTACTCGCCGCCGAGTGGCGCCTTTGACCAGCGGATTGGAACATCGTCGGATGCGCGCCACCGGTAGAGTATCTCGTTGGTTTCGATGTCAAGCTCGTACACAACTGAGTCGCGCAACCACCCGTCTGGCGGCCCGCCCACGGCGCTGAGATCCCACGGCGTGGCGTTGCCTGCGACGACAATGAGTGTATTGTCGGCCGTGATCAAGGCTTTGTACGTATCCATATATGATGTGTAGTCCCCTGGAAACTGCGGGTTTAGGTCGCGGTCCTGTAGCGTCACGTTGTACATGACCGTGTACGTATCATCCATGATCACCACACTGCCGTAGGACACTACCAAGTCGCCGTTCCAGTACTGCAGCTCGTTGTACACGAGAACGTCTCTGTCCCAGAGCTTCCACGGCTTGAGATTCCTCGGCGCGTATGTAGACGCCGGGGTCGCGTATATGAGGTGCCCGTCCTCGGTCATGATGTAGCCGCTCGTGGGGCCGTCGACGATGGGGGCCACAAAGATGTAGCCAGGGTCGGACTCGCCGGTCCTGTTGTACTCAAATACCGGTGGTCGAAGGTCCGGACGGCTGACGAACTGCTGGACCGGCCATGCTGTGGGCGCATCCTCGGTCGCTGTGGCGTACGTGAGGCCATGTCGGCCCGTGTAAGTCAGCAGCGTAAATGGGGATACGACAGCGACAAACCGAGTGAAATACATCGGGATCGTGAGGTGGTCACATTGATATGCGCAAAAGACACGAGGCAATGACACCCGCTACAAGAGAGCTTCTCAGGCTCACGTCGCGCTTCAAAGAACTGCTGGCGGGGGTTGACTGCCTTATGGTCCTGGCGTCGAGGGAGGAGGCCTAGAAGCGAGGGGCTCGTCCATGCCTGTCGACTGGAATGAGACAATGTGTCGGCACAGCCAGCCCACATCCTGTCACTACCCTTGAAGGCCATTTTGTCAACAATGTCTCGAGTCTCAAGACCCCCCATCACCACCGCTGGGTACCCGTGCATTCACCACGCGCAGCACTGGACCCCAATGCTGGTCGGAGACCCCAGTCCAAGCTGCAGGTACCAAGACAAAACCCTGGACTGGTCCGCGTCATATGAGCACTTGCCGATGCAGAGCCAGCGCGCTTGTTCAATGCATCTCGTAAATCCCCGTGGAGTGTCACTGCGAATCGTGTGGCTCGTCGTCCGCCTGGTGCGCGGCTGCACTAATAGACGGCGAGGCGAGGCGGCGGCGGGTCTGCTTCCCCTCTCGAGTCTCCAACAACGGCGTCTGCCGAGCGGCCACTCGCGAAGTTGGAGCCAAACGTTGATAAGCTAGCAGCAGATGTATCGGGGATAGTCGGCCGGCGTGGCTTAACTTTCCCGACGACATTCATCCAACCCGTAACAACATTTAAGTCGCCCGACCTGCTCCAGCGAGCACACCTCACATCATAGACATGGAGCAGTCGATATGGTGGCCAACATCGTGATCGGCCTCAGCGCCGCAGCTTTGATATATCTCCTGTACACGTACATCTTGTATCCCGCCTTCTTCTCGCCTCTCGCGCGCCTCCCCACCCCGCACTGGTCGTGCGCCGTGTCCGACTTCTGGATTCTCCGCGCGAGGAAGAAAGGTGCCGAGAACAGGGCTTTGTACGATGCCCACTTCCGCCATGGTCAGGTCGTCCGTGTGGCGCCGAACACGGTCAGCGTGGATGGCGTGGAAGCCATGCGGACCGTCTATCAAGGCGGGTACGAGAAGGCGCCATGGTACGGCCGGTTCAACAATTATGGGTGCGTTGTTGCAGGTCCCTCGGTGCAATGTTGTGTGTTGTTGCGAATGCTCACCGAGGAACAGCGTGCCTTGCATGTTCTCGACGCTCGGCTCCAAGGAACACTCCCGAAGGAAGCGCATGATTTCCAATGTCTACTCCAAGTCTTACATCCAGGCTTCCCAACCCGCCAAGGCTCAGAGTCGCGTAATCCTCCTCGGCCGGCTTCTTCCACTTCTAAGGCGAGAGGCCGCAAGCGCAACCTCGCGCGGCACCGAGGTGCAATCCATTTTCATGGCCACGACCATGGACCTCATATCCGCTTACATATTTGGCATCCAAAACAGTACCAACTTTCTCGAGGACAAGGCCTACAGGGACCACTGGCTACGACTGTACCTCTCGAGACATCACCACCATTTCTGGCCTCAGGAGATGCCTACCTTGACGTCCCTGTGCGCCAAATTCGGGATTCGGCTGTATCCCTCGTTTGTGGACAGCGCGAACGCAGAGCTCAGAGACTGGAACAAGGAACTATGTGACAAGACGCGCGAGTTCATCTCTGCAACTCCCGCGGCAACGTTGCCGGAGGATGAACCCGTGGTCTTCAAGGCCATTCACGCGGGGATTGACAAGGAAGAGAGAACAGAGGGCGACGCCTCGCTCCTTTTTGATACGACAATTTGCCAGCGCGATTCGTCCGTCGCCTGCGAGATCTTGGACCAAGTCCTTGCCGGCCATGAAACCGCAGGAATTGTGCTTACCTGCCTTGCCTGGAGGATGTCTCAGAACCAGGACCTGCAGGGCCAGCTCAGAGAAGAGATTCTGGCTCTCGAGCCCTCGTTGGCGGCGGGTACAGGGGCGGCGTGTCTCCCAGATGCCAGAGCTTTGGACAACCTGCCCATCTTGCATGCGGTCATTATGGAAACTCTTCGACTGCATGCCCCTATTCCAGGTCCGCAGCCGCGCGAGACACCGTACCCTTCGTGCACCATCGGCGGCTACGAGCTCCCCGGAGGCGTGCGCATCGCCGCCCTCGCGCATACACTGCACCTCGACGAGAGGGTCTATCCCGACCCGAAGCGATGGGACCACACGCGATGGCTGACCGACTCTTCAACGGCGGAGCATCACAGAGCCATGAACAGGCAGTTTTGGGCCTTTGGAAGCGGAGGACGGATGTGCATTGGCTCCAACTTTGCATGGAACGGTACGGTTACCCCATCTCCAGGAAACTCATTTGAGGGTCGCACGCTGGTACTGAATTGTCCGCAGAGATGAAGTTCATTGCCGCAGTCATATATGCCAACTTCACAACGGCGGTAGTCAACGATAGCGGCGTGGAGCAGACGGACGGATATTCGGCCAGGCCGGTTGGAAACCAATTGTTTTTGAAGTTCAACCCCCTGTGACAAGTCGCAACATGAGGTGTAAAAGGAGTGCGAGAAACGCAGACAGCACGATCTAGCTAGCCAAGATACATCGCCGCCGGTTCTGTTATGCCTCAGCCTTTAAGAAAAGCAAATCCATGCTGGGAGCGAGTAGATGCTGGTAATGTTACAAACCAAGGACGGCCGCAAGGCAGGCCGCCCAACGAATGGACCAAAGGGAAGCCAGCAGGACCCCTGTCGTGCATACGACAGGCAGAATCCCAGGAAGGGACAAGAAGGGTCACGTGAGCAAGCACGTGCACCCATGGATCACAAAGAGCACGGTGATCCAGGTGAGCCAGGCTCACGAAGATCACGGTGATCCAAGTGATCAGGCAGGATCAGTGAAGAGCTGGATGGATATATATACCACAGTCTTTACCCAAGAGTAGATAGCCAGATCTTCAGTGATCAATCTAAGCATTCATCTGAATGAGAAGTCTTCAAAGCTTCTTAACGGACTCTTGTGAATCGTTTACTGCTCGTCAAGCCTAGCTTACCTCCTAAGCAACAGCAAACCTTAGGACCCTACCCAGGCTCCGTTACAGGTAATACCCCCAGTTTTTGCTCTTCCTCGCCCAGGCATCGTGACCACCGCGTGCAGCCCTAAACGTTCCAATTTCGGCACGCCAGGTCTGACACAGCGTAGCTTACTTGGGGCACACGCGGAAAGGGCCGCTACCGTGATGATCCTTCGCGTCCTCAGTGACGTGAGTGATAACGCCGCACAGGATCTTACCGTTGGCGAGATAAACAACGCGCGCGGGTGTCCCGACAGTGCCGTGCTTGCTGTCCTTGGGAAACGCTGTCCCGTCCTTCATGACGGGATATTCCAACAGCTGGTATTTGGCATCGTTGCAGGGCCCAGGGGCGCCGGAGAAATGGATTTGCGGGCTCCCGGGGCCGTCGCTCGTGCCGAAGAATTTATGGGGATATCTGCGTGCCGATATCAGCCTCCATGTCACCATTCTCGACTTAAAGTGCAGGTGATTGAGGAAGTTGGCAAGTACCCGGACTTTGACTTTGGTTCAGCGGTTCCCCCGGCACGGAATGCGTCCTCGGCGTATTTCTCCTTGATTGTGAATTTGCCCTCAAAAGTGACGCAGTGGTAGTTTGCAGCCTGAGTCTGGTGTTAGCGCCCGTGGGTTGTGCTGGTGATGTATTGGCAAGGGCACAAACAGCGGTAGCGACAAGGGCCGCGGTGGCAACAAGGCTCTTGAGCATCATCTTGAAGAAATCGTTATGGCCTGTAAGTCGTCTCAAATGTCTCTCGTCTGTTGAAGCAGGTATTTTGCAGAATCGATGATCATATACATTGTTCTAGCCGGAGGTCTTATACTTTTTGCTCTTAAGCTTGCGACTCTCTCAGACCGCGGTCTGTCACAGCGTTATCCTGCAAGGCCCCCGTGCCGAGTTCCTGTCGTGCGTGACATGAGTCGTAGCAGCATCGACCGCGCCGGGTTCTAGATAGGATGGGAACGCATTCAGCTTGACCAGCGGAGAGCTTTGTCTACATCAGCGAACGTCTTCTTCCCTAGATGCACTGCGTGTCACAAGGATTGTTGTTTAGCAGACTGTAGAACACGCCCAGAATACAGTGGCTAGCTGACATCAATGTTCGGTCTGTCGTGCACCTCGTGCAGTGGTCGTCAAGGATCCGCTTGTTACACGGCGGTACCGGCCTGTCAAGTATATCATTTCAGCTCAGAGTAGTCCAAAGGTGCAGCTTGATCTTGACCTCCATACGTGTAACGGGCTGGGCCCGTGTGGGTCTCGGCTCCGCTCTCGACCGGGGATCCACATCGGCTCCGGAGCTCCCTTTAAAAGCT